AACAGAAGGACAGATCATCCATATGCATGACCGTGACAAATATAAACGTCAAGTTTGAAAATGCATAATTGGGCTGGCGTGACAGATGAGGAGCTGGAAAAATTATACAGACCTAAGTTGCTGATTTCATCTCCATTGGTCTCCAAGACAAGACCGCCTTGTATGATTTCTGCAAGAATATGATGCGCCTGCGCATCAGCAAACATCGGTCGTCGGAAGGCATTTGTATAAAGCCCATGTAACTTACTTCATCGAAATGAAACACTAGGTCCAGTTCACAGACATTCTCAAAGTGCCGATCGAGCCCCTCCACAAAAACCTAGAATAGTTTGTCACAACGTGGGCACGACTACGGAGGCGACATTCACCTGTATCAAGTCTAATATGCCCAGTTCGCTTTCTGCACCATCGACGACAAAGACAAAGTACAAAGTGGCGTAGTTTCGGTAGACAACGCGCCATCTCTCGTCTGAGCCATCCTTCGGGCCAAGAAACGCCTCGAGCTCCGGTGCATCTAGAAAATTGCAGAGTCCCGCAGGCCGGATAGATATGAGAGAGAATATCTTCTGTATCAATGTCTGAGAAGATTGGTGGAGGGGTGTGTAAAACTTGGTCAGTCTTGGAATCCCGGATGTGTTGACTGCAAAGCGGAACATGTCAGTGCAGAACGATATGACTAGAGATCTCTCTAACAGATGAGCACGGCATGGATCATGGTGACTGTTGCAGGATACAGCAGAAAAGCACCGATACGACGGTCCACGCCAGCTTCCGGTTAATAGTTTGATCACTAGTACTAGGTACAGCTACATACATAGTAGCATCACTGATAGTACTAGTTCAAACATGTACAAAGTACAAAGAATAGACAGGCACTCATTTCCTTCAAGCCGCTCTTTCGCCGTTACAACTGCTGTAAGACACCATTGGTATTGCCATAGATCTTCCCATGTGTCAGATCTCGACAGTCCGCGTATGTGATGCAACAAATCATGAATCATCCCTCGGCAATGTCCACCCTGGCTGCAAGCGACCCGCAAGGTTTCCTACAGGTCCAGAAAGACCCGCTTGGCTCTTGAAACTTTCCAAGAAATTCTTGATTAGGTTGTAGTCCATCGGCACCTCCTCTTCGCCAGAGTCAGGTTCCTCCATATCTCCGCCTCCGTATTCGAGCACGGCTTTGAGCTCGGCTTCCATTTGAGCTTCGATGTCTAGATCCTCACCGTCTTCATCCATTAACTTCGATTTAGAATTGCCTTTGCTGAGGGGGATTTCAAGATCGCCTGTGGGGAGGGTCGGAACCTTCTCCTTCCCTCTCTTCTTCTTCAGTGCTGTCTGGCGAGACTGGTTCAGTTCGGCATCCATAGCTTGCATGACAGCTTCAAAGGAATCCAGATTCGGATTTACATTTGGTCTCGGGCCTGGGACAGGTTGCCGTCCCTGTGCTGGCAGCGCGGAAGAATCAGATTTATTGTTCAATGGTCCTGTTGAGGTAGATGTTGTGTTCTCCGCCGTGATACTAGTGGGAACAAAGGCTATAAAAATGCTCATTAGCAAGATCTTCCGCAGATCAATAAATAATTACCTCCTCGTCCTTTCCTATCGTTGATAATGTCTCCCCACTGTTGGTCAGATATTCCCAAAGCTTGCCTTGAAAACTCCAAGAACTCTGCTTCTTCCTCGTCCATGTTAACCTCAACATCGCCGACGACCTGCGGGCGGTCCTCCTCTGACTCAACATCTTCTTCATCTCCACCAGCGAGTGGATCAGAGCTAGACGATTCGTCATCGGAATCTACACCCTCGTACTTGTCGCGCGGTAGAATGGGTGGTCTTATAGACCGAGTGCGAGCCGGTGACGTAATTTCTAAAGCGGGTTCGGCGTCCGAAAATTGTGTTATAGCTGGATCGGTCTCCTCGACTGTTTCAGTCTCAATAGTAACTTTGGAGACACGCTGAGTGTTAAATGAAGCGGGCATCAGTCCATACTCGGCCTCCGAAAGGGCAGGCACGAGCTTCGCCATTGCTTCTTGGCGTGCAGCTTCGTCAGCAACTGGCTCATCGTCCGAGTCCGAGAATTTCTCGTCACTAAAATTCTCTTCATTTTCTTCGTCCGCATCATCCCCGTCGTCTTCGTCGTCTGAGAAGACTTCACTAGAAACAGAAGAATTATTCTCTGAAAGGCTCCGGTGTATGGATGCTTACTCTTCAAACCTAGCACCCTCTACGTCACCTTCTCCTTCGACAAACTTCTGCACCTTGGCTGCAAGATCCTGTAGTTTGTTTGCTTGTTCCTTGGCTACCCTTTCCTCTGCCTCATCACCTGTGGAATCAATATCCATCTCTTGAGACTGTGATTTGGAACGCGTCCGCTCCAGCATGTCATCAAAGTTGGCTGCATCCACGTTCATCCAGCCATCCGAGTCTTCAGTCTCATCAGACATCTCGGTGAAGTATTCCGGGGCGGTAGACAATGCTGAATTGAACAGCGCTGCGAATGAAGGACGAGTAGCGTCACTGGTAAGACTTCAGCATCAAGGCCAAAAATGAAGATGAATGACTTACTCCTCTTGCCGAACCTGAATGAATGCATGAACAGCTTTATTCTCCAGTTCATTCCAAAGCTGCGAGTCTTCAACTTCACCTCGGAAGTAGCCAGTTGAAACCAGATTGGTGATATAGGCTTTATAGTCGGATGATCGGCGAAGTGCTTCTTTACGTGCTTCCGCCTAAAGCCACGCAGTTAGTGAGACGACGGAGAACTAAGCCAGGCATACATACCGATGACTCGAGGACCTCACTACTCTTACTTGCGATGTCAATACGACTCTTCGACTCTTGGTAGATCATTTCGAAACCGCAGGCCTGTCACGGTGTTTTTGTCAACGGACATATTCTAGAATGACAAATGTCTTGACTTGCCAGCTTCATACCTGTGTCTCTCCAACGCCAGACGTCACTGCCCTCGCGCTCCTTAAAACAACCGAATATTTTTGGAGGGAAGAATTTTTGCCCAACAAGTTGGGCATACGCTGGTCTTGTCAACTTGACCGTGGTAAGCACGGCAGAGTGAGGAGGAAACCGCGTCATGCGATGGGCAGCCTGCAGAATAATTATCAGAACGATGTCGCGGAGAGTCAAATATACTAACTCGGAGTTGGACGGCATCCCGCGTATAGAATGTCTCGACAGGCTTTTGTACCAATGAAAGGTCGACGGATAAAGCGCGAGCAATGTCGAGCGGAAGGTACGCTTTGGTGGTATGCACGTGGTTTTTGGCTGCTGCAGGATAGCTTTCCCGAATATTGTGAATGTCTCGTCACGTATACCAAAAGATATACCTACCCTGAAGTACGCTGCCATACCGTATTCTCAACTATACGGGGTGCACGCGTTTCGACAGTTGCATCACGGACCAACTTCAGTGCGTCATCGATGGCTAAATAGTCTTCAACGTCATCACCAACAATGTCACCTTCGTCATCACTGTCTTTAGACCCAGGAAATTTGCGTCTTCTTTTTGGTTTGCTAGGAGCAGATATGTGTTGGAGAGGTATGAGGTGCAACATTCCACTGTATATCCAGACCTACAATGTAAGAACACCAAGGACATATTCAGTAAATTGTCTTACCATCTAAAGCACGGGAAGAGGGCGCACCCTATTCTCAGAGTTGGATGGTTTGACCCATGAAGGCAGGACTTCGGCCGCCTCGATGAGGAGAAACTCCCCGTCAGAATCTATTACACTAATACGCGCTGTTAGTCCCGAGATAAATCACGCTGAGATAAAAATCTGACCTGATAGCAAAATCCCACTTCTTGCTGATCTCCCGTAGGATCCAGACAACGCACCACTCATCATCGACGGAGTCCCCGACGCGCATACGCCCTTCAAGCATCCACTTGTTATCCCTAGCTGCGGCAGAATCGATGTCTTTCGCAACTTTGACCTCGAAAGAGTCTCTGTGCCAGAGGAAATTTGGCAAAAGCTCGGAGACATATGCTTGTACGCATGCTGCGAGTGTTGTTGCAGATGATTTTTCTGCTAGTGCCGGAGGGGGATAAAGGGTGTACTGAATTGTGTCCTCTGAGATCGAAGGCGGGCGGTTGAAGATGTCCATCGTCATGTAGATTATCGAAAAACCCTTGTTTAAGACCGTCGTTTATTTTGTGGAACCTCTGACTAGGGGAGACTAAAGATCGTCGGGACTGTTTGTCAGCGAAAGTAGTAGCACTACTAGTGGTGACCCCGACTCATTTCCTTTCTTGGTTCACCGAAGCGCACCAATGGCGTCGACCACGGCCTTCAAGGACAGAAATCTCATCGCTGTCATAGGGGATGAGGTACGTTTACTCCTGCTAGTTAGCATTGCTCAGGACTGAATTCGCGTCGGCAGGACTCGATAACGGGACTGCTTCTTGCAGGCATCGGTCACATCAACGAGCACCAGAGGAAGAACTTCCTCGTCGTAGACTCTAGTAAGGTCTTTGACGTATTCCACATCATCTCATGCTCATGGATGAGTCCAGAAACGCAAATATCGGCGATCGAAGCTGTGTTCCAGGAGTTCACCCAACGGAAGGACATCGCAATCATCCTCATCAACCAGCATGTGAGATCAAACCTTCCATTGATTGTGTCTTTGATCTCAATATGACGTGTACTCTTAGATAGCAGAGAAGATAAGACCGACGGTGGACCGCTATCAAGAAGCATTCCCTACGTTGCTCGAGATACCTTCCAAGGACCATCCATATGGTGAGCACCAGACAGTCTCCATGTACCCTGTACTAACATATGATGCAGACCCTTCGAAAGATTCGGTATTGAAGCGCGTTCAGAAGCTTTTCGGGGAGTAGAGAGCCTTGCTACATTACTCGCATTGCTAGGGGTTGAATGTCCCTATGTACCATATAATACAGATGTACATGGCAAACAGAGTCTATTATGCCTATGATCATCTCCCTTACCTTCGAATTAGGTATTAGGCCCAGCAATCTATGCTGAAGTGAACCGCATGATGGGTTCATTCTCCCGGACACCTGGTGCTCGTTCAACAAATACCCTCACTGGATTCCGAGTTTCTGAATCTAAGATTGAAACGTTGGCGTTAGTGGAAGATAATAGGAATCAATAAAGTGGCATACTTGGAATGTCGATCAGGAGATACCGGAAGACGAAGTAGCCCTCGTCGTTCTGTGTTTCATATCAGAATCTGCGAAATACCCTTCGTAGGATTACATACCCGGACGAGATCAGCATGGACCTCTCCTTCTGTCCACGAAACGCCTGAGTCTCCTCCACCCTCAGCTACGCTTCTCCGTCCCTTCAATCCTGAGAACAGTCCAGCAAAGCTCCACACGCCCTTCTCCTGTTTTCTTTCGTTCTCCTGACTGTCATTGGTTGACAGGTGCGGGTGAGGTGCGGGTGATGGAGCGACATCGCCACTCAAGTATCTAAATGCACGTTTTGCAGATTGCCCGATCGACTCTAGCTTCTCCTTTGCAAGCGCTATGCTTTCATCTAGAGTCAGGGAACTCAGAGACTCGATGTATGAAGGGCCTGCTTCTTCATCGGCTTGCTGAGCTGATTGAGCGGAGGACGACCCTTGTACGTAGAAGTTTAGGAGCATGTGTTCTCGCCCTGAAGAATCTACCGCGACCTGAGATGAAACGTGCCTATGCCTGTGCCTCGGTCGTGTGGAGGAGGGTGGATTATTGTGGAATACAAGAGGTGCTTGCAGATATTTTGCAACCTGTACATAGCAAAATCGACATTATTTTGAACCCGAACTCGTAGAATCTTTGATGACATACCCGAGGAGATGCATTAATGCGGTCGCAGGCATCATTAAAGAGGACGGTAGGCGAGTTCCTTGAGAACAGCTCTGATGTAAGGGCATATATGAGCACGGCAGAAAGTCCGGCACCCAAAAGAATGACTGCAAGATTCGAAGTGCGCTGCGTTGTTCGAATCACTGTGTAAATAGATAGGATCAATGCAATCCATCATGATGAATCTATAAGAAAATATGAGAATTCATGCGCACCCTTCCCACCGGTGCTCAGCTCGGACCACTGTTTCACTTTCTTTCCCTTGAGGGAGCCTTGAGATATTCCAAGCGTAAACGGCCCTACTGAGTCCTCTCGGTTCAGACGCGTCCCGCGCTGTTTCTGGTCAAGCGCGGAAGAAAGTAGTGAAGATGCAGCGTCTTGGTGAGTCACAAATGACCTGCGACATAATCCAAAAGCATGGATTTGATGACGGTGGCCATGTGGAAATAAGAAGATGTAGGTCGATGGCCGCGAACGAGTGCAAAGCGTATTGGCTTGACGTGCGAGTCTCGCCATGGAGGTCATGGTAAGGTTAGCGTTCTTGACTGCATCCGAAAGCGCATTACCCAAAAATGGCTGGCGATCGGTCGCCTAATTTTGGCCGACGGTTTGCAAGCAAACCCCTCCAGTCCTCGCCCATGTCCAACACAATGTGCTGATATTACCCGTCTGCATCATCCGTATGTTTCTCGCAGGTGTCTGAGATTCAAAAGAATAATATTGGGCAGGAGAAGGTATCATTCATACAGAAGCTCAGAATCCCATTACAAGACAAATACAACGCTCTAAAATTATTACTCAGTCACTAACTTATGATCGCTCTCCACGCAGGCGCCTAGCAAGTGCGAGGTCTTTAGGTTGGATGGTGACACGCTTGGCGTGAATAGCTGCAAGATTGGTGTCTTCGAACAACGAGACGAGGTAAGCCTCAGCGGCTTCCTGAAGTGCCATGACAGCAGAGGATTGGAAGCGGAGATCGGTCTGGATGGCTCTGTTAACATACGAACGATAAAGAAAGACGGCGCTAACCTTGAAATCCTGTGCGATCTCACGCACAAGACGTTGGAATGGGAGCTTGCGGATCAGGAGCTCCGTAGACTTCTGGTAACGACGGATTTCACGGAGAGCGACGGTACCAGGGCGGAAGCGATGAGGCTTCTTGACACCTCCAGCGGGGACCTGTCAAGGAATCAAACTAGTCAGTCAGGCATGGTGGAAAACCTCAGAAGGGTCGACTGACGGCGGCGGTCTTGCGAGCTGCCTTGGATGCGAGTTGTTTACGGGGGGCTTTACCTGATCAAGACAGTTAATGAGGTTTGGAGAATGTTAATACGAGAAATCATTCTTACCTCCAGTTGACTTGCGGGCGGTCTGCTTGGTACGGGCCATTGGAAAAGTTGGAAGTTAAGTGAGGTTGAAACTTGAAGTAAGTTGACAGTGAAGATGGATGTTGTCCGCAAGCCACAAACTGAACGCGATCCCTTCTTATATATCTGTCCGTTTCGGCACGTGCACCTGGGTCAATCAACAATGATGATGAGGTTATATTTAGCTACAAGCGCGTCGCGCTCACCCACGTGATTTCTGTGGGCACTTGTTAATATTAATGGCGTTTAATTATTAAATGTAAGGCGAACAATAGACGTTAACGAATGACAATCATCGTCTGCGAAGATCACGTTAAAAATGAACTACAATGCATACCGTATTCCAAGGAAGCTAGTGGTATTTCAAGTTGCAGCTGTGTCCACCGAACCCTGGTAGTACTGAGACCATGGCGTCCAGGATGCTACCGCTGACTGCGGTGTTGCAGCGCAAAGTCCGTCTTTCACCTTTCAAAGGAATCACGAACCTGTTCAACCCCTTCCTCCATGAGACAATATTTTACGCCCCGTCTGCCCTTGCACTCGATACTCTTGCAGTAAATGCACGTCCGCTGTTTCTTCTTTAATGAGCTGTCGTCAGGCTCATTCGTGAGGCGCTTTCCAGCCCGGCTGACTTCCGCTACTCCTGACTCCCGGGGTAACGAACTTCTCGGTAAGGTTTCCAGCCTCTCGCAGCCGCAGCCTCTATCGTTGCACTGTAGCGCTGATCGTGCGAGCGGTAATCGGCGAGCAGCTCCTGGCATAGCGATCCCGAAAGACTGGCCAACATTATGTTCGTGCTTCCCGGATAGACGTGAATGGAATGTCATACATCTCCGACACCACTGGGGAGAGTGGATCCCTTGCTACACTCATGCTTGATTTTAGAGCTCGCCAAAGGGACGAGCCGTCATCCGCTGCATCTGGGCAAGCGAAGGCTTCTCTGGTCCAGACAATTGCTCGCTTGGAAAGGGAGGTGTCACCGCCCACAGTGCATGTATGTTTAGCATTCACAGACATCCTCAATTCAACCCAACTGTGAGACAAGAACTGCCATATCGATAGCGATACATCTGCACAACAATCTGCTATTACAACATCTTCTATATCGTGGTGGTTATATTGTCAGGACAGAAGGCGACGCATTCATGTGCGCATTCCAACAACCCTTGTCGCGGTATGGTCAAGCATTTTCAACTTCTTCACGCATCCTAGCCTCCAGAGATGCAAAATTGCGAAGAAGGCAAAGAGGTCTACGATGAAGACGGAAACCCTCTTCCACGCGGCCTTTCTGTCCCTATGGGCATCCACTCTGGAACTCCAGCATGCGAACTAGAACCTATCGCTCGCAGCATGGATGATCTCAGATCTATGGTCAGTCGATGCGCCCGTGTCAGTGCCAGTGCGTTGGCTGGACAAATCATGTGCAGTGCCGACGTTGTTCGCAAAATCAATGCAAGTTTATTGAATTCCGGTCCGGTCCCGAAATCTCAGCCAGCTCGGGCTATCAAAGAGATCCGGCAACTGCACACGTCCCTGTTGCTGAAATCAAATTGAAGGGACTGGAGGTTCCGGAGGTGGCTTCCCTTGTCTACCGTGCAGCCTTGCTAAGACGCCAGCGTTTGGTTGTATCTAGGGTGAATCTGTGCACGTCCCCGTCATTATCCACCCCCGGGTTATTATACCAATAGTACCCTGCACAAGTTGGTTGTGACCAAACTCCATCTGATGACGCGTGTCTGGGAAGATGAGCTTTGCGTCTTCATACTTACTAGACCTGTCCATTCCATAGCGCTTTGATAACAGTATTTGTGTCCTTTTGTCAGGAACGGGATTGTTTGTCGACAAGCGTCGTGACACCTTCAGCGCCCGGCAAACGAGTTTTGTATGAGCAAATGTTAAAAGATTGAGATTTTGAGACACAAAAGTGAAGATCTAAGTCAGAAATTTCTTTTGAAGGCGTGCTTGTCGCTGACAGCGTCCGTCACAGGTTTAAAAAAATTCAATCCCGACTTTTGTGCCCCTTACTGAATTTCCCATTAGCCGACTTGAACGACTGACCTCGTCATTACTAGTGACGCGCTCTACCAACTGAGCTAAACGGGATGCATTTTTGGGCTCATAGCAAGTGACCTTATTGTCATCATTTGCATTTGGTTTAAGGTATGGCCTAGTAATAAACTAGAGGTATTAAATACTACTTCCGAACGTTTGTACGTGCTCTATGACAGCTTTCTTCAACTGTGCAAGTTGTCAACCAGATCATGAAATACAGAGGAAGAAACTTACTGGAGGGCTAATTCCGTTACCTTCGAAATATGCCAAGACAAACTCCTCTGCTACCCAATCATTTTCCACCGAGCCCATATCTGTAAGTACCAGAGTACGTGGGCGAGACGGACTGCGCAATGGCGCGAGGAGTACTATGTCAAATGGTTTGCCCTTTGACATTGATGTAGTCGGGAAAAGCGATTTCAATGTCCTCAAGGAAGACTGGGCTGCAGGTTCCTCTTCTGGAGTGATTGTAGCACGTGTATGTGCAAGCTGCATGCGCGCAGTGAGGGCACGCATGAAGCCATCACGGAGATGTGAGTAGGATGTGCCGCGAGTGGGTACTGAGCAGAGTGAAGTTCAAAGCAATGACGACGTGTGCCCAATATACCAGGGACTTGCCTATTCGGATGGCGCAAGCGGTATTACGGATAATGTGCTCAATTTTTTGGTCGGGAGTTGCGGTCATGGGAATCTATTGAGTGTCTATCAGGAGTCAGGATACAAGAGGACAGAGGAGCAGTGTTACATTCAGGTTTGGATTGGCAAGGTCAGCATAAAAGCCAACAGAGTACACCTTTATGCCAAGGAATGACACGGTTCTCACTCCAACGCCAACCAGTGAGAACTGAGGCAAAGGGATCTTTGATGGTATACAAAGGGTCTTAGGGAAAGCAATTGATGTTGCGGGATCAACTATGCAAAGTTTTGAGTTCTTGGACAAGCCTAGTCAAGCGGAGAAACATACTCTCGAATTCGGAGTCGGGCAGAGATGACCCAGCATCAAGATGGATGGTTGTGCTTTGTACTGCATACGCAGCTGAAAAGATGGAAATAGCAGTACCCCATAGTAACGGTTTCACGAATGACCTAGACTGTTTGGAAGTTCGTGTTATACACGAACGAGACCAAGACGAGCTGAAAATTGCCAGTGGTCGTAAAAATTGAGACATGCTCAGAGAAGGACCGTCGGAAGAGCCACGTGGGAGTAATATTATCTGCGTAAGTGGGAGGCGTCAGGCGTTTACGGAGTAAAGTAATGTACTGCGTTCTCATCTGGGGGACGACGCAATCCTCCTAAACAAGTCAAATCCGCAGATAGACGACGCGTCAGCTGGAAATTCACTCCAATATAAAAACACGTACGTTCTCAATCAAATTCGGTTTCCTTCAGTACTTCCATCCTTCAGATATCGCCTCACCGCGGGAACTGACTTCATACTGTTATCATCTTTGAATTCTCCCATAACTGCTTTCTATCATAATCAGCGTCTCCCTTCATGTCACTTGATATCAATAGTCTCATTGCCGAGTTTGCAGAAGAGTTTTCTTCAGGTGGTATTTCCGTTGTCATGGATGAAGGAGATACGCCCGTGGATGTCCTCGAGTCACCCTCCGATGACATTGCCGCCGAACTCGTCTCTGATCGCTCTGCATATGAGAAACAAAAAGCTACTCTCCAAACATATCTTGATTCTCTCCCTTACGAGTGCGAGTCTATTGATGTCATGCAAGCCAAGCTTGAGTACATAGTCGGCAAGTTGATAGTCTGCGCTAAATCCAAGAATTGGTTGGTCCTCACCACCTGGGATGCAATCCTGCAATGGTATGTTATTGTTCTATACAATCCCAAATTACTCACCCCCGCTTCCAGCTGGCTGCAGATGCGTTATCCCATGACGACCTCCACCCGCGCCACATTGGTCCGCTTTTATTACGAATTATGCCTTCTGCCTGGCATAGAAGTGCGGGTCATCCGTAGCTGGGCAGATATGTTGTACCGCCTTTTAGGATCCAAGACAGTTAAGCGCAAACTTGAGGCCACTGACCTTCAACTCCCTTGGAAACCCCTATGGGATGTATTGTACAAAGAGCTGTTCCCCAAGAGCCGCCTTGCAGAATTTCAGTAAGTGTACCACAACTATGTTCATATGCCAGTGTTTAATGTAATGTCCACAGGGGAAATCGTAACTTAAATAATATATTGCTGTATGTCGCGGAGAGCTGTAAGCGCTACTTCCCTGCGACTGATATTCCCGATATGCTCGAGACGTTCCTACCTATCCTCACGCCTGATGTAAGTCCTAGATCTCTTGGGATTTATGGATCCCTCACGTTAATACTACTCAGACTACATTGACGATGATACCCGTTCTCACATCGTTCTTTCCGCCAACCCACACACATATCTACCTTCCTGTGATATTCAGGATTTGGGAAGCTTTCAATTCGCACATCATGGATGATAGGTTTCTCGAATTCGCTGGAATCCTCGCGGAGGAACATGTTGCTGGTCAGGAAGGACCTGCGGGAGAGGAAGGAGGTGCTGCATGGAAAGATGTCGGTATCTGGACACAAGAAGAATGGTTGATGCTTGTTAGTAAAGGAATCGAGTCGCTGTGTAAGTTTTTTTGGTACACTTGGTCAAGATCCGCTGACTTCCTGTTACAATAGATGTCCCTGTGGGCAATTCGAGCGTGAGTCATCTCTTTGTCTCTTTTCGCACAGCGATATCCAGCTAAATTCTAGCAGAATGTCGCTGCTACAGCTGTTCAGGCAGATGCTTCCGCAGCACGCCAAGGTTCCAAAGTCAAGAAAACAATCAGTAGGATCAGTCAGTGTCTTCAAATCTCCTGTGCCACATGAGCAATCCTAATTTCTGCAGGTTGCATGGCTAAACTATTTGTATACTCAATGGCCCTCGATGGTCCGATACGCGGAGATTCCGCATCTACTCCTGGGTCTCCCAATAGCCAGCCGATGGGATACTTGGCTGGTTCGAAGGCGCTTGACTCGTTAGACAAACTGATTACAAGTACAGAATCTTTCTTTCATCCATCAAACTCTGGTCACTGGACGTTCACGGTGCGTTTTGTGCTGAAATAGGTGGACTTCTGCTGATGTTCCCTCTAGCTCACGAATTTGCTGCAACGTCTTACTGTCGAGTTTGCCGACAGGTGGCTTGAAGAACAGCAGCCTTCGTGCAAAACTCCCGTGGTGCGTATGACACCGGAGCTCGTTGCAGTAAACTCACGTGCACGATTTAGGCACATCGTCTCACTCCTTCTCTTCGCCGAGCGTTCGTCGATGTTTTACGCACGCCTGCGTTCCTTGCCATGTTTTCCAAGGATTCCTTTTGTATTAGCATGGCACAGAGTGCACTGCGCACTATGGCATTGCTTGAGCCAACGCTCATCATGCCTGAGCTCCTCGAGCGTGCCTACGGTGGTCTGGAAGTGGTCAATGAGACTCACCGCACCACTGCAGTGTTGAAGATGCTGTCAGGCATTTCACTTCCGCTTGTCTCAGAGATGATATGGAGGCCGGGACAAAAGCACCTACTTCCTCTTCTCGAACTTTGCCTTCCTGGTATTGATCTGGTAAGATACTCTACACCCTCATAGCGTGCGCTTGTTACTCATCACCCAATGTTTAGAACGACCCCAATAAGACCATTTGTGCTACTTTATTCATCGTCAGCGCCATGCAGCATGTGAAAGTTGGAGATCTCTCTATGCACCACTCTGGTTTTGCTTTGTCTGGGGATGCGCCAGGAGAAGAACTCATGGAGCTTGATACCGAGGACACCCACATTCCTGAGGGTGTCGAAATGAGCCCATTTGTTTCACTGGGTAGGCAAGAAGAGAGGACTCTTGTCCGGGAGAGCACGGCAGGCTTCGCAGGTGTGATCATTTCCTTTCAGTGAAAGAAAACTACTCATCCCTCAGTAGATTGGGTGACGTCCCTCTTTCGCAGAGTTCTAGCTTTATACGAGAATCTCCCTGAGGAAGGTGGGAAGAAGAAGACTACCGGCGGAAAATCGGAAGAGACCGTTCTGAAATCGATCAAGAGCATGCTTGACGTGGTCACCTTGCACCTCTCAGACCAACTATTCGATCTCGTGTTGAATCTCGTTTTCGAATACGCTGTGACAAATGCGAAGTCTAATGCCATCCGAGCGTTCGGGCAGCTCGTAGCATGCCTGGCACGCGCACAACCTCAAAAGACGTTGGATAAGTTTTTGCCGTCGTGTATCTCACGCATACAAGAAGAACTCAAATATGGAGCTTCGAGCGTTAGGACAACATCAACACACGATCTTGTTCCATCTGACACAACGCTGCACTGGAGTGAGTGGCTTAGCTTGTTCTTTGTCGGGCATCTAAACGATTGTCTTAACAGACATGTCAATATTGCGCGGGTGTCTTGCGTACGGCGCACATGCTGTGAGTGCGATCACATTTCGTGGCAGTTTTGAGTTCCCGAATGCGTTATCAATTCTAGCTCCTTAACCACAAGGAAGACATCATTAACCTCTTATCGTTACTGTTGAATAAGACGAAGAATGAGCGTGGGTACACAGGCACTGCCGCGATTGTCACCAGAGTGATGCATGCTTTGTCTGGTGTCTACCCATCTGACAATCGCTTCGTGAATGAAGACGTATGGAATCAGCCCGGTCGGTCACGTCGATATCGCTCCCCTTATGCTGCTGATTGTTGTTCAGAGTTTGGCGAGTCGCATAACACTCAATGGGGTCGACTGTACGAAGCGAAGGATGTGAAGGTGGAGTGGCACGGTGAGCATAATATCAACACGCCTGACGCAACTGCTGACCATGGGATGTCAAGTTCCAAGCACCGAGGAAGTACAATTCATTCTGGACATTTTGGATCGCGTAGCAGCTCCTGCGCTCGATAAGATAGAGACCTTGGCGCAGTCTACTCAGCATTGGGATGAAGTCGTGAGGAATGACTTCTGCAGGCAAGTTGCAACACAACGAAGACGGCACTCCATTAACTTTTTACAGGTACCTCTTGTTCGCGAGGTCCGTCTGGAGCGGCCTACCGTCATTCCTGAAGGAAGGACCGAAAGATATAGTACATCCATGCCTCGATCCAGAAACACAACTGGAAGGACTTCTTGTTGATCATCTTGATGTCAATGCTGGATTTATTCTCACTGATCCCAATGATCCTCGTTACCAACAAGCCTTGCAGCATCGCATCCGTTTTGGCAATGTCACGCACTTGGCCGCGATCGCCTTGCGCCAAATCCAAGGAGGTGAAGATCATTTGGATGCTGTCGTCGCCGTCGTGAAGGCCATCGACACTTACTTTTTGGATTACGGGATGAGTCGGGGAGACTTCATTACATTGCAAAAGAATTTTGCACAGTCGAGAGAGTGAGTTGTCCAAACGCGAAGTTTTTTCCTCGTCTGACGTAAACCAGGGTAAACCGAGTGTCGGCAAGGCAAAAAGAGAACTCACGAATTGCATGGGTGAAAAGAGCACAAGTCTATCATTGTGGCCGGCTCTACATCCACGCTTTGTATCGTCGAAGATCGTCCCTGGACGACACATTACTGAAGGAAGACCTTGCGGAGCTCTGTTTGTCACCATACACGCGAGTGCGACGGTGAATGCCTTGATAACATGATTCGTTCTTTGTCGTAACCAATTTTTCAGCCTCGCTCAGAATGTGCTGCACAGCGCATGTGGTGTGAGTACACATATATTCTGGTTTGACCTCATGGTGACCTCGGTTCAGTCCTATGTCCGCGCGACAAGATATATCTTGCCATCTATTTTCAACGCGCTATCGAAAGGCAATGATCCTGATAGGATCAAGGGCGCTTTGTACGTCCTTGGTAACAAAGGCACTGGTATGTGGTTTTACTACGTCTTTCAGCATGATCTGATTTGAGATCCGCAAAAGCCGCGCTGACCATGTCCGGTATGTCTCAGTAGTAGTAAGTATAATTGATTCTAATCCTGCGCAGAGCCACCGCTGCGACGGCAATACCTGGTTGCTTTGCTAGAATGCCAACACGAAGAGAAAGTGAGTGCAAGTTGCAATCTGTTGCTCTGAAACTCGTCTAATTTCACAATAGCCATCGATACAGAAGCTTGTCACCACTTTCTCCACGGAATGTTTGATACACCTCAGTGAAGAAGTCATAAGGACTTCTGCATACACAGCCCCTACTCCTGGGGTTGAAGCCTCTATTCGCACTCTTGAAGAAGAGTTCTCGCCTGCTGTCATTGATAGTCAATTAACCAAGGCAGCAGTGGAATGTGCTGCTAAGCGTGTACAGCGATGCTTGGAAGAAACCGACAAGACTGTGCGTAACACGCCGTCGATGCGTATGTTGATATTGATACTTTATGATAGGTCCGCTCTATTCTCGAGATTGCCTCTCGGCCTACTACACATGTACGTTATTTATCATTGTCATACAACAAATCTAAGCAAAGCTTTTTAGTGGAGATATGTACACATGGCCATGAAGTTTTTGATAGGCTTCCTCAGACGCGACGCAGTGGCTCCTCCGGAGTTGGTTCGCTTCTTCATGGAACAAACACTTAGCCCACAACCAGGAATAAGGGCTAGTGCTGAGCAGTGCGTGCTTTTCAGTCAAACATGCACCACACCGATTCATTTAATTATTGTTTCTTTACAGGGCAATCGTGAAGACCGCCGTTCTCATGAAGATACGAGCGTACGCTAAAACTGATGATGAGCTCTGGCTCTGCAAATGGCAGAGTCCCTTTGCGAGGACTATTTCTATCGACAACCCGCCTGCTTTCCTTGCGCAACTATACCAACCTGTTAATGAAGTCGAGTAAGTCGAGTAATTTGTCGTGCAGAATTTGTTGTTCATGCGCTCTATTAGCGGCTTTTACGTTGACCTGCTAGACACTGGTTTTTTGGCTTGGACAAAGACCATCAAATGCTATCCTGTGAATCTGAGTAACTCAGTATTATGGGATTCAGCGTCAAGACAGTGCTTGCAAGCTATGCACAGCTTTATTGGAGAAGGATATTTTACTCAGCTCGCAACATTGTGGAGCCAAGAGTCCAGCAAGGCATCCGGTTCACCGCATCTTCATGCAGAGAACGTGATTTTTATGATTACTCTAGGTCCTCATCGTTTCACTGTTCCATCCACGAACTCGTTGCTGACCCTGCTGCAGCGAAGCTGTTCAACGGCGAACATTTGCATCTAATTCTTCCAATTGTCGAGCCATTGATGAGCGATGCGGATAAGTTCAAGCAGGCGGCTGCAGCTGAGATATTGACTGGGCTGTTGCGCGGTATTTTTCCTATTCTGTACTGTTGTATTCACATCTGATATACTTCATCACAGGGTCCAAACACTGGCCCAGGCAAACACGAGAGGAACTTTGGTCTTGGCTCACCCCGCGCTTTGACGTGATTCTCACACAGGCGAAACCAGATACTGTTTCATATTGGACTTCGTTCCTAGAGGTATATCGTTCCGCAGTTGTATCGAAAAACATCACTCATTGGCTGCCGAAAAAGCATACCCTACTGAACCTCGACCCGCGTCGCTTCCAGCCTTTGGTCGATTGGATATTATCCCTCCATCTTGACTTCCAGGGTGACTCTGCGTTTTCCAGCAAGTTTTTTTCTTGTCATTTGCCCTGTAATGCTCATCGTCTTGCAGTGACAAAGGCTCTTAACATCATTGTTGTGTTTATTGATTCCGTTGGTGTCCGGTTCAATGGCGTATCTGAGAAATATGCATCGATTTTCTTTGACAACGCGGACTCCAACTATGCAGAGGTATTTGCTTGATACGGGGATGCCGCATCCGTGTCTCATATCTTTTGATACAGATAAGGACTTCGATAGCCAATGCCCTGTGCCTGATAGCCAAGTATCAATGGAGACCAGCATATCCCTCTGTGGATGCCCTCCTCGTGGCATGCGCAGAGAGTCCAGATCCACTCCGAATCAGGTATTTCCCCTCCGGTGATTCTTCTGATATGGCACTTAGTTTCCATTCCTTCTCAGACAAGGGTTTTTCTCTTATCATGTACAATCGATCATCGATAATCTGCCCAAATGGAAGGACGAACGGTTCCCTCCACCTAGAGTTTCACAGTCCCGGGTGGGTATTGACACATTTACCGGAATTCTCTTTCTTACGTTCATCTTCAGTATGACAAAGTCGGCTTGACCAGTAGGCTTCGCAATTTCTTCTCATCTGAAGTTCTAACTGAGACCCGACAGTGTTGCTCTGGCTATGGGTGTCTCTTTATAGCCCCGAAGCTTGCCTCGTTCGTCCTCATGCCATGGCCCTGCTGTGTGTGACCTGTTCATCTTACTGCATCGTTCCGCTAAAATATCTTTAGACCTGAACTCTTGAGCATGTCAGAATTAAGCGATAATCCGGAACTTCAAAAGTACAGCAGCGCTGTGCTTCGCGTGTTTTCCTCGGTTCATCTGCCGCCTTCGCTTACGCACGTCGTCTTGGAGAACCTGGTTTCGGCCATTCAGTCATCTGAGGTATATTCGTTTTACCTAAATTAATAAAGTATTTATCTGGAAATTTTCTAGTCATGGCGAATTCGGTTGCATGCATTGCCTGCCCTGGTCGTTTTCTTCTATCGGAACCTCTTAACGATTTCATCTGACGGTGTACTCAAAATCATGGATGTATTACTTGATTGTTTATCAGATGAGAACGTCGAAGTTCGAGAAATGTCGTCCAAGACCCTGTCTGGAGTTGTAAGATGCTCGCAGCGGCAGAACATAATTCCATTGAAGGTGTGCGATATAGCCTCCGTAAATATCCACTGATTAAGCTCCGTTTAATTCAGAACCGCTTCGTATCATTGGCGCGCAGCGTAAAGCTCCCCTCGCGTACACACCATGACTATGGAGAGTCACTTAGGAAGTTACATTCCGCTATCCTTGGCCTATGTGCCCTTGTTGAGAGTTTCCCGTACTCTGTCGAGCCCTGGATGCCGTCCCTCACAGAAGGTCAGTGGATGTTGTGAACTTGTTTGTCTGAAACTCATGTCCGCTCGCTATAACTCTCTTACTATTTTCGATCATCTTCGTCAATACAGTCCTGGCGAGACACGCAACAGATCCGCCGCCGATCTCGACGACGATTCGTCACTGTGCTTCTGAGTTCAAGAAAGTAAGACCCTTTCCAATTGTACACTGATCTGACCTCACGAACATTGTTTCTATCTAGACTCACCAGGTAAATTGCTTCCGTGATCAACGACAATCTTTGTTGCGCCTTACCATCGATTTTACAGGATACCTGGCACAAGGATCAACTAGCCTTTGACGAAGATCAATTACAGAGCCTCTCTACGATGCTTGTTGGTACTTCATATTGTGGGTTAATTGCGTCTGTTATTGGGGGGCTTTGGCTGATCAACGGCTATATCTACAGACGCCTAGATAATGCCTCATAGATTGGCATCGATCCGCGCCTCCGTCAGGACTGAGCATCAGCAGGACGTTCGTATTACATCGCCGTATCGACTATGTATAAATTAGGGCACATGCTTGATGTTCGATTTTAAGTATCGGGTCTTCTTCAAAGAATATTTATGTTATCGATGATTAATTCCGCCTATGCCTGCGACGGTTCGGCGTGTTCAGTATCGGCAGTGGGACCTCTACTTCAGCCTGGATGCTCCAGCCGAACAAGAACAAGGCTTTGTGTACTATTAGATGCTAGCATCGAAAGAAGAAAAAGTTCTAAGGCTTGTTGGCTCGCAATTCATCGGCTCGGAACCACATGATGGCTGGTATATGTAACTGGAGACAGCCCATCAGCGTGTGTGTTACACGTGTTCCGGTCATTTGAATTGGTACCTTGAAATATATGCCAAGTCGGCTGACGATACAATCAATGACCGAGCCTACTATAATCATTCAAGCCGTCAGAAAGGTCTAATTCTTGCCAGATCCTCGTGCTTTGTTCAGAGTTTGGTTCATATGACATTATCACGTTTGCATATTCCACAGCCCGTAAAACTTTGACCTGGGACTTCAAACTTAGAATTGTAGCATACGCGACGCGTAAATCATGCGGTCATAGGAAGGAGCAGTAGAAAGCGCGCTTCCCGTAACTTCTAGATATTAGCGGCATTATGTTCATATCGCGATGAAGTTATCCCCGAGTCAAGTCATGCATCGATGAAAACTGATTTGAAGAGATAAATTGATAATGATAATGGTTCGAGCTGACATATACTGTGCGCTTCGTGCGCACGTCTTCTGAGGCGTCACGGTGATTATCTAGCCGGATTATAGCGCCATCAGCGAGGTTCCGAGGCACGGTAGGAAGTGCGTCTGATGCATCGTTGTAAGTTCTTGTGACTTGTACCCCAGAGTTTGGAGCTAATACGCAAAAAGTTATCTGAACTGTGGGGTAGATTTATGCACATTCGATGGTCGGGTCTTAGGTTAGCCCCTAGTACTACGAGCAATGAACACTACGCCTGCCTTTTTGGTGCTAAAACTTCCGAAATCCAATCAAACAGCGATATCCAAGTCTTACTTTCTGACTCAAGTCCCCCGGATTTTGTTCGATAACTTGGCGTCGGAACGGTGGTTGCAAGTGCCATATATTAGAGCGATTAAAGTGGATTTAATGGAACACAAATAGCACCATATCAACTCACGTGAAGTGGCATGGTCAAGCTAACTGACTCGGACGCCGACACAAGAAATGGAAGTTTGAGCCCAATTCAAAGACGATAAGAACACCGATGGATAGTGGTGATACTGTGGATGGGCGCAAAGACGAGAAGCGTGGCGATCGCGGACGGTGCTTGCTTGCTTCGTACGACTATTCGGTGGGTGCTAAAGGCGGTACTTGGGATTATTTCACAGAGCGGCAAACCATGGAGGTGCTGCGGCTACATAGCATCATGGCACGGTCGTGGGACAGGATCAACACGTGTTGGATATAGTGTGTTACTTTGGGGTTAGTGCCCTTGATAGTATTTTACGAATGTTTGATTTCTAGAAGGTGTTCTGAGTAATGTGTTTGCTTCAATAGAGTCTTGTCGTCGTAGCAAACGATCTGCAGCTTGACGCTATTGATTTTCGGGTCATCAATTGCGATGCACGTGTATCCAAATTAAATTTGAAATTGGAGTCAACGAAAGTAGCATGCAAAGACACGGCCTCAAGGTAACACGAGCCTATAGTTGAGGAATGATTTGGCGCCTTATGAGGAGCAGCGAGGAGCACAGTGGATGGGATTGTTGAAGGGCTTGGTGTAGCTGCAGTACGGCGTTGTCATATTTGGGCCGATAGTTACGACATCAACAATGTAAACCAGTGCGAGCGAAGTGAATTATAGGCTAGGCCCTTGGTCTAGGTGTTCGGTTCCATCTTTTTTGTTTTGACCACGACCATCCACGATCCAGGTTCTTATTTTTTCTATTCTCTACGAAGACTTACCGCTACTAATTGAAAGTTTACTTCAACAGTATCTAATAGTTCTTATTTTTGAGACGAGGGAGCGCCTAGTCATCTCCAAACCTCATTGCACAGGGCTCATTATAATTATTGGCAATCGCCGCCGCAAGAAGGGCACGTTGCGATCAAAACCCCTTCGCAAGGTCAGTCAGGGCTCCTCCCCTTTGCCTCATTTCATTACCATAACCTCCAAGAAGATCTAAAACCCTCGACCTCCACCCACTTTGCCTCTTCAAACTCTTGACCTGGGTCCTGATCTTCAACACGCGACCCTGGTCCTCACGACCTCCTCACGCCTCGTTTTAGTTCATCTCACTTTTTATACCTATCTTGTGCTTTCTCTTTAGATCTTTACTGCTTGTCTTCTTGCATTCTATCCAGCAAAACGTCGACGGCGGTCTCTATCTATCAACTCACTTAGCAAATCGTGCTCTCAACATCGCATCACCTATATCCTATACACCATCGCATCTTTGATTATTCTCTCATACCGCAACGCACGACAAATTTTTATCCAGCAATCATCGGTCGCTCATCAGCTTGTTAATTAACTGGTGAGTCAATTTCTTTGCAGCGTGTTCTTGCTTCGCTGACAATTCCCATTATTTAAATCAGATTTAAATGCAAAAGGTGGTCACCGCTACTACTGCACCCACACACAATTTGTACTTTGCACGCGAATCAGGCTCAAGAAAACCCATTTCAGCTCGAGCACAATCAACGGGTGCACCTGGTTGGTCCCAAATTCCCCTTGAACATCACAACTTGAACCCAGACTTCACAGTCGAGGTAAGCCATGCGCCATCTCTCTCTAGACAGCCTTCTTATGCATTCTCGTAGACTTGGAACGTTCCATCTGCGCAAGATTCACCACCATCTCTTTCATCCTACATCCCCCGTCCAGCTTCGATTCAAAAACCTTTAGCAATGCCTGTTCGTACGAACCTCGTAGACATGTCAAAAACCGAAACCTCTGGCCATCCGTCTGAGCGTGTCCCAAACAACGCTCAACGATGGCGGCTCAATGGTTCGGGCCAGCTTGTCGATCCAGACGCATCGCTCGACTGGGATCTTGCCCAGGATATTGCTAGGCTGAAGCTCGGCGCTGTAGGCGACCTTGGGGACGACATACAGGGTCGACTGGGGACTTCTCCTCAGTCCAAGCTAGGGGCTGCGAATGTAGCTCCATTCAACGATGCAAGTCCGCTGGAAACGGCTTCTGACGTCAGTCTCGACTCCTCCCCCAACACCTCTGATCATCAAATTTCGCCGTCCCATTCTCGCGTGTCGTCCACTGATACACTGGAATCCCACGAATCTGCCATTTCTTCGGCTAGTCATACCATGCGTGGGCAGCCCCAGCTGAAGATAGCAACTGGGAATGAGGGGAAGGAGCGCCCTCACTCCTTCAGCGGTGGACTATCAACTGCTGATTTGCGTCGCCTAAAGCAAGCAGGAGAGGAGCATGTACATTCCTTGCCTGCTCACCCTTGGTCGTCTGCTACTTACCGGGACCGCGTCGGTAGTGGAGAAAAGCCTTTTTCGCCTGAGCAGCCCCAGTACCCATCGCTGACCAATGCATCATTTGGTCGCGGACAGCAGCAATTTGACTACCGTTCCGCACAAGGTAATGGGGACTTGCAGGGGGATTATGGCCCTCAGCGTAGCTATTTCCCCCAACCTTCTGCTCCCAGTGCCGCGGCACCCCAGCACTTTCTTCAAGGTCGGCCGGCGAACGGGGTTCAATCTACCTATCGCCAGCCTCAGCGAGGTTACCCCCCACAACCGTTGGTCCCAAGCCCAACAGGACTTGCTTATGGTCCAGCACACGTTCCTCACTTGTCGCTCGGTAACACTCAACAACTCTATGACATGGTTCTCCCTACTGGAGACAGCCATCACCCAGCCGTTACTCGTGTACAGCAACAACACAACGTTTTCCGTGGTGCTCATCAGCATTCCGCCTCAGACCCTTCCGCTCTGCGAGATGCTGCTACATTAGCGCTCCTCAGCAACCAAGCAGTTTTCGCACAGGCGACTCATGGAATGTATCCTCCCATCCACCCTGGCCTCTACAATCAATTTTATGGCACTCCAGAATCATACCCCTCGGATCTGGCTGTTGCAGCCATGGCTAGCCGTCTGCAAACCCATTTCACTAGTCCGTATGGAGTGTTGCCAGCTCAAGGCCTGGGAGGAGACCACTCCAATCCAGGATCTGAGAGTCCTCTGCAAAACACTGGTGGACCGAGTGCTAACAACCGCAAGCTCGGCTTGTACAAGACCGAGTTATGCAGGTCATGGGAAGAGAAGGGCTCGTGTCGGTACGGAGCGAAGTGCCAGTTTGCCCATGGAGAAGATGAACTTCGGAATGTTGCTCGTCACCCCAAGGTAAGCACTCATTGATGCCTGCAATACTGAGTATTGACATAATCGCATCTCAGTACAAAACAGAAATCTGCAGGGTAGATTTTCTTTTTGTTTTTTGTTTTTTTTCTGATGACGGTGAATAGACATTCTGGGTGTCAGGCGCATGTCCATACGGAAAACGCTGTTGCTTCATCCATACCGAGCTGCCAGTCTCTGGCATCGCACCGGGAGCCGAAGGTGTTCCTCCGCCTTCGGCTACCGCAAGCAATCGTGAGCGCTCGAATAGCGACCCCAACGAATCATCGATATCTCTTCTTCAGCGCATCCAGCGTAAGGGTGATGCAACACCGGTGGATGCATCCCCGCCTTCGGGTAATTTCTTTAATTCTCGACCTCCCACCGGCTCGCTTCGCGTCGACACGTCTGCTCTCAATAATATTACGAAGCAGAACAAGTCGGCATACCCTACCTTTGCCAGCAATGCCTTGATGCTTTCAAGTTCCGAGCAGACACCTGTGAAGTCTCCAGTTGTTCCTCTGACAGCAGGTCCTGATTTGGGGCGGCACAATAATGCACGCCTGGATATTGTAGGATACAGTCAGGTGAGTATGTTGCGGCTGTGCGAAACGTGTCCTGATCCAAGAACACTATTAGCAACGTCTTAACAGGACGAGCGTCACGACGCCCAATGCTAGACACTCTTTCAATGGAACGGATGTAGATCTCGATTTCTCCTCGCCGTCCACACCTTCTGCTGTAACCCCCACAACGTCCTTCGCACTCTCGCAAGCCGATAGGGTATCGAACAATAACGCTGTTCCACGTGCGCACGTTAGATCTGGGAGTGCTGGAAACTGGGGCAGTGTTACTCGTAGTAGCAACCTAGCTGGTGTGCCTTCATACCCACAGGCCTCCGGAGCCGGGGAATCTAATTCTCCGTGGGCATTGGCAGGTGACATTACCAGGCTGGGAGAAAACTGGATGTAATGCATCAGCTGTCGTGTTCGAGAACTTCGCCGCTTGGTCGGACGCTCTTTTGTGATGTTTGTCTTCACCCTACCTCTCGTAGTCATGGTGGAGTTTACGAGACATTTCCTCATCTTCTACCTTACTTTGTACAAAAGGCTTTTGTATACTTCATCTTACGTCTTGTTTTCATGTGCCCCTTGTCACGCTTCTGATGATGATATTTTCATGACTATCTCCGTGCGAACGTACACCCTCTCCATCTCCTCTCCTCATCAAATCTGCCTTTGGCTTCTCTTGCAGCGCATCGCAATCGTCGATTGGTGAACTCTCTTGTCGTCTGAAAGAATTACGTGCTGAGCTAGAAGTCGTCTTGCGCATGAACTAGAAGTCACCTTGTCCACCAAATGGCAAAGACAAGCCCGAAGGCATTTACACATTGATGATAAGCCCATCAGCTAATCCCGTCGCGATCGGGCCGCATATCAGGCAGGGCATACCCAACAATTGCAAAACCTGAACCTTCCAACTCAGAACATTGTAGTCAATTCAAATCTACCAAGCTTCCCCTACAGCACTCTGCAGTACTTTCCTTATTACTTCAAAGTTGCCAAGTCGTTACGAAGATACTCGTTTGGATGACCCGGTAACGTCAGTAGCTTCTTATCGGAATCGTGTACATAGCAGACTCGTCATATTTTTCTAACTTCTCTCGACCGATTCACGGTGTTCTCGTGATCGTACCGTAGTACGTAACGTACACACTCAAAGGTGTCTCGATATTTCAATTAATTCTAGTAGAACGTTCAAAGTTGGGCGCACACGCCCACCGCCCCCTCGCTCATGTACCCCTACTAAAAACGGTAACCTTGGATAATCGTCGGACTTTGGACTAAACCTTGCGGATCGCAGTGCCGAACAGTGAATTGTCTGCTAAACCTTTCCTAACATCCCCCCAGTTGCAACCAAAGAGTGATTTGTTAGTGCACATGTTGCAAGTACTTGAATTATTTTGATCAATTCAAAATCAAAATTTCAGGTATTTTGAGTAAACACATGGTAGATGATATATGGAAAAAACACACAACTTCCTACATATATACTGCGCGAAAGGGGTCAAAAGGGTTTAGCAAAAGGTTTAGGACTACTGAAGTTGAGGCAAGGTTTAGGTTTTACTAGTACTGTAGCAAATAATTCTTATTACTACTGTTCGGCGCTGCGCGCCACAAGGTTTAGTTCAAAGTCCGACAATTATCTAAGGTCACCATATTTAGTAGTAATAGGGGTGCCGGTGCATGGGCCAAGGGGTCATGGGCGTGGGCAGTGGGCGTGTGCGCCCAACTTTGAACGGCACTCTCTGTAAATATGTAGGCTGGGGTTGGCTTGGTGATTGTAGTCGACTTCAAGCTTAAGGACGTGTGGCGTCAACATCTCTTCACAGGTCACAAACGCCGAGCCACGCAATGTGAAAAGTACATTGCATCGATGCTAGTGGCCTAAAGCTCTAGCTACTTGCTATCCAGATTTTGAAGAGTGTTACTTTGGTACAGCCCAATCTGACGAGGGTAATGTATACTCGAGGCCCGGACAATCTACACTAATGATGGTTTGTGTTGCAGAGAAATCAACACATTTCGCTGTCATTCAAGACGATCTAGTATGTGAACTTCCTTCGTGCTCTGGATCACCGCATATTGAAGATCCATTCGACCTCAGTACGCTCTCATCCCTATTTGCGTGCTTCTGAGTGGGTCGTAGCCGCATCCATTCCTGACCTTCAATTCCTGTCAGACGCCTAGGTCGTGCATACCGTCAATTCTCTTGGCACTTTGTGGTAGCTTGGCTGCCACCTGCACCCCCTCGATAACGTCTACCCGGATCCTAATTACTGGTTGTCTTCCTATTGATCTATCTGAGAGAGACCACCCTACTAAATCACCAGCATGAGGACAGGGTCACAGGACACATAATATCATTCTATTCTGGAATGTTGACACGCACCTAGCGTTTCAGTCAAATGACAGCCGTGAACTGGTCTGTCTTTCAACAATTCATCTGTTACACCTTTACATAAATGCCAAACAACAGCACGCATCCTCGATCCATCCCTCAAAAGGCATGCACGAAATTTCAACGTCGAAATGTGGATAACCCAGATGCTCTGAGGTGAGCCCAGTGAACGTTCCACCATCATATCGTCTGACGACCCTGTTCAGAATCAGCGATTGAGCATGATAACTAAAATTACACAGAAGATCTCCAAAAGCAAACGATTAAACCTTGGTGAACAGGATTTCCACCGACGCGATATCGTAAACCCGGCAACGCAACAATACCAGTGACACTCGCATCGTATTTTCAAGCCGGTTGTAAGTCTTATGGAATGTCTTCAACAAAATCAGGTCATTTTTACGGTGAATAGAAAGCTCCCTCGAAGGTTGACAGGATCTCAAACTTTACATCAAATCTACATTGCCAGAATACACAAATTAATGTCAGGGGCTCTCAGACTTCCAGAGGGCTCTTAAAAATAAATAATCCGAGGGCCTACAGCGGTCCTTGAATGGATGTGCGAGGATGTTGTACAAAACACGACCTCGAGGAGCGTGCGTAAACATCGCCGCAGCACATGGTAGGCTTCTACAACACCTGAGCGTTTGAATGGAGACTTGATTAGCGCTCAACAAGGGTATCGTGCATGGGCCACGTACAAAAAATTGCAGGTTCTATGGTAGTCGGGATAGAGGTGCGAACGAGGAACTAAAGCCCTACCGAACACCAAGTTCAGATAGCTCTCTGATGAACCCTTCCATACGACATGTCGCATAAGCTAAGTAGTCAAACTCTGGTTCCAATTCTCCTCTTTCCAGGCTGTCCTGCGCTTGTACGATACCCCATACAGTCCACATCCCGTGTGAGGCAGGACTCCAAATACGCACTTGACGTTCCAACTGGGAAACTTCTACTTCTGAGCGCAACGTTGGAACCGAGGAAGCGCATGTGGCAGTGGGACGCGAGTGTGCAAGATACGCCCGATAGAAATTTTGACGTTCTTCCATTGTCGGATACCGGTTTGGATCCAGAAAATGCGGTGTTGATGAATGATAGTCAGCTGTCCACTCGTGGAAGTGATTAGCAATTTCGAACGCAACTGGATTAGGCGATGCGTATTCAAAATCAACCACAACAATCTATGCCATAAGTTTGGTAAGGTCCTCTGTACCCCAGAATAACTATTGCTCACCTGGTGGTGTTCGGGAGCATCCTGACGAAGTGGGCTAGTTAACCTCAGTATGTTGCCATACTGCGTATCATTGTGCGCGAAAACACGTCGGCTTGCCCCCTCTACCTTCTCAACGTGAGAGACCCAGCGTAAGTAACGCATCCAAAGTTCATAGAAGCGGTCGATGTTAAGTGTTTGACGAGTGGCCTCAGATATACAGTGGAGACCCAAAACCTTTCGTGCAGCTGGCATCCACGCTTTAACATTTTTCTTGACCCCGATCTCCCAACTCTTCCCTTCAAGAGCACTGACGGTGAGTGGACCTTCTACAACACTAATCTCCACAGAATGGAGTTCAGCCATACGCGAAGCTATCCATTGGCTAGTCTTCCTGTCACGAAGGTCTGATGAAACTAGCGTGACAGACTCGAAGTACTCTTCAATACGACCGTTTGTAAATGTACCATATACACGAGGACCAAAATGGCATCGAGATGAGAGAATGTGAAGCATGCGCAACTCGTGAGAACGAGAGACGAGAGAGCTGGATGATGGGCCATAGATGCGCAACAAGAGTGTAGGAACAAGAGCAATGGTAGGGCAAGAGACAAAAAAGATGGTATTGGTAAGAGCACCAGAGACCTTGCGGATGGAGAGTGACTCGGGGGTTACCTGCGTCTTGTGCCAACCAGGGACCCGCAGAGCCACCAAAATAGCAAGAAGGTCTCTTGCAAAGTCGACCGACTTGTAAGATCTATATGAAAAGATGGAATGTAAGCTCAATATGCAATTTGAATAAGAAACCCTGCCAAAAGAATAATGAAGAAGCGCGCAGAAAAAAAAGGACAAATAGTATACCTTGCATGTAATTTGGCCTTAACGTTTGTTAAACCATCGACAAACTCAACATCAATAGTGACCTTTGGTTGAGATAAGGATACGGATTTCGAAGGACTGAGCACTAAACTGCGCAAAGACGAGGATGACCGTATACCAGTGAGTGGAGGAGAAACGGCAGCACTGTCTGCAATCATGTCAGTTGCCTCACACATAGTGTACTAGGATTGCTTGACCGTCCGTCTAGGTTGAGAGAAATGGTACCGGTAGGCGCAAGGGGGACTCAGTGCTCGACGGGCACAAGCCTTGGCTGCGAGCACACGACCATAACACGGAACTAATGGCAATCGCCGCCACTCCTTGACAAAAAAGGAAATCGATATAACACGTGTCCTAGACTTCCTGGGTACCGACTCAGACAAGGCGGCCGATGCACCTGCGCCCTTTTCCCTTGCAGGCTTATTCAAGCAGCATTCATTCGTACACAGTTTTATCGTGTAGAAACATTCGAACTTGTACAATTACGAACATTCTTGATCACAAGACAATGTACCCCGCATTCTTGAACCACCTATATGCCTTCTCTGCTGTAACATGACTTGTTTGCTTCGAAAAGGGTCTCAACCGGATCTTCGGGTTGGTGCAATTGATGACCATGACGTCGAAGATAAGCTTTGACTATCAACCATGATGCATGATGGATCAGATGCGGAGATAACGTAGGTCTTTTTGTAGCTTACAGGCACTTAAAATACTGAATGGCTCCTCGATTGGTGTCAAATCAGGCGAGTACAGAGACAGGTAGAGTATCAGACGACCTATCCAATGTTAATTTTATGAAGGGAGAAACAGTCACAAAAACGAACCGGCACTCTCAAGGTCAACAAGGTCATCGTTATGACGGATCCTGTAATTATCATGGAACGCTCTCCAGGGAAGGGATTCATATGGGGAAGCTAGAAAAAAATCACGTGCCTGACTCAGCTCAACAGACACAGAAAAGAGACATAGTTATCGCATCTTCGGCGATGAAATCGTAGAATTACTGTAATCAGAGGAGCCCTGGACCACCTAATCTTGCATGGTTATAGCGGCACACAAAGAGTACCAATCACCTCGAACAAAGACATACGTGAGTTGTGCGCGATGTCACCTCGGTGCCTATCCATAGTGCCGTGCGTATGACCGGTTGTTTTTGCTGGTTTCGTCAATGACGACGAATTCTGAGCCATGTCCGATGGAATAGTTGCGAAGATTCGCTCTGAATTCCTCTCCTTGGGCCTCATCAGGTTCGGAAGTAAGTTTTTGATATTGCGTGTGAGACCAGTTTCTTTGAGATTGCGCAATAGGGTTGAACTTCGCGGAAGTACCGACAGTGATATCGTGCCCGACTGCAGGTAATGTAGAGACCTCGTCAAGAAAGAAATCGGAATTTGCAGTAAATATATCTTCAACAGCGATCAACAGTGCACGTGTGGTTGTTTGAGTACGGCCGGTGAGTGGAGATGGAGGCCTCGTGGCAGTATGCCAGTATCGAACTCATCAAATATTCGTCACCAGCGGACGCAGCGCCTCCCACTAATACCAAGTACTTCACATATATCGTCCAGCTCCCATCCATTATCCCAGAGTCGAATGGCGCATTCCTTGAGATCATTTCTAATTCTTTGGTTGACCATAGTGTTTAGATGTTAGAGAAAGTCAAATTCAGAGTCTCCTGGTGTTGTGAACGACGTCTGAATGGCACATAAAAACTGTCCTGGATCAGGCTTTCCCCCGCAGATTTTTTGCAGAGGTAATCGAGGGTGGCCCTGCGACTGTTGATAGAAAGTCGATTTGGAAGTGAGTAGCACTGGTAGAGCTCGAGGATTAAATGCCGGACATATGATCAACCCGTGATCATGTAGCACACAATTTCCTTTTTGGTCAAGCGATTTGCCACATGACTTGGTTTCGTGTCTATGGTCGGACCCCAAACTCCTTCGGACATTAATAACTAGCACATTTATTTAATTATGAAAATGAAAATTTACAATACCCCACAAATTCAACAAGTACGTAGCGCTTATGTAAACACGCCGGCTTACCTGAGTTCCCATAATCAGTACACATACTGTCGCTGATGCTGAAAGCTAAGCTTTCAGTATTTCACCTTTTGGTGTAACGGTTATGCGGGCGGCAGTCTGACCATGTTACAGCTTACCTGGATCACGGGTTGACAACGTTGATTATTAGCAGGCGACTTTGCTACCTTGCTCCGGACATCAGACATGTCAACTTTTGTTCTTTACTGATCTTTAGCGAAATTCGAATCAAGTGACCATAATACTTTGATGATGCTTCGACTTGAAGCCTGCAAGGCAAGGCTCCCACCCAGATCCAAGACATCAATTCGAATGTCCAGCGTGCTACTCACTTCCACATCGACTTTCTATCAACAGTTGCGGGGCCACCCTCGATCGCCTCTGCAAACAAATCCGCGGGGGGAAGGCCGGTCCAGGCCCATCATGATGGCGCTGAGCACACGAACACCGTATATCATACGATACCCCTATAATCGCATCCTGCATCGCGGCCTGGAGGCAACACGGTATCATGTTCAAATAAACCAATTTAACGTCTTGGTTTTGCATTATGTATGCGACCTGGTTCTGAGTATCATATATAGCGATAAATATCATGGACTTGACGAGGAATAAAATGTATGTATCTGAATTATTTGCATTGTTTTTTTGCCTGCACGCTCAATTTCCCGAGGAAGACCCTGGAGGCTGTGGGCATTAATGCTCTTTTGTGTGAATCGACTTTCAAGGTTGGTTGGTTGTGCTTTATTTGTTGAAGCAAGAGGCTCTGATTTCTTTAGTGAACAAGTTATGCATGCCGTCATTCCGCGGGTTAATACTGTCGAGGAAGCGTTTCATTGCTCAGCGCATCGACATGAAATCAAATCAACTAACACTGTATCACTGTGTCGGCAACGGCCTGAAACGCACTGATGCCCTTTCCCTTTCACATCAAGAGACGACCCTGCATTGTTTGCGCGAACAAGGCCCATTTCTTCTGGGAGCCAACGTTCGTATCAACACCCTATCGATTAAGCTCTGACCATATGAGTACAGTTAGGCAGTCCACAACTCCGTTCTGAGATGTATGAATTACGCCCCAACATATCATGTGTCGTAAATATTGTCGAGGTCCGTTAATTAGGACTCGCATCCCTGTGGCCGCGGGTTTTACGCGCAGCCAACGTATCGCAGTTAGACATGTGTTTAGTAAGCCACGAGGTACACTGATGTCTTCCGCACGACCACTATATCTCGTCTATATCTTGTTGTAGACGAGAGAAGTTGCCGACATAATCGTTCAGATCTCACTGAGAGTTCGGACGTTCTTGCAACTTTTGTATATTCCATTTCCAAGCTGTAAAATGTTCCCGTTTGAATTCTTTTTCCAGATCGAGTGCTGCTCGTGCCAGCTCGCCTGAACAACTCATCGGGGAATAGCAAATCGTGTGCATGCCACATGTCCCTTTGCTAAACGGTGGCTCTGCATTAAAAGGTTATGAAGATATCACCTCAGACCTGATTTTGACTACGTATGAGCCTATCTGCAGCATGATATGTTTGCATGTCATAAAAGTGTTCAAATACATCTGATCTACTATGTCGCATAAACCCCTGGTAAACCCGCTAGATGTGGATATTAAAGATGTACGCTACTGACCCCCGAGTGTCCTTACGCATATGTGCAAGTTCGTCTAGCATATCTCTATGTACAATAAGAATAGGGGTTTTGATCCTCTAAACTTCATTAGGCGGCTGCGGTGAGCCAATACATGACTCTTGGTGTAAAGCTTTTTCCTGGATGGCGTCATGATGGTCCGTTGTCTCTACCGAAAAGCACTTCATAAACAGCGAGATCTGATTATGCAGATTGATTAAGTCATAGCGTCAGTTAGAGGAGATCACATACCACCATAGCCAGACCTAGCAGAGGGGCGGAAACGATCCAGATGCTCTATGATATCATTAGTCGAGAATGAGTGGAGCTGGATGACCTAGAAGCCCACCTGAATGGCCAGAGCCACAGCACCCAAGACCTCATTTCTCAACGAGAGCGGCTCGATAAGACTCAGTAATCTCCAATTGATGGAAGATGATCCCTGAATTTGGTAACCGATGGGTAAAGCGTGAGATAATCGTCTATCAAAGACCATCCCAGCAACCGCCTTGAAGGTGTTTAAGTTAATGACGCACAAACGAGGTGGATGGACTTACTAGGCCAATGGTAGCTCCTGTAAATCTTACCAGGAAGAATGCACTAGTCCCTGTAGCGAGCTCTGAAGGATGCAATGCCTTCACAAAAACCTGATAAGGGGCGTGGAAGAGGAACCCGATTCCGATACCGGCGATAAGGGGGAAACAAATTTGCGCAAAGTGCGAGGAGGCATCCTTGAGTGTTATGAGAAGACCTGTTACACAACCTCAGTAACCACCCTCAATACATGTATGTCTGATCTCACTGAAACCTAAGGTAGAGATCAGTAGTCCACTGACGATCATCCAGTTTTGTCCGCTGGTGTTGTTTTTACGCTTCTGGAAGAATGCAATAAACCAGGCGGCTGGCATCGAAGCCAATGATGATCCGAGTGAATATGGCAGCATCTGAATACCAGCTTGCAGTGGGGTCATACCATTCACAGCCTATGCGAATCATGAAGTCAGAATTAGATCCACCTACAAGGCACGGAACGACCTTACTTGGAAGTAGAGTGCGAGGTAAAATGTGCCTGAAGTGAATGCGAAGTTGTGAAGGAATGTGACAGTTAGAATGATCACTAGATGATTCATTTGAGATGTCGAAAAGCCTTCCACGCGAAGCAAGCTTCTTACCAACAGTGAGACTTTTGAATATGGCAGGCGGGAACAATGCCTCGCGCGTGGTGTGCACTTCATAGAAGCCACCGCAGGCTAGTATCACAGGGCCAAGAGTAACCAGCAGGAGCGTTGATGGCGATTTCCCTGCATGATGGTAAGTAAAATGTTTGCGTTGAATATTGATAGGACTTACATCCATTACTCATAGCCGTGCTGAAACCAATAACCAAACAGCTGGTACCCAGCATGAAGAGAAGACTGTATAATGTGATGTGAGGATGGCATAATAAAGCAAAAACCATGTCGTACAGTCCGAAAAAATCGAACTTTTCAGTGAAATTTTTCCATGACGCGTGCTTAGCGTGTCCCAGTGTAACATCTCGCAATGACACTGAAAGCAGCAAGAATGCGAAAATGCATACAGGCAAATTCATGTAAACTAGTAACCCAGAATTTCAGATTGGAGCATAGAAAAGGGACGAACGACATACAAGCCCATCTCCAGCTGATTGTCGTGGAGAAGCCAGCTGCGGAGGTGAAATGAGATTTGGATCTAAGATTTGTTGTAGCACTTACTGCTGAATAATCCTCCGAGTATTGGGCCCGCGACCGCAGAACAGCTCCAAGTGATACTAAGAGCCTGAGACCATTTTGCTCTATTTTGTGGTTCCACGATTTCTGATGTGATAACCCAAACGGAACTGACAATACCACCGCCACCGAGACCGGCCAATCCGCGGAAAATTATCAGGGACATAATACTCTGGAGATAAAGATTAGAAGATCAAATGCCGAATGATACAAAGTCAAACAACCTTTGCAGCCCCGCACAGCAAGGACCCGAGGGCGAAAATCATTATGCTGACATACAAAACGTTCTAGTAATATAACGAGATGTAAATCCACTCAGCCTACTTCAAGTTTGAAAAAGAACACACCTTTCGCCCTACCAAATCGGATAGTCTTCCGTACAGGGGTTGGCCAGCCGTTTGTGTCAGCATGTACGCAACCCCAACCCAAGTATATTGGCTCTGGGAGGCCCCGAGTTCGCTAACGATTGTCGGTAGAGATGTTGACACAATGGTCTATATGTTTGCTTAATGCCCAGCACTCGGATTCAAGAGGGGGATACGCACAGAATCTGTTGTAGCAAGAAAAAGTGTCATCGCGGCCCTGAGGTTCGATCGCATCCTAATGAGCTAACAGCAATTCGAGCAGCGTGAAACATTACCCAATATGCACGGAAAGCAGTCGGGACACCGAATATTTCGGGGCTTTCTGGATCTCGTCACGAGAATCAAGGGAGGCACAATCACTGGCGTGTGCTTTGTCCGATGACGCAGATGCATCATCTGAGCAAGACGAGCATGAAGGAAGATGAGTAGGCATGGGATGAGCTGTGTTGTCTAAAGACATATGTAACTCGCAATAAGAGAGAGCACAGTAAGAAAGGCTGCTCGAGGTCTAACGTTCTCCTCGTCTTCGCTGCCATTTTATACAAGGACCCTTTGGTTTAGTGGTGGCTTCGATGAGATCTGGCATAACCAGACTTCGAAAAAAGAGCTTCTTTGGTTTTGGAACTATCCTCTTGTGGCCCTTTGACTTGCGGTCCGCAAACAGAGCGGTCAATGTGCGCTGGCATTAGGCTTTACCGATGATGATATTAAAATTGACCGCATTGTGAAGCCTTTGTAGTAAGAGTCCAGCCCGCAACAAAGAAGAGAAGAGCTCTTTGACAGCATGCATTACTGCAGTCGATAGGGTTGAATTTGGCAAAAGATGAACATTGCCCGGTGCGGGGGTTCAGTCAAGCACTGCACTTGAGCCGCTTCGATGCGCATGCGTTGATGGCATCTAAACTTCGGACACAGAACTCCAATGCAAGAAGATCAAGTCTGAGATCGCCGCGCACTAGGTTAATTCTCTTCAGTTTCGAAGTTCTAGCAAGGGACAGAAGAGACAGATCGAGAAGTTACCATTAAGTACTTACATTAACTGGAAGCTCGATTAATGCTGAATGTTGGCACCGCGGCACCTGCCTACTACAGCCACAAACACGTTTAGACAGAATTACTATTAGGTACATGTTACGGCCTCCATGCAGTTTCAGGGCAAACGCTAAGTTACTCTCTTCACAGGGCTTGCTCCACGCAAATATCGTATGGTGGTCGCAGGGAAAATGTCCCATTAAAGTGTGTAGTTCACTATGCTTCTATGGATCTTCTCTAAGCCGTAGCCCTCCTCCTGTGCTCATCCTCCGCGTTCTCCGATGGCCCACTGCTTTTTGCCAGATTCCCGGCGTCCAGTTCGTTTGCTGATTGAGCTGAGAAGCGACAAGTAGTAGATAACGAAACGTCGCCAGGACGGACCAAAATATGGATAAATCAAGACCCAGTAAGCCCTCGTATCCTTTTCCATGTGCGAGACACCCAGCCACCCACGGAAGCCGGTGACGGATGAGAAAATGAAGTCGTACCATTGTTATCACCCATTAAACTGGTATCCTTCGCATCTCGTTTGCTTGTCTGAACGCTACCCGAGGCGCCGGCGGACGGAGCTGGGTCCTGTCTTGGATTATTACTCCGACCCTCAACGTCGTCCGCATATTGCTCCAAAATCTCCCGTTGCCGTTTTGTTAAAGATCTATAGAAAGTGGGTTACATAGCCGCTAACGAATATCAATTTCGCTCACCTTGGGAGTTGCACGGAGAAAGAAATAAAAAGATCCCCCTTGTCGCCACCGAAAACTGACGGAACACCATGGCTTCTTAAGACCATCTCCTCACCATGTTGGGTACCATTGGGTACACGAACATCCACATTCCCGTCAAGTGTCGGCACACGAACACGGCCACCCAAGAGCGCAGTATGCAAAGGTATCCGTACTTCGTGGTGGAGGTTTGCACCTTGCCTACGAAAAACTTTGGACGGAGCGACATTGACCCTGACAAGCAAGTCCCCATGATTGCCCTTGCCTGATAATGGCGCATCGCCTGCATTCGGGATGCGGATGGTCATTCCGTCTTCCACCCCTGTGCAATGTATTAGTTACCGGAACGAAAACGATGTCCAACTCCTGACCTGGTGGGATGTCTACCTTGATACTTTTCTTCGTTCGCACATAACCCTGACCACCGCAATCTACACATTGGCTTCCGCGGGGAATGGTAGAACCAGAGCCAAGGCATGTTCCACAAGTACTTGCCATCTGGAACCCACTATCTATCACAAAAGTCTTTGTACCAGTACCGTTGCATGACCCGCAAGGCACTCGCTTGGCACCATGTCTCAGGCCCGTACCAGCACATGTTGAACATGTTGACAAAGCGTTGACATTTACACTTAGAGTTGTTCCTTTGCAGGCGTCCAAAAATGAGACGTTGATGCGTGCCTCAATGTCTGCTCCTCTTGTACTTTGGCTGAACCCGGAGCGAGCTCGACCCCCGAAGGCACCACCGAACAACTGCGAGAATAGATCGCCTTGACCTGAACTTCCGCCAAATGCCTCGCTGAAGTCTCCAAACCCACCAAACCCGCTTGCACCTCCTGAAAATGGATTTCGAGCAAAGGCATTAGGGTCAAAGCCTGGTTGCTGTGACGCAGCACCATATTGGTCGTATGTAGCCTTTTTTTTCTCGTCTTTCAAAATCTTGCATTACAATGTAAGACACCAGTACGTATGGATCAATGAAGAGGTGTCAAATGACGTACGTCGTATGCTTCTTGTATCTCCACAAACTTTTCCTGCGCTCCTTTATCAGGATTTGTGTCCGGATGATACTTCCGGGCGAGCTGTAACGAGTTTGGTGATTAGGAGTGACAAGTATCAATTGAATGATTCTGATGCGCACAGCGAAATACGTTTTCTTGATTTCCGCCGGAGATGCATCTTTCTTAACACCTAAAACCTGATAAGGGTCCTTGGGGGGAGCAGCCAGCAATGCAGACGCATGAAAGGCGCGCTAAGTGATAACAGTCAGTATGAAGTGACAACTATACATCAAACCTTGCGGCAAATTTGCGACGAACCTTCTGGCCTCGTGCACTGTGACCATCACGGCCAGCTCGGTAAGTTGAGAACGTTCGGGTGTTCGGCCTCGTTTGTTGTCGAGCGCAACCGTAAAAAGAAATGAATGACGAAGCTGCAAGCGACCGCAAGTAAGGGATCATGTACAATTGTGCCTGTTGACTCAAATAGCAGCGAAGCAACACAGAAGTAAGTTAGAGGAGAACACGATAAATGCATTTGCGCCCAATAGGAACGTGACGAATTTTGAATGTACGACTATTTGCCCTGCTGACTCAGCTCACTCAAGCCTAACTCCTCCTGCCTAAGTATTGAGTGAGGACATATCTATACGACGGTCTTACTTCTGAGCCAAACTTCGTATCTATATTTGATTTTGCTAGTCTTTCTCCGATCTATCCAAGCAATCGACAATCAGAATTGACGCGTCGAATGAACACGATTGAGGGTCAGAATTTATGATGCCATCACGTTGAGAGAAGCGTGGCAAGACCAAGCGTACCGAATCGTATGTGTACATGAGTAGCTAGGTAATAGCTATTCCTGCTTAGAACTAGAATCTCCCTAGTCCGATTCGCGATTTATAGGCCTGCCAATGTCCAGATGGCTGTCTATGGTCTCAGCCGCTGGCCAAATTCCAGAAGCATACGTAAATCACTTGCAAGGAGGGTCATTTCCAACCGTGCTAATCACGGTTCCTCTTCCAAATCTACCGTTCAAGCTTAGACCGTCCAAGATCTAGGCTACCCTAGACGTGTTTAGTATCAGTATTCGACTGGAAGCAATCTACGGATGATACGGACCGTGGTTGAGGAAGGTGATAAAGCTGATGTTTGTGATCAAGCGAAATCGGGTAACGCGTTTGTTTGGGCTGTTCGGGAGCGCCACCAATTTTTTCCATAGGATACCAAGATCTCATCGCCCTTTTGTACGGATCTTTGGAACTCCAAATGCTCATCCGTAGTTCGCCTTGCGACGTACGGCTCTCCACAAAAACAGCATTGGGTTTGCTTCGAATACCGCGGTAATCATTGACAAACCTAGCCTCATTGCCCATGACGCTGGCATCTATACCAACATTATCCCCATCCTCTGACCGGAAAAGTGAAAGATCGTAGTCGGAGCCAGCTCTATCCTGGCAATGCACTTCTCCAATATAGTCAATGATGTGTGACCTAGGAAGTATCTTTCGAACAGCAAAAAGGCCGTTCTGTCCTCGTGCAGGGTGAGAAGGTTCTGTGATGTACCTTATGCGAACTAGATATGTCGGAGGAAATGAAATTGGGGTTTTTTGGGGGGCGGGATTAGTGCCACTGATCAGAAAAGAGCGCACGGGGCCCGGCACAGAAGGATGATAACGAGGGGCATTGATATACTGGATATGAGAGGGCCATAATGGAGGCTGGCGCCGAGAACTGGAAGACATGAATATTTTGTTGGCGGAGGGCGTCGAATATCAAGTACTTCAAGCTTCGGGTCTTGCACTATCAGGTCTTCCCTGAGTCGTAGGCAGACGAAATAGAGGTATAAATCTTGTTCCTTATATTGATCATGGGTCAACATTAACGTCTAAGGAAAACAACACCGTGGGTAAACACGAAAGACTTGCACCAAACACTGGTGCACCCGGCACCAGCTCTCGCGAAGGACTCTTTGACAATCATCCACTGAACTGCTGATTCTGTTCTCATTCCATGGTGCGACCTCCAACAAAATCTGTAGCGCGCATCTATCGAGATGTCAACGCCAATTTTGGCCCTGCATGGCATGAATATGGTCAAAGACTTCAAGTCACTTGGCCTTGGTAATATACTGACGATTTCCGCTTCAGATAACCTTCAAGTGCAGTGGGGAACGCAGGATCACTATGAGATAGTGCGCAAAGTTGGCAGAGGAAAATATTCAGAAGTAAGATGGTCGTCTTTAGATCGATATGGAAAACCTGTTTGATCGCCCCATACAGGTTTTTGAAGGTGTCAATGTAGTTAATGATGAGAAGTGTATCATCAAAGTACTCAAGCCCGTGAAAAAGAAGAAAATTAAAAGAGAAATCAAGATCCTGCAAAACCTTGCGGGTGGTCCAAACGTCGTGGCCCTCCTCGATGTCGTCCGAGATCCTGCTTCGAAGATCCCCAGCCTAATAACGGAATATGTTGACAACGTCGATTTCAAGGTTTTATATCCTCGTTTCACTGATTACGATGTCCGCTTTTATATGTTCGAGCTTCTCAAGGTATGTGTAAATTGAACTCAGGCAAAATTTTCTACCATAGTCTTTTAGGCATTGGACTTCTGCCACTCAAGAGGAATAATGCACAGGGATGTTAAGCCTCATAATGTCATGATTGATCATGAACAGCGCAAGGTATGCATCCTAATAAACCCGCGTAATGGACTGAGCTGGACTTCATAGTGTAGCTGCGGCTAATAGACTGGGGCTTGGCTGAATTCTACCACCCGAAGGTTGAATACAATGTCCGTGTGGCTTCACGTTACTTTAAAGGACCAGAGTTGTTGGTAGACTTTCAAGAATATGACTACAGCTTGGATATGTGGAGTTATGGTTGCATGTTTGCGTCTATGGTATGATCTTCAGTCTCCAAGGGATTATGATTCGAATTGACCAAATTTACCACAAGATTTTTCGCAAAGAACCGTTTTTCCATGGTCACGATAACTATGACCAGTTGGTCAAAATAGCAAAAGTTCTTGGCACAGACGAGCTCTATGCATATATCGACAAGTATGGCATACGGCTGGATCCTCAGTACGACGAACTCCTCGGAAGGTGAGCTTTTCAAATGCGACCGCTGATCATGCAGTAACTCGTCGTTAGGTACCCTCGGAAGCCTTGGACGCGGTTCATCACATCTGAAAACCAGCGTTATATATCGAATGAAGCGATCGACTTTTTGGATAAGCTACTACGGTATGACCACCAAGAGAGATTGACTGCTCGCGAAGCCCAAGCACACCCTTACTTTGGTTTGTGAAACTTGTTCTCGGCCACTTGTCAATTTTTACCTACCTCACTTACAGAACCCGTCCGTAACCCCGTGTCTGGCACTTCTGCCGACGGTGAAAGCGAGGACTCGGGAGCATCATCAGCCTAATCTATAATTCACTTCTCTTCATCTCTGATTGTGAAAGTTTTGTACTTCCTTTGCATATGATCATGTCAAAACAACCTTCCCAACCCGATAAGCGCGTTCTTTAGTGCAAACAAACTGTGTGTCTTCAAGAAATACAGCTTAACTGAAATCAAGCCATTACCAACATCATCGATGCTATGTCTTAACATGTGACAGGTCGCCCCGCTTTCTCGATCATTTACGAGTATGATCATTGATCCTCTGCAGGCGCTTCATAGTGCCCCTCATGCCTTAGTAACATGATCGACGATCGCGGCTTTGATGCGTTCTGTTCCATTCCATCAATATATTTTGTACTTCCTCTGTTGCAGGCAACATTAGACAACGTTCTGCTGTGGAGCCACACGTGCGTAGCGGAACAAGGGTCAATCATCGGGAATGGAGATCTATGAGTGACCTGAACAAGTCCACATTCCGATGTACGTCAAAAAAACAAATGTAGTTTTAATCTCAAGAATCACTCTAGGTTAAGATTTACATCGATGTGCCAGCTTCCAGTACAGCCGCGGGATCGATAACCGTCGCTAATCTGAGTGCTATTGCCGTGTATATGCTCCAAAGCTTCCTGTTGTTCGGTGGCGTGATGATGCATCTCGAGCATAAGGTGAAGTCGATCTAGACTTTGTCTGATTCAAGCCCCTCTGACAGAATTTAACTAATGACTGTATCCACTTGGCGCATGAGTACACTGCCGCTAATGAGTTTACATAACCTCCTATGCTCTGGACCTGGTTACGTGGCCGAATAAAGTTACCCTCGCAGTATCTTATGAGGGTGATATATCTAGGTGATATCAGAAGCATCTCGCTAGATGCTGACTGCCCGTTAAGGTTGAGTATTGGACAAATCCTATCCCTAGCAGTACGAGCCCCTAGCGGTGCAAGCAATAATGGCTAGGCGCGAAGTAGGTTTACAGGGTGCTTTTTACAGTAATGGCATTTGACATGATTGATCTGCAACTCTTTCACTACAGGGGAGAGGTACTGCATCGATCGGTCATTAATCTTTTGTGCAGTATCGCCGCCGCCGCCGCTGCCACTATCACTTCAGTTTCTAGCGTTGTTTACGCTACTACTACCGCGTTCGGTGACTACAGCGTAGTGACTGCTTGACAAAGTTAGTGTACGCCGAGGACAACCAGGAGAACGCATGCGCTATACTTGCGAGGCCAGGGAAGTATTGATAGTCCTCTAGCAGTCATCTCTGCACTGCCTATGAACGGATGATAAGAATCCAGAAGGTAGGCACGCCTACTGCACGTGTAAAACTTTGTGCGATGCTTCTCGCACTGCATAGTCTTTTGGCACCTGGACTAGTAATGGCCCATGCATAGTGTTAACGACTCTCGCAGCTCGATGAGATCACGATCATCGGCCACGTTGTTTTCCATGCTCCGTGTAACGTTTGTTTGCCGTGCCCTGGATGTACTGTAAATGTTTGACTCGTCATGATATTCTCTTCAGTTGGGACACGAACTAACATTGAGTGCATGGGAAGAAATGAGTGCGAGTCGACTATGAGGGCTATCAGTAGGTTTTTCAAAGCTATCTGTGATACTGCCCGTGATTAAAGACTTCCTTCTACCTGCGGGAAACTATGTACTGCCAATGGGTTACTTACTTGGTAAGTATTTAAATTTCAGGGCAAGGCGTCTCGTTCTCTGGGATACCGCATTCATAAAAGAAACATTTGAGAATTTGAAACACAATATAGGCAATCTATCGTGCCAGAAAGGTAAGACAGCAAGTCCCAGGAGTTGGCTTGAAATGACAATGTACACCAGTTTAATTACACAACTGCAATGAAAGTATATAAATGCTGTGTGACCAATTGACGCATGACCTCTTAAGAGGTTATGATAAGGTTAGACAGATCCGAAACCAGATACTTCACGAGGATCGCAATCACCACATGTGAGACCAAAAGATCCGGTAGCTCACGCCCAATAGCCAGACTGAGCAACAGCCAGTGCTATTTTGCAATGTTCGCAAACATTGTAGTCCGAAGACCATGATGGGAAGAGTAGTTCCTTTCCTGGCATTTTGGTGTGAATCATGTCGTGCTCCTGCCTGATGTCCATGCTACTAGATGCGCATAGTAACAGAATATTGTGCAGGGTCATAGCTATGATTCTAAGGCCGTTGGGTGGAAGTAGGGCGATTACGAGGAATTCGATGGAAAGCCCCTGCTCGTGAGTTCACGACAGGGGCAGCGGGGACACTGGTGCCAAGTAGAGGACCCTGTCCGTCATTTCTCATACTGGTCCCGTCCTGGGAAGAGGATCCGGACGAGCCTGTGGCTTGACTGACGGCACTCGACGTTGGTGCTCTGGGTGTTTTCTTTCTCTCTTTCAGTTCCTTCGGTTCCTTGGGCGGAGGCGGCGGGCCTGGATCGTAATAAGGGTTGTGGGGAATCCACTGAGAAATCCCAAGGTGATCTAGCACGAAGCCATTCACGACACTGAGAGAATAGTAATATGGGTCTGTATTGGGCACATCTCGAGCCAAGGCGATCAACTGAGTATAGATAGCATACCCAGCACGTGCGTCGTTCGCTGCATCTGCATATTCAAGGAAATTTTTGAGACTAGCACGACGTTCGACCACGTCAGTACTCACAGTCTTGCTGGGCTGAAGAAAGACGGAGCTCCCAATTGCTGCGTTGTACCTTTCCCTTCGCCAAAGAGAAACCCACGTAGGTCTCAAGAAGGCGAGATAACCCAAGTGGGTTGGTGTACTTTCCCTTCCATCGGGCGTTATCGACCGAACGGGCAAGAAGGGCTAGCTCTACGCAGTTGCGTGTTGAAACGCCCCAATCCTGATACAACTTTTGGCAATCACCTAAATACATCATCATAAGATGGGCTGTGGGTTTCCGGACCCCTAATTGACGCACGTTGAATGCTAACGCCGGCCTTGACTCGCAATGGATCCCAAAGCACTTCCCTCAATTTCGACGGAAATTCTACCAATAGATGTATTCTGAATTAAGCCATAGGAGCTCAAAATTCAAGTCTTGCTCATACCTGACATAGCGCTTATTTGCAGGAGCAATATGGTGTCGAAACCAGCGAGCTGAACAAGCGCTACGGGGTTCTCGCTCCCACCCTTCCTGTAGTTGGGGCGCCATTCTAGGTCAAAACCAAGAGGTCCTATGGCCAACCGAGACAACTCGAAATTTGCTTCCAGGTGATTTGTAATGTATCGAATCCGGGTAGGAGCAGGGCTTTGATCACGCCAGAAGTAGCGCGGAAGCTCTGGACGTGAGACTGCAGTTTTGACAGAGCCTTCTGCAGTGCCAGACATTACAGTTTATAATATGTTGCAGAAATGAAGCTTGGTGTGGTTGAGTACGAAAGCGTTAAGTGCTTTCTTTGATAAGACCCTTATCAGTGCCGAGATTACCAAATCTAATTGTACGTATGTTCCTGTGTTTGGAGTTATGAAAAACGATGAGTCTATCAAGGTTCCGAGGGGCGGACCTTGGCAGTACCAAGATGACTTGATTGTGACTTCAGGCGTAAGATGATGCTAGTCTCGAGGTTGTTACTGCTACTAGTCTCGTGAGTCAAATTGTGACCTGCTGTTACACAGTGTGACAAATGCATCACGCTGTGACTCGCTGCGGGTCACTGTGTGCGACACCAGGCAGCTATTTAAGTACTTAAGCTCGAAGTCAGGGCCTGGGTGTACTGCTCCCCTCTATCAGATAGAATTTGCCACACAGGATTCGCCACAGAGGCACAGACACACGTGCAATGCTGTAATTCCCGTCGCCAGTTCTCACGAATGCAGGTTTTTGCAGTACAAGTGTTTCACCATCCCGGTGCACTCGGTGGCACCTCCGAGTCAGACCGAGTTGGCAGGCAACACATTATATCTCACCAACCTCCCTGCAAAGGGAATGGGTGCCCAACCTGCGTGTGGTGCGAGCCCGAGCCATGGCTATTCTAATTTTCACTCGTTGAGCAATATTTTTGATTGAAAGTCAAAAGTAACAAGAGTCGCACTCCAAAGATAACTGGGCAGTCCTTGGCGTCGCCTGGCCCAATAGCATTATCTTGGTCATTAGTTCCGGCCATTCTCTATTCTATCATCGGACGTGTCATTTCACTGCCATTGGTTGGAACTAGTTGCTGCCAATCATAACATTGGGTCCCACAAGGGGCAGAGAAAGGTGAGAAATTACGAGAGCTTAATCTGACAAACAGTAATGCTAACCATACAGCGCAATGAAAACAATAAGTAATAAAACAGTAGCTACACTGCAGAACCGGAGGACGTGTGTTGAGTGCCCTCTGAATGATTTTGGAGATCCTCTGGAGCATCTCTGCTAGGACCGGTGGAGAGCAATGACCCTATCGCCATTGATGCTCTGGACCGCGGGGAGTACTCCTCAGAATCACTCCGAGACGAATATGGCGAAGGTGGCAAGTCGCGGGAGGATGTATGAGATGTGCGCAATTCGTAATGTGATGAAGGGTGTGATGAAGGGGAGTGAGAAGAGCGTTGGCGTTTTCGTGGTGGCTGAGAGAGTTGAGGTGGTTCCCTAACCACAGGTAATGGTTGAGAGGAGACACGTTCACTGGTCATGTCGCTTGGATATAGCCCATGTTTTGAGTAAGGTGCTGAGGGTGGCAAGGGGGGCGGAGGGCTTGCATGCCGGGTATCTACTGCGGACATTTCAAGGAGGGTTCTGTGCAAGGAAGCGACGGATGCAAGCCGCTGTAAAGGGGTCAACAACAGACAATTAAAAATACGAGGAGCCTTACCTGGTCTTCGGCACTCTTTGCATTCAACATGGCAATAAGCATATCTCTGTCACCGTCCCCTTTCGATTTGTATGCCCCGAGTATTTCTCTAAGGCTAGGAGGTGGTGCCTGGATTACTATGAGCATCTACCGGAGGATTATAGTTGACAGCCAGCTGACCTGGTCTAGTATTTGTGAACTAGACATAATAAGTCTCCTATAGTCTGCCTCAATTGAAGGGCAGGGCAAACGAGAGTAGTCTTGTGTTGGGTAAGGAGAGCCAGAATTCATTTGGCGAAGGTGGGTTGTTAAGCGTCTTGCAGCAAGTGGGTTAGAACGGCGCCAACCGCAGACTTTTTGTAGGTGAGCCAAGTCCAAAATTCTATCTTTGAACCAGACAAGCCTGGTATATTTAGAATGCCAAGCCAAGGTGAGGCTCGGATACCCGAAGAGTTCTAAATTTGAACGCGAATCTGACGACGTGTTCCAACATGCAGACAACAGTTGCTCCGTTTCCTATTTTTTTTCTGCCCACAGGATTCAACAGAAAAACAAGGCCAAGTTGATATTAGCGCTGAAGGATGGAAGGGATTCATGCTCCACAGCTATAGATACGTGGTGACGAAATAAACGGAGGTACTAATTTTGACAATTGTGGCAGTTATACTCAAGAGTCTTGGCATTGTCTATTTATATCAATCTAATTCCGTATATCGCAGAACCTCGCAGGACCCCTGATAAAGCCCAGGAGGCAACCGGAAGGTCTGTGTCCTTTGCCAAAAGGGATAATTTTGTCTAGACTCTAAAAAAACACGTTGTTCACATCACCACATGTACAGTAGCTGGGAGCAAACTAACACTTATATTTATAAAAATTTGTAAATTGAACCAACCCATGGTCAGATTTATCCGCTTGCGAAAAAAAAAAAAAACTTTGCTGCTTCTGTCAGCCAGCGCGGCAGCCTTGGCCTGCCCTGACTATCAGGAAAGGGAATAACTATGTATGGTTGCCAACAAGGCGATCGAAATCACGTGATTATCACGTGCGGTTCATGAGGAAAGTGATCAAGCTCTTGCATCCAATTGAAGTCCTTTGATTTCACCAATGCCACAACAACCTGCAGATAGCGACGATGAATTTCCAGACGATATCGGGCAGCTGGACTTGAGCAACGTCCCGGGTCTTCAGGAAATTCCGGTCACAGCTTCGATCAGGCGTTTGGATAATCCGAGTCCTCCTCCCACCGTGATCGTACCAACGCCGCCATCACAACCATCCACGTCATCCCTGCCTTTCGAGTATGACTGCGACGATGAGATAGATGAGTCAACTATCGCCGCTTTGGATGCTCTTGAAGCACAGTTCGCACATGGTCAACCTCAACTCGAGGGTCAGTCAATCGTCAACTAATAGTGCAACCCCTATGTTCAATTCAACGAATACAGCTTCTCCTTTGACTGCTCAGCCGTTGATTGGTAGTGAGTTCCACATGTTTTTTTTAGCCTTTGTATGTTGAAAGATGATCTTGACTCAACAGCTCGCGCTGGTACGTTTCATTGAAAGCTTACGACAGTTCAAGCTCTTATGTATCTGTTGTATCATCTACATGATATTTGAAACCCACTGCCATTCATCTTGTATGTATCAAATTTGACAGTTCAACCTGAGCCAACACAGCTCGTGCGCATGTACAGCTGTTCCTGGTCTAGATGACCGCAAGCGCGGACCGCCGTCACCGCAAACATCGCCCGCCAGTAAAAAAGGCAAGACTCAGACAAGTGCCGAAGATAGCCTTGATACAACAAACAACATACTCGAGGGATTCGAAACCGAGATTATATGTCCAATGTGCGTACTGATACCTGGTCTACCCGCCTGCGAAATGATGGTTTCAAAAACATGCAGATGCTTTGATATCATGTGAGTGTTTCCATCTTGCATTGCAGTATTTGCTAATAAAGCTCTCGTTCTTCTTTAGGGTCGCAGCACACCTATGCAACCCCTGCGGCCACAGCTGCTGCGGGGAATGCGCTCAAGGGTGGATATCCCAGAATGTAAGATATTCTATTTTAGGACAAGTTCGGGTTTTATGAGCCCTGTTGCAGAAAGCGTCTCCGGCATGCGCAGTGTGCCGCGCTGCGTTGTCTACGACCAAACCACTTCTTCCTAATTATTCCCTTGACGCTGTAGTCCAGCAATATATCCGTGTTCTTGTCGTCAGCGGACGATCAGAATGGCAGGAGAAGGGAGACAGGTTAGCAGAGTGGAGGAAGCGTCATGAGTAAGCTCCTAAAGTCTATTCGGTCAATCGCATTCATTGACGCACTCTTGTTACAGCAAATGGAGGAGAATCTCCCAAGCGAATGCACTAGTGGTAAAGGCAAAAGAAAAAGCTCATCATACAAGGCGCTATCAAGGCGCTATCGTTTCTTACATGCCACCGGTTTATGAACCTCTCGGATCGTATTATGATGACGAAGATGATGAAGATGAAGACCCAACCTATGAAGACGATGAGATTGTGGAGATTTTACCGCACCGAAGAGTACTGAGACGGTAACCGACGTTCGTTCCATAGCCTATATTCTCAAACGGACCTCGTTCAATATCCCCTATCGTAATTGTTACTTGTAGTATCGTAGTCGTAGTTCACGTTGCCTGCCATTCGCGATATATCGGTTAATAGATTCTTGCAGCCAGCAGGTCCGTTTACACTTGTTTGGTGTTTCGCACCATTTGATGTATGGTGCGTGCTATACGCCGCAGCTTAAGTGCAATATCCTCGAGACAAATTGTGGAGTGCCGTGACTTATCTGCCTGAATGGCTTATCTTACACGTCACATCACTGCCTAACACGTAAATTGACCTACAGTGATATTGATCGCATCAAAATGACACGCTTAGTGCAGCTCGGTGTTAAGTCCCTCATAATTCACAAAGGCCGCCGTATTTAGAGCTCCCAGGGTGTCACGCATGTGCATGAGGCTTTCCCCAGCATGGAATTTGATCAAATTCCAAGCAGTTCCAAGCAAGAGCGGTTTTTCAAACGGCTTGCTAATCAAGTATGTGGGTTGATTTTCAAGTGACCGGAACTAAATTCCAGGAATTTACACTACAGATAGGCTCCAAGCTGTCAACTCAATGGTGATCGCAGCCATCCTGGCCTGGGAGGATAATAACCGTGCTGACTGCATATAAAGGTGTTTTCTCTGTGCATTCAATTATCACCCTGCTGGTGCAGTTGGTGCCAACTTCTGATGCTCATATAATCGCAACGCATCTTAACAGTGAAGGTGAGTTTCAAGCCAAAAATCACTTCGAGGCTCTGGATAAGATCCATGGTGCCCACATGCCACATCAGTATTTACAGATGGGTGACTCAGCAACTACCATCGATATCATGTGGCTAACTTAGGTTCAGTTGCCGGAGCCGCGCTGCTGGTGGGTGTTCATGGGGTGTATGTGTGCATAGTACTCATTTCCTTTCGCCCACCAGGCATTCGATTATTGTATTAATTTCGAAGCCGAGGTGATAATTCAGATTCAGATTTATTAAATGCCTTTTCAGCTGATTTCGATGTACTACTACATAGGTCTCACTGATCTGGGGAAGATCGTAAAGATATGTGCGATGCTTATTCGTGATGGCTCGCTATCTCCCATTTATCGACGTCCCAAACGACACATACTATCAGTCCACAAAGCATTGATGAAAGACTTCTCTGATCACTGTGTAGACTCATTCGGTCTGCAATCTCCTCCAAGTGCACCCAGACTGAGAGCGCTTGGTGAAGTGAAGCTGAACCCTCAGTCCTCAATGTATACCGTTATATCAAGCGGCAATCATGTGAGGCTAGCCTTTACTGTTCTCAGGTAATTTACTCACTGGCACTGCCATGACTTCGATTGCATTTTGCAGGGCTCAATGCGTCTGGAACAATCGCTGCGGAAAGTAGGTTATATCCAACCACTCCTGACACTGCTTTTGATAATGACACAAGGTTTACTTTTAATACGAATGTGGGTTCTATTTGGGCGCGTTCCAGCGTGTCTCATCGGGCTTGCTGCAGTATATTCTAACGTTCTCTCGGATTCCCATTCTCATGAGTATTGTCCAGGCATGCACAGCCGGGAGTGGCGTTATTGGTGCCACAGTCTTGCGATCAATGAAATGTCCATTCAGTCAATTGTTTCGTCCGCCGAGTATATTCCCTGATCAATTGATCTCATTGTCGCGCCACCCCCCTATCAGCCACGGGATACTATCAAGCAAGTAGCGTTTCACCTTACGCGTGGGATTAGGTTATTCTGGTGGTGTGTAAGATGACCGAGTGCTCACAATAATTCCGAACATGTATAGACATTGCACGCTCATTGCACACTCCACGATCAGGATTCATCCATGAAGCCATCGTGCTTCTAACCGGTTACCAAGTATACCATCACAAGCAAATCACGCACAAACCATTGGTGGTCTATGTAATGTGTGTATTATTAGGTAAGATCATTTCGCACATCTATCTGCCATTGTTGATCGCGGACAAAATGTAGTTATGTCCTTGTTGAATGTCGTAGTACTCTGTGCTCTTGTAGAAGGGTGCTTACCCTAAGATTTCACATTTCAGGGGTTTGTTGACCGGGTAATTTGTTTTAGAGCTGGGAGTATCTTGAAATAATCGATGCCCGAGTTACTGGCCGCGGCCTGGTCACGAGATCTTACTATAACTCACAACGCAATGCGAAGACTCCAGGCTGTTGCACATAGCATTTTATTTTCACGACTACTATTCAACCTACGGAACGTCATAGATGAACGGAATGTCGTTATGTTGACCCGGAGTTCCCGGTCACCATTGGCGCCTGAGTCGACACCAATAAGATCAGGCCAAACTACAGTATTAATAGTGGTGTTTGACACTTGAATTTTAACTTGGTGTGAAGCACGTATTTATGGGGCGAACTTAGTGTAGCTGGCACACCAGAACCGATATAAACTTATGGACTGCACAACTCATATTAATATTGGAACTGTCAAACTAAGTAATCCTGCTGGGTATCAAATCCCATCGTCGTAGTCATCTTCGCTCCGAACGTCTCTTTGACCAAGTTTCGATTTCGCACTGGTGGTAGAGCTGAAAGTTGAGATTGACTGCGCAATAAGGTCGTCTAACATGTCAGGAGGGATGTCGTACTCAGAACCTCGAACCACGATGGCAGTAAACCGCTGGGATAGCTTTCAGTACTTTATTCATGTGTGCTAGGTGATGGAGAAAACGCTACCGTCCTCAATCTTTTCCAGAGATTGTGAGGTTACAGCCTGTTTCTTGGATAACTCCCTCACGTAAGGAGTAAAGCGCTCGAAATCTACTTATGCACGATCACACCTTTGCACACTATTGTCAAGCTGACTGACTTGCCTGCCTTGCATTGCCGGACGAATGCACATACTTCTCTGGCTCTGGCGCGACCGCCCTTCTGAGCTATTCCAGTTATTGCAAATCGCATGAGTTCGCCAGTGACATCAGACAGGCCCAGCAAGTAATCTTCCTTCGGAAGAGTGAAATACTAAAGTCGTACCGTAGAGTGGAAATTTCAGCCATCCGGGTACCATTCAGGTGTAGCATACGCACAGGTATGCCATCCTCGTCAGAAAGGGAAAGCTGGACGTCCTCATATGATACCAGAGTGCCATGCTCGAGGTATTGAGCAAAGCCCAATGCTTCAATATACCTGAAGTCAAAGGCGTTCAACATATATGCCAACCAATTTGCCATTTTAGAGCCCACTCTTGGAGGCCGGGCGATACTGCTCTGTGGTAGTGCCAGAACCGCTCAGCTTGTACCTCGAGCCTTATTTGTGCATATAACGCTTGCACTTCCCGGAGCTTTTCACGACCGCGACGGACTACCCGTAGAGAGGGATTAGAGTCATTATTGGATTCTTCTGTCATTGCTCGATGGAGTAGGAATATGACTTTCTTTGAGAGGTTTGTCGCATCCCGGCTGATCTATTGGAGGGGTCAGAATGTTCAGTGACACAGTTGATTCTTTCGAGAGCCTGGAACCTTGATAAGTCGTTCTCTCCGGTCATGATGCTCGTCTATGTCTTGTCGGAACTCATCAAATGCTTCGACGACACTTTCTCGATGGGTTCCCATTTGGAAAGCGTGCCGATAAGGCGGGGAGGACGGTCGACCTTGAACATCAAAGTTTAGTACTCGTGCTTTGAGTTAGTATAAATGTCACGTGCAACTGGGACTGACCATGCATAGATAATTCGGTTAAGAGTCTTTGTTCGAAGTTTGAACGTTCATTGCCCAGCTCATCTCCTTCGTACTTCATCATGGCTTTTGCACCAAAGCCTGGGTGTCCTATGTGTGGGATCGTAGCCACTGCAGCGGTTCATCCCTCTGGCCAGTCCCCATGTTCACCCAATTGTCCAGACGCGCCAGCAGAGCCAGAAGTACTCTGGAGAGACGAAAATTTTACTGCATACCGGGAGAAAGCTCATCCAGTATCTTCCAGTGGTCATATAATCATAGCATTCAAGTAAGTCTTCTATCTATCATATCAGATTCCTCAAGCACTTTCCCCTGATCCAATGTCACAGTCTCCATGTTCCATCGATATACACCCTGGTACGTAAAACATCAAGCCTCCCCGCGGCGAAGAATCTTACCTGGCTTCTGGTAGTCTTCTAGTGACTTGCCCCTTCTTGTCAATGTTAGAAACCTTGGCAGGAAGCTTTTGAGCGCGTCGCCACCGCGGCTCTCCCTTTTTACATCTGGCAATAACTCCGCACCCTCGGCGCCTCCACAATATGCCGAATCCCAGTTTCGGATCGGCTTCATTACACCGCCTTTCAAAGATAACAAGATTCCTATCACAGACCATCTTCATGCACACGCCTACCTGGCCCCTGCCGATCTGCTAGGCTGGTGGAGAGGTGTTGCATACGGTCCTCTCGCTTGGTATGCCATTGATGATTTGATTGCTGAGATTCGGTTGGATTTCTTTTACGTTAGTGTGCCTTTTTCAAACTGATTGTTTCCATCATCAGGGAGTCAGTCTCGAACAATCGCGTGAAATCTGGTTACGATAATCGGATAAATCCCCCGATAGACGCAGTTCCCGAGGCGGGCGCGCGGACTGGTGCAGCCAATGGCGACGAATATACTGCTTCGAGTCTAGCCATTCCTGACATTGAAGATGGCCTTGCATCCCCAAGCTCTTCTAATACCTCCTTTGCTTCCAATTCCAGTGGTCATATACCCCATTTACACGTATGACAAACGACATCAATTTCCATCCTGAAGTACCGGATATATTTCACGTATATAGCAGGTCCTCGGACTATACTCACATCACGGACGACTGAACTTTGTTGTGTATGGAGTATTGGAATTTGCTTTCTCTAGCCTACTTCTATACAATTCAATGTGTAAATATTCAACATCAATGAGATTTGCTCTGTCATGATCTGCAAAATAGATTTCGGATTTCAAAGATTAAGCATCTGACAATGCATCATGATTAACGGGAATGGACGGACTATGATCTGTACTTACAATACGATGATCCGGTTAGTAACGTTGACAGAGCTGCGAGCTGATCATCGGTAAAGCGCCGGGAGTCTTCGTGCCAAGTGTCTTGATGCGTTTTCCTAAAATTGCTCGCACACCTGTGGATAGTTGTCGAAATTGGAATCTACAGCGCAGAAGATCAGAATATACAGTTAAGTAAATGAAGATTTACTCACAGGGTCATGTGTATGTTCCAGCATCACTGTCGTCAAGAGCCCTGGCATCCATTTCTCGATGGTATACGGGAAACTGTCAATGAGGGCACATATGCCAATGACAGCGGCGTGCCGCTGACGGACAGCAGCATTGTAAACTGGTGATACGCGATCAGGGAGCTGAATCTTTCCCGCCAATTTGACGAATCGGTCCTAGACCAAAGAGTGAATAAAATCGAAAGACGATGTGACTACTGACCAACCTTCAAAGTCACAACCCTGCGCCTCGAAGACAGTCGAAGTATTCCCGACAAGGTGCTGAGCGAGAGTTAGAGGTGTTTTGAAGACAGATTCCAAGACTCACGTCCCCACCATCTCCCGCACCTCCACAACTTCGTCGTCCAAGCATTTACACAATACCTACAATTAATTAGTGCAGGCGCAACATAAATCAATAGAACTACTTACGTCTAGAATTTCATTGACTTCGCTTTCACTAATCAGAGGAAGTTGTCGGAAGTACAGAACTAGGTAATGTAATGTCGTCAAGCACTAGACCAAAGTAGCAGTAACTCACCCTGTAGAATTGGTAGGGCCCTCAAGCGAACCTTCCATGACTACAAGAGTGAGTCTGGTACAGTCACGGACGCTAGTAAATGTCTTACTGGTGAGGTCTGAATGGCGGAGAATATAGCACTTAATAAGGGGCCGATCATTGATCGTGGAGGAGCGACTCCGCACATGCAAACAAGAAGCACATTAGCATGCCTTACTAGCTCCTCGTTATCATGCACTAAGGGGGAGTTTTTAACATCGACTGGCATGTATCACCAACAACCGTACCTTCAGTGAAACGGAACAGTTCAGGCTGAAAGAACCATATATCACGACTTCCTCGGCAGCTGGTAATAGACCACGCACCATAAGAGGCAAAATATAGTCGAATGCAGATATCGCATCAGTACTGTGGACTGACAGGTACAACCATCGGCAAACGACGATCCCAACTCTGCGAATGTTCAGCGGTCGCTTTGAAAAAATGACAAACATCCGTTACCTGTCATATGTTGATTGATGGGCTCTCACGCCTGGTAGCCGTTGTTCTCTCCACACTTTGAAATTGTCCACGAGTTCGAGGACTCTGCTTGTGTGATAGGTCCCACATATGCCCATGATGTCTGCATCATCAGTCACTTCTCGACATTCCCGTACGAAAGCTTCGACATCGAGAGAGGTGGGTTTGGGTTGCCACTGTCCATCAAAGTCAGTAACATATATATAGCGGGATGTAGAAATCGCCAACCTTGATACCGTTGCAGAATGCCATCATCTCGGCAACATGGGATCTAACCTATTAATAACCATCAGTATCATCACCGAATCACAAATCGGAACTGACATCATCGTGTTCACTGTGTACTTCTTGCCAAAATCGTTCCATAGTGCTGTCCGACCAAGATGTGAATTTCCACCCTAATTCAGTGTAAAATGCCCGAAATAATGCCAGAACTTTGATAGATTCCAGGGATGATGGTCCATTGTAGTCCATGCTCTTGAACTGTTCAACGATGTGCTCAACGAGTGGTTGGAGTCGCCGCGGGTCTTTGTGATGGAACATGTACTGAAAGTCGTTTAGATAGATGCATAAAACTATAAGCTCTTGGTCACTCACCTCGACAAACGAAGTCCAGATGGGTACAGTCTCTGTCTTCATGCTCTGACCTAACGTCTTCTTTATGTAGGGTGTGAACCATTGCCAGATTCGATCTTGGGTCTCTTGTGGCCAATGTTTAGAACCTGCAATAGTCAGCATACAAAAATTTACATCAGTAAGTTGCTCACCGTTCAGAACGCCAGCCAAAAGTTCTGCCGCGGCCCTTTGCTTGTTCTTATCCTGGTCGGCTAGCAGCATCTCTAGTTTGGGCTTCAACAGGTCCCAGGGTTCGTCACCCAACACTTGGACTATCTCGAAATTACAGAGGTTCGTTGCGAATTAAGATTCGACTTACATATTGATTTGACACATGATATATGGTCTTGTACCACAGTGCTCTCGTGGTTCTCTTCGGCGAAGTGCCCAGAAAGTTTCTTCCAGAAGTCTGCGTCCACTGCTATTTCACGTAGGCAAGACAAAGCCTCTGTGCTTGATGGCTCCCATTTGAAGGTGCTTTTCAACCCATGAGGTGGTTTGTATGCTGCCAGTGTATCGCTCCAGGCGAGCCAGCCCTGATGTAGTGTATCGCAATATATACTTCGATGGGAGTGAGTACTTCTCAGCGTGACTTTAGAAGGACCCCACCTGGTGAGATCAAGAGTCTCCGAAGATCTAATAGGGACCTGTGACCTGAAATTGATGAGTATCTCAGCGGTCGACGAATATGACCTTTCAATGGGAATGTGGCATCGTAGTGGATTGATTGGGGAGAATAAAGCCAAAGCCGCTGGATTTCGACAGTACGATCGAAGCTTGATGTATCTGAGTGCTTTCATGATGCCTCTTTGCGCATACTGATACACAGAGCAAGTCAGTTCGTGACTAATTCGATGTCAGTCATGATCTCACGTAACGCTAATATTCACGAAAATGTCAATGTCCTTACAGGGACCTAGTAAACCGCAGGAACGCACCATGGTAGGATTGCTATCACGCACTTTCTCCAAGAAAAGACGAAGGTGACTAGACGAAGTCGGAGTATCCCGACGCAGCAGAGTGCGAAGTACCCTAACTGCAACTATCGCATAGCGCCAATGTGTTGCGTTGTCATTGGCAATTTCGAGAACCGCTTTAGTCTGTTCAAGCCTCAGTAGTGGACATATCGGTAAGGATAGTATGTTGCCTACCGTTCGACTATATTCTTCGTTCATTAAACGCACACGCTCGATGCGCTTCTCACGGGCCTGGAGAGTGATGGAATTCTCTGACTCGTTAAATGACAAACAACTCTTCAGAGCATGTAAGGCTTCATCAAGGGCGGTATTCTTAATGTCATAGATGAGATAGCAAGGCTCCGAGAAGTTGGCCAGACCTCGAAGTAGCTTAGAAAGAGAACAAGAGAAGAGAGTGGTTCTCACATGTATCTGTTACCGTAGATACACAATTTTGGATAGAAGGCTGAAAGAAAGCTGTCACCCAGTTTGAAGGAGGTCAAGGGGAAAGTACCTTCTCATTATGGTGGCATCCAAGGAGCTGCTGGATGATCTCTGGCACTAACGTCGGTTCTGAAGAAGAATGGGTCCAGCTACTTCAAGAAAAAAAAGACAACCATATTGCTCACCCGATATCGCAAAACGCCCTGAGAGGAAGTAATTAGATGAAATCTATCACTGTCAAGAAGCGTGACTCACCAAACGATGATATATTCAGCGTCCACAACGCTCCTTTCATGCGATCGTCATCAGTACCAGGCTGTAGGGCCGCATACAGTACCGGAAGGGCTCGAAGACGGAGACCATCGTACACCTGCACATGTGACAATTATACGCTCGTAGCACCCATAACATATATAGACACCTACTGAAGTCAGGGATTCGAGAAGAGACTGGCTTGATCTTAAACGAGAGGTTGAATTTTCATCAAGGGAAATGAACTGGAGTTCACTCACTGCCGCACTGTAAGTACATAGGATTATCAGAAGTATTCATGAAACATGAAACCAAGATCAATTACCCGAAGGATAATGCCACATTGACCATTCAACGACATCGTCCAGCAAGGAATTCTCGAGCGGACCTCTAGCTCGCTCGATGGAGTTCCAGAATAGTCGAGAGGAATGATAAAATCTAGCACATGTAAAATTAGGAAATCGAAACAGAAAGAAATGTGAATAGTGGTTTACCGAGCTCTTCGGACAAACACTGCGCGCGGCCAAACCTTCTGTCCTGCATATTGACGAGCTACACCGATCTCTGAGTTGTATTGGTCGCAGTTTACATAGTAGCTGTGTGAAATGTTTAGCAAAATCCACACAAGTAAAGTCACACTACAGACCTGTCCTTGCTGTCGCCATACTCGAGCAAATAGGTGCGGATTGAACCGATCTTTAGAAGAGTAAAAAGTAATTCACGAGATACCGTAAGAGTACATACAAGCATCTGTACAGCATCAACTGTGTTCTCCTCGCCTTGTCTTTGCAAAGACAAGGATGCTGCGTGCAAAAACTCTCCGAATCGACGCCGGAGTTTAGCAATGTACTTATACCGTGCGTCTTGCGGGTCTGTAAGGCAAAACCCGGAAGCCAGAGGCTCAATTGATGCAATCATTTCAGGAATTTCATTACTGCAAGACAGGTCAGACAAAAACCACATGCCACGGGCCAACATGACGTACATAATGTCACTCGAGGCAAGCATGGATTGCAACACATCTGGTGATATAAACTCCTTAAAGAGCGTTGGAATTCCGGTGAAGGCTTCTCGGACAAAACTGAGATGACTACTCGAAGGTATCAATCTACCGTTGATTGATCAGTCACTGTAAACGCACCGACAAAAGTCGTTCCTCCAAATAGCGTCTCGAGACGCTTTGCTGCTTTTCAGTACAAGGTTAAAAGATACTGCATAAACTTACAAGTTTCAAGCAACAAGTCAAGGCGAGTCATCGCAGGTTCGACCAACTCGCGGAATAGTTGGAGTGAAAAGTCAATCTCTTCGGCACTTGGGACATGCCATGTGATCTACAGTGCTGAGTATTTGAGACTCTTCCAATTGTCAAATGTTGCGCACCTTGACCTCGTCGGGCTCAAACAACTTGCCCCAGTATAAGTGATGGTTTCTTTGAAATTCTGCAGGTACTCAGTCAACGCATCTTAAGGCACAAACTGCGAACCTTCATCGTTCCACTGTTCGGGGTTGACGAACTTGTTTTCGATCGGGTAAGTATGAGTAAGTGTAATTAATGCGCTGGAGAGTAACTTTCCGCTCCAAGTGTACCCCCGTTTCGAAAAAGTTTTGTCGCGTAGCAGAGTTAATAACGACAAGAGTTCGCCCTTGTACTCGAGAAGCTAAAATGACATCAATTCACGCCCGAGTGACTGGTTTAGGATCACTAACCGCTGAACCATCACTATTCAGGTGTTTGTTAGCGCATGCAAGGTACTTGGGAGAGAACACACTTATAGACACAACCTCGGAGAATAGCAAGATCTATAATATAACAAGGATATTAGCGCTCAACACTGCTACAGCTGAGATGAAATCCTACTCCAGTGCAGAGTCGCATCCGACGGAAGCGGCAATGATGGAGATGTCGTCCTCACTGAGCTAGCACCATGTTCTATCTCTGTGCGGATGTTTGCGGCACAGAAGGTAAGAACTTGGCCAGAGTCTTTTTGGGGTGGGCATTCGCAATGCATTCGACTAACTGGTGTATCGCACGGACAGCATTAGAACGAACATTTGTGCTTGCGTAATCGAAAATCATGTTGAGCACGAGGTCGAAAAGTGGATCGGATAAATGAACACAGATTTGACTGCATGCACCAGTCACAGCATCCACCACTTGTACTGAGGAGGAACTGGTCAGTTAATAGAAACATTCGTGTGAAGACAAGATACCTTCCGTAGTCCCTCCGGCTGACCCATCCGGTCCTTCTTCTGGGAGATTCTCAAGTAGCTGGATAACACGATGTATGAGGCTGGCTACCCAGCTCGCAAAACTGCCGGTGCTGTCTTTGAGAAGCGCATCCTCAGCTTCGTTAGATAGCTTCAGTTCCATAGTGTCCTCCAAGCTATCATCAGTAATTTGACCAGGGGAAATGTCCACGCCAGAAGCCTCTGAATCCTTGGAGGATGTCACGTCCCCAAACATGATGTACTGTGACACTTCCGACAGAAATGCCGTCGTGCAAAGCTTATAAATAAGGAATTAGATAGGGGAAGTACTCGGAGTGTTTAAAGTACCGTTTTAGTTGGGTCATTCTGTATTTGACGAGGGTGAGAGGGTGGCGTTCAAATGAGACTAGCTACTTACAAGATCGATGCCAGGTACAAGCAAATGCAGAATGGTGATCAAATGCTTAGCACCTGGATAATAAATTTCTCGAGAAACGATTGCAGGAACAATAGAGCTCAGTGCCTTGATTACGGACAAGGTGCGCTGGGTCTAAGGAACTGTGAGGAAGGAACAGTCGACGACAGGAGCAACAGTACCTCAACGAGAGCCTCTAGCGAAGGGATAGCTCGTTCCAAAATTGGCTGAAATACCAGGTCAGGCTCCATGCACGACATGGACTTCAGAGCGCTCTGGACATTTGAAACAGTGGAACTATCCTGGGAGAAGATGGCAAGTAACACAACTGTCCGGAGGCACTTGACCAGTTCTCTTTTCATCTCTCGGGTGAGCCGTCGAGTCTGATCGGTAACCTAAATTTCTTCACTGATTAAAGAGATCCAGATTGCGTACCAGAGGTGTTTTGCAGTCGGACAGTTGTTCTTCGTGCCAGCCTTGCAATTTATATGTTAACATTGTGCTAATGAGCACTTAAACCTAAAAGGGAGCTCACGCTTGTTGAACTCGTACACGATGTACTTGACGAAGGCAGTGAGCTATATGACATGGTCAGCAATTACAGTGTCAACCAATAACTTAGCGGAAATTCAAGCCCAATACGAATAAACGACGAACATCGGATGTCCAACTTCCAGAGTTGGTAGGGTGGAAGAAATGTTCCGTAGATGCAATGAGACGTGCAAGCGAATCAAGAGCTTTAGAACCACCTAGATATAGCTTCGGTGGCTCCCACTTATGGAGTGGCACTGTAAGATATTCGCCTACAGAACCGCTAACTTGAGGCGTGCTAACGCCTGAAGTCATTGGTGTATACCACGGCGTAGACGCAGTAGAAGGAGGTGCAGAAGCACCATCAGGGGCCATAGAGTACACGATAAGTTTGGCGAGAGATGCTAAATGAGATGTCAGCGGAGCTGTTTCTGCGAGGGGAACCTGCTTACAGATACGCCAGCTTGCTTGGGGCAGCCTTCTAATTTCAAAACTTGAAGAAGAGTCGGCCGTAGGTCCCGTAGTGAGCGACCCACCATCCTTCAGTGAAATTGCTACAAAAGGCACCGATAATCAGTCAGCCTTGATTGAAGACGTAAATTATCAATGGCTGCCCACCCATCGAGGCAAGGCATTTACACATAATAAGATGCCACTCGTGCTCAGTGAATATTCCAACTTCCTTATAAAGACCAGACCACGTCTGTCCTGCATGGTAATCATCTTGTTTCCACTTCGGTCTGCCCTCATCTTCAGACTTTTCATCATCGAGAATATCATAAATGCGAGCAGGATCACTGATGGTTGGGTCCACGTGCATCTCTGCGAGGCGTGACAGGAATTGCAACATCCTTTCATCGTACATGTAGGAGTTAATGGACTCCCACAAACGACATAACATAGGGAGATACGATTGAGGATGTGTCAGTGGTAAGAAGGTCAGAAGATAGTACTGTGACGAAAGAACGCTCTGCAGGCAAGCTAAGGAACATGTAGTCGTTTTTTCTGGAAAGAACTCACGTCTAAGTTGGTCCCATTAAATCCAGGCAGGAAAGTGCTCAGCATCTCTTCAATGGCCGCGGGGTGGAAGAACCTCCTCGATATATCAGCAATGTAGCCCATACACCACGAGAGTTGGCTACGTCAACTGTCAGATGATGCCATTATTGAAGAATAAGGGTAACCTGCCTGTACTCGAACTGACGCCGAGTTAGAAACAAGTCTTCCTGAAGGATATTATAGATAGGCTTCCACGGAAGTCTCATGTCGTCAATGCTCAGTTTCTTTTTCGAACGAGTTAAATTTGACAACCCATCCGCGCAGACGGCCATGGCTTGCGTGGGCATACCAGGGGTCGTTGCAACATGAAAATACAACTTCGCAAGGCGAATGCGCTTCTCCTTTGGAAATGGATACTTGAGCATATTCCAGCTGCAATACCTGTAAGAAAACTTGCACTCCTGTGTGAATTACTGGCGCTCACTAAGTGATCATGCTGTCCCACTGGACAAGACCCGGTTCGAAGTCCTTTGCCTCTACGCACTGCGCTATACGCCTTAGGATAAAATCCAACATGTCCTGCATCCGCGCATTTGATTCAATTGCATATGGGATGGATTTCGCATAAAGCTTGAGCTTCTGCATATACCGGTCGGTCGAGCGGTTGATGTCGTCTGGAATTTGTGTCTGGAGTATCTCTGGACCCGGATCATCCAAGGCCAGGCGGGAGACGTCCGGAATGATAGTCATAGTGTTCTGTTAATAATGCCACTGAAAGTAAACTGTAAGAGAAGTAGTTGCCCGTTCAGAGGATGGAAAAGCGAGCGTTAGTCAGGGTTTGATCCACAGCCGCCTGCCAGTGGTGGCCTGATATGCAACATTACCACACTCTCTGAACAGCACTTTTGATTGGTTTTACGTGCAACAGATGATGGCGGTAACAGATGGGTGTTATTCAATATTACTGACGTTTAGGGCACATTTGATGATCCCTGGTACTAAAATGTACAATATGGTTAATGTGACCGCTCGTCGTTGCATCGATCAGCATTAATCCATAGCGACGCTAAAGGCTGTATCCTGCAATTCTTTGACAGCTTTTTCCCGTACCATCTCCCAAATGATATTCCGTTGTGCTCGAGTATCTCCAAGATTTTCCCTAATCTCCTGAAGACGCTCGACATATTCCCTCCCATCGTCTTGTAGCTCCCGCAAAGTTGCTAGAGACTTTTCTAAACTGTCCTGCTGCATCTCCGGGGAAGCAAATTGTGACGGATCAATCACAGGTGGACCATTGTCAGCATACGAAACCAGGAAAAGCTTATGAGCTGTTGGGGTAAGATCTGGAGCACGGGCCATTCTACGTTCCTGCTCGTCTTCTTCGTCTTCAATATCTTCCTGCTCTTCCTGTTTCGGGATCACACGCTCCTCGTCCAGTCGTTTGTCTGGGTCTTCGCTGATGACCTGCCAAAGCCTCCCCAGAGCACGTCTCATGACCGCTTCTCCTTCAATAAGACTATTGGTGGCGTATTCCAGTTCGTCCAACAAACTTGACCGAAACGAATGCGTCACAGACTTATCCATGACGAATGACGCGAAACTGAAATGCTGACCGATAGGTGGTGGGTAAGGAGCGAGGAGTGGTGGTGAAGGCGACCGCATATGAGGAAGGCAAGGCGGGGAGGGCGATCTTCTTTCGGGTAATAGACATTTAATGCGTTTACGGGCACGATCCTCAGCCTGGTTGAAGGTTAAGAATGTCTAGAGTAAATAACTTGGCTCACCTCCCAGTCGTCCATGCCAGGACCCCATGCAGCCATTTTTCCTTTGCGAACCCATCTACTGCCTTTTCTCATTTTGTTTCCCCAGTTGCCGTCCACAATGCTGACCGCCAAGTCGTCGTCATCTGAACTTAAGCCTTGCGAGGGGTAATACCACGCGTTGTGATCATTGAGGACCAGCAGACTAAACAGGTCGTGAAATCACTGAAATACACGCGTAATCGGGGCTAACCTCATTTCTTCATGGGCTCTTTTTGGTGCACTTTGCATAGTATCTGTTGAACGTCGAGGATTTGATAGACCAATAATAAATTGTAGAAATCTGACCGATATCGCTGAGACCGGCAATTTCCGGTCTCTGTTGGACCGAATTGAGTGAAGCTTCGCGGCTGAAGCGGTACTACATGAAGGGTACTTATACATTGACAACACAGTACTTGTCGGGCAAGATGAGGTAGGAAGTCTTTGTCAAGGTACGAACGAACACTGCTCAGAAATTTTAAGTACAGCTAACGTATCTCTGCTATCCCAGTGTCTATCATGATGCCGCGAATAGAGTCAACTTGCGGGATCATATCGCGATCTGTCACCATGACGCTATGAATAGAGGCAACTTGTGCGATGATACCGCGATCCGATACGATTATTGCCGAAGTATTAATTAAAGCGCCAAGAGTGCAGTCCAAAGTGAACAATCATGCATAATACAGACTCCGAATTACAAACTGGCGCAATGATTGATGAGTCTGCAGGAGACCCGCTGGATGAATTATGTATGCGATGGGACTTGGCCACAGACTAACGTTTCACGCCCTGCGTGTCGTCTGCCAAACAGGCTACAATGTTTGGCGAGAATGGAATGAGCTTGTCTTCTGTATACAATGATCAACAGGCCATGAAGCCCGTCTACCTTGACTTCATACGGCTTCTGACTTCTGTAACAGGAAATGCAACACAGTGCAGATGCAGCACACTTTCCGAGAAACGAGGAGGGCTATATTATAACAGCTTTTCCAACTGAAGTCAGCTGTACCTGAAGTGAGTAATATTCGCGCGAACGGTTGCACTTGGGGATCATCGCCGGTGAGTCAGCAGGCGTACGCCATGGTCACAAAAAACGTAGATGCACATACATACAAACCGCTGGCCTACCAACATAGCGAAATGATGTCCCTTGCTTGCATCTCGTAATGAATAGCAAATATACCTGGGATTCTATGATGACTCTGCCTGCGACTCTGAGACTATTCTCGTAGTTTGCGGTCCTAGCGCAGCGCCTTCCTTTCTTGCGACGCTTGCTTGCTCAAAGCTTTGCATTCCCTCTAGACCCCACCTACCCATCATTGCCTTGTCCTGCAGCAAAGTTAATTCCTGTCAGCTATATGCAAACCTGAAAAATCATAGATCTACCTCGTCCCACGGAGAACCTTTGTCAACCATTAGCAAGCTGTTTGCACGTGGAGAAAAGATACATACATGGAGTGGTCAACATCTGTTCTCCCGTGAACACGGCATTAGCGCCAGCCATGAAACACATGGCTTGCTCAGATTCACTGAGCGTGTTTCTCCCTGCTGCAAGTCTGATTATTGTTCCTGGGAGGACAACACGCGCGGTGGCGATCGTCCGCAGTAAAGTATGATGAGCGACCCGCTTTAAAAATATGTCAGCTGAAACATAGACATAAATGAAAGAAACCCACTTCATTTCCTTCGAGTGGAGTGCCTGGTATGGGTACGAGTGCATTTACAGGGAAGGATTCAGGATGTTCCGGCATACTTTTGAAAAGGTTGTGAGTGACAGTTGAGCAGCCGAGCACAAACATACTTGGCAACTTCTTGAATCAAGCCGATACGATCCGCATCTGACTCTCCGAGACCTAATATACCGCCAGAACAGACACTTATTCCAGCATCTCGAACTGCACTAATAGTGCCCAAGCGCTCGTCGTATGACCGCGTCGTGATGACCTGAAAAAGATGCAGGCAACAACTCCAAAATATAACATATAGCAAACCTGCGGGTAAAATTCACGCGACGTATCAAGATTATGATTGTATGCAGTGAGGCCACTAGTCAAGACAAATGTGAGATGAGTTGAACTTGAGAGATAGAAAATACATACGCCTCTTTCAATTGTTTTGCTTGCTCTGGAGTGAGCATGCCAAGGGTCGTGCAGACTTCCATCCCCATACCCCGGACCTCTCGAACCATTTGAAGAATTCTTTCAAACCCTCTTTTGCGTCCTGCGAGGTCTCTCCATGCTGCACCCATGCAAAACCTTGTGCTTCCATTCTCTTTGGCCTTTCGGGCTGCTTCGATGACAGGTTCAATATCAAGCAAACGCGAGGCCTTCGTCGGAGTGGAATATCTGGACGACTGAGAACAGTACGAGCCTGAGTAACCGTGTCAGATGAAATATCGTTTATGGGCATGATAGGCTCCCTACAGTCCTCAGAACATCCACCAGCTATAGTGCAACATTTCAGACAATCATAGAGGGGATAGAGCGGGAACAAAGCGCACTCTTGATATTCATAAGTGTGCATAGCTGGATCTTGCTAGGGTCATGATTCTGACGATGGATGCTACTTGCGCGGAAGACAAGGTCTAACAGAGGACTGTCGTAAATCTTTTGGATTTCTTGTCGCGTCCAATCATGTCTTTGGGGTGTCGAGCGGGGTGCATGGGTTACAGTTGCAAGCGATCTGCTGAATCTGGGAGCAGATAGTCGAAGAAAGCCAGCACTGAAGTTCATGTTAATATTGGCCAAAGACAATTTGAGGTAGGCCCGACTAGGAGGCCAATTTCTACGATGTATATGTAGTAGATCTATAATTGTGGTCTGATATGAATCGCGGTCGGTCTAGAATTTGTTATCACCGACAGGTGGTGATTGTCGGGACTTCGCGAATTCCCCCATGTCTTACAGTAACGATCAGGGAACCAGCAAACAATCATCTGCCAATAATCTACATACTTCCATGACACAGGATGATAGTGACGTGTCGGTGTGTTAGTAGTACAATGTCTATGCTACAAGCTTCTTCATGCCATAACAGACGAGTGCGATTACAAGTGATGCGGTTTTTGTGTAAAGTATAAGATATCTGAGCCAGGTATCAGCGAGAAACACATGCATGTGTGGAGCCTAATTATTTGGAGAAGGGCGCTGAGCACTGAAACCTGTTTGATTTCAGATACCATCGCAGTGTGCTGTTGGGCTCACCGGAAGAGTCATATTAGTATGTGGGGCCGACGGGCTTCCAGCGGACGATTTTTGAATCTTTGAACGCCTCGTCATGTTTTATTGCCCCGGCCGACTGTCTCCGTCTGATGGTTAGGAGCATGAAGTAGTACGCTTAGTACCCTTCTTCTCCCGTGCAGCTGAAGGTCCAGGGGAAGCCAACGAGATGTCCCGCATGGCATTAGACAAACACGCATCCACTTTTTGCGCATCAGTTGTCTTCCGTAGTACCGCTGTCCACTGCCGATGTGTGTACGCCGCTAATTCACGGGAATAGAGTGATTTCCGTTCTTCCACGGATTGGGTTGGCATGCTGGAAGCTTGATGAAACCAAGAAGACTAAGAGTGAGAATATGCAAAGCGACCACAGGAGATCAACCTTATATAACTCGTGACTGAGTAATCCATGTTGACTGTGATTCTGCAGGCGCATCGGAGCCCAGCATGACGTTTTTGGAGTTGCGCATTGATGTCGACCCCGGGTACTTGATCGGAGAAACTCCGCCTACGCCATCATTACCAAGGACGTCGACAACATCCAAGGCCTGATGAAGCCATATAAGACTCTTCGAAATTCAGAATGCTACACAGGCGCTTAGCGCTATACAATTACAATAAAGCTATAGTACCGAGAATGTAACACAACAGGAAATCGATAGTAAATGAAAGTGCAAAGATAAAAGCCATGTCTGGGAGTGCTGCACACTCGATCTGAATCAAAGCTACGAAAACAAAGCAATAAAAGCAATGCAAATGGTATGATAGACGTTAAACGGTGTAGTATGGTAGAAGATTGTCCGGATTGTTGTTCGTGGTTTTTTTGGGCATGAATAGGCGTACAGGCAAATAGTGCGATCTCGTTGTAACTTCATCAGCGACAAGTGATCAAGGGAGGCAGGCTGATAGCCATTTATGCACGGCGCCAAGCAGGAGCAGACGGGCCGCTCTTGGTCTTGGAGGGTGCACCTAGCATCACACCACCGGTGAGAACAGTAGTCTTGCCACCATCGTAAGGGGTGACTTCAGTCTTGGAGGTGTCAATAAAGGCACGAGCCTGCCTGGCCCTCTCGCGACGGGAGAGTCGGGATGACTGACTGTCGCTTTTAGAGGACAAGGTAGAGGCAGTCGTCGCAGAGAAACAGGAGTCCGAATCGGACGAGCGGTAGCTGGAGCACGAGTCAGTTGATATAGCGGATAGCGGTGATTCAGAACGTGGAGGAACAGGGAAACGGTCAACGACAGGGGTCATCCAAGTGGGCGCACTGACTTCGTCAGCGATCAAGGCGAAAAGTTCATCATCATCTGTGCGATCATTCTCCAAGAGCTGCTGGGCAAATGTCTTGGATTTGAATGGCAGCTGGTTGAAATGTGTATGGGGTGCCGCGGAAACGGCCCGAGCCATCAGCTCCTCTGACCAGATTGTAATGAGCTTAGTGCCCTTCCCGAACCGCACAGAGATGCATCCTGGATCAACAAAGAAGTCGAACTCACGTCCGCCCATAGCCGCAATCCAGTCGAACCACTGGACACCGGATGCAAGGCATGCGGCATATACGGCACGTGGGGGAAGACAAGTGGGGGAGAGGGTGAGGCAACGCCGGCCGGAACCGCGAAGGGGTTCCTTAGGAGCCCAAGAAGGGGCGAAGAGTGCAGTTAAGTTTGCCTCGAGCGCGAGCTGAAGTCTGATGATTGTCGCAGCAGGGTGCGTAAGAATAAGAGGACGAGTGAGGTAGGCGATGGCCTGAGCGAGAGTGACGGAAAGGCCTGATGTAGTGGTCATGATTGCAAATGAGAAAGCAATTGGAAAGATTGAATAGGTGGAAATAACAGAAATCGCCCTGCGATGGTAGATGCGGGAGTGAAGCGCGCTGAAAAGGTGCTTGAGAGTGTGACACAGTCTTCAAGCAGTACTGAGTTTTGATTCAGACGGAGAGATCGAATGTGAGCAAGAGACAGAAACGTCTGAAATGATATTAATTATGGTCACATGAAGTTAAAGTAAAAAGCTGGCTCACCTAACAGACTAAAGAGGAGGCCATAAAGCAGATTAGTTGAAAACGAAACGGAAGTCAAACAGATGTATAACGAACCTGGCTGCAAGGATAGAAAGTTAGTGAATTGATGACTGGATTGTCAAAACCCGGATGGAGAGTATGGGAGGTTATGGGGCAAAGCTTTATACGCATGCCATGCCAAGAACAGGCGCCAGACGTAAACAAAGGCATGCTGCTGGCAGAGCGCTCCCTCATAATGGTCGTGAAGTGAGAACAAAAGGACCTTGAATAATTTCCTTTTTTGACAACAATAGTGGGAAGGCATTTAGCACACGTACTGCCGTAAATATCTGCAGCAGACACTTGTGACAACAAAAAAACATGTTTGCGCCAGACCTTTACGTCTTGATACCCAAGGATGCTATTGTTTTTTCTGGGAGGAAGCCTATCTTCGCATCAGTTCCTTAGTCCTTATCAGAAACACCGCTGATGATGATCTTTGAATTGAAGCACAGGAAAAAATGTTCCAAGCCTATCATAATGGAAGGTGTCTTTCTTTTATATGGCCTGACTAGGAGAGACTGTCGGTCATCTTGACAGTTGACGAGGTCGATTGGCCAACAGGACCGACTGCTCAGAGTCAGTACGACGCGGGGCGGACGGTTCCGCAAGCTTAGTCAGATTTGAAGTTCTCAACTCTGTCTTATCATCATCGGCCTTTCTCTCATCCTCGATCGTCAACGTATCACTCGAGCTACCACCTGTTGTCAATACCGTTGACCACAAAACCACCTAAAACTCTTCAAAAATGGTATGCTGCAAATCCGGTTTATTTGTGCGAAATCCTCACAAAATCCGCCCAGCCTTTGGCTGTCGATCTATTGAATCCCTCTGCAGAACACGAGCGCAAGCAGCACAAACTCAAGCGTCTCGTGCAATCGCCCAATTCTTATTTCATGGATGTAAAATGCCCAGGTGCGTCTAGTTCCGTCAGAGCTGACAACACTGATCTTACACTATTTTTTGCTAGGATGCTTTGCTATTACTACTGTATTCTCCCACGCACAATCAGTCGTGCTTTGCGGCTCGTGTGCGAGTGTCCTCTGCCAACCTACGGGTGGTAAGGCGAGACTGACCGAGGGTATGTTATTGAATTGTGAATTACGATGCTCATAAGGCACCAACACCACGTTTTCAGGTAGTTCATTCCGTCGGAAGAACTAGATGCTACATTCTTCAAACTTCCACACTTCACGTCACATTTCGCGCCACCTTTCCACCCTTGCTCAAAAGTCATTTTCTAATGTGGTGTGCTACTGGGTTTGGATTGTTGCATTTCCTCTTCCAAAATCTGACTTGTCGTTCATGTACTTTTTCATCGGAAGGTGTATATAATCTTCTGATTCGTTTAGCCCCACAATTACATCAACAGCATGTCATGCGCCTACAGGCGAATGATCGCTGTCATGGCTGTACACGTTCCAATGGGGCCACTCGGCTACCTTGCCGTCTTAGCTCATCCCACTTTGACTGGACCTTAAAGCAGTGTCCAACACAATCTGTTGAAGGAAGCCTAATGTTAAGTGGTCGATGCGTGTCCAGTACAACTGCTCAACATCCTTGAAAGTCACTGCATTCCGCGCACAACTTTTTATTTTAAGCCCAATCATAGCAGTTGGATAGTACACAAAACAGTTGACCTACTATGCGCGCGACCTTACGACCACCACACGATGGATTGATCGTAAGCGTCAGTTTTCAGGGTGGTGCTACCGTACTTGCTACTTATCATATTTTTTTTTTTCGCATCCTTGTGACCTAGGTCCACAGTTATGTATTACCAGGTGCGAGAGCGCGAGAAGTTGCACATGAGGCGATTGATCCATATACATGTACAAAGCGGTTCATTTGATACGCGGGTTATATGAAGCCAATATTGCAGTCTAGTGAGCTCCATGTTACATAGTACTGTCGCGCCCATTTACCAATGCACGTTGGAGTCATCTGACTTTCTGGCAGAACTAAACCTTGTTAAGACATGCTGAAGCTATCACATTCCGTGAGCCGCGCCAAGTGCTCCAGGGCCGCGAAAACCACTGAAATTTCAGATGGCAGTTCAGGCCGCGTTAGCTGCCGCGTCTGAAAATTCAATGGTCTGCTACCGGCAGAAATTTTCCCTTTCGATGATCGCATTGCACTTAAATCCGTCCCTTACAACGGTTAGCCCTTCATGAACCTACATGACATTTCAGTGAGTTAATCTCCTATCTTTTCCCGGATCTACTCCACTCCAAGCGACAATGCTTACTTTGGTTGACTAAGGCAGAATTCAGGAACCAAATGCTGAATGGTGTTATATCTAGCACGAACGCTTTCGTCATCTGTCCATCAAGTTCACCGCTCCCTTACAGCCATCCTCTAACAGTATGCCTCTAGTCTCAGATGATCCCGCTTGGTGGCCGGCCATTGATGCGAGCATCGTTTCCAGCTATTTCATAGGTTCGCGGAGAGTCTGTTGATTGATGGCAGTGATATCCTAATCCAACCTTTGTCGTGGTTTTGCAGTGGCCGCCTCTGTTGGAGTATGGTACGATTGGGGTGAGCGACACTGGTATCTAAGACCTGCTGAAATTCTTATAGTATTTGCAGCACTGACGTTAGTACAAGAGGTAAGTCGATGTCATTTCTGAAGCTGTCATCTCTGAGAATGACTTTACTTTACAGATCGAACTGATCTGGGTGAGTAGCGTCCTACGTCAGGAGAACAACATTGATTTGCGACAGAGGCAACGTTGGTCTCTGATGACTGCTTTGTATCTGTGTGTATGTAGCTTGCATTATCATCGTGGTCGGCAACTCGCGCTTACTTGAAAATATTCTAGCTGCGCTATGTTGGATTAGTATATGCCGTGTATGTTTAGAAGGTTCAGCATTGTCGTTGCGCTAATTTATCATTTCTCACAATCAGGATCAGCATATTGGGTATGTCTCCTCGCATACACCATGTTTATTTCCTCTGATCGGCGGCATACAGCTCAAGTCCCGACAATCCCGTTGACAGATACAGTGAGTGTTGTGCACCGATGCCTGAAATCCCTGTATATTCAACTGCACCCTCATGTAGGGGTGAGTGAACTTCTTGGCCAGCTTGTTGCTCCAACATAATGATCGCCACAGCTGTGAATTGATTTGGAATGTATGATCCTCCGAGGCTGGTTACTAACTGGATTTCTCAGGCCGTGTTTTCTTTATCACATTAAATTGGATGACTTTCATTTCGACTGCAATGTTGGGAGGTGAGCTCCACAGCCCCGATATGTTGATCAGTGATATTGACTGAAACGATGCAAGTCATCATGATCGTTCGGTTATATGCCATGTATCAGCGATCCAGAAAGGTGCTGATACCTCTTGTTGTCACCTTCCTGGCTCTCAGCATCATCAATGGGACGATTTCCGGAAGAGTAACCAGGAATAGTTCAGCAGGTAAGCATTCATTGTGGATGAAAAACTAGTGTACTACGCTCATCGGCAAACACCAGTGGTGCTCATTCTCTCCGGCAGTTATGTGTGCTCCCCCAGCTTTGACGGAAATGGCGTACTTCTGGTTGACATCACTTGGATAATCGGTATTGCATGGGAAGTCCTCGCACTGTGTCTTGCAGTCCGGATTGCTATAAAACACATCCGTGAACTACGACGAACATCACCAGGAGGAGGGTTTCTGGGGGACTGTATCACGGTGCTGATAAAAACTCACGTGGTCTACTTTATGGGGTGAGTTCATAATGTTCATGTAGTTCTTTTTTTCGTTGAAGTTCTGAACTTGCTAGTTTTGTTGCTGTGTCTTGTTTCGAGATCGGTTATTTATCTCCAATGCTTTCAACGGTACGTCGATACGACACTCACCTCTGTGTGCGAGCATGATTTATCATTTTCATAGAACCCATATTCTTTGGAGACTCAAGTTTATCTTGGCTTTTCTCAGATTTTCACGCTCGTACAGATGGTTGTGCTGGGACCGCGCCTGATCCTCAGTGTTCGAGAATTTAACGCTACGCTCGTGGCCGATTCCGATGCAGGAACTGTCATGAGTTCAGTCGCTTTCCAGGAGCGCGTGCATATCACAACTGGCAATGGTGTGTAGCCGGGAAAATGCTCAATGTGATTAATACTTGTCGGATACTCGGAAGGGAGCGGGACAATTGCTTTTTGTCTTCAAGTTTCGTCGTAGTGGTTATTTGGTGTCACGAAGTAGACTTGCAAGAGAAATAGGTCTGGACAAACGAAAAAAAGTATTGTTGTATCACTTGGGCAATAGCTACAATTATTTGTCTCTGTCGCCCTCAAAGAACAATTGCATGTATACTACAGTAGTGTATCCGAGGGTTCAATACTCCTTGTCGAGAATCCTGTCATACGAGACAGAGGAAGTATATACAGGGTTTTGAAGGTTCGTAATTTGTTGTATGGGTATGAATAACAAATTCTGGTTGTACCTTTAAGTTAGTATCATACAGATCACATGTACTCTACAGCTTTGCCTTGTTTTCAGTAGGACCTCGTACGTCAGCCCGCACCACACCCTCTTGACAAGTGGCCGCAACCAGGTTGCCAGCTCGTGAGTACAACTTTATATAGCATCAGAAATTCTGGGGAGGTTGCGGTAATGATAAACATCACACACCCTGCCATGAACCACTGCTCTACCGGATGCAGCTCGAGGACAAACAACCTACAGGAGGAAAGATATGAACAAGGATGACTTTTCAATAGATGATAAGACACCTACCACATAGAGTAAACCATCTTCACAACAAAAGTTGTCACTGACAGCAGTTAAGAACATGTACATTGGGTCAAGTGATCTAGAGGAAACATACTCGTAGTACCATATGGAATGATCTAGTGTAGACTGGGTGAAGTCTGTAAGTAGATTTGAAGGCACAAAACAGCAGCGTACTCACGGTCATTGCATGAGCATCAGGGCCATTTGACATCCGCTTGAGTTTAAGAGCATCAGATGCAGCAGAGATACTAGACATGGCAGAACATGAGAACATTCCCCGTGAGTCGAACTTCGGCTGCTTACAAGTTGAGGTCCGAAAGGTATGCTAGAATACACTGATGATGTGGATTAGACAAAAATCAACTAGCCATGGGCAACATTCTACCTTCTGGTAAGGTGCTCCATAATGTGACGCTTGACCTGTCCGAGCTTGCACCCAATGCATGAATGTTTGAGTACCGTCTTCGGTAGTCAAACCAGCCCTTCTAACTGCAATTGGACCATTCTCCCTTTCCTAACGGCAAGGTAAGCTGTATTGCGGACTTGAGTAGTAGGGCAAACATTACAAGCGCATAAGACAATAATATGTCCCGAACTTTCGAAGGAAGGTCCTCCCTCGTAGCTCTGCGTCTGAACAGCACCTCCTCAAGCTCGCACTCCTCAAGTGGGGGCACCTCGGGCATGGGCCATTGATGTGTAGGCTGCCATGGTTCCGGCTTGTGGTAGGAACACATTAGCTGAAATATTATCTTTCCATTCTGAACTGCTTTGACACTTCGGGTAGTGTATGACCGCCCTTCCCGTAGCCGCTCGACGAAATATATGATAGGAATAGCGGGAGATGCGCTCAAAAGAAAGTAACACTAAATGCAATTGAGTATTGTCGCTCAAGAAGTTGAACATGGGGCTTACGTGCAAAGACTAGTGGGTAACAGTATTCCATTAACTTTCACCACCAGGATGTTGAAAAAGTATGCTCTTACATGCAATCCGAACACGGGATCGACACAGTTGGTGGCGGCGACTATTGCTTGTGAGATGACCTGCCCTCCGAAAACGCCTCGAGCCTTCGTGGGTTTGAATAATGTCTTTGACCGAAAGAGATTTACTTCGATCTGCTCAAGCTCCAAAGAGGTGGAAATTTTGGAACTTTCAGCTTGGTTTGGATCATCCATAGTAAATGCCTGGGTTGTAGAACAACTTATTCGTGTGGCTTGGGAAGAAAGGCCTAGTCTTCGACGAGTCCAGTGCTAATACTTCCAATAGATCCGCCTCAGCCAGTGGGGTGTTCCGGGATAAAGTAAGTACCGGTACCTACTTCCAGATAAGTTGGCGATATTAGTATAAAGCCGAAAGCAGGTGAATTTCACCGGCCCACTATACTGTCGCTGACCATATGTACACGACACCAGGTGATCGGAACCCGGCTATTACAGCCTATAGTCTATGATAATCGGGTGAAAAATCACAGGGAACTGTCTTTTCCAGGTTTTTTTTTACCTTGGGACTGGTAATTATAAAAGATGCGCGTGTGTTCAAAAATTTGCAAGACGAGTGTATGATATTTACGGTTAGACTGTCCTGGACCAAGATCCCCTGAGTCACGTACTGAGTATTACGTCTCTCAGCCGAGCGCTTAAACAAATCAAAAGACCTCGACGTCGATGGTGAATCCACATTCATGGCAAATTTGTCGACCCATACCATCTCCGAGGTCTTCCGTTACTCCGAAAACATGTTTGTGCTCCTGGTCTTTTCGTCTTTGCCACACACCTTCTCTAGTCCGTCTGCGCAAGTCTCGAAGTCCTTCTTCGAATTTCTTGTTCTTCTTTTTCTTCTTCTCCTCCGTTCGACGTTCCCATTCAGTGTCTAGAGCCTCTGGTGAACCCCATTTCTTCCACGCAAAATCTTCAACTTGACATCGCAAGAAGAGCATCATATTCGCAAACGTCGATTTATGAGGGTTGGCTTTGAGTAGATGGGGTAGCAGCTCTCGATCCCGAAGTTCGGCTAGACCTATCAGTATATGCACTACGACCAGGTCAGCGACTCACGGTCAGTTAAGAGGTAATCCTTATCGTCTGTTAGAGAGGACAAAAGTGTAAGAAAAGCGAAGGCTTACTTCTTTGCATTCAGTCTTTGTCAACAAACTGTATTTCTCTGGGTATTCATCCTTGCATTTGTTACATACCAAGCATCCAAATATCTTCTTGTATGTATAATCGATGTCGATAGACTGGCATTCTCTGCACTTCGGATTCAGGCTCGGATCCAAGTACATCGCTGTGATACCACTACCATCAGGACCTCAAAAGAGAGGAAAAAGTAAGGCTTACGCGGTTCCAAGTTCTGCTTGGCTCGTTGTCTTTCTCGCTCTCGCTCCTTCGCCCTCGAGTCTTCGTCCACCTCCTTCCCATCCTCAACCAAAAATCCACCTTTCGAGTTGACCATTTTAGACAGGTCATATTCAAAGTACTTGCCGAGGCGTGAGTCACGCTTCAGTGGCTTAGGAGCTGTCGGTGAAGTGGACACAGCTGGTATCACTTCGAGAGGGCGTTTCTGGTTCGGATTTGGCGTAGATGACGGGCCTGCCTCTTGTTCTCGTTGTCTCTGTCTTGCTTTTGCTAAGAACTGCGTTAGCTGAAATATGGACTGGAACATGGGCACCCTTGTCATCACTGGCATGTACCTTTAAGGCGGTTCAACTCAATGCGCTTGATTTGCTCGGGTGTCAGAAGTGAGTTCTCGGCAGTCGAAGGTGGAGGATGGACATTCCGTCCTTCCATCACTAAATTGTTCGAGACTCTGAGTGATTGCTGGTTCTAACAAGGGTCGGAGACAGTGTTTCATTGCACATGACAAAGACTTCGGTCTTACGGATTAGGAAGCTGGGTATTTTTATGAGTTGAAACGGACTCGGAGGGGCCGCTGAGCAACTGCTAGCATACGTCGTACGTATTGTCTGCGAGCTCTTTCTCGATGTTCGATTAATACATCGGTAGCATAACGACAGCAATGATAGCAAGCAAGACACAAAGTGGTCAGCCGAAGCAAGTCATCAACTTTCTACACTTGTTGCCGTAGCGTCATCAACAACCGCCGCTGTACCGTTTGTTTTTGGCGACTGATCACCCGAGTGGTGATCTGTCGTGCCATTAGCAGCGACTGGTTCGATAGGTGTGGGCCCGCTTTCTGTAGTCGTTGGAGTATCGACTTCCATCGGCAAATGCCCGCTCAACACAGGGCGAACCATGGTGGTGTGTCCACTAGGACCAGCCCCATGGGTCGAGCCTGCAGCGCCCGAACTCAAGATGCCCACACCGATACCAAACCTCCTTCCACCAGCAACGTCCGCCTCGCTTGAGTGGCTTCTCGGTTCGCTGTCACGACCCCGATGCTGCGTGTGGTCTCTACGCCCCCCCTCTCCCTCGTCATCCGAGTCAGACAGTTCTCCGTCCGCTTGGATGCGAGAGTCCAATAGCTGTCGGTGTCTCCTGGCATCCGGAGGGATCAAGTCTTCGTCCTGATTAAGGTCATCCATGTCGTCGTCTATCGGCATTTTTGGGATATCTAGTAGTTTGATGAACATTCCAACGCCTTCCCAACACCTTCGAAATCCATACCTGTTATATGAATACCAGGAGGCCCTCCCAAATGTCGCAGATTGTCGAGTACGATATTCTTAACACGTTCCAAGTACTCTGGCGTATTCATATCCTCTGTATTTGACGACCTCACATCTAATTCATAGTCGGGTCCAAAATACTCGTAGTATTCATTCACGGGTATTTCTAGATCACGTCAGTACGAAGTGAGAGTACCGTATTGGAGAGAAGGCCAACCTGGTGCCAGTTCAACGCCAGCTGCGAGACCGGTTTCATAGGCCCATGCCCGACTGACATTGCGCATCGTATAACCCCCGCCTCCAAGCAGTAGCAGAGGCTTGTTGAAGGACTTTACAAATTTAACACAGTTGGCGTGCCCTGGATAGAAGTTCAGAATGAGTCAAGGGTAGCACCTTTAGTCATACCTCGCATAGAGAGGTTTAGGCAGCCGAGTTTATCACCCGACAAGGAGTCTGTTCCACATTGGAGGACAATGGCCGACGGGTCGTACGATGCCATGACCTCACGGATCACCTGTATTGAAACATATAGACGCCAGCTGGAAAAGAAAACTTCACTCACAGGTTCGAACACCGATTTATAGTTTTCGTCCGAGATTCCGTCACGCAATGGAAAGTTCAGCGAATAATATTTTCCTTTGCCTATTCCTATGTCCTGATAGGTGTCAACAATATCCCAACAACAGGACAAAGTAACACACACCCGCAATTCGCCAGTTCCTGGAAAGTACTCGCCATATTTGTGGAAACTGACCGTCATGACCCGGTCTGTAGTGTAGAACGCTTCTTCCACCCCGTCGCCGTGATGAACATCGACGTCGATGTAAAGGACTCTGGTGTGATATCTGGTGGGGTTCGATCGTCAGGACCATGACAGAATTAGACTTTGCAATTAAAAAGCGCTCACCGGAGCAACTCAAGAATACCCAGCACGATGTCTACAACACGTAATTAGCGTGGAAATAGTTGTTACAGAAAGAATCTGTATGACCATTAACATAGCAAAAGCCGCTTGCTTCACTTTTCTTCGCATGGTGAAGACCGCCGGCCCAGTTTACAGCTATATCACATTTGTCTCGACTTAAACGGGCAGCACCCTCTGCAGGACGCATGAGCGTTGATTTATCATACCCCGTGAAACAGCATTACCCATGGAACCTCCGGCTGAGATGGAACAGTAGTCGAACAGCCCATCGAAAACGGGACAATCATCACCAACATTGTCTGCGAAAGGAAGCAGGATAGTTAAATGACATGAGAAGATACGAGGCGAAACAACTTGCATTTATGTTGTTCTTTTATGTACGAATTCATATTGCTGGGGGTGATGCGACTGAGGAACTCGACGTATTCGTCAGAGTGAAACTGTGTCATTTCGCGTTTTGTTGCAGGTTTAGCACGCTGCAGAAAAGTGAAATCTAGATCAAGAGAACGTCCATGCATTCGCAGGTGCACTCACAAATATCTCCATTTTCTTGTACAGGCCATAGTTCATGACCAAGGAATGACACATTCGTATACGAGTTGGTTTCATCCTGTTCAAGGCAGATAATCATGTCACAACCCTCAGCCTGACAGTGCCATAACTCACGGGTGCCCGGGACCATAGTGGAAACCCCCGATGTCCGAGTCAAAGAAGTAACACTGACGGGGAGGTAAGCATGATCTAATCGAGGGATTTCTGGCCGCAAAGAAGACGACTTACTACTCTCTTCTTCTGACTTTCGCCATCGAGGGGTATCATGTTTTGCGACATGTTTATAGAATGAACAGAACAGTGAAGGACTATCGGTATTTAACTGCCCAGCAGCCTCGAATTGCGTTAACGATGACTTTTGTAAGTCGAGGCACCCTGAGCACACGTGATCCGGCAACGGTTTGGATTCAACAACGCAGTATGAGGTACTATTGTACTAGTTGTGAGGTATGCTATACGACACACTCGAACTTCAGATTTTTGCCTTTCCCAGCAGTGCTTCACTACCTTTGTAGACAAGAGTGGATGGGGCAAAACCGAAATCATCGTTAAGTTTGATGTCCTGCGCAAGGACTTAATGGAACTTCCATTCGCAGATGAAAACCCACTGACCAACTCTCCTGCTATGACCCGAACCTACGGATTTTAGCATATAAGCACCTCGTTTGCATCATGAAACACTACGGACAGACCATGGACCAATGATGAACTGCATGTAATCCTGCAAACCAGAGCTACCAGTGGGCGGGGTGAGAAGATCATCCATCGCCGTTCTCAATTCTTACCTCTCGGCCAAATGTTGTCTCAAAGGTTTGCATGAAAGGCGTCACGGCGTTCAATGTTAGTGGGAGGTCGAGATTCGCCGTGGGTACTACTTCTTCAACGCGCGAGATAACTTGCTTGAGGGCCTCTCGAGCTTCTGAGAGATTGTTCTCCATTGGTGTATTACGGATGCGGGTGTCATATGAAAAGATATGTGGGGCGGGCCCTGATACACATTCGATGAGGAGAGTAAAATGATCTCGCGCATGCCGCAAATGTTTTCCTGTGGACAGTCTCTCAGTAACTTGCACAAGTTCGTATTGATCACATGAAGTGTAGTATCACCAATAGTTGACCCTGGAAGGAATTTGGATTGAGCAGTAAGCTGGTCGTCGGAAGTCAGAATATTCTCCACAAGATCAAGGGCCTGTTGAAGAACAGTAGTCGACACAAATTGAAGCTGAATAAGGGGAGAGAGGCTAGCAATATCACTACCGTTTGGGTGAGACGAGTCTACTTCAGTGACCATGGTGGAAACTGACATGGGTGCTTTCAGGCTACTGTTCAAACAAAATTTTATCTGAATCACATTTGCAATGAGGCTAGCCTCGAGGATAATTCATGACCGAGGCTATTAGATAGAAGATTAGTAGTACTAAGTACGTGCCAATGGCAATGATAGTGCATGTTCCTTCTGCCAAATTTCGAACAACCCACGGTTAAAGTTAGGTTATCCGAACTCAAGGCGAGGTCACGATATTTCCATCTGCCAGAGCTACTCCAAGCTAAGAAAAAGCGGATCAGAGACTGGAAGATTCTTGTGATAAAAAGTCCACCGTCGTCGTCACTCTGGCTGAAGAACACAAACATGTGTTTCTATGCTTTTCAATGACACTCCGCTGATATAAGCAAGCGCGCCCCCGCTTTTCCCGAAGCTGAGAATTGTCACGTCTCAATCACACCTCTTCCTCAATGCTTGCCTCCTTCAGAACAACAGGCTCGTTGGCCCGAGTAAGTGACATTTAATCCATGTTTGTTTTTGTATCTGATTGGTGTCATAGCGGGTAGCATCTGCTGGTCAAAGGCGCTTCCTTTCTATTCACGAATACCAGTCGGTGAATCTACTAAACTCGGTGAGATTGCTTAGAAATCGTTAGCGTTTTCATAGCGTGACGAATACCACTTTGATTTCTAGTATGGTATACCAACACCAAAGAGCATCGTTGCAAAGACTCCTGAAGAGGCCTACAGCGTTGCTCAGAATTTTGGTGAGCTTTCATCATAACGTGTATCCCTCTCGCTAAGACTCGGATTTACAGGCACAGACAAACTCGTGATTAAGGCACAAGTGCTTGCCGGTGGCCGGGGAAAAGGAAAATTCGACAATGGCTTCCAGGGTGGTGTGCATACCGTCGACAAGTATGTCACAACTGACATAGAAATGTCCCTACTCATCTGGTCCAAAGCCCACAGCAAGCACAGGAATATGCTGGCAAGATGATTGGTTCAAAACTCATCACGAAACAAACCGGTGCCGGTGGTAGAATTTGCAATGCTGTCTGTACATTCTTTACGAGCTGTTTCCCGTCTCTGACTACAGGACAGGTTATGCTTGCTGAGCGTCGTGATCCTTCCCACGAATACTATGTTGCTGTTCTCAACGACCGTGTTACCCAAGGTGTTGTTCTTGTCGCGTCCAACCAAGGAGGCATGAATATCGAGGAAGTTGCTGCGAGTAACCCTAGTGCTATCATTACAACTCCCATCGACTTCGAGAAGGGTCTGAGCAAGTCGACGGCCCTTGAACTTGCCAAAACTCTTGGGATCAAAGAAGGTGGCCAAGAGGAAGCGGCAAACATTTTCATCAACCTGTATAAGATATTCAAGGACAAGGATGCCACCCAAATCGAAATCAACCCCATGTCAGAGACTGTTGATGGCCATGTACTTTGGTGAGCGGAAATTTCACATCCTACGTTACCGTCCTCAATTTGTATCAGCATGGATGCCAAATTTGGCTTCGATGACAATGCTGAGTTCCGCCATGAGGATATCTTCGCGCTCCGCGATATCTCGCAGGAGGAGCCATCAGAGGTTGAAGCTCAGAAGGCCGGTTTGAACTTCATTAAGCTCGATGGTAGCATCGGTTGTTTAGTCAACGGTGCTGGATTGGCCATGGCCACGATGGACGTTCTGGCTCTACATGGCGGCAATCCTGCGAATTTCTTGGATGTCGGGGGGTACGTAGAACATGCTGCTGCTGTGGTCTGTACCTGATTACTTATCCTCAGAGGTGCCACCCCCGAGACGGTCAAAAAAGCCTTTGAGATTCTTCTCTCTGACCCTAAGGTCAAGAGTATCTTTATCAACATCTTCGGCGGTATCATGCGCTGCGATTACATTGCCGAGGGTGTCATCAAAGCGACCAAAGAGCTCGCTCTTACTATCCCATTAGTCGTCAGATTGAAGGGAACAATGGAAGCGGAAGCGAAGGAGTAGGCTTTCTTTCTTGACTGTCGCCAAACATCAGTCTGACTCTTAATCATATAGGATGATCAAGGCATCTGGTCTGAAAATAGTTGCATTGGACAGCCTTGACGAAGCTGCTGAGACTGCTGTGCAGCTAGCAGTTTAGAGGTAGACTTAGATTACTCACTTGCTTATAAGTTATTGTGATCAGCTGCGGACCTCATACCCGTGGATTGCTAGCAGATGTGCATTGAGAAAGTAGGAAAATAACGAAACATATAATAACATGTCAGAGAAACATCAATATATCGTCAGGTAGCATTACACGTATCACCACGACGGTCGTCCATATGGTAGAGGTTGTGCAGGACTATACATAGCGTGCGAAGGTTGAGGAGCGGAGTGTGTTTGCTGCATCGGCGACATCCCAGGCATACCATCGGGGCGCCCTTGTCCACGGCCAGTAACGGTCATGTACGGTTGTGGACCAGCCATCATAGGAAGTGCGTGCATTATCACAGGACTCCCAGCATACATTGAATGATTCGCATGCGAAGGAGTCGCTGCATGCAATACAGGACTCATCACTGGCATATTGCGAGGGCGGGGTTGGGCAGCTCCGTTTATCTGTGGTGGTGACTGCGACCCGTGTGGCATAGGCGGAGGCCCATACATCGACGGAACCCCATTTGGGGAGGGGTATGCCATCAGCTGTGTAGGGTATGGCGAAGTTACCGGCCTCACTGCACCAGAGTGGCTTTGAGATGGGAGAGGCACCCATATTGGCTGGCCGCCACCGAACATGGGTGAATGTCCATTGGGCCCGCGCGGAGCAGGACTTGGCGGTGGGTACACGAGTGGTGTGGGACTAGGTGGGTGGGCCATCATCGGCGAGTAGGGAAAAGGGGGCCGAACATTCATGCTTGATGGATGGACAGGACTATATGTATAATTGGAAGGACGGCTGATGGGCCCGGCTGCAGATGAGGATGGTAACGTACTACTGCTCCTCGTAGCAGAATTTGATGAAGTGGGTACTTGCTGGAATGCACGCGTGACATCATGGAGTGACATCTTGGATGGAACGTTTGCTACTGAAGTAGGAGGGGGAGTTTCGCCATCTTCAGACTTGACATCTTGCAATGTGAACGGTAGAGCAGTGAGATCATCCGCAATGCCTTCGAGGGAGTTTACTGCGTGTACTAGAGTCTTGTCAGAGGGCTGCGACCATACAGCTTTTAGATGCTCGGGATCTGGTGCTCTCGCCGGAGATTCCTTTGCAGATGAAAAGCTTAAAGGAGATTTTGTCCATGGTGTGCTGTACGATGCAGATCCAGGAGTGATGAGATTTCTGTCAACCTATACACCCTTGAGCGACCAAAGAAGATGCATAAAAATACAGCGGAATACCGACCGATTCATCCGAGCTCTTAGAGTCCAGCTGTGTCGAAACAGCAAGTTTTGGGGGGCTTGTTTCTTTTCCAAGACCATTCACAACGCGACTGATTGTAACCGTCTCCATAGTATGAAAACTTTTGTCAGAAGAGTCTACAGCCGAAGAGAATAGAGCGCTTGGCGGATCACTTTGTGGAGATGCCGGTATTTCGTCCAGCTCGCTGAAGACAGTGAAGGACATCGAGTGCTTCTTTAACTCTTGACTAGCTGTGTCGGAAGGGATATCGCGATAAAATGCTACCGCAGAACCCACCGGCATCTTTGGTTGAGCTCTGGGACGTTGCACAACCGCTTCCGATTTATTGACGTATGGTAAGACACTTTGGGCAGCGGGAGCAAGTTCTGGTGGGTTAGGAGGTGGCGAGCAACTGATCGTGTCAAGGGCACCTGCGTTGGCGCTATCTGGGCTGACTTCTGGAATAGATGGACAGACGGCAACCCTCCTCCAGGACGGAAGGTCATCGACCTTCGATCGCCCATATGACGAACCCGGCTTTATTGATCCAACAGGAAGATTGACCTTGGGTCCTGACGGAATGGCGAAAGACGAATGGTTATATCGCGCTCGAGGAAGGAGGACGCGAAACCTAGGTTTGCCCCTGGGAGACGAATAGCTCTTGTGGAGCACGTCATTCAAGGAGAAGTCTTTCTTGGTCATGCCATCGACCGGTGGATCCCAAGACATTATATCCCATCGAACTTGCGAACGCGCATTCTTCAAAAAATGAGCTTGCCGCTTAGGAATGGGATCCAAAGGACGCGATTGGCTGGGGAGGCGGACCACAACGGTCAGTCGAGGCGAACGTGGTGGTTCACAGCCAGTGACATCGAAGACTTCGTGCTCTTCCCCAAATTCGACACGACGTGGCCGCAGTGCAGGAGGAAGCCATTTAGGCCCACCTGAATAACCCCGACCATTAGCATTGCCCTGAGATGGAGTGACATCTGGTTCGGGCGGTGCATCTGCTGTCTCCTTGATGGACTGTTTTGCAGATTCTGTCTCTTTCATGCCATCCAAGGCTCCCCTGATGCGAGACATCACATCATCGAGAGCAGACATCGGCGCCTCACGGTAGGTCGGTCGAGTTAGGCGTTGTGGAGATGTGGGCAACGTCGTGTGGTTAGACGAATATGACGTTGAGCCATCCGCGATAGAGGAACTCTTCGAAGGCGATATATGTGCCACTGCCTCCCGTAGCAATTCCGGACTTGGAAGGCTCACCGGAGCATCCTGCAACGGTTTACCCCCAGTCTCCTTTGCAACTTCTTGGTTCGTCGACGAGGATGGAGCTAAAGCTTCGCGGACAACCTCAATGGGAGTTTTGCGACGCCACACGCCTGGAGACTTTGGGCGAGGAGGAAGTGTCTGAGGCTCTGAGTCTTCAAAGAAGTCACTTGCGACAGGCCGAGGAGGGCGGGGCGGTCTTTCATTGCCTTTGTATGGAGCCTCGGATTGTGGGGCCGCTGGAGCACCAACTAATTTACCCATATCAGAAAAGTCCACCACCTCGAGATCCTCATCTGCAGAAACGGTAATAAACTCTTCTACTCGGAGCAGCGGCGCAGGCACAGGTGTTTCTCGAGGCGCTGGCGGCGACGATGGAGGTGGAGCTTTGCTTCTCCAGGAATCCGTTTTTGAGGGATCGTGCGATTGCTCTGCATTAGGAGGCACAATCGGCCTCGGAAGCACCGGCGGTCTGACAGATGCTCTTAGAGATGGCGGTCGCCCTATCGGCTTGACAGGCATTGGACGTTGTACCGTGGCACCAAGTTGTAGCGCTTGCTGGGAAGGAGATTTGGCTGCTTCCGCAACCTCCTGTATTAGTTTCACGGCTTCCGCTTCCTGCAAATGAAATGAGCCGTGTGAGATGACATTAATCACGTCACAGAAACCCACTTGAGCATTCTTCTTCTCTTCGTTTGCCTTGAATTCCTCCTCCAATGCAGCTGCCTTCTGCCGGGCGCGTTCTTTCTCTTTCTCCCGCTCCTCTTCTTCCGCCTGTCGTCGTTGTTTTGCGCGCTCAGCTGAGATATGCATGGCCGTCTTGTGAACGTCTTCGATGCTCAGCGTAGGAGTTGCGAATGGGGCGGGGGTCTCGGAAGTCACCGAGATGGTGGACAATAAGGGTGACTGACCAACGACGCTACCACCATGAGTTGTAGTGGGCGAATCAAGATGTTGTTGAGAAGCAGACAGAGGTTGATGTGGATCTCTCGCAAAAAGCTTTCCAGGCGGGCCAGTTGAAATATGAGGTGGAAGCTGCCGATTGGCATCACGCTTCGACGGTAATGGTGGAGGGCCCATGTTCGACAAACGACGACCTCTGCTATCAAACATGATTTCATGCTTCTCAATAGGAGAAACGGACGGAAGCCCATCCCAGTTTGGCGGCCCATTCATTGAGGGAGAGGGTAAACCATCACGAATCCTGCCGAAAGGAGCGTGGGGGCCAGGACCGTTTCTCGATGTGCGCGATGAGCGATCATAGCCACCCGCAGGTTTTTGGAGTAATTGCACTGGTTGTACAGGCGACCGCATTGGTCCATCTCGTCCACTACGCATGTCCACTGGAGGTGGAATATGCTCTATATGAGAGCCTTTCCTAGACATTGGAGCCCCAGGGAAATGTCGGATGTTTGGGTGAGAACTGTATGGTTCGAGTCTGTTTGAGCGTTCATTGAAAAGAACTCTTGGACCTTCCGAAGGCGAGTAGCTGGGATGCGAAGATGCAGGGGAGATTGACGGATGTCGAGGAGCACGTGGTAGATCCTTGTGCACGAAAGATGGAGAGGGTCTTGATCGTGGCCATCTCCGGTCAAAGTCGTCTGCAAAACGATCCTCTTTACTAACAGGTGCTCTGCCGCCATCAACAATCTCTGGGTGAGGCTCGACAGTATCCGTAGCTGGGTCGGGTGATGGTACACTTTGCGCACTAGCTTCAGCTGGTGATATCTTGTACTGTCTTCCGTCGCCAAATTCAATGACTCCGTCCAAAAAATGGTCATCATCCTCTTCCATCTGCGAAATGTTAGAAAATTGAATAGGAAGAGTGGAATGAAGCAGACCTCATCCCAGTGGTGGGCGTTTGGGTCAAGGTGAACACCTCGAAATGCATCAGCTTCTTCAAGCGTCACACTTTTTGAATGAGGAGCATCAGAGGGCTTCTGTGATTCAGGGACCTTGGGTGATGGTCGGCCTAAAGAATACAAATCAATTCACGAACTACATCTACAAAATTTGCAACGTACCGTGAGCAACTTCGGCAGCCGTAGGAAAGTCTGAGGGACCTGTACTATCCGGGAACAGGACTGGTACCACAACTTTCGGATGTCCCCAGGCCGGTTTGGACGTAGTATCCTTCTTCCCCGTTGCGGATGAAGTCGATGCGATAGCTCGTGGTTGTGGCTGAATGACTTTGCCAGCGACAGGGAGCTGCGGGGCAGCTGGGACGGAAACGGGCGCTGGTGCAGCGGTATGCAGAAGGGGCTGTGGAGGGGGTCCATTGGATGAAGTTGATGGTGTTGAAGAGACTGGAGGTGCCGCAGATGGTGGACGCGACCAACCTGGACCAGTTGTGGTTGATAAAACAGGCGCTGCTGTGAGCTTGGTGGTCACGAGTCGCGAATGCGTGCTTATTGGTGGAGCTACAGGTCGAACAGCTACAGGACGTCACATTGAGATTATTATTATGAAACACAACATTGAACTTACGAGCTGGACTGCCAGACTTGACGACAGGTACGTGGTTCGATGACGTGGTGGCAGACCCTGAAGAGGATGAGTTCTTCTGTAGGAACTTCTTGTTGATGTTGACAGAAGTAAATTTCTTTGGATGTGGGGCAGCAAATGATGAATCTGAAGCAGGAAGAGCCAATTGAATGCGAGATTGAGTTGATGAGTTCGTAGGTGAGATCAATGGAGGTGAACTTGAAGTCTTGAGAGCACAAGCTGCGACTACAGAGTGTTCTTCAGATACATTGGATGAACTCAGCGACGCATTAATAGGTTCCTCTTCTGCATGACTTTCAGTTAGCCCCGTGTTTGAGTTGTCGATATTGGCCATATACGCGTCTCAAGACGCCGATAGTCAGTTTTCAGTCCCTACAGAGATTATAGCAGGAGCCGAGAAGGAAATCAAATAAAAATACACAACATGAGTTAAAACGTTGAAAATGACACGGTTAACCTGTTATTGACTTGCCTATAAGCTTTATAGAGTAGACAAACGAGATTTTCGTTGTCGTCGACGAGCAGAAATCAAACGAGGCAGGCAGAGTGCAACGTTGAGCGGCGGTTAGCCTATTTCGGTTAAGTACCTAATAAACTACATAGTGTTATATGCTAGCAAGCTCAGCCTCCTTTTTATTCAGTCGGTCAACTTCTGCATCAAGAGCTACATTTGCCATCTCAATCTGAAGGATGCTCGATATCAACTCTGTCCATTTGTTCTCCAACGATGTCAACTGGTTTCCGATTCGTGTCTTCAAACAAGTATGAATACACTGCTTTCCTGATCAACACGAAACATACCTGAGAGTTCTTGCGTTCTCTGTTAACATCTGTGGTGCGCTGCTTCAATTCCTCGAGCGCTGTTTCTGCTTGCTTGGCTGTCGCTTCCAACAAGTAATTATGAATTCTCCAAGCATTAGGTCCATATGTCTGCAGCAGTGCGAGATTCGTGTGCCTTTGAGAGACCGTGAGCTCAAAGCATTTAAAGGACAATTGAAAACTTACCGAATACGCTGGTGCTCTAGTTGGGACTGAGCATTCTTCAGCGCTTGTTGCCACTCCTCATCTGTACCTGGAGTAGACGTTGGCGCTGGAAGTTGATATCTTACGGTATCCAAAGGTGCTAAAGGCTGATGAGCCTCGACACGCGCGAGCTCAGCAGCAAGCCCAGGTTTGTCCTACGCCATATCAGGCCTATGAACGACCAAAGGGTAGCTTAACATACCTTGAAGAGCTCTATTGGAGGGGGAACGCGAGGATGCAGAGTCTGCGGTGGTTTTGGCTCACGTGCTAGCTCGCGCTCGACTTTTTCCTTTAATATTGGATTTTGCTCGAGATCATTGTCATAGTAAGGTAATGAATCGAATATTTCTGTTCTGTGAGTGTTGTTGTCGGTGAGTGAAGCCATGGTCTACTTGACCGTCGGCGCCAGTCACGATTCGGATCGGAGTGTGAATTCACCGTTGCTCTAACTCGTCTGAACCCGCTGGTTGAACAGTAGCCAGCAAACATGTCGTTCCGCACGGGTCTGCGGGTCACAAATCTGCTTAAAAGCTCGTCAAAGAGACCAACGAGGACCGTTGGAGTCGCTTTGACCCGAAAAATTCAGTCGTCATCATCGCCTAGAGGTAAGTTATACCTGTCCTAATCGCCGATGGCTGTCTTGACGACTTGCTAGCCTCCGTTTCGCCATTCACTGAGCCTACATCACCAAATCCTACAGCTACCAAGTATGCTGAGACAACTGAGTCATTACACACATATGGATCATACCTCATGCAATGTCTCCCAAAATTCGTCCAGCAGTTCTCCGTGTTAAAGGATGAACTCACTTTGCATATCTCTCCGTCTGGCGTCATCCCCGTTTTGACTTTCCTTCGAGATCACTCACAGTGTCAGTTCAAAAGTATCGTGGATATCACCGCTGTTGATTTCCCAGAACGAGAGAAACGCTTCGAGGTGGTTTACAACATGTTGAGCATCAAGCATGCGGGGAGGATTCGCGTCAAGACCTATGCTGGCGAAGCGGACCCTGTACCCAGCAGTGTTTCTGTCTTCAGTGGAGCAGACTGGTATGAACGGGAGACGTGGGACATGTTTGGCGTCTTCTTTACTGGTCACCCCGACCTGTAAGTCGCGTTCTATACCCCTATAGACCGGTGTATTGACCTTCTATTTTCAGGCGTCGCATACTGACAGATTATGGTAAGTCCTCTTAGGTGTGATAACTCGCATTTGTCATAGATTTTTGTTTAGGCTTCGAAGGTCATCCCCTCCGAAAGGACTTCCCATTGTCGGTGCGTAGCTACCACTACAAGCCGCTAATCGTAATGATGGAATTATCATTTTAGGGCTACACCGAAGTCCGCTACGATGAAGAGAGGAAACGCGTCGTTTACGAACCTCTGCAATTGACGCAGGCTTTCCGGTCAGCCAAGAATCATTCTCGATCATTGCGTTTTACTAATCACCAGATTATATGCAGCAACTTCGAGTCTCTATCACCTTGGGAACAAGTAGGGCAAGGGACAAAGCCCATCAAGCCTGCAGAACTTAAACCTGTTCCTCCACCTCAGCCCGAACAGCCTCCAAAGAAGTAGATGCTACTACGTTATTCATTTATACATATACACAACATTCTTATCCTCCGAGTGCAATCGTAGTGAGTCGTCGTAAGGTAATACACAGGTGGGGCAACAATATGTGAGTAGAGAAACGCATCACTTGGATGATTCAGAGGACATTTCTTGAGGTGTAGTGGGCTCGGCTGCCTTCTTACCCCATCCCATCCGTGCGACAATGTAGTCCTGCCCAATCACCTCAATGCCCACCCGGAGAGACTCAGCTACAAGATCTTCCACCCAGTCGTAATCATCCCAGATCTGCAACCAACTACCAGGCACGGCCTGTGTTATAGTCGTGTGCACTAACTTGTGTCCGGGATCAGACAGATGCAACAGGAACCGGAGGTTAGACTGCGCGGGCGTGTCTGTGGATTCCCCTGAAATATCAACGGGCTGAGGAAGGGTAAACGATGTAATAAATGGCTGAATGCGGAGGTAGACAGAGGAGTATGTAACAGGATTCTGAATAGATGACTCTTTGGGCGGTACTTTGGAATTGGTTTTGATGAATTCATCTAGATTTGCCTTGACGGAAAAGTCAATCTCGCATGCACATTCCTTGGCATTGGCCCTTTACCTGCGCGAGCTTGAGAGCAGCATCGTATCCGTCCACTGAATTGAAATCCCGAGGAGTTCCTGTTGCAGATTCCTTGGGTTTTGATTCGTCACCTCGATTGACAATCAAATCGCCACCCTCGACCTGTTCCATGACCTACACAACGACATCAACACGGCAGACACTGTAATGGCTTGGTGCGTACCCTAGCGAGTGACCGGTATACAAGCGATTCAACGCCATCATATCCTTTCATGTCATGACTGAGCCATACTTGAATGACCTCGTGCTCAGATATCGGAGGAGCAACTACATTCAGAATGTCTGTCAATGTAGACAGTCCAACTCTCTTAAAATCTTGTCCTAGGGGGTACGAATTAATTGACTTTGAATCAACTCGTAGCGCGCAGACGAACCAAGTTTGTCGAGCTGCGCAGTCTTTGCATACTCCAGGACTCCCTCTCCTAGCTTACTGATGTGTTCATTCTTGGGAAGGTTCTTGACTTGCTCGTCCACTACAGACCTCGCTTGTTGGTAAGCGGTACTCGCACTGGTCCATACACTGCCCCATCCCCAACGACTTGAGGAAGCCGCAGACTCAGCTTCAGCATTGGCAGCAGGAGCTGACGATAGTTCTGGCTTTGCTACGAGAGAAGAGGTTGAGGAGGACGGATGAGCACCGACTTTAACTCTTTCAGTGCTCTTCCTCAGTGATGGGGTTCCCGGGCGCGAAACATGTCGTTCTATGTGTGATGTCGTAGAGCGAGTTGGCTCTGAGCTCTTCTGAGTTATCTCATCAATGAACGCAAGAACATCCGCTGGGTCCCCTGCACTGCCCGTATTAGCAACGGGTCCACGCGCCGTTGGTGCAACTGGATTAAGAGAATCAAGATCATCGAGAAATTGAAGGGCCTCTTCCTGCTTTGACTTTGATTTAGAGGCCATCGTTGTAGTGCGAGTCAAGCAAGTCGGAAGGACCCCAGACTTGGACAGCGGAGTCTAATAGCGCGCTTACGTCGAATGCCGTCAAATCAACTTATCTACGTTCATTCATCATTCCTTTGTATGGGTCGTAAGAAGAAAGTCGAGCAGGAGGTATACCACGTCGGTGCGAGCTTAGCTCTTCATCGCTATCACTATTGACGCGCTTGCTGGTAGAGGTCATAACCAAAGCCCGCGTCAGTGAAGAAGGAGACTGGGTAAGCACATACCATTGGATTTCGAACAAAGATCTAACCGCTCGTCCAGGAATATTATGTCAAAGTGGGTTTTAATCCGCGTTTGATCGCGTCCTCTAATGGTTCATAGTGGGCAGGCTATGACTCCGATGCAGACACGTCAGATCTATTTCCCTTTCGTTGATCACGAACTCATTTTCCAATGCGTTATACAGTTGGGAGCCATCACAGAACGTGAGCAAATGCCAGCGGCTCTTATCCAGCTTTTGGGATCATGTCGGTACTGATGACGATGATTACTCTGTCGGATACGAGATTGTGGCGAAGGACTATTGGATCAGTGAGACTCGGCTGGCTTTTTGCTTGGTGGTTCAACTGACTGGTGTGAAGAGAAAGAGAAGGAGTTCTTCGCCATGCAGTTCTCAGAAGACGCCAAACGTATAAGTGAAAAGGACACAAAGAAACCACCTATCAAGCAGGCGAGTTCACCTGATAATACTCATTATACTGTCTTACACATTATACATAAAAGACAGCGAAGGCTCCAGAGCCAAAACAGGTCGAGAGCGATACTGATGGGTCGGAAGAGTCCGATGTCCCTCTCAAGCAGAGGTCTTCGGTCCCGAAGACGTTGCCTGGGCGAGGGGAAAAGCGTAACAATACACTCATTAGTTCAGATGTATGCCATTTTTTGTTTATTGTCGTGCTGCGAAGCTTAGACGACAGTAGTCAGACTCTGATTCATCGGAGGATCGCCCATCGAAACAGCGGCGGAAACACACTCACTCGAAGTCCCGGAGCACTACAGCGGACAAGGTTCCGTGATAGTTGCTGTCTCTCTTTCATTCTAACCTCCGTGCTTTCCACAGGAACGCTCTTCAGCAGCCCCGGCCTCTAATCCATCTGCCGAACAATCATCTCGTCTTCTTCCACCACCACCAAGGCTATCGACGTCTTCTGCCATACCATTGTCGAATGTACCTCGCCCACCCAAAATACAGCCCGTCCGAACTCACCAAGATCAAAAGGCCAACCCTCTTGTCAAGTCTTTGGAACTTCCCTCGAATGCGGTTCAATCTGGGAGTACCCTGTCAACAAAGCAACGTATAGCAGCGGGATCGGGTCCTTCTGTAGCACCCAAGCCAAAGCCATTGCATACAATTCCTAAACTTCTAACCGGTTTGTCATTCAAGAAGAAACCCCCTGAAGCAAAAGATCCTTCATCCGCAATTGGTTCGTCCTTCAAGAAACCTTTCGAGAATGAGCCTTTATCAGCGGGTGGTATGCAACCATCTGGTCCATCCGCTAAAGAGCCTTCGTCCACAACTAGTTCCTTCAAGAAGAAGCCTTCCGAGAATGAGCCTTTTTCGGCGAGTGATGTGGAACCGTCTGGCCCATCCACAGCGGGTGTCGAGGCCGGTCCTTCCACTACAACACCCGTTTGGACTGGCTCGTCTTTAGCCACAAAGCAGACAGTAGAGGAGCCCTCTGCCGACTGGGATTATAATACAGAGGTGTTCTCGGCTGCAGATGATAACCCTCCCCCTCCTTCACCTGCACCCCTGTAAGTGCGCTCGTGCATCATCACACACATCCATTTGACCGTCTTTTAGTATTCAGCATCAACTCGCGAAGCCAGCTCCCCCTAAGCCAGCCTTCGAACAGGCCGCAGACGAGTTTCTTCAAAGTCTTAGTCTTAATGTGCCAGGGTATGTGTCTTGGGCTGTTCACACTTATTTGTGCTCACAACATGCATGTCTAGTCTTAATAGCCCTTTGTGCGTCCTGTTTCACTGATTTCATTCACTGAATGCTCATGGCAACGTTCAGGGAGCCTTCAGTCAGTGATGGCACCCAGGAAGTTGATTCCTTCCGACCAAAGGCTTTGACATCGATGAAAACTTCCGTGATGCCAAAGTTTGTGGTGCATACTCATGTATATGAAAAGTGTTTTTAATTTTCGAATAGGATTCCCAAAAAGTGGAAATGGGAAGGTGATCTATTTGTTGACTTTGCTAAGAACCAAGCGGAGAAAGTTTGTGAAGTGACGATCAAGGACTCGACTGATTCACGCGATAACGGTGCTCGCATGAGTTTCATGATGGCGCAAACCGATTCCATTCGCATCCGAAAACTCTACAATGTTACGGATCTCACACCGGTTTTTCGCGCCTGTGGAGAAGCTCAGCAATTTGCCAAACTTGAAGCTTTGGAAAATCAAGATAGTCAAGCACTGCACGGACTGTTTCGTCATATGTCAGTTCAGCGACAGGTGGGTCTTAGTTCCCTGCTGATGTGCCATGTTGACGGGAGGCAAAGGTTGCTGTTCTCCCGTTGTCGTTGGATGGCGCAGAACTTGCTCTGCTCTTTATTTTCAGCCCGTCACTGGATGCCCTTTGTAGGTTCTTGCGCGTACCAGAGCATCTACGACAGGATTCCCAGAACACCCATGTTTTGGTGGCCTTGTTGCCATGGCTTGTCTCGTCTGCCAAATACAGCAAAGGAACGACGCGTAACCGGGTCGATGAAACCATACAGCAGCTATCGACTCCGAGTGGTCAATCGAAAGACAGCCGTCGTCGCATACTGAGAGAGGCTGCCATGGCTATTGATCTGCTTTCAATTCCACGCGAGCTCTTGGACTTCATGCAGTTTTCGAATAGGAAATATTGTATCTGGTCCTTCCCGGCCGACGGAGCAGCTTTGAATCCTGGCTTTGAGACCCGACAACTGAAATACGTACTGGACAAGACCAAAGCTGCGTCAGTTAGCCTTGATGGAGAAGCTCGGGTAATATTCATACATATCGGGGCCCTCAAGACTTTTTACGAGCTTTCTGCCGTGGTCACTAAGCGGCGCGACGCGCCTGAAGTTCGCTTTTTCACCTACGGTACACATGAGTCTGTTCCGTCCAGCAGGTGGGGTATGCGCGAGATTTTCCCTTTGGGTGAGTATTTGCAAAGCAGGGCGATCAGTGTCACTGACAATCTTTAAAGGTGGTATTGTCACCTTCACGCCTTTGGCTATCACCGAAGATCCTGTTGGATGTTATAATTTGATGCGTAACCTCGCGCAGCATCCTCTCTGGGAATGTTACCTGATACCTTCGATCGTGGGTTTGAGCCATGCCCTGGCGTGCGGCAAGGATAAGCCAGTTCCAGAAATCATGAGGTCAGTGCGATGCTCCTGTACTGTGATACTTCGACTCATGACGTATCCACAGCATGGACTCATGCCTTCTTCCCATTCTGGACCTGGGAGACGCAGGCAGCGTCTCTGTCATGAAAGCGCCTACCAAATATAATGATGACGCCTGGATCGTCGACACCTTTGAGAAACAACTGTTGGGAGTGGAAGATATGCTGCGAGAGTGCATTAAAAACTCAATGGAGCGCTTCGCTCAGTGCAGTGAATCTGACATCCTAGTTGAGGCGGACCGGGAGATTTCTCAGGATCTCATCAATATGGAACTGCAGCCTACGTTCATGGACAATTACCGCCGATTTGTGGTTATCAGAGCTGCATCCGAGGAGACTCGTGGCCCCCCTGAAGGCGGATTGGGGGTATGTAGTGTGGTTTCTCTATCAGCGGCGTCTGCTGACTTGACTTGTAGCTCGAGTGGTCTTCGATATCAAACTTCGCATTCAGGGATGATTACTTTCTTGGATCATAAATTTTAGTCATGTCATTATGTACCATAGTATAGCCAGGTAGTCAGTTTCCTTCAAGTCCAATTCTGAAATACCACATGCAAACGAACGGTAAAATTGGGTAGAATCGGTGCGAATCTCGGTTTACATGTGATTGTACGGCCGGTCCGCAGGTGTTCCACCCTCTCTTTAAGAATCCTCGCTGATGCCTCTAGCTGGCACACAACCATGTCCAGCATCACCCACTGGCTGTCAGACCCGCGCATGCACGACTACCTTGCCATCGTAAAAGGTGCACGCAATGGCTTTGTGTACGGAGTCAAAGTCAGATTCCCTCACGCGTTGATCATGGCCATTCTTTTTGGTCGAGGAGAGTACGTTTTTTCTCTGCACTCAAAGTCTTTTTCACTGCTGGACTACTGTCCTGTAGCTGGAAATCTCGTCTTCTTGTTATATACAAAGCAACCAAGCAGCACGCCTTCAACCTAGCAAAGTTTGTTTCACTCTACAAGATACTGTTACTGCTTCAACGAAAGGCAAATGGAGGGAAACAGCGCAACGCGGATACATTTGTTGCTGGCTTGTTGGGAGGGTACGTGGTCTTTGGCGATAGATCAGCCGTGAACGAGCAGGTACTTCAAACGAATTCTTGTCTGTGCCAGTCCTGTTTACATAGCTGACTTTCCATTTAGATAGTCCTTTACGTGGTATCCCGAGTCATTGCTTCATTCATGCCGCGCACAGGTAGTCCATATTCGAAAGTGCCTGCAGGCGCGTCTGGATCTGTGGTGAGACCCATCCCGCCAGACCCACGGTATTTCTCGGTCTTCGCGGCTCTATCATGGGGTGCCGTCATGTGGTTGTTCCAGCACCGCGGAGAAGCTATTCAACCTGGCATGTTCAACTCAATGACATACCTTTACCGCGACTCCGAAGTATGGACAGATCTCAGGACATTGTTATGGCACAATACATAGAGGAGTAATAGATTTTAACGGTGAGTGCAGACCTCCTTTACGCATGCACGTGCTACCTTACATGTTATCCAGATATCCTCTTATTACTTATTAGATTGCATCGAGCCAGTAATCCTGTGGCACGTAATCTACAGTTCTTGCAACTCTTCGACATTTATACTGTTCTTTAAAAGTCAGAATGGTCACACGTGATAAGCCCTTCCTTTTGGTCGTACCTGAAGCATATCCACAGCAGCTGTCAAAGCTTTGTGACACAGGGGGCAAGACGAAAGCTGGCCAGCCAAGTCACGCATCTCCCCCGCTATATCAGTAGCTGGATTTATCCGTCAGTAAGTGAGATTGAGATGTGCACACGATCTGCATACCTGCTTCGATTTGGGTGGCCAGGTACACCCGCTTCTGTTCCCAGAGCTGAGTGACCCACTGCTTGTGCACAGGGCAAGTGCCGTATCCGTGCGGAAATATATCCTCATTCAGCAGGATATCTCGCAGTTTATATTTCCGGTATTCATGGAGCCTCAGAAGCTCATGGTATGCGGTGACAGTGGGAATAATTTGTATATCCTCTTTGGTGTATGACGATAATGGGGGGTGTAGGAGGTGGGCGCTTGCCTCTGCCGCAATCTTCGGCAAGTTATTTGCTGTGGCATATGCATACACGGGGAGCGGATTCGTTGAAGCATTGGCTTGCACGTGCAAATGCAGTGAACATGTGATTGTTTCCGGGAGCCCATACTTATCAGCCAGATGAAGCATGGACGGAAGAACCGGGAACGGGATAACTGAGCCTGCGTCAAATTTGAAACGAGGTCTCGTTCCATCTGAATTCTCCATCAAGGGAGGGTCGGGGGGTTGTTGAATGAGGCGGAACAAAGTTGCTAAAGCATGCTCCGTTTCATCCAAGTCGAGAACTGCTTCCTGGGGCCCACGCTCGTCGTTATCACCCACTAATTCGAAACCGTGGTCACAGCATGCAAACATATTCCCTTAAAGGTATATTGACTTGAATACGGTATACCACAAGAGATGGACTTCGACGTACGGAACACCTCACATGCTTCAATAGCATGGCGGCTCACTTGAAACTCTGTGCCATCAGGCAGTGAGCGCACGTGGAGCTTTGTGTCAACCAGTGGGCCACTGGAATCGGCATAGCTTGTACTGGAGATATTTTTGCTAGCCATATCAAAAATTAGTGAATACCCTCCACCCCTGACTCACTTGTGTCCTTTATAAGTAGTAGGGCGATGGGTATCAACATGCAACGTTTTTGCAATCGTGTCCGTTGACGTACCAACTCAATATGACCGTGCGGGACAGTGGGAATGTCTGATCACAGCAATTCCGTAGTCCAGGAACGAAATTCATCAAACCTGCGAACCTGTACCAGAAAACTGCCAGTGCATTGCAAAATACATCGCGGACTAGATCGCGTAAGTCACAGCGTGAGGAGTGGGACGTGTGATATTGTAGCTAGAAGGAAACCATGAGCCCGAAAGCGAGCGAAAAGAATAAAGCAAAAGAATCGTGGAGGTATCATCAAACAGAGGTAAAGGGAGTATGAAATCTAAGTCGCCAATAACCCGAGAAGATGTCCTTCACATAACGACGCATTTGGGTTTCTTGCTGCCGCCATCCCTTGGTTGCTTGTCGCTCTGTTTTCCCCCTGATCCACCAGATTCCAATCGTTTCGTCTGCCGTAGGGCACGTACTAGGTTGGTGAAAAGGAGCTCGACATTATATGCTGTTCTTGCTGATGTTTCCATGAATTCACAGCCAAATGTCCGAGCGAGTGCAATGCCCTCCTCACGTGAGACTTCGCGCTCGTATGTCTTGTCGCACTTATTGCCCACCAGCATGAAGATAGGTTTTTGGCGCTTAACTTTGAGCATCGACTGTCTGAAAACGTCCAGCCGTTCAAATGTTGACCGAGATGCGATGGAGTAGACCAGAATAAACCCCTGGCCTTCCCTAAAGTTATGAGATAGTGAGACATGTCAAACATAAGAGAGCATAATGATTACGTACCGAACCCATTGGTCACGCAGTGTGGCGTACTCCTCTGCATGGACATTAGAGAGGTGGCATAGGTGTAATGAATAGTACTCACCCTGCCCAGCAGTGTCGATGACTTCGACGAAGCACATCTTGTTATCCACAATTAACTGCTTCCTATAAGCGTCTTCTATTGTCGGGTCGTAAGTCTGCGAGTGACCATGAGTCAATTGATACGAGGTTCACAAGAACACATACCTCTGCATAATATTATACGATGAAGGATGGAGGTCATTAATTTGCAATAGAACGTTTATTGTAGTTGTGCTTACCAACGAAACAATTGAGAGTGAACTAGGAGGGAACATGAGGCGTGGATGGGCAACAATATAGTCACAGGGACTGACCTGAACGGCCAAAGCAGTTTTGCCGACACCACCATCGCCAAGCACAGCAACCCTCCAGCTATCCATAGCTGTTAATGATAGATTAGGAATGATAGGGAGATGAAAGCAAGCGAAGAAGGATTACCTTGAGTGTGATCGAAAGAGATGGAACAGGAGTTCTGTTTTCAGAAGTGAATTACAACTGTCAGAGAGGGTACAGGGGATGTGCGTACCTTGAGAAGCCGAAAATGGAGTTTGAAGCCGGAGAAAGTGCCAAGTATATAGGGATACCTTATAAGAGATGAGGTTTGAGAGAAGGAAGAATATTCAGAAGTCGTGCAGATCGTATATGGTCGTAAAGAAAGGCGCAGAAATGGACTTGAAGACTTAGAGAGAGAAAGGAGTAGGAAGCGGAAAGAAGAGAAACTGCGTTGATGTACGACCAATTGGCTTGTTTACGCCTCCTTCCAAGTATTCCACTTATCATATAAGATAATTTTAAAGTTTTACTTTTATTTATTTATTTACTTATTATTTATTAACAAATCACCGCCTACGGACATCTCCATCCACCCCTTACAAAGCAATGTTCTTTCCCCTTAAAAGCAGTGTAAAGAGGTATGGACGATTGCGGTCCACCTAATTAATTGCCGTCAGAACGACCATACATGGTATCAAGCTCTCCTGGCTTATCATAATCATACCATTTAATTAGCCCCGCATCTAAGTATCAAGACCCTCGTATTTAGTCAGTCGCCATATGTCAACCACATCCAGTTCACTGGTACATTAAACCGTCCATAAAACTGAAAACTTCTTGGAGATAACTCCCACCAACGGCTCCGAAATTCTCTCGTCCGGCCGTCATCTGACCTCCGGACTCAAATTATCATTATCCAACTCTGGAGGTAAGTTCGACCCATCCGAGACACTTTGTATGAACACGGCGACTTCCAGGTATGGAAGTGATATCATGTCCTTGCAGGATCAGCGCTCAGCTCCTCTTAGTGTTTTAACACTGTCACACGAGGCCTTGTATCCATCAATGGGGTTGTTTGACTATTCCGTATGGAAGATCGAGTTGGGGCCTTGGGGCCACAAAATTCAGGGCCATCTTTGGCCATGGCTCACCCAAATGATCCAGCTTGATCTGCGCGGTAAGGAACGCCATCAGATACCCATAAAGCTGGGCGGTCTCGGTCGACCTCCTGTAACTTGCCGCGACGATCATCGTCTTTCTTTTATAATTATTGTCAGATCGGAAAAGTGACTTTTAACCGAACAGCCGAACTACATTTGGAAGGTATACGCTCAATAGGCGCTCGTCAAAACTTCGTATCGTTCATCGTGACTCGTTAATCCGAAGGGGAGAACAGGCCTTTCACAGATACAATTACTGTGATCTAACTGGATGCTGAAGCTTGAAGCTGAGGCTCTGATTGGCAGTGTGTATCCGCAGATCAGTGACGTTGAGATGCTACTCGTGTTCTCGCTTTTGGTACAGAATTCAGAGGCTGTCACAAGTCACGGTTAAAGTCGCGGCTGTATTTATGCCGTCCTAGACCAGGCTCCCCTCGACCTCGCCACACCATGAACTTTACGAGCAACGACAATCGCGCCACCGCCACCATGGGACGTTACGTATCAACATTCCGTCACTGGCATCCTCGACGGAGCATCTGACGGGGTGCACGGAAGCCGCGCCAAGTATTTGTCTCCAAGTGTGGCTTATAGAATACACGTTAAGAGCGCACTTATCGTCATTGATGTGACACCCCTTGCTCTTTTCGACGCAGAACCAGGCCGACGAAACTCTCCCATCCGAGTTTCAGCCACGTAACTTAGACGTGATGTTTATGTCGTCACAGCACGATGCTCTCCGAGTCGGGTCTAACTTACTCGTCCCGGTGGACACCTCCCCGACAAGTTAATTGAATGTGTGAAAACCTTGTAAACTTTGCGAACACCCTTCGGCACCTAAAATGAGTATCTATCTATCGTAAGAAATTGCCTTCGTATGGTGATAAGTACTTATTGATACTCACAGCTTGCTCGGCCCGCCAAAAGGATCGAAACTTAGTGGGCGTCTGACAAACTCTGACAAAGTGCGTCGTGTCAAAATACTGCCATAAGACAGGCTGACTCATCGGCTAATTTATGGAGAGATGATGCCTGGCCCGGGTGTACGGGTGCTCAATCTGAGTCAACCTCGTCTAGTCATCTCCAGCGATTCTCACCAGGTGGCGAGCAATCGCTCTCGAGTTGCGCTTCTGACACGTGTCTTGCAGTAGACGGTGGGCAAGCGAGTCTGATTCTGTCTCATTGCTGATATTACTGGGTGCTGCACATCCAATGTCGATGCATAGACTCGAAATTAGCATGGCGGAACTGGTCCAGTCTGGCTTCTAGGCGAGCCAACAGCCTGAAGCAGCCCCAACTTGAAGGATCAACGGCTGACCTGAATGTCATAACGCCACTATCTGAAATGCGAGTAAGTCGATAACCACGCTGAATCTTCGGGAAAACCCAACGGCACTCGTTGACACCTCACCGTCTCATCGTAATTCTGCTCAGCCCTGTTCTACCCATGCTGTATTGCTTTCATAACAGGCTAAATATCCTATTCGGAAGTTGACCCCAGCGACACAGGGCTGGACATGTCAGGACTCAGGAGTCAGCGCTAATCAGCTCGGGGGATCGTGGAGTTTCAGCTGTCTGTCCTGTCACCTCGCGAGCTGCCAGTACCCAGAAACAAGACCCGTGCCTCAGCCCAACGAGAATGGAGAATTAGCATTCGACCTCTGCCAGTGGTCAGCCTTTCTAGATTTGACACTTGTAATCCCCAGATTCAATTATGAGTGGGAAATAAGAATGGCTCCCGTTCTTACTAAATTTCCAGTGATTGGTAAAGTTAAGTTTCAGTCTTTTTTTGTCGCTCAGCGTCTGTGCTCGAGGGTGAGAATTATTTTGGGACGGAAGAAAAGAAGGTAATGATTGGCGCACATGAACATATGAACTTTGGTTCGAAACCACAATTGAGGAAACTACAAGTTACTTCGGGAGCCTTTTCCGATCACTTCTTTGGAAGGAAAGAATTGTAACGACACGCCTTCTGCGCATGTCCATGGAGTAAGCTCTGAAACGAGCTCCGAAGAGGTAAATAGGTGGTCTAGATTCCAGACAACCCGCTTTCGAACTCTTTCAACACTCGTTCAGACCTTCACTGATTGGGAACGTTGTACCTTGCGCCTGGTACCTGCACACGGCGGCAACTGATTATAGATAATATATCCAATCTCGACATGATAAGATGTTATCATACCCTTCCCTGAGTAAATGAAGAAGTGAAGATCCAGACTCGGACGCAGCTACTATATACTGGCGCGTCCATTGATCCAGGCACAGTGCGATACCACTTGAGTCTGATAGGAGGACTGCATAACTGAGAAGGTCCAAACAAAGCCACGACTTATTCTCCGAGTATTCTCCGTTCATTGCTTACGTCTACGACAAACGGCCATCTCGGAACAATTGGCTCACCAACCCCAGTATATGAGTCATGTGGATTCTGGATTACGGAGTACAAAGGGAATTGGGTAAGCAGAACCATTGAGTGGTCAAAGTTCGCAAAATCGCCTCTTCTTCGGTAGGGTATATGAGCGGCGATAATAAATGTTCTCTTGGAAAGCAAGAACAATAAGTCAGGACGGAATAGGTCGATCATGAAACCTGAAACGTTCTTGCCGTGCTGTCTATCAGATTTTGATGGGTGCCAAATATGGTGTCTGGCAGCAGTTGCAAAGTGTTGAGATTGCCAAATGACACTGTACTCGGGTTCAGAGGTAGTGGGGGCGGTTAAATTTCCCAGGTCCCGCAGCATAGGAATCCTGATTCATGCATGCCGCCAGCCGCGTCTGTTCGAAGTTTGATCGGCGATGGGTGATGGATATGGGGTCAGCAACGCAAGACAGACAGGTCATTAGTAACCGTGCACTCGTAGGTCAGAGGTAGTCAGCATATGCATGTCATAGGTAATGGCATAGACAAGACATTGGATGACTGGGGCAGAGTTAATCAACTCTTTGGTGATGATGCCGACGTCACTTAACAGAGCCTATAAGCTACTTACTGCAGCCATCTTTTCTTCCAGAGCAACCATTTGGTATGTTTTCTAGGTCTAGGTCAAGTGATTACACTCAGGCTGGTTCCGTCAAGCGATGTTCGAGTCTCCTTCTGGCCGTTCAAGACCAGTGACTTCATTCTCGACAGTCCGACTATATATGTTTGACGTCTGGAAAAGGGGGGGTTTGTAATATCCGGACTGATATGAGATGAGCTTTATTTCCGCACAGACGTTGGATTTCGCAGGAAATTCCACGCATACCTCGGAGTGATGCCTGTATCAAGTGTTCCTCACATAATGCGCGATGATTCTTCCGAGGATTAAGGGTTAGCTCACACGTGACGCGTTGCAAGAGGGGAAAGTTGCTCACTGCTATCAAAATAAACCAGCTAGAAGCGCTGTGCTAGTGATCAGGCCAAGCTTGTCATAAGCCGTGGTAAAGTAAATGACAGTTACTACGCTTAAGCACAGATTATCATGATCAGGAGGAACAGGTGCCTTCTTAAAAAGTTACCGTAGTTCACCCGATGACTTGGGAAAGAGGCTAAGTTGAAACACTACCTGTCCCGTAAAGATAAAACAAACAACAAACTTCCCATTGTGATAAGCTATGCGTAGTTGAAACAGGCGGGGGTATATGGAATGATACGCATTGTGTTGAACAGGTGGGAGCATGTGTGGGACGTAGAATGATACGCATCGTGATAAAGGCGAGTGGCAGAATGAAGCTATGGCGTGAAAGGAACCTATTGTATGCTAGTGTGCGGTACTAGTACTGTGTCGGAATGAGTTATATACACAGATAATAAAAAAACTTCAAATAAAAAGAAGTTACCGATCATACAATCTGGTTGAAAAGGGTAACGCGCCAAACGGGAGTTGGAACATCGATCTATGGCTCCTGGGTACTCCCATTAGTCTAGTGCAAGAGTAACACATGTATCCCGCCTGCTTAATCCTGTCTGCTCAGCTCTCCCTGGGTCAAGTCAAGTACAAAGACTGTCTTGGAGTCCTTTGGTGGCTCTATGAACTTGACAGGTTTTTTTGATGAGCGTGACGAGGCGCTTTGTGATATTGAAACGAAGGGTCTCAAAGGGCGAGAGTGAGGGAATGATGGTCGTATGGGCAGTGCTCTCGACGAGCCAGACGAGGTGTTCAATGAGGATGCACCAAGGGGTGAAGAAACGTATGACATCGGAGATGATGCTCTCAGGGCAGGGTGTACCGCAGACATGGTTATTGCAGCTGCGAGAGACATATCAGTTCACAGCTTATGCACCGCAGTCAAAGACTTGAACATACGCATTAGCAGGTGAAAATTTACGAGAACCGGGCTAGGGCAGTTGTACGGGGAGCTGTAAGGGTAGTTGACGTCGAAAGGTGTGTGTTGCTAGATGGTGAAAGACTGTGAAGACGTCGCGTCGCGGACGTGACGGTCGTTTGCTGGTATTTATATACTTCGTTGCAATCCTCTGGGGATGGAATGCATAGAACTTCAATTTACTATGCGACATGTTGGGGATTGCCTAAATTCGTTCAATTACCTAATCTCTTAAACCGCGTGTGACGTTATCATCAACCCCAGCAACTTGAACTGCATCTGCAGTGAAACTTGTCTAACAGCGCGTGAATATCGCTTTCCACAGCATGGTCAGCTGGCGATTCGATCAAAATATAGCCGACCATAGCCCTAGCTTGTGACATTTCAATTACCCACCAACCGCCATGTGTACTTGGTATGTGGCCTGCTCAAGTGGCTGATAGAATGAACGACTGTCTTACTTCCGTTAGTCTGCCCACAGTGATGAGACTAGCTGAAAATAGTAGTAATGATCAACTTGCCGCCGGGTCTAGCTCGTAGAAAGCATACGAGGAGTCCTGATGACGTCCCAGTCATTACACCCAATTAAGGGTTTTCACGTTCGTCATCCCCGTGAAATGGCCGAAGTTCTGGTGTGTAACTTCGCGTGTTTACCAGCCACCGAACCCTAAGGCCTACACCCTTGCCCTATGATTAGCGGTACAGGCTGGCTGATATGCTGGAAGGCCACAGTCGGATAAAAGACACGCTTTTGGTGTGCTATTTACCACTCGGTTCCTGTGTGACCGCGGTGTACTCCACATCACATAATTATCTTATGACGCCGTGTTTACGGAATACTGGAATGTTTCATAGCACCACTTAGTTCTTCCGATCACCATGTCCTTCATGAGCATGCTCAAGGCCTACCTCTGGTCTGGTAGAACGCCCCGTACTAGAGGACTTGCAACGCGGTTTGATTTGAAGTACATGACTTGCGGAACGGGTGTAGTCTCATCACTACTTGCCAGAATAACGATCTATGTATTGATATTAGTGTGAGATATGATTGGGCAGATATCCATACACAGCTCTTGATAACGAGCGATACGGATTCCGGAATTGAAATTTATGTGGAGAAACAGGATATGCCATGCTTCTAAATAAGCACATTGAAAAAAAAAATTAAGGACGAAACTAAATGAGGATGCAATGAGATAGTAAGTACACAATAAATTTGGGAGGAGGGAGACAAAAGGGCACAGAATACATTTCTTCGAGTCGTGTGACTGCGGAGATCATAGGGAGGATCATAGTGGCATAATGCAAGATGGCGCGATAGGAGGCACACGGTGCGTGAGCCGCGTGGTTCGTGCCTCGTGTAGAAGATTCGAACAGCGATGGCTGAGGCAGGATGACGACTGGTGGTGTGAATGTCTCCGCCAACCCTTCTACATCCGCCATCTGCATCTGTAAGTCTTCATCCTACATATATAACGATTTAAGCAACAAATTGACAGTCCTGGATGAGGTTCGAAGACGGAAATGATGTTAAGGTGATGGGGCCAGGACTATCGAGTGGTCAACAAATAATGACGTGATGTACCGTTGGGTCGTTGTAATTGTCGCGTTCTTGGAGTTGTGTGGTCGTGTGTTAGCTAGGTGGATAGGGGACCTGAGGCAATTTGGGCTACTGGACGTCGATGAGAAGATTTCGCTCGAGTATGTATTTGCCCTCCTTGTATTGCTGCGATTCTTCGTATGCACGGTCCTTGAATGACGAAAGAAAGAAATGAGGTGGATTATGGAATGAGATGTCTAGATGTCATGACGTACGTATTTCCAGCCGAGGACAGTAGCACATTTGACGCAATAAATATCCCGGACAGTATGGTTGCCTGTCGTCATTTGGCGGTCGTTTGGTTCGCCTTCTATGACATTAACGCTGCGATCGGATTAGTGAGATGAGCACCGATGTTAGTACGAACTTAGAGCTCACACGCCCTCGAAGAGATATGCGCGGCCATGTTGGCCGTTGAAAGCCTGACAATGTCCGCATTAGCACACCACTAAACCTGGAGACAAAGGATGAGAGTGGCGACGCACTCGTGATATCATAGAATGGATCGTTGCAAGATGCGTCTTGCACTTGGAGCAGCCGTAGATGCGCTCACCAGCGAGATAACGACGGTACTTCATCCCCATTTCGTCTGGTGTTCTAGCTTAGGAGCGAAGAAGTGATTATTAACTAGACTGAAATTGGTGGCGAGGATCGCTTGGATAATGGAAACTTATAGAAAACACTATCCTTTATACTAAGGACGTGTGAAGATGAGTAATAACAAGAAAGTGCAGGAAAGAGTCGGAGTGATGAGTTGAAAGGCTTGGACTAATAGGACTATTAGTACGCCCCAGTCATACACCTAATTAAGCTGATACATTTCCCACCTACTACCCCTTGCTCATAAGAACCGATCTATTCGACCTCTTCCATTCTTCTTTTCCCGGCTGCAGCGCTGAGCATTTGCATGGTGGCCTGTTATGCAACAATCAGTGCTCGGAACCCCCGGCTGATGCTCTGCAATAGCCTTAAAGATCAGACGTGATACCGGGACCTATTCAACACACCTGAAGCAGTGCACGGCCCATGAATTCCCGTTATCGATTGATTATAGTGGCTCGTCGAGGCATGTGTTATGCTCTATTGTAAGTTAACCCATCACTAGTTCTTTATCTGCGCATTAACGCCAAATGTCTGGTATCACACGATATTTAGCGCATGCCCTTCAGGGATTCTGCGCAGCTTGTGACGTGGCATGAGCGTATATACGAGGCCGCGATCTTGTCTTGCCCATGATCCTCACTCAATGGCGCAAGGATTATTGACTTGAATTGCCAAGTTCATGTCGATCTGTGGCGCAATTACCTCTATTTGAATGATCTTATCCGCTGGCAAATATAATTTAACTCTGAGCTTGTCCAATTCGGATAATAATGTAGGGAGATCTAAGTCAGTTCAGTACTTATAGCGCTTCGTATAAGATCCTGGGGAACAGGGTGGCAGATGTCTCGGTGGATGGAGTGCCGGATGTCCTTTTTCGGATCATGAGTTGAACTGCTATTTTTGACGACAGTACTTACTAGTTTTGTGGACGACTTGTAAAGTATTGTAACGAAATGGCACAGGGTATGGTCTCACGGTTGAAAAACGTTTATGACTTACACCCGGACTATTGCAGAAAAACCGGACTCAGTGGTGCGTTTGTTGTCGTGTGCCCTTCACCGAATCCGCACAACGCCTCCTCGAATAATCACTTCGCCAGCAACTCGTGAGTCATATGATCTATCTCTTGGCAATCCATATTTTCTGACCTGTTATAAATTTGCGATCTCGCAGAACCTCGTCGGGCCGCTGTCGCCATCATTATCCGTGTCGTACCTCCCCCCAATACCATCCCAGTGCCAGTTGACACCCCCCTACCTACCTTAAGTCAATTCTTCGAGTTAGATTGGGTCAAGGACCCTCTCGCGTGCCCAGAATTTCTTCTTTTGAGACGCGATGGTGCAGGTCCTTCCGATGCAGTTCCAGGGCGTGCATCTGCATTCCAGAACTTCACTGGCGATGGGACTTCGAAGGGCAGCGGCAAGGCTGGAGCTCACGTTGCTTTCCCCGGCGGACGTACTGAAGAAGGAGATGAAGGAGGTCTTTATACAGGTATATGCGTTCCATCCACTTTCTTGACTTTATCTCACTTCCGACCTCATGGCAGCCATGCGTCAAACATGGGAAGAGATTGGCTTGGACCTCGCAGAGCGTGACTTTGCTTTCATAGGTCAACTCGATGACAGAGAGATCACTACATCGCTGGGCAAGCGACTCCTCATGATTCTGTCTCCTTTCGTTTTCTTGCAGCTCACTCCAAATCCTCTCCCCACCGACCCAACGGACGGGACCAACATCCACTGGGTACCGCTCGAGACTCTTGCTAGCGCAGTTTTACCAGGACATATAGGTGACAAGATGAACGCAAAAAGCAGATGGTCCAGCGTGACTGTGGATGCTGCGTCCAGGCTCACACCTCGGCGCGCTGCTATCTTGAAAATATTAGTTAGAATTCTCATAGGCAGCATGCAGTTCCCCGCCATATTACTCGATCTTCCAGAGTCCGACGCGATACCAGGCTCATCCACAAGTAGTTCTGCAGCACTCCCGAAAAACGGATCGTACCCCGCACTGACGCAGGACAAGCTCGAAAAAGGATTTACCGCTACGAAGCCGCTTTCAGGGAAGGACCAAAATAAGTCGCGGCACCAACTCAAGTTGTGGGGTCTCTCTCTTGGCATGACGCTCGACCTGATGGCGACTATGATACCGCCCACGGCGCTTCCCTCTTCCGCCGATCCCAATAAACAGCCCACGCCTCAAGATCTGTACAAAGTTTCCTTGCCTAGTCTGCACCTGCCCTTCCACCCTGTAGGGGGTGAAGGAATGCGCATTGATGCTGTCGCACCCAGCCTAGCGAGTGTCTTCCCTCGTTTCTCCTATCCAGATGTCAACTTCTGGATCTGGTATGTCTACTTTTAACATTGGCTGTAGGTAATTAAATGATATTCCCTCAGGGTTTTTGGAAAACGTTATCGCGAGGTTGTGCGTGGGTGGGAAGCTAGTGTACGCGATGGAGGTTCCAATGTCCGACGGTACTTGGCATTCCCATCGGAATCTGGTATATTTTTAATGAAACGATTTTCAGGGTCAACTGGTCGGGCACGGCACTGAATACATTCTACGCCGCGGTTCGCAAGGCTTTACTCGTAGTCCTGGTTCTTCGTGCGATCGGTGTGCTCGTTGGTCTTGTGTTTGCCGGATGGTGGGTGTTTGCATGAGGAGCCTTCTCTGCGCAGTGTCTTCTGGACCCTTGCTATCATGGATTTTGGCTTAGTATCTTCATTGAATACTATTCTTTTCATTATGATATTTCACTAATACGATCCCGGATCGGTATCTCACTCGTGGACTTGTTCATCTCTACAACTTTTTTCGGATCTCAAAAAGCATGAAAGACACTGCAGCATTCACTTTTCTGCGTCTCCTGTTCATTATTCCCGATGTTACACTTGTGCAATCTAGTGATGCATAACTTCTTTTTTCTTCCTTCGCAGTTATCTCGTTCCCTAGTCGACCATTAGCCCAAGGGCAATCCACACACTTCGCAATCTGTCTCTCCCTGGGGATTTTCAAATGTGCAATGTGGACAAATCTTGACACCCGAGCCCACTCCGCTAGGACTTTCCCTTCGAGTCGCTTCTTCGGCAGCGATTTGATCGAACACGTCTTGAGGTATGTCTTCATCGATATGCGATGATGACGGACCAGGCGCAGATGTAGAAGGTAATGATGCTGGTGAAAGATGCACATAAGAAGCGGTATCCAGTGATTGACGATTACACTTACGAGCACTCTCCCGGGTGAATGTCATGAGTGTTTGCCAGCTTTCGGTCTTGAAAAGTGCGTTCAGTGCCGAAGGATCCCCCAACAATGATGGTGAAGTCACTGTGCTAACGAGAACTTTCATGTCGACCTTCGAGGTGTCAGTGACTTGCTTTGGGGGCTAATACAGTTCATGCCACACCTTCGACACGAGTTGCGTGGTCTCAAGGAATGCAAGTAAATGCCAATCGCTGAGCCACTTGGCGAGCTCCAGATGTTTTGACGCATCGCTCGTTGATGTAAGTGGACTATCTGACAACTGAGGAGCGCCAAGCCTGGCCAAGGTCCTGAGTACATCTTCTATGTGTTGGTCTTCAAGTCCTGGGCGGTTCTCGATGGCGAACTGGTTCGAACGGAACAGTGGTGATGGACTCTGGGGGAAACCATGCGTGACCTGTGAAGTAAACCATACTCAATTATATAAATAACTAATCCATTTGCCGAGCCTCACGTTTATGAGAAGGTATTCAACCGGGAAGCAGGGTTTGGCAGTCTTCTTGACTTCGAGGTTGTATTCATTCTTATACCTGAAAAACACGTCGGGTACGTAACGTGCCGTATCCTGGCTGCGGTCTTCCTCTTTGATGCGAACAATTCCAGGTTCCACACTGGCTTCGATCATGTCAGCGTCTACCATTGCACACGCTTGCTCGGAGACTTGATATGCAGAGATGTCCACTTTTCCGTCTTCCGTGGCTGTCAGAATGGCGGTGACCATCCGTGATCCGAATGCTCCACTAGGGGATGAGCGCGAAGGAGTAGGGTTAGACTTCTGTATAGTGGCAGCAAAGATGGCCTCCAGGGAGGACACAAAGAAAGAATGAGGATGACGTTTATATATGTTTTTAGTCCTATCTTCTGGATCTGGGTCCAAGTCTGTAAAAATGTAACCCACGATGGACAATGGAGCTGAAGACATCTTGGCTAACTCTCGAATGCGAGGCTCGTCCTCCCATGGAATGCCAAGAGTCAATCCGTCGAGTTCACCTTCTTGAGGCGGTTCATATAGGGCCTCAACCACGGCTTTGATGCCCATTGGCACCTTTTCATATGGCTCATAGCGTCCAATGAGCCAGCCAAACCTTTGCAATCCTGTGGATCTCCATGCTTGGAGGAAGCGTTCAATAATATCCGGTGAAGCGATCTCCAGGTGATCGACCATACGGAACGGCTGAGACTGGAGCGTGATTGCAGAAGGTTGACAGCCTGTGCATATTCCGGCTGGCCAAGGCGGGTGCCCGCCACTGGGACACGGATTTTTAACCTTGTACGATAATGGAGATAGGGGAGGAATAGCAGTGGCGGCAGGCGGATGACGTTTTTGGCGATATCTTGTGAAGATACGCGTGATACGATAGGTGTTTTATGCTATGTTCGGCCTGATAAGCAGCATCGTATGGCTCAAGTGGCATGCAATAGTCACACATCCCGTTGACGCCATGTTTGCAGAAACGGGCGTCACGACCTCGTGGAATTTTTCCATCTTTCGAGTGCCAATAAATGTCAACCGCGTCTTCTTGTACAGTTTCCCATAAATTTGAGTGCTGCAGTCGCGTCGAGCTCGGTGCATCGATGGACATCGGTGTTGCGGGAGTTTGTGAAGCTTTGGTAGCATACCCCACAAATATCATATCCCCATGCCTGTCCTGGTTAAGTTCGCAACATACAAAAATAAAGACGTTTACTTACTTCAGCCCGAGAGTTTGCAGATTTCGCCCTTTCAGAGTGGACACTAAGGTTTCATTGCCCCTGGGTTGGTTCGAGACCGTAAGAGACGTAGGATCGGCATCCACAGTCGTCTCTAAGATCTGAAATTCAGAGGTGTAAGGTGTGTAAGTGCTCAAGAGTGGTCGACATCACTGACCTTGTTCGCGAGCACTGAAATATCAGCGGTTGAGGGGAGTTCGAAACGAAAGTTTCCATCTTCGATCTGACTCGCAACAACTACACGAGTAGTGAGATCCTGCGATACATGGAAAGCTTAATACTAACCATATCACTTCCCTAATTCAAGAGAGGTAGGATGTCTGTAGGAGGAACGCGTAATCCAGTACAGCACAATTTAGGATCATGATCTTCAATCTATTACCCGTCGCTGACTAAGCTCTCCGTATGGCTTGCTCACAAGAACTGACCCGGCTGAACTTCACCTTACTTGGCTGGAGTGCAACTGTGGGTCAACATTGTACTAGATAAAGTCAGTTTCTTTTTCCGTTGGTAGACTGGATTTACGGGCGCCATGAGCACTGAGCGTTTGGAACAGACTTTTAAAATTCTTCCTTCCTTACGTAATGCCTCTCGGTTCTTCCGAACACTCCTAGTGTCGCAATCATGAGAAGGGATTGCGAATTACACCGCGACGCTCGCGCTTCCCAGTGGAATTGAGTTCAGAATCAATGGGTACTTATCGTGGGGCCGGCTCTTGTTCTCGCCATGTTATCTTCTCAAGACAATTCTATCACCAGCGAACAGCTTAATTCGCTGAGGTTCGAATACATAAAAGCAGAGCTCGCCAATTGGGAACATATCGTATTTCAAGGTGACATGGATGACTCACGCAAACAGAGGGAAGCATCTTCCAACAGTGGCGATCATACCTCAAAGCCAGTCAACAATTCCACCGATAATACAGGGGTACTTGACAAGATTTCCAAACCGAGTTGGACTGACAATTTTACAAGACAGGACATCACTTTCACGGTGCTGCACCACCTCAAGTTCCTCCTGAGGCATACAACTATCTTATACATGCATTGCTTTCGATGCAAGGAGCTATACCACCCCAAACAGCACATAACCAATCGTTACCATACCCAAGTCAAGGACAATTCCCGGCGGGTCCTTCTACATCCTCGGCTTTTCCCAATGTACCCCACCAAACCATGCACTCCAATCTACCCCTTGCGATGTCGTCTACAGGACCTTTTTCACAATTTCCCCCCGCTATGATGAGCCCACATTCAGGCTTCCACAGTACGGTCAATGAGCCTTCAGCGTTTGCGTCATCAGATACGACCCCTTCAGACGCAGGTGATAACGCAGACGAAGCTGCTGCCATTGCTGAAGATAAGCGCAGACGAAATACCTCTGCTTCAGGTTCGTGGTTCTTGGAGTGCCGACACACTTGAGTCTGATCCTCCATTTAGCTAGATTCCGGATCAAAAAGAAGCAGAAGACACTCAACCTTGAGCGAACTGTTACCGACTTGACCGGCAGGACGGAGGAATTAGAGCGAGAGGCATCGGAGCTGCGACGAGAGAATAGCTGGTTGAAGGAAATTGTGCTATTGAAAAGCAGAAGAAGGGGCGCATTTGGTGGCTCGCAATCCAGGAACTCCCAACAAGCAAGCACTTCATCCGCACAAGGGGACGGCCACGACGCTGATCCTAGCAGCGACGGGGAAGAAGGTCACGAGACACGCGAAACGAAATGAAACAACGTGTGGTTGAAGTCGGGCCATTTACGCTATAGCTTGTCGACGTGTATAAGAGGCTTGTATTCAAGATCATAGATGTCACGGAGATGTTTTTCCCTCTGGGTGTATTTATCAGCCCCACCTCTTAGTATAAGCTCAGCGTAGCAGCCAGGATTTTGTAGCACGTTCGCACATTTGTAGGTGCCTTGTAAGGTCAAGATCTAGACCATGGTTAACGTTCATTAACATTAAATATAATGATCAGTTCAATATATATTACTGAAACGTTCATTTATAATTGGTCAAATACCTTAATGCTAGTGTTCTCACGCACATGTCTTTTGGACGCCCACCGTCAATTAACGTTGGATTCAAGACTTCCCCTCCAGATCGCGGTTCCTTTCCTTTGGACCATGATGGTCTGCCTTACTGTTTTTATCATGACACGATTAACCAAGTACGATTTAGCAGGCGAGTGCAAGGAACAGATGATGCAATACATGGCTTGCTTGCGCAAGAATTCTAGTGAATCCACTCCGTGCAGAGTCATGAGCAAACAATACCTTGACTGTCGAATGACCAAGTACGCCAACGTCTGTTTTTGTGTTCTCAATAGCTCACATTTGTTGCAGAGGACTTATGGAGCGCGATGAATGGAGGAATCTTGGACTAGCCAACCTAGAAGGTGATCCCGCCAAACCAACGCGCACTTCATCCTGATGTATCTATACCCGCTCCACAAAACGAAATCCGTGGACAACATCACGGATCTGACGAACGTCCAACTGAGGCGTGAGTTGCGAAGAGCTGTAGTAGTGCAAGAGTGCACCTCACGACGCACGTAGTTTAACAGTGCTTGCTCATCACGCCATCGTAAATTTACACGTTAATAGGGATTACTGCTTGTGCCAGTTGTCAATTAGCAACTTGCGAGGAAGCCAATGGCACAAACAAATTTCTCTCCATGAGCAGTATTTGCATGCATATATGGTGACTATGGTTCTCCAGAACTATCCCCCGAAGAAGTTAATGCGTTTTTCGATGGTAATTAAAGAGCACATCAACCTCTTCGTTGTGATAACTCCTATATTATCATGGTTTGACAAACCCACTATCTACACGGACGAACACCTGTTCCGAAAGTTACCAGTCTTCGTCTTGCATGGGAATTTGCCCAAAATCCATCGAGTCTTCTTACCACGCGGACTGACATCTGTGGTGACTGCAGAGTCAATGGGAGTTACATTTGGACGAGACTAAGGAGTATTATACCCCAAGTTGTGAGTCTGGTACCTGAACGTCGAACTTAGGCTTTGGCTGGCAATCTTTGAGCACCTTCCTTTCCGAACCCTTCATGACATTACCCTCACTTGCCAGTCCTTTCGTTATCTTGCGCAACCTCCCTTATTTCGCTCGCTGACATTCTGTCCATGCTCTCCGGACACCAACAACCAGCGCTTTATTCACCGTCTCGAAACTGTTGAGCGTACAAAGTAACGCATACAATTTTGTTCCTCGGCGCCTACTGGCACCCATCGCTCATGCTGTTCGGTGGAACGGGCCCGGACTGCAAGGGAAACCCAAGGCCAAACCTCTATGGCGGAAGGCTGCGGCTCTATCTATCGAGGACCGATTACGACACGCCGCAGGACTCCTGCTCCTGTGCCAGGACCCCTGACATTCCAAATCTACCAGAGCGCCCCGCTCCGATCGGGAATGCCCCGATATATTATTGGTGCCCCAACACGGAGATGATTGCATATAATGTATCCTACTCGACACCCTACCGCTTTTCGTTAATCTTTAATTGCTATCGTTCATGTTCGTGGTCTCAACCAGTCCCAGTCTCGAAACTGTGCACGCTACGAAGCCTTGGGAACCTTCTCTTGGGCAACTGTATGATGGAACGTGTCCAATCGCTTTCAGGCAGGTTGCTGACTTGACCATCACGATCTGTGATAACGAAACTATGCTTGGTAACGGTCATGGACTATCTGCCTTCTCACCGACTACACACATTCCGTCTCCATAATCAGCCCAGTTGCTGCCTCGCAATTCCTAAACAATTTCATAGGGAACGCATTGCAAGGCCTGCTACAACTCCGATGCCTTGCGATTCAGAAGTCGTGCGTGCTTTCCGTCCTTTGCTTCATTTTATCCCAGAGCTAGCCGAACTTAAATTCGCCCGCCCCTCTTGAATCCAATCCAACCTTCCCAAGGATGAAAAATTCTCCCTGTCTACGCATTCCAATTCACTCACTCAAACCACTATCGAATCGAAATACCAAGGCTTTGTTCGTCCTGTTGCACTCGAACATCTTAACTTGTGGAGTACATGTCCCGTGTCCACTGATGGTTCGATGGAATTGTATGGAGCACTTGTGGGAAGCGATGAACTCCTGAGCGTATGTAATCCGGAAGTCCTCAGGACTGTACAGATACTGGAATTGAGCGTTGCGCATGTCAATGTCCTGATGCTCTATGCTATCTGCACCCGTTTCTCAATACCTCGATCCTTATATGTGTATGTGGCAACGGGCTTCTTTCCTGATGCTGCCACGCAAGTGTGGGATCCTGAGGTACATGTCAATTCGTTCCTTCTCTTTTTCGGGCTAAATTGTGTGTTCTATATGATAATGGACGCCCTTTTGACCCTCCCCCTTCCATTCAGCGTTTGAAACTCTCCTCATATTCAGCTGTGTCACACCGTGGAATTGCGACGACGGAAGACCGCCTTGCAAGACGCAAATGGGACAAATTACCCTAATTTAACATTTGTTTCTCTGGATGAATCAGACATTAACCTAACATGGGATAGGAATAGAGTCCTCCATTGCCGAGATTTGAGGGTTCGTTCAATATATATCCTGCATTTGATTGTCCTATAAGTATCTATCCATAATCCTATCTACTTGTTTCGGGTTGATGCAGACCACTGTCTCCGAATAGGATGATGTTTCTCAGTCATTCCCGTACCCATCGACGATCTCCCACAATGCACTAGCAAGCTCTTTCACGTCATCGCTCTCCAGGCCCATGCTCATAAGCACACCATCACCCCTTCGCGTCCTGGCAGTTTGTTCCACAAACCTAGCATACCCCGTAAGCAGGATCGATGTAGAAGGTGATGTGACAAGCGATGAAGTCATCCTCATCGACGTTGGTTTAGTGTGCCGGAATATGGACGGAAAGGATGTCGGCACAGGATAAGCAGGTGCGTGAATACTGATCCCATGACATGAATAAGTTCGGATGCACGCTATACAATCGAGTGAGCCGTTACTTACCTGGAAATTAGAGGTTCCTGTAGCGATGACAAGTCACACAATGCATCGAATGCTACCAGGTCTTGATCTTGCAGCCCTCGAGTTACGTTTCGCCTCGCAAAAACTGAATGCTCGTCCTAGAGTCACATAGTGCTTCACCATGGTTCGTGCGATCAAGGCGTCAACATGATCCTCACCTTATTTGACAAACCAGTCGAGAAGTTGCAGTACAGATCGGTGAATGCTGCCTCTGTCGCAGGAAAAGGTAGGGAGACTATGCCGTCCAGTTGTCCCAATCGAGAACATTTCCGCCAGTTCAAGTGGTCAGCGATCATTGCAATGTCCTCCCGACTGCCTTTAAGTCTAGAAAATCAGGTAATGATGTGCTCATTGCCTGTCGAAGACAATGACATACCTCAGTGGCAGCGTAGCGGTCTCTACCAGCGACGACATTACTGCAGACGTATGATACAAGCTGTTTTTCTGCAATGTCTCGTCAGGAAACCATATCCAGAGTCTTGCAAGAGACGAACATCATAGGCAAGTCCCTGGGATAAGTTACTTTCCAACGTAGACCATTGGGATGGATTTAAGATTGGGAAAATGATATCGAGAGCTGATGGAGGCTTTGCAAGCATAATGCGTCATTAAGAATTCTCTTTGTGTCGAGAAACTATTTTCAAATGTTTATGTGCCATCTACATGAAAGCGCATTCACTCACATTGTCGATGCAGGCATGATTCGGGTCTGCACCCGAAAGGAAGCTAAAGTTTAGTGTAGAAGCTTTGAGAAACTCGTCACGGAAGGAAGTCAGGAAAGCATGCGAGAAACCCCCAAAGGTTGGTGTATCGTGCATCATTTGCAATCCCTGTAGTGAAGGACAATTCGGCAGATGGTTGAAAATGGTACGAAACAGAGCTTACCTGGAAGTTATCGCAGTTCTCGACGAGCAGACGAAGCGCCCCTTCCATGAGCTCTGTATCCTGGAAAAGTATTTGTAAATACCACAAGACAGGGAGAAAAAGCAAGTACCTCATTATATCGCCGGAAGAGATCTTGACCAACACTCCACCCAGCCTCAGTACTTTCAAGTGCGTCAGGGATGGGCTGTATAGATTTTGGATCGAGGAAAACGCGACTATAATCTGACCAGTATCTGATATTTGGGTCTGTGCGTTCCAGATCGTCGTTTTCTTCTATTTCGCCTTCAAGACGGGCGTGATATTCGCTTTGAGGGATCGGATCTTGTGTCTCACGAACTACCCGTCCTCGCCTGCAAAGCATCAGTTCGTACGACAAACAGCATTTACAATCACACTCACCAGGTTGTATCAAGTGAAGCATCGGTAGCTTCATCAACCTGGCTCGTTTTTGCGAGTGTTCCGAAGTTTGCTGCTCAGATGCAGCTCAGCCGATAGGATATCAATGCGCCAACGAAGGCATACACTTCTGATCGAATGCCAGCAGGCGTGGACAAAGAGTTGGCTGATTCTGGTAAGACGCGACGGTAGTGCACATTATCTTGAGGATCTCACTTGGAAATGGTCCACATACCTGAGGACTTCGTCCTTCATGGAACGAAAGGTCGTGGTTTACAATAGGTTCATCGTCATCGTTGTATGTGAAATAGCTCTCCTGCGTGTTCCAGAAATGCGTTCCGGCGTAGTTTGCGAATGAGCCTGCTTGGATGTAGATGATCTCCCTCATAGCATAAAGGTATTTTGAAACGCATCCGAGGCCTAGGTCTGATCGTCATGCCGTCACCAGAAAATTTAAAGTCCGCTTAGCATGCCTTAACAGGCATTGGAAGGATCAAGCTGAGACGAAAGAAACACCTAATGACAGGCAACGCTGAATGGAAAGGGTCGCAAATCGGTCTGTTTGTCAATGCACTAAGCGTGGCCTCCTCGTATTACATTTCCAAACCATGAGGCTTGAGGGCGGGGAGGAAACACACAAAGCAATATCATCGGATCACTAATGATCAGAGTTGGACGTACTGGTTCATATGAGCATGCTAGCCCCTCGACTATAGATGCGGAATGTAACGTATTTTGGTTTGTTTAGGTACCTAGGGTGTAAGCATGGACTATAGGCGCTGAAGCTCCCTGGTGTGAGCGTCCCTAATAATTAGCGCACGATCTTTATCTCCCGACCGCGGACTCTGGAGCGCTTGAGGTATGAAACCAGTCTTTCCCATTACCATGACACACTACGGCATGAAGCTACTTATATCGTGTTGTCCTGGGCAACTTGGGGCTATAACATCACGCACGTTCCTCCCACCCAACTAGTTCGCCACCGGAACAGTCCTTTGATACCACGGTTGTCTGCTTGCATTCAACGGCACGACGCACGTTACTACCAGTTGCAGAAAGGCGTGCTCGATTCTAGCAACGACATTGCAAAAGCGGTAGTGAGTAATAGCTGGCAGGCCAGTGACTTGTCCTGCCAAGCGAACGTTGCGGCTGGCAGTGCCACCTGTTCAAATCGCTGGCGGCTGGAAATTATCAGAATCTTTTCCTTGAACGTTCGTCTCGACACTGGTCGTTTAGGCGTTTATTGATAACCGGTGATTTTCCTAATGCCGTGGTGAGCAATTCGAGAGAAAGGAGAGATATCATATATGAGTCATGGACTGACCGAAGTCGAAAAATAGACCCACCTTCCTTCATCATGTGCATACCATTTGTCTATGCCCTCATATTCACAGAGATTACCCTGGTTTACGCATCACCATCTCAGGGTTCATTCCAAACTGTATCTAACAACCATCGGTTCTACGATGTACAGGTGCGTCATGGTAGCGCATTCGAGGTCATGGCTTGTACAAACCGTAACCCAGGCTCATCGCGGAGGAAGAGGAAATGTTGTCGAGAGCACTCTACCGAGCTTTGCATGGTATAGTGGATGAGGTCGATGTTTGCTTTACCTCAAGCGAATTCCCGTCACAGGGGCCTCATCGGTGGCGCCACTACACTCGAATTAGACAATGGTATCACTCAGGCAAGCTCTCACTTCTCAGGGTCACGCGTCCTTCTGAAGGGGCTTACAGGACGGTGAAGTCGTTGTATGGCATGACGAGAATATATTGGCAGAAAAGTGCTCTGACACTGCACCAGTGGTGAACAGTGTTGTAGCATAAATTGTGATGGTTAACTAACCAGCACAGGTCCCAGATGATCCCGCATATCCTTATGTCGGAAAGTTTATATCAAATCTGACGTTGGCTCAGATAAAGACCCTCGATTGCGGATCAAAGCGCCAAACAAATTATCGTATGTGCTCCCTTTTTAACTGTAGCCACTGTCGTAAGAATTTTACACAGCCCACCAGCTTGTATATCCTGGGGCACGGATATCTACATTACGGGAAGTCTTCGATTTCGTGTCCTGCGCAGATCCGTCGCACCAGATCCTTTGGAATATCGAGTCAAAAATTAACCCTCAATACCCAAATCGAACTGCTGGCGTGGATGATTTTGTCCAGAAGCAACATGAGATATTCGTATCTAGCCCATACTACCAATCTATTACTGTGAGTGTGGCTCTGTTACTACTATTCAATACTCTAATTGCCTTGCCAGTATCAAAGTTTTGACTGGCGAACTTTAGTGGCGATGAAGGTTTGTACCTCATGTTCGTTCACTCTGCTTTTCTGATCATCAGCTGAAGGCTTTAGACGATAAACTTGTGACTTCTGCTCTTATCGATGAGTGAGTGGATTTCGAGCTAATACGTTATACACCAACCGTCACCATTCAGGGACACTGCTTTTACTTCGCGTGGCTCGACTTCCCCGTGGTTGGCTGGCCTACGCCTTGAATCATTTCCCGGACCATCTTTGTCCGAGCAGATAGCACAAGCCGCACATGCTGTACAAGCAGATATTTTGTCTCCTACTGGAACATTCCTCATACCCTCTTCATCCCATGAGGGATCCTCTCACTTCACAACTCCTAAAATGATTAGCGAAGCTCACAGGCTCGACATGAAAGTTGTACCTTGGACTGTGAGCACTGGTCTACTTGTTCACGATAGATGATGTTTACACAACACCCATTGCAGGTGAATCACTTGGACCGCGTTGAAGAGCTCGTCAAGGATGGCGTAGACGGAATTATTACAGATTGTAAGTTTCAAGTCGCAACAAGTGTTATTGATTACTCACGGAAGGTATATCAGACCCAAACGTTGTTAGGCGGTGGGCCAAACAACAGGGGCTTCAGGTGGCGCCCAAATATCCTACACAACGTGTTTTCTCCTGTTTACGCCAGCACACTCATTAGTCTTCTTGATGCGATGCACTAGAGGATAGACCATCATTTTCTTCATTCGTGTAACATTTTCGGTATACGATTACCAGGCTCATCAGACGCAAATTAACATATCAAGACATCACCATCATACAGACGAGACACGTACAACCTATGTTCTATTATTCTAGAGACTTGCTGAAAATAGATGCGAAGAAATCAAGAAATGTGGAACCTCAGTGTGACCTATTGAATTGATAGGGGTTATTGTCCTATCCGCCGCACTGAGAACGCTCCGAATCACGCATTTGGTCGGTAAACTGTCTACCACAACCAAGTACACACAATCGCATGAGGCAACTGCAGCTCCTCTCTTATGGATGAATATAACGAGAGGTCCATCTCAAATGCCACGGTGAGCAAGTGTCACGTCAAAACTTGAATGGGGTAAGTGACTCGACATCATCAGTATAACTCATATCATTGGCACAAGATCGTTATACAGGCCACAGCAACCCTATCCTCGTCTCACTTGAATGCAGATACTGCAGTATCCAAGAGTCGCCCGAGGCGTACGACGCCGATCGAAAGCGGAATCGTAATGCCAAATGGGACACATTCTTCAAGGGCTTGGACTGGAGGGAGCCCCTCATCACAGGCCTGATGGCAGCCATATTCCATGGTTGCATATGTATACGTCGTCCGGTGGCCTCTCGGCTAGGTTCTGTGGAGCATTGTGGTCTTGCTTCTATGTTGATCATGCAATGGGTCATCCAGGAAGTGTTGCTGGGCATCATGAAGAAGAAATTGATTATCATATGCCAGCTTGAATCAGCCTGCGACCAAGCCTAGGCATAGCGGTTTAGTGAGAGAGTTCGTTGACGCAGCACGTTTATCTGGCTAGTCCACGAAATCGAGAACCTATAGCACGGGTGAGTACAGCCATCGCGTTAGCGGGTGATGCAGCTCACGGTATTCGTCTCATTCCTAAGTGCTGTCTTTTCATCTGACCAGGCTGTTACTCCTAGCCAATTCAGCTCATGCATCTCGTATTGGACTCATCCTATGAGCATTGGGGCGTCTAGATCCTACCGCTTGCAGGTCCCGGAGATGGCTCAGACATCTGCGCCTATCAAAGGTCGAACTCATTCAAGGCGTTGTGGTTAATTTGCGTCAGGGCTGGTTGAGTTGGAAAACCTCAACCCAATGAATCTCGACGCCTGGAGGGCGTCGCTGCATGGGTGGTCTCGGTTGTGGTATGTCTTAATGTATGACCTCATTGGACATAGTCATCACAATATACTCGGACGCACCAATCAAGTTGAAGTGGATGAGTGACTCCGTGGCCCTACTTCTCTCCGAATCGCCTTTCACTACCGCAACCCTCGCCCACTCTGGCCCGGCGTTTGCTTTCTCTCCGTGCTTATCCCTCCTTTCCACACTACACACAACTACCAGTCGACACATGCACGCGCTCCTGGAAAGTAAGTGACATCATGCCGGTTTCTGCATCGGAGTCGGCCACGAGATTTGCGTGAAATTCCCGAAGGTTAAGGATAAGCCGTGGTCCCATTACAAACCTCTGCACGAGCAAGGAAATTTGAAGAAAACCAATATAAATCTGAGTTTTTAATGCGCAAGTGTCCTATAGAAATGGTGAACTGTGGTCGTACACAAGGGTCAATGATAGACTGGCATACTGCTAAGATTGTCGGAGACAAATAAACAAGGTTGAAGCAAGAAACAACAATAAAGCTAAGTAGCATACACGAAACTTCAGCAATAAAGAGAGCAGCTCTTACATTATAGGCTCACCTCGCAAAATAAACCACGTGAGTTTTCATCAATACCGTATAACAGTCCTCAATTAACCACCCTGTCAATGGTCTTTGCAGTTCACGGAAGTGTTTTAGAGCAGTCCAGACTGCAAGACACAATGCGAGGATCTCCTATACGGTGGGGAGTATCCAAGTCAATGAATTTAGAATGAGGTCATTTCCCTCATAGTAAGCAGTGCACTGATGAGTGCCAGAGAGAATTAGCTCCTCTAAAACTCGTCGGCGAGCCTGGTGGTGCCACCTAAGTCTTTCATTCACGATCGAAGCTTACCCGCTGAAACATCACTCATCGATATTGCAGTGATCACTCCGCCAGTGATATTGACAGCCAGGAATATGGCAACGAGAAATACGATCATCTTTCTGGATTGTGAATACATGGCATATAACCGAGTGATCATGATGACTTGTGCCATGTTTTAGTCAAGTCAATATCACTGAGGTATCGCACTCACTGCCCAGTATTACAAATACAACCATACTCATCCAGTTAAGTGTAACGAACATTATACGGCCTGGAAAATCCGGTTAGTGACCAGCCTGGCAGAGTCGCACACTCCGAACGAACGAACTCACAGCTGTGGCAGTCATTATCCTGAACCAACAAGCTGGCCAAGAATGTCACTCACCCCTACATAGGATGATTGGTGTAAGCACGCCGGCTTACCTGAGTTCCCATAATCAGTACATATACTGTCGCTGATGCTGAAAGCTAAGCTTTCAGTATTTCACCTTTTGGTGTAACGGTTATGCGGGCGGCAGTCTGACCAAGTTACAATTGAATGGGAATGAAGACATCGATGCAGAATACTCACTGCATCTGTCACCGAGATCGATGGAACAAATACTGTATGCCGCCAGTCAGAAGAAACAGACGCTGTGGGTACGAGGAAACATACCTAAAATGCTGATGCTAATTGCGAGATGGCTGATTAGCACGCCAATTACGTGGTCGTCCGTATGTTCAGCGCAATGCGCAAGCACTTGCTTGTCAACCGAGCGTCTCCAAATTGGTATCCCAACCTATAGTCAAATGTCAACAACGAGCCCGAGTACGTGCACGACGAAAACATTCAAGGGCAACCAAATCCAACACAAAATCGAGAGAAGCATTGGTCCTAGGTGCACAATCACGCATCGAAGCTCGGAATAAACTTTTGGTGAGATCAGCAGTGATATGTGCGTGACCTAGCCAAGCCAAAAGGTAGCGTTAAAGTTGTGGTTGTGGTCATGAGATGACGTTCCTGCGAGTAATCCAACAGCAGCCTGGTCCGCTGTCAGACCTTCATCCGCCGACTCAATCGCTCTAGTAATAGTCGGCTTCGTCCTGTCTCCTTCTTCAAAGCCAGGGGTATACATTGTCGGAGGGAAGAAGATGTGAGTATCGATGACATAGAGCATTAGTTCTGAATGCAACGAATCAGCCAGTCCCACTAAACCGTATCATCAGCATCACTAAAAACCCAGGAGTAAAGCTATTACTTACCTCGCAGAGCATGTTTTGCAGGCGAATATGAAGAATATTCGATCAAAGACATATCCAAGGTCGAAAACACCAGTACGATCTTCCCCTTCTTATTCTCGCGCACCATTTGTCTAGCAGCAGTCTGATCATTATTCGCTAGATGACATGTTCTTAGCCGCGATCTAAAATAGAGTTGAACAGTCGACTCACGAATGCAGTCCACGCCTGTATCTAGTAACCATTCGCCATTTTATGCGAGAGATCTTCTGGCTGCATTTCGAGGAGGCACGGTTTTGCAGCACCTGTGAGTTGGCTATTGTGAGCATCGCTAGCAGTTTGAAGAGCAGCTGCAGATTCTTCTGCGGAGTTGAGAGAGAAAGAAAGGGCTTTGAATACTTGGTCCGTGCAAGTCAAGTCCGAGTCTTTGACTGCCACCCATGGTATAGACGTGCGCGCGTAAACCCCTAAATCGAGGAAGATTTCTTGGCTCACCAACCCCTTTGGACTCCATTTTTTGACGAAAACATGAAAGATGACGAGTAGATGAGAATGAGGAGCAATAGAGCCTTCGAAGCCAAGGGGATCCCGTCGAACATGCAACTTGTCAAGCCTCGAGCAGTTTCGATTTCATTATCATAGACTGGTGAGATGTGCCTATGGAGCCAGCAGGTATTGTCAGCTCGATGACAGCTACCAGTGACCGACTGCAGGGAATAACCAACTCTATTTGTATTTAAAATTAGAATGCCGCACAGCCACCGATCGAACTGGCGGTCAACCCAATACGGGACGTCATCGTTGAGGTTTACTGCTGGTACATCATGCAATGTTCGGAGGCAGTCATACGCCTGATGCGGCTCATGCAAGAACTTTAAGTACCGACACAGTGCGCATGGTAGCGGACGAAGGCTCCACTGCTGCCCGGCACCAGCGCGCCGACTCGAATGTTGAACGATTCGAAGCTTCTCGTGCTGCAGACTTCCACTTACGAGTCATATTTTTCTTTCCAGGTTGACAGTCTTCAGCCGCTAGATTCATTCGCTGAAGAAGAGCCGCTCACCGACATACAACTCAATGGCAAACACTATCGAATATCTAGGCCTAGTAACTCTTGCTCGCACCCCGCCTACCAATCAGTTCTATCAATTTCTTCAAATGCGACATTTTCTGGAGGCCCCACAATCCTTCTGTACTTTCCCAACTCGAGCCGTCTGATTGTGTTGTCGATGATTGTGATGGTACATTTCAAACCCCAAGTGATTGTCTGACGGCACACTAAAACATCACCGACATAAATCGTGCCCGGTGTACTTCCAGGGCGCGCTTTACAATGATTTCTTCCGGCGAGGGGGCACATCTCCGGTATTGGTGGTGTTTACTGCAAGGAAGTAAATAAAACATTATGTTACTCATCCACCGTTCGCAGTAGGATGTTTGTGGTCTCGAACCGTCCAGCCGCGCATGATGGAGTCATGCCCTTTGTTTAAGAAAACAACTGTGGTATGAGCAAAAGGTTGCTTGCTCATCGCATTGTGACAATAATGTGAAAATCGCGATCGCGCTTTGTCGGATCTAGTGGACGCGTCTGCTCACAAAGCGGTTCGTCATTCATCCACAATCCACAAGTCCACATCATCCAGACATAAATCGGTACTCAACATGACATCTCCCATCAACCCACCCTTGCTCCATTCACATCACAGTGTTCTTCACTACACCTGTCTCCATGAGTCCCTACTCTCCTGACTACTATCCCCGCTACCGCCCCGGAATCTCATTCGCTGTCCCTGCTCTTGCTACCAAGTATCTTGCGGAGCAACGTGAGCGTGCACGGGCTCTGCGTTACCAACAGCAGCCCGTGAATCAGCCTAGCCCAATTGCCCTCCTTGCTCACGAGTACGATGAATTTCCCGACCAGCAGCGCATGATACGCGTCTTGCATACCTGTAGGTCGCAGGATGAGAAGAATATTGGCCACATTATGGCCCTCAAGCATGCTGAAACGCAGTGGGCCAACCACACAGCCCGCCAGACAGCTGAAATGCAGTGGTCCAGGATCCGAGCGTGGCAGTATTTTGTCGCTTTAAATGCTCACATCGAGGAGGAACAAGCCTTTGCCCGCCGGCGTGCAGATGCTGAAAAATTCCTCGAAGAAGCTGAGACCTACCTCAGCGAATTTCTCCCTCCGGATGAGGAGCCATGCCTCAGCGCCTTTCAGCCTTTCGACCTGCCTGGTACTCCCGTATGTTTTCACTCGTCCAGTAAATCTGTGTCATGTGACTTACCACAATCCCCGACATTCTCCCCTCAGCTTCCAGCTTCCACTTCCAAGGTCCTTGTTCAGGACGAGCTTTTGCTGAAGGACATGATCGAAGACTGTGTCATGACAGAGTACCGGTTTGAAGTGCACGATACGCTCCAATCGATCCTTGACTGTCTCTCTGCAGTCACTTCGACCGAAGGTCCTATCGAACACGTTCCCGTACCAACCACTGCCGGGGAGATTTCTAGCTCGATGCAGGTCGACGTCGACGAAGAGGGAACCATGTCCAAATAGGAAAGGAGAAGCCAAGGAGATCCCTGTATTTTGACGCTGAAGAGCCTTCTGCATCTCCAACCCAAGTCGCATCTTCGTTCTCCCAGATCACTTCCATCTCCTCCAGTCTCGAGACCCTTCTCGCCAACTTTCAGTCCCCTACCGAGCTTGATTCCTCTCTCTTCCACGCTCAGACCCTGTTACTGTGTCTGTCGAGCAACTCGCTTACCAAATGCATATCGACCTTTCGGAGGACGTCAGTGAAGGTGCATTCTTCCTTTGTTGTGAGTTGTGAGAATGAGGCGTGGTATCATATCAGCCGAGGCTTGATCATCTTGTATCTTTTACTGTGGTATTTATTTAAATCTCACTTATGTTCTACGTATACTTTGTTTATGTTCGTTCATCTTGAATATAAATATTTGCTTGGTTGCACCTGAAGCGAACGAGGAACTTCGGAATTGGTGGGACCGTGCGAAAATTTACTAGTACTGGCAAGACCAACGACCGTAAACGTCCGATTGTTAGAAAAATACTCCGCTTGAACAGTTACTAGTTACTTGTAACCACCGCCAGCATCGTCTGACATGGCTTCCTATGCCGTCAGGAAATCTATAAACCTCGCACCGACTGTGCGTGCGCTCCCAAATGGAATCCCGAGCGCGCCACGTCTCAACCTCGCGGCACGAGCACCTTCGGATGGCCATGGTCATGGTGCAGCAGGTCCCCGTTCTGATGTCCCCACTCGCTTGACTGGAACAGTCACGAGCCCTTCAGTCGGTCTAGTTTCCAGGACCTTCGTTGGTAAGTAATAATTTTTCACCTTGCTTCGGCCTACTTTCTTAATACTTACGCCGACCAAAACGTGTCTTTTGCCATTAGCTCCCTCCCCCACAACCCATCTCCACCAGCGCCTCATCCACACGTCCGTTGCAGCGAAAGATGCTCCTCAAGTACCCGATTTCGCCCCCTACCGCCCGAAAGACGAGACCACCAACCGTGCCATGTCGTACTTCATGGTCGGTTCCCTCGGCGTCCTCTCCGCTTCTGTTGCCCAGTCCACTATTACTGGCTTCCTGGAGACCATGGCCGCATCGGCTGACGTCCTCGCTCTCGCGAAGGCCGAAGTAGAACTTGCTAGCATTCCGGAGGGCAAGAATGTCATCATCAAATGGCGCGGAAAACCTGTGTTCATCCGTCACAGGACCCCCGAGGAGATAGAAGAGGCACGGACTGTCGATTTGAAGGCACTCAGGGACCCTCAGAGGGACGAGGACCGAGTGAAGAAACCCGAATGGTTGGTTATGCTTGGCGTTTGCACGCACCTAGGTTGTGTCCCGATTGGCGAGTCAGGCGACTACGGAGGATGGTGTGTCAGTTTTCTTTCATTACTCAACTGTTCTGACTGTCTCGTTATCTAGGTTCTGTCCATGTCATGGTTCTCACTACGATATTTGTATGCCACTGTGATTCCTTCACCTGTGTATTACTAACAAAGTTCAATTTACAGCTGGCCGTGCCCGGAAGGGACCTGCTCCGGTAAGGGTTTTTCCTCTGTTTACCGAAGTCATACTGACACAACCTTGCAAGCTTAATTTAGAGATCCCTCCTTACGACTTCAATGAAGCCGACGGAAAGCTCATTGTTGGATGAGATTTATCATATACTGTTTTTACTGTCCTGTAATGGAGTCATAGATATTACTAGAAGTCAGCTTGCAGTTGTGTCTTGTCAAGACTTGTGTGACAATTATCGCTGAGACGCTTGGGGTATACGTGACATTAATAGCCACTAAACAGTACAGTACAGTAATGATGGATATGGACTAGACTGGCTGTAGATAAACTCAATGATAACGTAGATAGTGTAGTCTTGACAATGGTAAAGTTATGCAGTAGGGCGTTGAGCCAAAGAAGCGGAGCTCCGCCTGTTAAGTATACGTGATAATCCGCTCATCGTCCTCTCTTTGACAGGTGGCTCTTCCCCTATGGCATTGCGAGAAGTAGCGCGGGTCAAGCGCTGCCAAAGTTTCGGAGAAACCGATGATGGGGCAGAGGTGGGGGAAGAAGCCGCGCTGTCTCTGGAATTCGAGAAAGATGAATTACGAAAGTTGGATGACGCTCGCTTTGGAATGGGGATGGGGATGGGAGCTGGTACGGAACGCTTAGGCATATACGCAGGTGGTGATGCGGGATATGACAAATCCAAACTTAAAGATTGGGATTCTCCGTATCCAGCGTGGGCTTGCGAACCTGGAAGGAGAAACTCTGTCTTCTCGTTCTCAAGATCACGACCCTGGGCGTTGATGGACGTTAAGTCTGAAGTAGGCATGATTGACGCTGTCTCTTTGACATCGTGTGAAAGCCCGAATCCTGGATGTACTGAGTCAAGGCGAGCCAGCTGGTGGTGATCATCTGCCAGTGATCCAACATCAAGACTTCCCCTTCTGGGCGCACCCCCTGAACTTTCTCGGTTTGAGCCCAAAGGGATCGGTGGCATGGAAGAGGTTGTCTCTGTAAAGTTGAAGTCCCATGATTCCATTGTTGAATGAGTCATCGTGCTTGGATGATGTCTGCGACGTTCTTGGCGCATTGTAAGGGGTGGGAGGCCGTCCAATATTGTGCTAACCAGATAGGATCTCTTTTTGGAAGACTTGAAAAATGGGGTGAGAAGTAGCTTTGCAGCTGTTGGACTGCCAAGGAGATATAAGATATAAAGTAGCGAGGTGCTGAAAAAAAAATACCGTTTAGAGGGATCTTTGACCAGACAAGCATCGACTACGTCCTTGAAGGCACGTGAATACTGGTGGACACCTCCTACCGAATCAAGCTTCGGTGGTTTACCCTGAACGCTGGAAAGGGCTTAGAGGTAGGAATGTGACCTAAACGGATAGATGAAACATACGTCTGCAGAAGGACATTATGAGCACTTTCTCTCGATCGTGGAGGACGACCCTGAGTAAGCTCGATAGCAGTGATTGCAAATGACCAGATGTCAGCCTTTGAATCGTAACGGTGACCCTGAATAAGCTCAGGCGCCATCCAGCAAGGCTGCATTGACCAGAAATGTTCATATTAGAAAATCCAAGGATCTGAGATAAGCTGTGGCACGCACAGTTCCGACAAACGATTTTCGTTTCCCCATACCAGGGCGCTCAAGTGGGAATGCCGGACAGGAGCTGTTGGCAGCAGACACAGGGTCAAAGTTGATAATACGATTGCCGGCATCATTGTAAGATCTGCTGGACAAATCAGCATCATCCATGAGGGACGCGGCTACCCCAAGGTCGCCTAGCAAAACTGTGCCGTCGTCGTCGATAAGAAGATTGGCAGCTTTTATATCGCGATGGATAAACCCGTTGGTATGTAAGTAGCTGTGAAAATGTGGTCATTGTAGTACGAGAAAGGAGGGCACGAGATGGACTAACTTGAGGCCTTCTAGGACTTGCTTGAGAATGCATTTGACAACCTCTTCTTCCATTCCACCGGGCCAGCCGTAATGCATTACGTCGGCGGCGCTACCCTTGTTCATGAGGCGGGCGGCAATATATAGCTTGTGGCCATCCACCCAGCTGCCACGTACACGCAACACGTTTGGGTGCTTTGTCAAGGACATGAGTTGTGTCTCCCTCTGTAACAAAGACAGCGAATGAGGGGGCAGCGCGTCTAAGTCAAGAACTTTCAACGCGCATGGCATAGGACGCCCTGGCGGGTGAGGGTTGTAGACAGCGGCATAGACCACAGATGATGCCCCGAAACCAATGGGAGATCCAATAGTGTAGTCCGCAGAACGGTCACTGAGAGGAAGTGAGTCCGAACCTGATAACTTCTGTGAAGGCTTGAATTACCTATACAACTGCCAGTCGTCTTTGACGGAACCGACAAATTTCCTGGGGATATTAACGGTCATTTGATGAGTCCTACAGCATTCCCTGAAATGTTTTCAAATGGGCAACGGAGCCGCCCAGGAGTGAAATATATATAAGACTGCGGTCACTGAGCCAGCGCGTGGACTGCCGAATACTGTCAGCTCTCTCGTCATGTCTAACTTGGGATCGGTGTATTAAGGTTTGCCGTTGTTCCTGCACGTGGGCCAAATTAAGGTTGCAACGTTGATTTTCATATCTATGTCATAGCGTGACAACATTGTCACACTCTGTCCCGGGTATCCCGAGTCCGTTTCGTAAACTGTCTCTTCACAAAATACTGCATGGCACCGCATCAACCATGCGTTAAATATCAGTACGTCCTTACATCTTCCACCCCGAAGATAGTCCCGGTCCCAGACCAGGAACCCAAGGATGAAGAATCACCAGCTGATTACAACACTGGCGGGTATATGGTCATTAAGATCGATGACACATTCAAAGAGGGTAGGTATATAGTAGCACGCAAGTTAGGGTAAGCCATCCTCTCATTTGCCGTACAATTCTTGTTCATTCGACAAGCTGGGGCCATTTTTCAACTGTCTGGCTTATCAAGGATACTCAGTGGGTATTCCAGTTCTGCAAACACATGTATGTTCTCATAAAGTATCTTTTCATAGCGAGAATCGCTACTCCGCTCTCAAAGTGGTCAAGTCTGCTACACGTTATGCTGAGACTGCACGCGATGAAATCAAACTCTTATCTCAGGTAGCTGCCGCAAATCCGCACCATCCTGGTCGACAACATGTTGTCTCGTTCCTCGATTCTTTTCAACATCACTCTCCCCAGGACACTCACGTGTGCATTGTATTTGAGCCCCTTGGAGAGACGCTTCTCGCATTAATTCAACGCAACAAGAAGAAGGGTGTTCCAAAACCCCTTGTCAAGGTCATCGCGAAGCAAGTGCTTCTCGGTCTTCAATATCTTCATGATGAATGCGATCTCGTTCACACTGACATTAAACCTGAGAACATTCGTACGTATCTAATTGTCTTTGGATTCATGTCCACCCCACTGACGAGTTATTTCGTTAGTCATTTCCATACCAGATGTTGAAGCTCGTATCCACACCGAATTGTCTATTTCGCCAAAGCCAACGTCGTATCATGTAGGCGTTCCTCAGCCGACCAAGTCCCGTTCTGGCTTAACCATTCCTTATCGCCATGTACCTACACACGAGAGATGCGTACAAATATTTGATTCACAGCCATTATCAAGTCCATCGTCGAGATCTGGAAGTATCAGCGCTAACGCGAGTAGCCATAGTTTCCAAAAGCAATTTTCTGGGACAACTCCGATCAGCGGCGCACCCGTCAGCCAGTTGCTCAGGAAGTCCGCTAGAGTGGACCCTACTACCATCCTTCATGACCCACCTTCCAGCAGCTCATCCACTTCATCTACCATCTCCTCCACATTATCCACACCAGCGGCTTCTAACAGTGCTGTTAGTACGCCTCCTACCTCGGTGGAAAGTGCAGACATACCCATCCTGACGAAAATGGCCTCGCTTACACTCATGAATGCTTCGCTGGATGCCAAGGAATGTGTCATTGCCTCCGAGCAACACGTATCTACTTCTCCCCTCATCCAATCGCACGCTTCGTCAGAGATCCACCACATCACTCCTGGGCCGTCGCTTTTGACACAGACTGCTCCGCATCAATCCTCCGCGCCGTCTCTTGACCGAACTCCGTTATCTCCTTCTTCAGGGGTGCCCGTTCTAGGACCGCTATCTACGCCGCTATCTGCACCGCTATCTGCACCGCTCTCTATCAAGATTGCCGATCTAGGCAATGCGACACCTTCTAAGCAGCATTTTACGGAGGATATCCAGACACGGCAGTATCGCGCTCCAGAGGCTATCCTTGGACGACGCGACTGGGGCACAAGAGCTGACGTTTGGAGCGTTGCTTGCGTCGTTTTCGAGTTGTTGACTGCGGAATATCTGTTTGACCCTCACGGACAAGGCGAGATGTTCACAAAGGACGATGACCACATGGCGCAGATAATTGAATTGCTGGGTGATTTCCCGCTAGACGCGAAGATAGGAGGAAGATATAGTCGTGAAATATTTGATCACGCAGGCAAGTCAAGCTGGCAATAGCAATTCAAGTCAAGGACTCACGTTATCTTCAGGGTCACTCCGTTACATCAAAACGTTGAGGCCGTGGCCTTTAAATCGTGTCATGACAGAGAAATACCTGTTCTCTACCTCGGAAGCGGACAATCTATGCTCCTTCCTTGAACCTATGCTTGCGGTCGATCAAAGGGAGCGCAAGGAGGTTCGCGATATGATTGATCACCATTGGCTAAATGTGAAGGACGACGAGTGGGTAGGCGTCGACAGCTGGTAATGAACCTGATTTTTTTGATGCTGTCATTTTATGGGGTTCCTGTGTCTTGGGGTATCTGAAATATACACCCCGCCTTAACTTTTTTTTCGCCCTACTTTAACAGTGTTTATTTCTTCAGAATCCTCATGGTTGCACGATAGACATCAGAATGATTGTTCACGATTTAGATGCAGACACCACTCATTTTACACTTCGCGGTCCATACAACGGTACATATGTATTGCATTTTCTCGAGCCATAAATATAAAGTCTTGCATATGCACTCATGCTTCCGTATTCGTGCACCTACTTCGAAACACCTCACGGTATGATCCAAATTCATTCTCAGAACTAAGTTATGGTCGCCAGGAGGACTGACTGAATTGAACAGTTTGGAACTCAGTATGATTCCATGATTTTCATCATGATGATATGATACAAGGTGAAACAAGGTACCATGTTGTGGTCGTTGCCCTCCCGGGCCATTAGATGTTGTGCCATGCTAACCCGGTAACGAGATGGTCGAGACAACTGCACAAGACAACCAAAAGACAACATGTGACATCCTGACCTCAATTACCGTCAACTGGAACTTCGAAGGATGACTCGGACCGACAACAACTTGGCAGCCATGGTTGACTGGAAGAACCTACAATAATACAAATCACATTGTAATCGAGTCTCTGGAGGGAACAATGCTACCGTAGCGACAAGCTAGTTCTTGAAAACGTTGTAGAAGTATATGCCTGAGGTACCGGTTAGTGCTGTCTGTGCATGTGAGGCGGCTTGCTTGGATCTGTCCCAAAAGGGATGTTCGTTTGAAGCTGCTCCTTAGGCAGCGACAGCGCAAGCTTATAATAAGCGCCATGTCGTCGTATAAACATATAAAACATTCATAAGAACACCCATCTGGCACGTCGTCTTCCCCGAGGAAGTTCCAGCCCGCCCTGACCGTAATGCTCACCTCCATCGCGTCCACTCTCTCACTCAGCTTGCTAAAAGCATGTAGTGTGGTTCTCTTGATTCTGGTAGCAAGAGGACTCGTGTGGTTGATTAACATGATGATCGTAGCTCCTATGTTTGACCCGCTCAAGAAGATACAGGGACCCGACGGTTCTCCACTGCAGAACCACTTTCGTGAGGTCATGGAGTGCGTGCATATCCAGTTCAAGATCAATCGCGAGGCTGATTTACCTTTACTTCAGCCCCAGCGTATCTCCAAATACGCATGAAAAGTGGGTCAGGTCATTCGGGAAGACATTCAGATTTCATGGGTTCGGTAGGGTGAGTGCTTGCAATCTATTCCCCACTCGCCCTCCTTAAAACATTTAGCATGACTTTCGTCTCCTCTCCGTCGACTTTTGCGTTATGTCGCATGTCCTCAACTCACCGATCTACGAGAAACCATGGCAAACACGAACATTGCTGACGAACCTTTTTGGGCGCGGTACGCTGACTTGATTCTTTCTGGAGACGTGAATGTTCTAAGCGGGTGCATGCCAGGTATTTTTGCCATGGAGGGTGCAGAACACAAAGCTTTAGTGAGGACTGCACTTAATTTCTGAAGAAACAATATTCATATGGTTTCTCGCAGAGGAAGCTGATTGCACCGGCCTTTTCAACACAATCAATTAAAGCCATGACCCCCATATTCTTCCAGAAAGCTGAAGAGTTACGGGAAAAATGGGAGAGTCTTGCTTCTTCTCCCACATTGGTTGAGGATGCAAACTTTCCTCCCCTTCCTGCACCACCTTATTCTCCTTCTCCTTCTTTTGCCGAGGCAGTGATTGACATCGCTCACTGGTTCTCCCTTGCAACATTCGACGTGATAGGCTTGGCAGGTTTTGACTACCACTTTCATGCTCTCCAGTGTGAATCAGAAGAGGTCTACTTGGCATACAGAAATATGTTCAGGGTCGCTGACAAGGGTCCCAAATTGCAAGAACTTATCCAGCTTTATCTCCCGATAATTGAAAGGATATTTGTCAGTAATATTATCAGTTTGGCGGACACTTAACTGATACATTGTCTTCTTCGCAGCCTAATGAAGCCACCCGTATCACAGGTGAAAGTCAACGCGTAATCAGCGAAGCTGGCCAACAGCTCATCCAAAGCAAGAAGTGCGCCATTCTTGCTGAAAAAGCGAGTGCCAGCGAGATCAAAGAAAAAGACATTCTTAGTCTACTCAGTTAGTGCTCACGTCACTCTTTGTTGACTGTATCTGACATCTTAATTGTAGTCAAATCAAACCTATCGGCGGATATTTCAGGGCGACTTTCTGACGCAGATCTTCTATCCCAACTCTCGACGTTCCTTTTTGCTGGCTCTGACTCTACATCTCTTACTATGTCCTGGTGCATCCACCTCCTTTCCCTCCACCCTGGTGTCCAAGGTCGCCTACGCTCTGAATTAAACTCGATGTCTCCTTGCGCATCCAACTCTTCATCGGTGTCAGGCTATTCTGCGTCGACACACGCAGAAGCCATTGATGGGCTTCCTTTCCTCGACGCAGTAGTCCGCGAAACACTGCGTCTGTGTCCTCCCGTCCACGGTACAATGCGAGTTGCTACTCGTGATGATAATATTCCGATATCTTCACCCATAGTTCTTCGCAATGGCATGATCATTCAACCGGGCGAGACCATCCATCTCCGCAAAGGCTCTTACGTGCACGTTCCCATCGAGGCCTTGAATTTTAGCACTGACATCTGGGGCGAGGATGCAAGACTATTTAAGTAGGTATTTTTTTCCTCGTTGCGCCGCTTTCCTGACAACCTTACAGCCCTGATCGTTGGTCTTCTCTGCCTCACCCTGCACGAGCTCCCTCTCATCCAGGAATCGCGAACCTAATGACGTTCTCATTCGGTCCACATGCTTGCCCAGGCTGGAAGTTCTCGATGTTGCAAACCAAGATATTCCTGGCGACTCTCATCCCTCATTTTGTTTTTGAGCCTGCTGCAGATATACAAAAGTTTAACGCAATTCTGACGCGGCCCTACGTGTACGATCAATTTGAATTCGGCACGCGGCTACCTGTAAAGATTGGTCGAGTAAATCTCTGATATTTGTAGATGGGTATATTTCAAGGTCCTGTTGTTCAGTGTTGTAGCAAATGTTTTGTATTTTTAGTCTATCCTTATCGTCGCTAAAGCTAAAGTATTCACTTGGTCACCAGTCCAATAAATTGATGAGTAGATCACCATGGGCTAAGTGACGGACTACATAGCTCGCGGTGGAGTTTTATCATCGCGCAGTGTCACACCGTTGATGGCGCCGATCAATATATCCACCTCGTCCTCTGATGATATGGCATACACCGTGCTGTCAGCCGGTATTTGCCTGGTTTCCTCGAGAGCTGCGACAGGACGAGGGGAACCTAGAAGAACTCCATGAATCCAAGAATATTCAATACTAAGACAGACCTCACCTTGAGGCAGAGCCGTTGCCATCTTACAGACCTTAGGGGTCCTGGGTGCTCTTTGCACGAAGAGAGGGATGAGTTTTCCGACCCTACAAACGCCACAAACTAGGACAGATTCAATGCACCTATGAAAGTACATTTGAGAGCAGCTCACCGCATTCATCTGGTCTGATGGACTTGCTATATCGCCCATATCTAGTGCCAGACCATCAGACATTGGATGCTGGTGGCGGAGCGAAACTTGACTTACACTTTTGAACACCTTTCGCATTCTTCATAAAATGATCAAAGTGGCGCTTGGTTAAAGCAGAATCTCATACTTACTCCATTCAAATGGGTATGAAATCTCATAGTTGTGCCTCGTCTGGGATTGCAGCTGTCAGAAAGCAGTCACTTTGCATTCGTGGATGCCTACCGTGATTTCGATTTCTGGACGCTTGATCATCACTTTGTTGGCCCTAGCAAGGTATTAGATGAACAATAAGTGACAATGAAAAGGATGCGGGCACCGACCAGGCTTTGAAAGCTTGGCCATGACCTTCTTTCGGGTTGTCGTTGATGATCCAGCATGCCAGATGACACATCTCATGCGACAAAGTATTTCGTATCCGTTCTAGGAGCACACAAATCAGGGGTATGGTAGAGTAGAAACAAAGACCTCTCTACCATCACAATCCAAAATCTTGGCAGCCAGCTCAATCTCTGTCGTCTGAACACCATCCCTAGACCTGCCATCAAGATGAGCATAGTAGGAGATGTAGCACAAGGATTGGCTACCTGTGCCACTTGGCCCTTCCCGCGGTGGTTAAGAGACGCTTGTTCCAATTCAACTTTGTCTCTCGGGGAAGACCGTTATCGAATATTGTACTATTAAGCTCTTCAAAGAGCTGTGCAGTATATTTTTCGCGACGTGCTTGATCTGCATTTCCCCGCTTGGGGATCCTAGGGGGTGGTTTATTTATTCGTGGCGTTATGCTGCCAGAGATTTCCCGAGGAGTACCAAACCGCGTCTTATCCTCTCCAGGGGAATGTGAGTGAAATGACTCATCGTCACAGCGAGTAATCGGGAAGGAGGGAATGGTTTCGTTGACAGTAGATATCTGAGCACGACGAATGGGTTTGCGTGCACTTCGTGGCTCGTTCCTATCCGGTTAATGGTAAGCCCGAAATTAGCACTAGCGGGTATGGCCTTACAGAATGAGAATAGAACCATCGTCTGCATCGCTGTCATCAGCATAAAGTGACAAGAAGTCTTTCGGGCGCTGAGCCACAGGTTTCCTCGGCGTTTTGGGAGGACTCTTGACGAGATCAGTTAATTTGTCCGGAAAGTCGGAGGATGTATCATAGGTATCACTATCTGTCAATTCGATGATTTCCGACGGCCCACGAAATGAGCTTGTGTTGACAATAGTATTCTGACCCTGTCGAGTACTGTATCTTCATCAAGTATCTGATATCATAGCGCGCAAGACATTACTCACCCATCTTTGATGATCCTGGATAGTCATTTGAAAGTAAGAACACGTGAATATGTTTGGACATATACTATCACTGCCATAGTCTTACGAGTTGTCATCATCGTCCGAGGATATTTCAATGACTTCAAGTGAGACGGATTGACACTTTCTATACATCATATATGTGCAAGTTGTTGAACATCAAAGAGTGGTTTTCACGAGAAGGTCACACACCTGCCAGTGAGTCTCTCTTCCTCGCTATCTGATACTAACTCTAGACTGAACCCGCTAATCATTAATTCTAAGTATCGAGTGGCAAAAAAGATGACGGGGTTAGCCTGCCAATAATATATGGGCACTGGACTGGCGATAAGATGTTTGAAACTGACAAGTGGCTACGCAAATTTGCAATGGACAATGTTCGTCGAGACGCGCTTGTTCCTGGCGTCCCGTGACAATGTCAACGTCATCACGTGCATCTGAATGTGATAGGCCATAGTTGGATTTCCGCTCCACATTATATATTCTTGGTGGCTTCTTCTAAGGCCCGCCTAGCTCAATCGGATAGAGCGTCAGACTTTTACGAATTGTACGAGTTTGTGCAAGGCGGTGATCTGAAGGCTGCGAGTTCGACCCTCGCGGTGGGCTAATGTTTTACTCAAGTTTTGAAGGTAATCCATACTTCTAGTACAATAGCTGCTAGCCTCTCCAATTCATTTTGCAGTTCTGTCCTCCATTTCAAACTACACAGCTGGCGGACTGAGACCAGCTATTTGCAGTTCTGTCCTCCATTTCAAACTACACAGCTGGCGGACTGAGACCAGCTATGTTGCATGAGGTTTCTGATCGGAGGACTTACACAAATTCAAATTCAAGCTTTGGCCTACTCATGATACCCCTGTGAGCAGCCAAAGATCAGCAAATATTGACAGCAAACGGTAAGCAAGTTTAATGCTGAAGCAGTCGGCGCTTCCGACGTACATATCAAACAGGCCGGGATGGTAGATAATGTCATGTGGCAAAGATCATTGCAGCGGTATACGCATCTAAATCTTACTGACTTTCTAATCCTCTACACCCTCTTCCTCCTCCGCAATAAGCCTCTCCGCCTCAAGCGCAGCCATGCACCCACTCCCTGCACTGGTGATAGCCTGTCTATATCTCTTATCCTGCACATCGCCGGCAGCAAACACGCCCTTGACGCTCGTCTGCGTGGTTCCGGGGACAGTAATGATATACCCATCGGGGTCCGTTTGCAGCTGCGAGCGCACAAGGGACGTAGCTGGCTCATGTCCGATTGCATAGAAGAGTCCACGCACGGGTAGATCGCGCTCTTCTCCTGTCGTTACATTTTTAATGCGGAGGTTTTTGAGGAGGTCGCCGTCGCCTTGGCATTCGGTTGCGACGGTGTTCCAAAGGACTGTCTGTGGAAGCGTATGAGAGGTGGCAAGTGGTAAGGGGATATGAGAATAGAGGGAGACGTACAATCTTGGGGTGATTCATGAGGCGCTTGGCCATAATTTTAGAGGCGCGGAGTTCGCCACGGCGGACGAGGACGTAGACGTGGGAGCCATATTTTGTCAGATCTGCCAGTGTTTGGTGTTTGGTTTTTGGTCTCATAGGAGCAGATAATTAAAATATCTTACAGGTGGCTTCTTCTGCTGCAGAATCACCACCACCGATGACAGCTAGCGGCTGATTCCTAAAGATAGGGACGGCACCATCGCAGACTGCGCATGCACTGATGCCGCTTTGCCAGTATGTGACCTCGCCCTTGAGTCCTAGCCTCTTCGCGCTTGCACCAGTCGCGATGATGATAGTATCGGTAGTTTCTGGTTCATTGTGTTCCTCACCCTCTCGCCAATAACGGAAGGGGCGTGCAGAGAGATCGATCTTGGAGACGGTCTCTGTGATGATCTGCGTGCCGAAGCGAATGGACTGCTCACGGAACTTATCCATGAGCTCGGGACCAAGGATGCCAGATGGGAAACCGGGGTAGTTCTCGACTGCAGTGATAGATGAGATGCACTGAAGATAAGAGCGGGATGGTGCGTGTACGTACCATCTGTGGTCGTGGTAAGCTGGCCACCGGCAGCGAAACCATTTGCCATAAAGCCCTCGAAGAGGACAGGGTTGATGTTCGCGCGTGCAAGGTATACAGCGGCGGTGTGTCCTGCAGGACCTGACCCAATTATAACCTGCGCATGACAGTGGGTGAGTGCCGATGAGGAATGATGGAAACGAAATGGATGATACGGACAACTTTTGAGTGCATCTTTGTGCTCTTTGGGACTATTGCGTTTGTGAGTGGGGCCATTTTTGAATCCAGAACGGAGGTGGTTGCAATTGCGAGAGGAAGACCTTACTAGGCCTTGCAGAATGCGAAATGGAGAAAGTAGGGATCTCTAACTTTCGCCTGGTCATCGACAAAGCGCTTTCCACATCCTCGGGCAGAGACTAGTGCATCGCAATATTGTGCGTCAATGCTGACATAGCTCATCTGACAAGTAAGCGCGAGTTAAAAGGAAGGTCGAGATATCATTAGAAGTCAGGAGACGTGGCAGAATATGCAAAAACATTAGCCCACCGCGAGGGTCGAACTCGCAGCCTTCAGATCGCCTAGTCATAAGAGTCTGACGCTCTATCCGATTGAGCTAGGCGGGCGGTATCCTGGTATCCACGGGTACCTCTATCAAGCACAGGAAGAATAAAAAGATTGGCCCAAGGGCAAAAATGTTGTATCTACCTGATACGAAGAAAGACTATTTATCTACAGACATTCAAAGCAAACAACGAATGGATAGCATCGTTCGTACAACACATCAAACACCGACCCTGTGGCAACATTCAGGTCGTGCACTGAGATTTAAATAAATAACTTACCGATGCACGACCTTTTTCTGCAATGCACATGGGTTATCACCTCATTCTCGTGGTCTGACATAGAATGCTCACCTGACCAGAAAATCGTACTACTTCCCTCTTCTCAAGGATGAAGAGTGTCCGTTCCAGTGCGTGATTCGAGTAGCCCTGCTGCGTCACAAATTCCCTTACTAAACTTTGATAGCTCGTGCTCCAGCCCACAGGAAGACGTCTGCGCAATTCCTTCTCTATCCGTGACATCTCGTCATTCAGCTCGCCGCGAGACATGCCATCGACGGAACCTGCCGAGACAGCGTCCATGGTTGAGAACTTGAAAAGCCGGATGGCTTCCTCGACATGATGATTCTGAACAGTAGGTGATAATGTCATCTTGGCAAGCGATTCCGATATTCGGATGATGGCTTCTAGTTGGCTGTAAAAGGTGTTAATCTCGACAGCGGTGAATCTGATGGTGGATACCAACCGAACTGTTATTGGAATTGAACTCCGTTCGTCATTATCACGTTCCACTTGCTGAACCTGCTTCCGAAGACTAACAAAATGACTGCTAAGCATTTCTTGAGCATCTGGAGATAATCGCGGTGCGCATTTACTGAAGACCATATAATCAGCTTGCCTTTCAGGAATAGGGGATACTTCAAACCTCTTGCAATACGAGATATAGCGCTTCATTTTGTCGATGTCAATTTCGCCAACAGCTTCTCCATCGTCGTCTGTACTCTGATTTGGCCGGTTCATGTGGATGTTCATGACGTGCTTGGCAATCATCTAGATATTTCGTGAGTAAAGGTTTAAGATTAAGGAAGTGGACGCTGACACGATCTCGCTGTTCGTTGTGCTCGTCTTTGACGATGAAAATCATATCAAAACGTGACAAAATGGTTGTTTGAAAGTCGATGTTCTGGATACCATATCAGCAAACTGGAAAACCCTCTGGTGAGGACGAATACCTCGCCAGGGCTCCGACCTTCGTCATATCGTCCCCAAACTGGATTTGCTGCTGCAAGGACACTTGTCCGGGAGTTGAGCACCGTCGTGATACCAGCCTTCGCTATCGAAATGGTTTGCTGCTCCATAGCTTCATGAATGGCAACCCGATCTTCATCGCGCATTTTGTCAAATTCGTCTATACAGACAACCCCAGTGTCCGCGAGAACCATGGCACCACCCTCGAGATAGAACTCGCGCTGTGATGCGGAAAGTTAAGACAAAAAACAAAAATTTCTGCAAGGAAATCGACACTTACAGAGACTGGATCTCGCTGGACAACAGCTGTTAGTCCAGCTGCGCTAGAACCCTTTCCAGAGGTGTACACGGCGATCGGTGCAACCTGCAGGATGCAATGAGAGGGCGTAGAACGCAGGATTAGTGCCTTTGCATACCTTCTCGACAAACTTGAGCAGCTGACTCTTTGCTGTCCCTGGATCTCCGAGTAAAAGAACATTAATATCGCCTCTCAACCGCATACCATCTGGTAAGACCTTCTTAGAGCCACCGAAAAGTAGACAGGTAATCGCCTTCTTGATATCTGCGAAGGCAATGAGCAGAGATTAAAAACCTAGTTCATAGTTCGCAACGAACCAAGGCTGCCATAAATACTTGGACCAACACTTTTAGCAAAACGTTCATAGAAACCATCGCTACGTGCCATTTCGCCAAATTCTTCCTCCTCCTCAGGAGTGAATTGCACTCCAAAAGGATTTGAGGCGCCACCACCGGCAGTCGGCGAAGACATTTCGATGTGAACAAGGCGAAGATAAGGTTGTCGAAGTGCAGCAGGACCAGCAGATTTCTGTGATAATTTGATATGTGTATTCGGGAGAGATTGAGGGGATACTCACGTTCTTTGACGAATTGAAAGTAGAATAAATTCCAGTCGCGACTATTCGTGAGCCAGGTACGACCTTGCCCGTTAGGTATCGGTCTGCAGAGAGGAGCATGTGCCGTGGAAGTTCACCGACTGGAACCATGTCCGGTGCCTCTTGCAGTTTCAGAGTCTGCTGGTCAACAAAGGCCGACTTTGAGTGAACAATAATGTAGGGGTCCAGTGGACAATCCTTCTTCTGATTCTCCAGTTCTGGTGCATCACAGACTCTTGGTAGGCCTCGATCCGAGCCATTACCTATTCCTCCAAGGCCGCCGGCAGGGTATATAACTTTTGTGGACCGGCAAGCACGACATTGAAGATGAAGCTTTGTTGCTCGCGAGGAAAGAACAGAGGCAGAAATAACAATTCCAGGTATACGGACCAGCTTGTTCATCGTGTTTGCCGTCAAGTCGCGAACACGTTGCATCTGGAGGCCGGATTTGATGGTGATGTGGACTCTGGGGATTGATTGTAGAGCAGCCTCTGCGCGTTCATCAGAGCCACCAGCTAGTGGGAACAGGATGCTACGAGCCGCTTTAGTAGCCGCGTTCTCAAACTATACATGCTCTGAGCTTCGAGTACAAGAACACGGCAATTGTACTCACCAATGGCAAGATATCTGCCGGTCTGTCTTGAATTGCATGTGCTAGCTCATCATTATACAGACCAACATGCCGAAGATCCACCTCCAGCTGGTATTGCTTAAGGAGCAAGTTTGCACGAAGCTGATCTCTGCAAGCCTATTTAATGACCGTCGGATACCCAGCAGATAACAAAACTGACCTGTAGATGAATTCGCCTCCGACACGATATTGCAACAAAAACTCTAACAAGAGTTTCTCAGTTTGGGATGGAGAGTCACTAGATGCAACAGCTGGTGGGTCGTGGACCGAAACGGTGAACACATGATTTCCGTCGAAACCTGACATTGATGAGCGAAATAGAAAGGAGTATCTTCAATCAATGATGTGGAAGACGCGAGGCACATTATCCTTTAGGGCCGACAGATACGCGACATCCTTCTTTTAGACGGATATAGCGAGTTGAATACGGTTACATATTGACTCCCGTTTAGCTCAGTTGGTAGAGCGCGTCACTAGTAATGACGAGGTCAGTCGTTCAAGTCGGCTAATGGGAAATTTTTTTTGGTCTCCTATTACTTAAATCTGCTGCATCATTAGCCAATCCAACGCTGTGGCACTCGTCAATCTCACTGTCCATCATGAACTCGCAAATGGATACAGACGAGCAATCTGTAGTCCTCCCCTCCAGTACAACTTCCGGATTGTCTTTGTCACTGTCAGTCTACTGTCTGGCACCGTTAATAACGTTGACGTCGTCTTCCAGGCATCCCCTGCCAATCCTGAATATTTCTGAACATTTGACGAGACTAAAGCTTCAGACTCGGTCCCATTCACCTTTCGGCATGTTCATTTCTCTCTCTGCTCATTACCTATCACTAACAACAGATTGATCAGTCCTCGGCGCATTGCTAGGCACCCAGAACGGTCGAGAAGTCGAGATTGTAAATACATTCGAACTTGCCACAGAAGAAGGTCGCGATGACCTTGTAGATCACGATTTTTTGATGTCTAGACGAGATCAGTGTAAGTCTTCTATGTGATCCGCGTCCTCGCTGGCCGAACTATGTCCTTGTCGAAGATAAACAGGTGTTCCCCTCTTTAGAGTTCATTGGATGGTACACAGTAGCTCCTGTACCGACCTCTCGTCACATCGCGTTACATGAGCAGGCATGCAGCTTATCCCTGAGTTCTCATTTGTGAAGCTTATAGCCCACAGTTTACAGGGTACTGCTCGACGCCGCTCCTGCTTGTCCTACAACCATCCACGATATCTTCTTCTGATATCACTGGGCAGACACTTCCTTTCAAGGCTTATGAGCCCACTATCGAAATAAGGGATAAGAAGACACGTTCTGTGTTTATAGAGGCACCATACAAGGTAGAGACAGGTGAAGCCGAGCGTATTGCTGTCGATTGGACAGCCAAGGGTGGCGGTGGGAGTACCAGCCGTGGGTGAATCCTTCCTTCTACTAGGCCACCTCATCATCCTCTCTGCAGTTGAATCTCATCTTCAGTCTCAACGGGCAGCAGTCAAAATGTTACATGAGCGAATATTAGTTCTCGTGCAGTATGTGACAAACGTGATCGCAGGTACGTTGTATGTGCCAATTTGAAATGCAGGATATATACATACATTTGTACGCAGGCCAAATTCCGACAGATCATACAACCCTTCGATCTTTGTCTGCCCTGATTGCCTCGTTACCGGCCAGTGAAAACAAGGGCTTCCGCGATGAATTTAACACTGTGTGTAACTTTTCTACTTCACACCCTCTACTGTCCATATCTATTCAATATTCGCATTACCCCTTACTCACTCTGATATGTCATATGTCATACAGGAGTATGAAGACGTCCAGCTTACTGCGTTTCTTTCATCGCTTACAAAATCAACAAACATTTTGAATGACGTGAGTGATATCCAATCGTCAGTTTCCCGATTCAGTCTTGATCAACATGGGCGCTCGCTATGTAGCTTGTCGACAAGCACCTTGTACTCACAGGAGGATCACGGGACGATCGCACTCTAACTGTTAGGAGGAGGGGGATGGGTAGACAAGGGATGATGCCAGGGGATTGGGGGATGCACCCATAGTTACTTGAAGAATATTGTGCCACGTATCGTGTATCCTTTCCTTACCTGGCATCAAATACTCATGGATCATACTTGCAATTGGAAGGTGATTTACTGTTTTGCTGGAACTCGTATGTTTGTGTTGGTGTACAATTATTGTCTTGGACTGACTCATGTTTAAGTAGTGAGTCTGCCACGTATAACTGAGACTCCTACACTCTCACCAGTTCTACTTCCCAGTTAACCATGGCATGCGTTGAAGTCTTATCACTAACATCCCTCCTTGGTACGCTGTCGCCTAAAGGCGCTTACATTCTAGGTTATGGCTGGCTTTATGGGATGTGTAAGATTGTGTCACCATCCATTTTTGCACTGACTCATAAGACTGGATCTAGCTGTATGGGTGTCATTCTTTGGAGGTATGAGACTACTTATATTCATCACGAATTTGCCTTTCTGACGGACGGACATGTGTTCAGGAATAATTGCTTTGCGGGCATTGCGTTCGTCTTTCTGATTTACGTGTACCTCGTGCTGTCAATAATCAGCCTACTTCGTTAAAACAGCTAGGCACCAATTTGGTGCTCTTCAGCACAAGACCTTCCCGGTCTACTTTTCTTCCTCAATTGGACTCTCCTCGGCTTTGTTGGGGCTTTGGGCATATGCTCATCCCGGACTTCTTGCCAACATCACCAGCCCTCTTCGGGCTGATGTTGTACAGGCATATGTGCTCGGAACTGTCATAGTGTTGCAGAGCTGCAACCAGTTAGTTGTTGGGCCAATGACTAGCAGGCAAGTAGAATGTAATTACTCGAACGCCAGGTACTGAACCCTGATGTACCCGACAGTACTATGTTCCAGCGACACAAGTTGGAGAAAGAAGAAGGCAAAGACCACAATGAACCCGGGGTAAGTAAGCTCTTGCTATTTTTTCGATCATAACGCACTGATGAGGAATGGTAGGTTTCTGCCCAAATGAAGGCCTTGAATGCGAAGTTTGGAATGTTGCATGGTATCAGCTCGCTGGCCAACTTGAGTGCAGTCATTGCCCTGACCTTTCACGGCCTGTGGATAGGAAACTACGGCTTGTGAGGCACTTTCAGGGTATCATAAATCTGTCCTAAGAGCATCCGTGAAGCTCTCAACTGTGTCAACAGCCAGAGTAGATATTACGCAAAAATACAGTTCTAAGCAGTACAGTCATGCACCTACAGACTCCATGGATGGCATGTATCCTTCTCTCAAACTTCTCTCCAGCCTCCTGATCTCCTCAATGGATGTTGCCTTTGCGATGGCCAGTTTGACCTTCTCAGCATCTTCTTTTGACATCAACCGACCTGCCTTCCCTGACAGCGCCGCTGGCTTGGGCTCGTCAAGAGTGACGGCTGCTTTTGAACCCTGCTTCGATACGGTGGTGGATATCGTTGTTGCAAGGGCAGTAGGTAAACCTTCCGCTGTAAGGAACAAAGACTTTCCCGCCTCCCGCTCCTGAAAGGTGCGGGTGTGCTGAGCTATCGACCGCGCTGAGTTTTGAACGTCGTGGGCGCACCTTATCGCGAATCCTCTGAAAATCCAGAACTCTCAGCGATGGTATTCTCCATGCAAGCCACTCGCGATACCATTTCTTTTCCCTCACAGGGTTACCCAACAGGGCAAGGTACTTCAATCCTTTAATCTCCTTGAGAGGCTCAAGATCGCCAAGCTCAACGATACTGTTACCAGTAAGGACAAGAGTTGTTAGATTGGGAACTGAAAGGTGAATTGAGGGTGAAATCGAAGCAACTCGGTTGTTGGCAAGAAGGAGCGTTCTCAGTCGTTTAAGCAAGGGCAGATTGCCCAGCACGATGATCGAATTATCTGTGAAATCTATAGCATCGTGCTGGTCCTATTCCAAATGCAAGTTGTAATATCCGCTGGCACGATATACATGAGGCCAATGCACGTACCTTGGTCACACCAAGGTTTTCAATAGTAGGGATTTTGTAACCTTTGGAACGATGAGTATGGTTCGCGTTGCGACTGGATTTTACGAGCTCACCTCGTAGATCGAGCTGCCGCTCTTTTATGGGATTGAGTGCAGACGGGGCCTGCGCGAGCAGCTCGGGGGTGAGCTTGACCATGGCGGCTCTAGTCAAGCGTTGAAGGTGTACGCTACGTTTCAGACTCAGACAACGAGGAACAAACGAGGAAACGGTACAATATTTACGACGCGGCGCGGTCAACATATTCCTTCGTGACCACCATGAAGCCCATATACCAGAGACTCAATCTGTACGACCCACTTTTCACTAAATCTTTTTCTGCTGACTTTTTTTTGCAGATTTATTGACGGCCAGGACGCCTACACCTTTGTCCCCGTGCAACCCATTGGAGCGCAGTCTCTCACCATACACAGGGCTACCGGCGATATAGTACTCAATGGTGAGATGCTTTGAACATACAGTATTACAGCTACGTGTAACTCTGCTCAGCACCGAACACACCTGTCCACCCTACTGCCTCGAGATACGGCAAGACAATTTACGGGATTCTAGGAATGATTTCACTAGCTCTTTGTGCGTGTTGCGACTTCCAGAGCCTGCTTTGCATATACTGATCCCATATTGCAGCTGAGTATGTGGTTGTAATGACAGGCCGCGAACACCGTGCGCGCCTCATGGGCCACGACATATACCGCGCGGCTGACTTTGACATTCTGCCTCTAAATCCAAATGTCTCTGTCCAGAATCCACCCAACCCAGTAGAGGGACACTTGTTGTCATTGGTTCGGTCGCATCTCCTCAGTGGACACTTCTTATTCAGCTACGGCTGGGACTTGTCGAGGAGACTCCAAGCACAATGGCAAGACCGGGACAACGAAGAGAGAAAAGCTTTATGGGAGGTGGTGAGTGCAGAGATATGCATTTGAAGCCATGAAAATGACCGAGTATTAGGCTGACGACAGGTTTTTCTGGAACAAGTTGGTCACTTATATAGTCGTGCAGAATGTGCATGTTGATATTTCTCACAGGTTCTTACAGTCTAGGCTCGCAGACACAGACATCGCACATGATGTGAGTCGTTTTTCTCGAGTTTTAGTACGCATCTCATGCTTCATACAGCTCAGTCCTTACATTCTCCCGATTATCTATGGCAGTAAGTCTGCCTCAATCTTTCCGCTAATTGTCTGACGGCTTTTAGCGTTCGACATGCGTACTGTATATATCCACGGACACCGCATCCAGCTTTGCCTCATCAGCCGACGGTCGCGCTATCGTGCAGGCACGAGGTACTTCCGTCGTGGCATCGACCATGAAGGCCACGTTGCCAACTTCAACGAGACCGAACAAATTCTCCTGGTTGTCGAGAAAGCCGCGGGACGCTTATCATTTTCCGAGAACTTAACGCACAAACTGAGCTTCACTCAGATTAGAGGCAGCGTGCCGGTCTTCTGGGCTGAGGTCAACACACTCAGATATAAACCTGACTTGCAGGTTATGGACCTTCAGGAGACAGTAATTTTACTTCTTGTTTTTGATGGGTGTCATTGTTTTGACCACTTATAGGTTGACATGATTAAGCTTCACCTTCGAGATCAAGTTTCACAGTATGGCAGTCAAAGTCTCATCAATCTGGTGAATCAAACAGGTCGCGAGCAACCGGTAAAGGAGGCCTACGAACGCGCTGTTTCTAAAGTACGTTGCCGTTATACTGCTTCCGCATCTTATTGATGTGTTTTAGGTTGAATTCCCGGACGTGAAGTATCAATACTTCGACTTCCACAATGAGTGCAAACACATGCGATGGGATCGTATCAGTGTTCTCATCGAGAAGATGCAAGAGGACCTCATTCAGCAAGGGTTCGAACGAGCAATCCTCAAGAGTCCCTTTACTAATGTGCATGCAGATACTTCCACCTCGACACGGCACAGGATAAGGCCGTACAAATACAGACAGGCGTGATGAGGACAAATTGTATGGACAATCTGGATCGGACGAACGTAGTCCAAGCAGCGCTAGCGAAATGGACACTTAATCAACAGTTGAAAGCCATCGGGGTAGTGTCCGACAATGAGGAACTGGATGACTTTGAAGCGTTGACCAGAGGTTTCCGTGAGAGTAAGGCTGTCGCTGCAGTCTCATCATTGCATACTCATTGCACTATTCAGTGTGGGCCGATCATGCGGATTTAATCTCAAAGGCATATGCAGGCTCTGGGGCGCTAAAGACGGATTTCACTCGTACAAATAGGCGAACGAAAATAGGTGCACTTCAAGATGGGTACAAGAGTGTCATGCGATACATTAAGAACAATTATTTCGATGGCGCTAGACAAGTTCGTATTTCCCAGAGTTTGATTTTACTGCCCTGACAGATTTACAGGACGGATTTGACCTTGTTACTGGAGCTTGGACTCCTCAGAAGAATCCAGTTACCGCTTCGTCCTTGATCGCTGATACGCGACCATTAACCATCCGATCGGTACGTACGTCTGTCTGCACTCGGAACAGCTCGTTGAATTGCTCCTTCAGGTCCCTTACATCTTGTCGTTCGCGCTGTTCATGATCTGCGCTGGACTTACTCTGCCAAGGACATCAGGTTAGCTGCAATCTACGGCATTTAGTGAATTTTCGCTGACCGGCACCCGCAGACTACTCACTATTGTATTACTTCATGTTGTGGTTCGTCATCGCTTCCTTGGCTATCATGTTCATGATGGTGCATGGCATCGAGTATGTCTCGTGGCCGCGGCTTATTCCTCCCACGGACATTATCCACTACAAAGGACCAGGATTCCGCTCAGCTCACAACGGGAAGGGTTTCACTGGCCCTCTAGCTCAGAAATTGGATCTTTCTGGTGAATTAAATGGCTTTGGTGCCAGGCTACTCTTAAACGGGCGTAAGAGAGCTTTAACGGTCAGTGGGATGGAAGAGGGGACAAAGAAGAGAGTGGATTGAGACCTGTTACTGAGCTATGTTATGCAGTGCCTATCGATGCTACCCAGAGAATATATATTTGCCCTTCTTCATGTACAAGCCCTCACTACTAGTACTCCGCAAGGTAATTGGTAAGTCTCGATCATGCCTTACATAAGCCTGGAAAATTTCCCATTTTGGCGCCGCAAATAGAATCTAAACTCCGCTGTGGCACGTCACGCTAGCATATGTCGGGAGCATAAATTCTCCTGTGTCCTTTCCTCACCATGTCTGGCAAAAAACGCGCTTCCCCTGGCGCAGACGTCGAGAAAAATCCTCTAGCAAATGTCGAACTCAGCGATGAAGATGCTCAAAAACTTCAGAACATTCAAAAAGATATCCAACGCGTCGAACTCGTCATAGGTGAGCTTCTCAGTGTATGGCCCAGAGAAAGCAGTAACACAAATTGACAATCTTCAAGAGCGCCAGGCTATGGAAAAACTGAATCCGGTCTACGAAAAACGCCGTGCCGTTGCTAAATCAATAGAGAAATTTTGGCCTGTGGCTCTTATGAACAACACCATGATCTCTTTTCATGCACAACACACTATTGATCAACTTGCGCTGAGCTACCTTGAAGATTTATGGATCGTTCGCGATCCTAAGGAGCCACGATGCTACACTATTGAATTCGTGCGTCATTGTTGATATGCGCCACGATAATGAACACCCTAAATTGTCATGACAGTATTTCAAGGCAAACCCATACTTCACTGACTCCGTCTTGAAAAAGGATTACAAATACGTACCTCCACCCGCCGCTTCGGACGAAAACTCCGATGCAGATGGTATCACCGACTCCATGCTCGACTTCTCCTGGGCCCGTGATGTTCAGCCTTCCGTAAGTTGCGCGCGTCCTCGCTGAATCACCTACTAACCTTGTGGTAGGCAACTCCTATTCACTGGAAGGATCCTGAGAACGCCCTGACTAAGCTCCATCCCCGTGTGGCTGAGGTGGATGGGGATGACGATATGCCTGCAGAAGCTGGCAGCTTCTTCAACTTCTTTGAGATTGCAGATGACCCCTTTGAGGTGAGTAGCGTCGGTCAGTCGCCATAGGTGCCTAACTTGACAGATTTTCTAGATTGGTACGCAAATTGCCAATGAGATCTTCTCCGAGGCCACAGATTATTTCATGGGTAATGTTGCTGGTGATGAGCTTGATTCCGAGGAGGAGGACAGCGAAGATGATGACGATGACGCTGAAGAAATTGATTTGGAGAAACCAAGGGCGAAAAAACAAAAGAAGGAATAGATGCTATCACCACCATCTATTCGATACACGTATTTATGTCTTGTCAGCTGCCCAGCTTGACTGTCTTATTGGCTTATCACACTCGTTGTTTACAGTAGCACCCATTCTCGTGGTTTTCTTGAGTGATCTCGGGTGAATAGCACGTCTACATGTATTTGAATAGTGAGTTTCGGCATTACTAAATAGTAAGTTGTACTGTTCGGTGCGACAAAAGGAATTTTGAAAAACTGCGGCTTCACTTGCAAAGTGCTGGCACCGTGATGGCGACGCGATACGTGCTGTGAAAGTATATGTATGCTACGGAAGACAGGAGAAATGGCCATTCTGTGCTTCCTCCACACACTGTAGGAGTCGCCGACATCTAGTGTAGATACTGGAAAAATATGGCGTCCTTATAAGCTTACAAGGTACATAGGTCGAAGTTCTATATCACATCTCGGTACATTACAAAAGTGGTATAAATATGTGCCCACAATCTCAATCAACCGACTTGTCACAGTGTTCTGCGAACCGTAAGCGGTAGTGAGCTCGAGCCTTCTCCTTTAACTCGGGGACGAATGACAAAACTCTGGAAAGCCTCAATTTCATATGGACAGGAGAAGGCAAAGTGTCGGAGCAGAGTCACTGTCAGAGCCTTCGACACGTCATAATCAGATGGGGTATTCAAGGACGAACATCATGAACGCCTACCTTTATTTCTGCAGCCGCAAAGTTTCGCCCGAGGCAGCCCCGGGGGCTGTCAGGGATCAGCAAAAGAAGCGAGCATCAAAGGAGTAGTACGCCTACCCGACACTAAAAGCCAACAACTCGCGACTGGTCCTGGTACCGCGGTGGAGCCAGCGTTCTGGTCGGAAGTCATCCGCGTCGAATCCCCATGTCAACTTGTCCTTTTGAATCACATTGACAGGCAGTGAGATGATTGTGCCTTTCGGAATGACGAGGTGAAGATCACCAGACCCTGCTACAGGTTCCGAAAGAGGAATACTGATGGTCTCAGCAGCCTACGCAAATGAACTTTGGTAAATCTTTCGGCTGCCTGCATTTGACCTTACCTCATGGTGATTTTCGAGAACAGGTGGATGAAGGCGGAGCGTCTCTAGGAAAAATGCGTCAAGAAGAGGGTAGGCATTGTTGAGTTCGTCAAATGTAGGGTCTCCAGCAGTTGAAACTTCTTCACGGATTGCTTGTTGCCATTCCAGATTTGTAGCAAGCTCGAAGAACAGCCACTAGAAGACGCTGTCAATCAGATTTTGAGACTAGTTAAATAAACATACGGCAATCGTGGCGGAGACTGGTTCATAACCAGCTGAAATGATGGTCCGCATCTGCGCTGCAACTTGTTCTTCATCCATACGTACAGCGGCAGTGGCTTTATCAGCTCGTACTGTGTAAATCATTGTGTCAGCAAAGTAACGATCCTCAAGTAATTCAGAATCATACGCATCAGTGACATCAGCGTCTTGCTGTTCGGATCACTGACAGCTTCCGCATCCTTCAAGATATCCGTAGCCAGATCCCCAAGCTCTTTTCGGGTTTTTCTGATCATCTGCCCTTTCTTGCCAAGATGCAGGATAGATGGTAATAACCAAAAAAGAGCTTTCATGTAAAATGAGGTAAGCGATTTTTCATGATTCGTCAAGCCATCTAGGGTTTCCGCGAGAGCGTGTGGCTGGCCTCGAAGGCAGTCAAAGTCGTACGACAACGTTGCTCGCCCAACTGTATCCAAGCTGCATAGAATTGAAATAAGGGCACACGACACACTTGCGGGGTAATACATACGCGAAGCGCCCGGCCCAGTTGGTCATCTCAATCACAATTTCGTTGCTATGTTGGGCATCAAGAAGCCTGTGCCACTGAGTCACCATCTGGAAGAAATTAGAGAAGCATTCAATTGCAATGCGATATACGCAGCTTACTTTGGCAGCGTTTTCGTAGAACACCGGAGTCAAGTTCCGCGCGGACTGCGGGCTGAAGCTGCGTCAAGGTAGAGTTACCACCAAGATGACGTGCGCCAATTACCTTAATGCTGGGCCAACGCTACGCCGTTGCTTCTCGTGAGCTTCTTTGCCTTGCCACATACATCAGTGAGTGGGATTAAGATCTATATTGAATGATTACCTTCCACCCAGAGAATACCCTCTCCGAGCAGCATACGAAACCAGGCACGCACACCTTTTGGCTTGGGAAACTGGTATGCGCCCTCTCCCAGAATAAACGATATCGCGTGCGGATCCGTAACAGAAAGGAGCTGATGCTGATGAGTGAGAGCAGTGAGCGATGCAATAAAGTTCGAACAGGATGCCCTTACACCAAACGCTCCTGTAAACTTCACAATATTGCCGTATGTGCGGTGCCAGTCCAGATATAAGGCACCAGGTGTGTTATGATACAACACCTTTTCTTCGCCCCACACCCAGGAGGAAGTCTTCGGACCAGGGACGTGGCGCAGGGCGAACATAGACGAGAGTCGCTGTTGAAAGAAACGTGTTATGTATACGAAGGCGAAAGCAATGGAGAAATGGTAGATGTACAACATGGAATGCGCAACTGTTTGGAAGAGCTTTGGAGCGTAATATGTCGTCTGTATGGTAGTGGCACGATTGAGGATGCAATCAGGAGCACCTTTTTATGTGACCTGGTACATCCAATTCGCGTAATATTCTGGGCAAACATTATAGATCGATCGGATTATGATGTTCGCCGTGGCGTTATGGTTGCGTCAATACTTTCAGCGATGTAAGGAAATCTAATCAGTCGTACTTGGCAAGTCCTTGCTCCTGATTGACGCTTTGCCTGATTGACATTGCACGAGCTGACAGAGAACTCGAAGAAGGCAATGATGCATTCAATCGAGACATGATTGAAAAGGCACCATAATGAGCTCAGTCACTGGCTCGCTGTAGTACCCATCCGCGAGTCTGCCGAATCGCACTTGATCTTAATGCGGAATGATGGGTAGCAGAACGATGGGCGCGAAGAAGATAGGGCGAATTTGCATTTGGCATCTGCATTGAGTATATCCACAAACAGAACAGCTGCCCCGCGTGTGTCCAATCATGATGTTAGCAACGGACTGAACATCAAAGCCATGCTACATGCTTAATCCGATCAGATGATTGGTTTCAGAGGGAAAAATTATGTTGTATCGAGTATATTGCCTTGTTAAGTTGCTTGACCGACTTGGAGGGTACAAAGCAGTCGTGAGATCTGATAATCATAAGTCAGTTGCACCGCAGAGAATGGGACAGACTGGCCGCCTTACGGCAGTGATTCTGGAGTACCTTCCAGCTGAGGATAGCTGGAGACGAGACAGAAATCGAAGCGAACTATAACGTATTGTCTGCATCAGTATTAATGATCATCGATTGATCGTTAGTAGTAGTAAGTATGCCCTACATAGGCATCTTCCTATCGATCCTGGCGGCATAACAAAGGGTGTCCTTTATTACGATCCGACAGCGGTATCTGTACTACACGATGTTGTTTTACGACTGATTGGTCGATCCAGCGGTGAAAACCTAAGCGAGAGCGTGAACTTCGCGCGGGTAGATCAGTCATGGAAGATCAAGAAACAAAAAGACACGTGAAGGACACCGGGCCGTGTAGCAGGGGGAGGTTAGAGCGCGGCGCGACGAGCTGCTGGCAGGAATTATGTTCTGTCGTTGAGTCGCTGTGGCGAGAACCAAAAAGACATGAGTTTCACCGAAAATGTCCAATGCTGCGGTCGATTAGGAGAACATGAACATGATTTCCACTTTGATGAACTTAACTACGAGCTAAACATGCGTTTGACTGATGGTGCCAGCGATGCAAAGCAAAGCCATTTAAGGAATATTATGGAAATATACCAAATTTGGAATTTGACCCGGCGTCGAGGCCTAACGCGATCGTGTCACTTCCTTACAGTCTGTTACAAGCAGATCAGCTTTCTATCACCCACGTCGAGCAAATACGGTCGAGAAAGGGTCGACTTTGTTTCGCATGTCTGCCTCCCGGAATAAATCTCCTTCAGAAGATCCTCCTAGCTTGCGCCACAGGTCCAACAACGCTAACGTCGTCGTGGAGGACTTCACCGGTCAAATTGACACGGCCCCGTTGCCGCTTTTTCACAAAAACACCATTTCTTCCTCCTTGGACAGCATTCGAATACTCCCTCGTGTACCTACAGGATCATCCTCAGGCATTGAAGACGTCGAGCTAAGTTTGTTGTCCGAAGAGGAACGGACGAGTGCTGGGCGAAACCTCCAAGATGGTGACGCACATTCTTCTGCAGATGGAGCGAAAACGACTGCTATGTCTTCTAGAGACAAAAAGGCAATGACCCTTTTGATCATTCTTTGTCGGTCACTTTCATATCTCCGAGCTTTCAATCCAGTTCACATGACCTTATGATCCTATTAGATTTAATCCAAGGAGTTCCTGTAAGTTATTTATCCACCTCGGATGTCGTGCCGGGAGAAATGCTCACTATTCCATGAACAGCTTGGGCTTGCCCTTGGTATGATGCACTTCTTTTTTCCGCTCACTCTCTGACATTTCTTAGGTTCTGTCCCGTTCATTCTCCGAGAACATCTATCATATTCACAGCTTGGCGTGTTCGCATTATCCAACTACCCATATTCGCTCAAGCTATTATGGTCTCCTATCGTTGATTCAACATTTCTTCCTTCCATTGGTCGTCGAAAATCATGGATAATTCCCATGCAACTCATAATCGGCTCCTTAATGCTCTACATAGCATCGAACGTCGGGAGATTAATGGAAAACGTACGTGGTAACTAGAGTTTCAGTTGTCCACCCTGACGTGCAGTCAGCCTGCGAATAATATCTATGAACTCACTTTTGTATTCACGTCACTGGTACTCTTTTCTGCAACGCAAGGTACGTGTGTTCATCGTGCCCCCTGTTTTGTACTGAGATTATTTGCAGATATCGCTGTTGATGGTCCCTTATTTGATTTGTATTCAGACACGTCAATACTAATATCAATCCAGGATGGGCTTTAACGCTTCTCTCTCAGGAGAATCTTTCCTACGCGTCTACATGCCAGACAATTGGGTTGAACACAGGCTTCTTCGCCTCTTTCACTGTCTTCCTAGCGCTAAACAGCGAAGCATTCGCGTAAGCAGTTTGTGTTCAATGCCCCGTATCATTCAGTGACAAATTGCAGTGAGAAATGGGGTATTCCACGCCTCGAGTTAAGCACATATCTTCGTTTTTGCAGCCTCTTGTGCTTCGGAGTAACTTTTTGGTTAACCTTCTTTGAAACAGAGGTGACTATCAAAGAAACTTCTTGCAACGAAACTGATGACAAAATGATGCGTTTTTTTTAGGGTAATGAATCATTAGACAAGTCAGAAATGACTGTTACATCGGTTTACAAAACCATATGGAGCATCTGCAAGCTAAAGCGTGAATAACTTCATTTTCGGATCATTTGGTAACTGATGGTTTCTTTCAGACGTCCAGGCGCTCATTATCATGCACTTCTTCGCAAAAATCGGGTTTCAAGCTAATGAGGCAGTCACTAGCTTGAAAATGATTGAGAAGGGTTTGGGTCGCGAAGACCTCGCTATTGTTGTCCTCATAGATTTTCCTTTTCAAATCTTGGGAGGTTGGTTTGCGGCCAAGTGGTCTAGCTGGCGACAGGCCACTTCGTCCATGGATATGGGCATTTTGGCCCCGACTGGCATTTGCCTTTTTGTCGACGCTCATCGTCTACTGGTTCCCAACACCCCCTCTTTCATACGGGTTTTTCGTCTACCTCATCATCCACACAGTGCTACAGGGACTTGCATCGTATGCCCAATCAATGAAATGCTGAGCAAGGCTGATTGCTTTCGTAGGACGATTCAGTTCGTTGGGATCTCAGCATTCCACACCAGAATTTCTGATCCTCTCATTGGAGGGACCTACATGACGGTATGAAATTTGCACGGTTCCTTACTTGTCGACTAATAGCCTCATACTGGTTAGTTACTCAATACGTTTACTAATCTTGGAGGGACGTGGCCGAAGTATTTTGTATTGAAAGGTAAGGGTGTATGTCGGCTATATTCGTCGAGCGCCACTAATGCTCTGACCAAGGCGTCGATTACTTTAGTGAGGCGTACTGCGAAGTAAAGGAGGCGCACAGTGAACTGCTTGTGAGAGGTAGGCATGGATATTTTCTGGTATGAGTGCTCCTTAGTGCTTACTCGAACCCAGCTGCCGAATGCGTCTCTGATCACGGTAAGGAGGTCTGCTTGGACATTGATGGAAGATGCATCACGGAACGTGATGGATACTATTACGTTTCGGCGATATGCATGTCGTTTGGCGTGCTGTTCCTAGTGTTTTATATCATTCCCACTGCACGCAAACTCCAAGGTAGGTAAAACTTTTATGTCACTTCGGAATTAACTCAGGTGTCTGTCTAGCCCTTCCCATGTACAGATGGCGAGTTAGTCCAGAGTGAGCATGGGTGCAAAATCAGGCTAGGGTTTGGACTATCGTTTGTTACTTATTCCAATATTACTGGGTGGTAGATAGCTCTTGTTCATTTCACAAGTTGATCAATGTACCGTTGATGCTAACCAGTACTCATTGTTTGAGGTGGCTCTCGCCTGCCCTAAATTCAGATCGCGTCCATATCCTATTTTCCACGGAAACGTGCAAACCATACCGCTGAGATTTTTCGCTAGTCACTTCTCGCACTAAGCAATAGCTGTTAGAATCAATCGTTCTGCACTAACCACCACAAAACCGCAAAATGGCGACTACAACCATGCATTTTGGCCCCGAGTGGATGCGCGCGAAGCCACAAACTCCTGCTACTCGCCCCCAAGCACCTCCCTCTCCACCTCCACCGGCAATATCTAATACACAGCAAGCGAACGCGTCAACTTATTCTGCACTCGTTACACCTGCTGCCGCACCAGAGCCTGAGAAACGTGATGAATGCCGTCCTTTCAGATATTCAAAGGAAGCAATGCTCAGAATCTACAAAGAGGGTGGCGGGAGAGGCGGTCTGGGATTGGAGGTGGAAAGATGGGAGGGCATTGTACACGAAGTCAGCAGTGAACCCACAGGATTGCGCGAAATGAGCGATGCGGAAAAGAAGGTCAGGCAAATTGGACTTATAGTTTATGTCTTCGGTCTCATTGGCTCACACGAGGCATGTAGCTGTTTGCTGGGCCACTTAATTCCGAACTTCGGCGGCGCCAGTCTACCGACCTCATAAGCACGCTGTCATCTCCATCTGATAGACCCAGGTTGAACCATTCCAATACCGGAGGAGGGAGCCCTATGAGAGGGTTTGGTCTCATGGGAAGGAGGAGGGATAGCACAGGTGAACACTGGAGTGTCCCTGACCCGTGTTGTGACACTGATCCAGGTTTTGCTAAGATCAACCACCACTTGCATTACCTCGTAAATTGTCTGTATCTAATACACAAGGTAATTCTCCACGCGACGGAGCACTGCCTTCCCCTCGTACCCGAATAGGTGGCTTTGCTTCAGGATTCGACGGTGTTCTTAACGGCGGAGATTCTTGGATGGCTAGACGGCGAACATCGGAGAGCGTACTGAAAGTTGGGGGAGTATCTACAGGGACCCGTCCGGAGAGCAGAGAAGAGGATGCGAAAGGACGTAACATCAAAGAAGTGGAGGAAGAACACCCAGTACAAAACACTGCGCTCCAGCCTAGCCCTTCTGGCGCTTCTCAATTATCTCCAATCCCTGATTCCCAGCCCCTCGATACCACAAGCAATAGTCCGAGCCAGCAATCTGCGCTAAGTGCGGATTCTGTGACACATCGTATGACTGGAATGAGTCTTGATAAAAATGAGCGGACCAACGCGAACTTTCATCTCAATCCGGTGGCCGACAGTCTGACGGGTCCACCACCAGGTCTGGATCCGGCTAGCGTTGAGTGGTCATACCTGGATCCTCAAGGTCAAGTGCAAGGTGAGTTCTTTAGATTGCAGTCACGAGTTCCGGAGGTGATGTTACTTCCCAGGTCCTTTCAAAGCTGATTTAATGCAGAAATGGTTTGATGAGGGCTATTTCACTCCCGGCCTCCTGATGAAGCGTACTCATATTGATCGAGAATGGACGGCGGTTGGGATTCTCGACCACCAGTCCGCCGGTGGAAAGATATTTCTTTCGCAATTCCCAACGTCCACTGGACCTCCTGGTCTCAGTATCCGTACCGATTCCTCACAGAATTACTCCCCTGCTGCCCAGAATTACTCCCCCGCTCATGAGCATAATACATTTACTGGATATCAGCCTGTGCCAACCCGGACTCTCCGTACTGCAACATTGGACCCATACCTTAATAGCGCATCTCCTTCAGATTCTCCCTCCTCGTCCTTTGGTGGTGGGAGGTTTGGCAACGGCTCCCCCGATACTTCTGCATTGGCGGGGAGAGTTGGAAACCTTTACACTGGTGACTCAGGACTCGGCTCTCATGGTTTTACTGGAAATTCGGGTCCATTCGGTCCAGTCGGGGACCCCCGCTCGTCGTTCAACACTTTGGCACCCGGAAGAACTTCATCACTGGACACATTCAGCACCTATAAGAACAACAACAACTCCCAATGGCCACCGTCCATGACCCAGAATGTGCAACATTTTGGCGGTGGTGAGCATTCCCTTGCAGCTGGTTTCAACAATGGCATCGGCTCGGGCGTCATACCGGTGCCTGTGCCGATTGCGCAGAGCCACTCTTTCACACAAGAGCCCTCGTATGGCGATGGCACGTACAACGCCATGGGCAGTCTCGGCGCCTCGCACGATTCACCCATCGCACGGCACCCTGTTGAGACGAACGGGTTAGGTTTCAACAACCTAGGGATGAACGGCTCACCTTATGTCCAGCACTTCCCGCAGTCCCCTGTCGTGCCGCAGCAGCGCTCGTCTACATCGCCGTTCGGTGAAGTTCTAGCGAAGGTCACTGAACCGCCTGCCGTGCGGACACCAGTGTCTGCCGTGCAGCCTGAGAATGTGTCATCACCCTGGGGCGCACCCGAGCCTGCTACTGTACGCCGCCCGGCGGCTGAGATCCCTACCCCACCCCCTGTTGCTCAGGCACCTCCAGCTGCTTGGAGTCAACCCCCGCAACCCGCTCGTAACGCCCCCAAGTCAAAAGACCCTTCACCTTGGCTGACAGCCTCCCTAGGCGTCGTCGATGATGGATGGCGCGAGGTTCCTGGCCCAAACAGTCTCACTGTGAGCAACCTCGGGCAGCATAATAAGATGTACGAGGATGTAGATGAGGAGTCCAACGTTGCTGTGTCGCCCATTGGGGAAACGGAGGAGGAAGCTGCACCGGTACCCGTGCCAGAGATACCCCAGCCAGCGCCTGTGACCCCGGCCCCCGCTCCACACATTGAGCCCCCAGCGTTTCCAGCGCCAAAGGCCAAAGTCAAATCCACTGTTCGTGAGGTTCAGACACCCGCCCCGACTTCAGCACCGAAATATACACCTCCCGCGCCCACACCTGCTTTAAAGAGCCCATCTCCTGTTCCAAAGCCTGCGTGGGCGACTGAAGACGATGCGAAAAAGGGCAAGGCATCGGTCGGTCTGCGCGAGATCCAGGAGGCAGAGGTAAAGAAGGCAGAGGCACGTAAAGTTGCGGAACGCGAGCGGCTTGCACGCGCCAATGTACCGATCCCACCTGCTGTCGTCGAGGATGCGCAGCCATTCACTGCATCGTGGGGACTTCCGACCTCTCAAACGGGTGCACGAGCTGCTGTGACGCCGAGAGCTGGAGAAGCTGCGGCAACACCTGCGGCGAGCGCTCCAGTATGGACATCAACGAGTACAGCACCTGCCAAGAAGACGATGAAGGAGATCCAAGAGGAAGAGGAGCGCCGGAAGAAGATGGGACTGAAGGACTCGATGGCGGCGACAGCTGCAAGGCGCGGATATGCAGAGACTACTTTCAAGGTGTGTGCAAAAACCTCTACAATGCGAGATTGCTTGTTGATTCCTTTTGGAACGCTGTGCAGGTGGTTCCCAGTGCACAGGCTAGTGGTGGGGCATGGACGACGGTCGGCGCAAATGGCAAGACAAATGCACCTGTACCTGCACCCCCGCACCCGCACCAGCGCCCGTTCGTCCAGCCGCTACTCCATCCGTGTCTGCACAAGCAGCGCCTACGCCTCGCCCCAATGGTATAGCAGTCCGCTCAACCTCGCAGGCTTTCACAAAGGCTGCTGCTGCCACACCATCACGCGTAGACGACACGCCTGTCACGTCTACACACGATTTCCTCAAGTGGCTGAACGATACGCTGAAAGGGCTCAATAATTCCGTGAATCGTGAGTCATTGTTCTAGATCGCTTTATTAACTGTTTCTGATATATGATATTATTTCGGGTGAGCAGTGGAAGACATAACGCAGATGCTCCTCTCTTTCCCCCTTGACCCAGACCCTTCTACATCAGAGATCATTTCCGACCTGATCTATGCGAACAGCACTACGCTTGATGGGCGGAGGTTCGCAGCAGAGTTCGTTAAGCGCCGCCGGGCTAGTGGGACAGCCGGACCAGGACCGAATGGGAATGGGAAGGTGTCGATCGCAGACGTGGTGAAGACAGCGCCACGGGCTGCTCAGCCAGAATGGGGCTTCAAGGTGGTGAATAAGAAGAAGAAGGGGAGGGCGTGAGTTGGAGTAGGAGGATATTTTTAGTGTTGTACATGCATACTCATAAGGATGCTGAGACGCTCACTTGCTTGTTTTTATCATCTCATGAATTAATTTTCCCTGCTCAAGTCCTAGCTTACATTGCGATCAATGCTGCTCGAGCAGACATCTCATTCACAATCACTCAAGGTCATCCAACGATTTTGTATAACAAACATGCATTAAATTAACCATTGTTTTAGCTAAGCACTCATTATTCAAACTGGAGTCCAGTCATCGAATAATCATGAACGAATATCAACAACGTAAGCATAAGACGTCCCAGAACATAAGTGAAATTTAAAACAGTCAAAAATCCAAAATCGACCAATTACAATAGACAGCCCACGACCCACTCATCCCCTCAGAGAAGGAGGAACGTATCCACTTCCGCCTCAGACGAAGATTCCACACTCGAATAAGACTCTGAATCGGACTCTGGCACATTCACCTCCGAGCCTGCTCATGATCAGATCCCAAGAAAGAAGACGCCGCCGCCGCTGCCGGTGCATACGATGCCGGCTCATCTGCAGTAGCGGTATCTGTCACCTCCGCGGGGATATTAGCGTCCGCATGGGTCAAAGTCTCAAAATCGGGAATGGAGACGGGAGGAAAGATACCGATGGTGTTTTGGGAATGTGAATCTAAGGTATCGAGGGGAGGTGGCGTCGAGTGTGTTGCGGATGGAGATGACGGTTGGGTGAGGTCCGCGTGAGTGGATAAGTTGGTGGCCTCAATGAGCACTGCATCTTCGTTTGCTACGTCCTCAGAGACAGAGACGGTGCTGACTTCATCGACAAGCGGCTCCTCGGACTTTTCTTCCTGCGGGACCGAAACCTCCTGAGCTGTCAACTTAGAGGATGCTGTGGGAAGAGAACCAGAAGAAGCAACACTCGGCTCCGCCACAGATGTGGTTGCGATCTCGGGTGCTTCGATGCTAGCCTCAAGCACTACAGGGCCTGCAATTGCTTCGATGGGAGAAGATGCGGCGGGTGCGAGTGCTTCGACTGGGACTGCAGGAACAAAGACGTTCGTAGAAACTTCGTCTATAACGGGGACCTGGATGGGCACGAGATCCGCAGAGGTAAGATTCTCCGGCTCCGAGGACTGCGCGACAGGCACCGTAACAGTGACAGGGTCTCCCTTCCTGCCACGAGCACGGCCCCTTCGCTCTTCCACACCTTTCTCCAGCTCTTCCAGAGCTTCCCCTACGCGTGCTACAACTGCGCGCCTTGCATCTCTCACTACGTGTGACCCAAAGCTTGGGACGTTGTCCAGGTCAGTGAGGAGCAACGACAGCGCATGCTCCTGTGCGCGGAGAGGCGCGTTGGTCGCGGTGTATGTCAACGCAAACACGTCATCGGTATCGAGAGCTGAGTAAGCTGGGGACGGCGAGCGAGAGGGAGAGAAATCGAGTTCGGCAGGGAATTGGAAGCCAGCGATGAGTGTCTCCAGACGGGATACGATGGAAGTGATCTGGGAGAGCGAAGATGCGACTTGGGCTGGAGTTGCAGAGGGCTCTTCTTCAACGTCAGAGTCAGGGATCTCTTTGGCTTTTCCCTTTTCCTTGTGTGAGGAGGTAGTGCCCTCTTCATTAACGTTGACCTGCGTAGAGGTACTAGCTGCAGCAGATGTCACTGGAACGCGTTCGAAAGGAGAGTCGATTGAAGTGCCCTCAGACAAACCAGTAAGGATCGACTGGAAAATGTTGCTCAATTCAGATTGGTACTGGTCCATCAGACACTCCTCGAGCCTCTCCTTGACTGAAGGCTCCACGTCGGAGCCTGGGATCTCTTTGGCTTTTCCTTTTCCTTCGTGCGTGGAGGTCCTTGCCTCTTGGCTGGCATTGACCTGCGAAGACGTGGGTGTGGCGGATGTTACTGGAACACGTTCGAAAGGAGAAGAGCCTTCAGAGAGACGGTCAAAGATGGATTGCAACTCTGCCATACGACCCTCAAGTCTCTCCTCGCGCCAAGGCTTGTTCTGGACAGGGGCCTTTGAGGTGGAAGCTGTGGCCTGAGTGGGGAGTTCCTGGGATTGTGGTAAGTCAAACGAAGTAGAGTCGGTGGACAGAAGTAAACATACAGCATCCACAGGCAAGCCGCAAGGCCAATATCCATCTACGAACGACTTGCCATCTGCGAGCAAGCTATGAACCTCTGCAGCGCGGCGGCGAGCGCGGAGTTCTCGCTCCATTTCTTGCTCCTTGCGTTGAGCCTGGAAAGCAGCATACCGCCTTCGGATAGCGGCATTGTAGTCGCGATGGAGTTGATGGATTGCAGCCTCGCGGGTGGCCCTTGAGAGTGCAAGCTCATACTCGTACTCCGCAAGGTCGTTTGTGGTGTAGCCATAGTACGGAGACTGGGTATGGAGACAGTCATCGCGCTCTAGCACACGATCAAGTAGACTATTTGTGCTGCGCAGCTGGCTTGGATAGTGTTGGGCATAAAGAGCATCTGAGATGGACTGGTTCCTAAGCCGCTGCTGCTGGAGAGCCCATGCACGCTGCTGTGTAGCATGAGAGGGGTAGTGGGGTGTAGCGAATACCAACATTGTGAATTGAAATCGGATGAGATGAGATTATGGGAGATGTCATGTTGAGCAGTGAATTTATATGCCTGGACTGAACTGTGGAATGACGAATCGTCTTGGTGAGCAGATGGACGCGTAATTGACAGACGCGTCCACTAATTCATCGTCACTTCCACTAAATTCGAGAATATACCCAATTAGGAAGGTCCGATGAGTCATCTTTGAATCAGGTTCAAGCTCAAGCTCAACTTCAAGAGCTCACTAAGGAACATGGCTCTTGTAGGCTAGGACCATCATATATTATTTTGTTTTGTAGTAATACCAATTCAAAAAATTAACAAAAAGTTGAAACGCGCGGCTCGGCAAAACGGCAGACGCGTTGTTTGTACAGTGCTTGGCTTACCTTCCTTCTCTCCTTCATGGCCTTTCCACAAGCTGCAAGTCGTTTCCTCGGTAAGAAACTGTTCGAATAGAAAGAAATATTTTAACATAGTACTGCTAAAGTGCCCCTTGGCTTGGCCGTTGCCGTTGCGCAAGCCAGTATCTACGATGTCCCAGGTGGTTTCCGCGCAGTCATGTTTGACCGCTTTTCTGGTGTAAAGGACAAGGTATGCAAACTCTTAAACGAGACGGCCACTTTATAGACCATCCAATACAGGCCACCAGTGAAGGCACCCACTTCCTCGTCCCATGGCTGCAGAGAGCAATCTTGTATGACTGCCGGATTAAACCCCGTGTACGTCATTTCCGTTACAACTGTCCCTCTCCTTAAAAATTCTCTAGAATATTTCGACAACCACCGGTTCAAAAGACTTGCAAATGGTCTCCATCACACTTCGTGTCTTGTCCAGACCAGACGTCGAGCATCTACCTCGCATTTACCAAAGCCTTGGCTTGGACTATGACGAACGTGTCCTACCCTCCATCGGGAACGAAGTCCTAAAGGCTATCGTGGCACAGTTTGATGCTGCTGAATTGATCACCCAGCGTGAGGTGGTGAGTCACTTGTTCGTTATCGTCGGGTCAGTTTCATAGAGCCTGCCCAGGTCTCGTCGAGAATACGTGCAGACTTGCTACAACGTGCCGGCGAGTTTAACATCAAGCTCGAGGATGTGTCTATCACGCATCTGACATTCGGAAAGGTCCGTAGTCCTTGTGCTTCATCTTATGCAACTGACACCCTTTGTAGGAATTCACTCAGGTTTGTACGAGGCTACGATATATTGGTTCTGTACTAATTAACTTTACAGGCTGTTGAAGCCAAGCAAATCGCACAGCAAGGTAAGGTTTCGGCTACTGTATTACTATGACATCCTAACGTGCTGCAGATGCCGAGAGAGCCAAGTTCATCGTTGAAAAGGTGGGTCCTTGGTAAGGAGTTCACCTGATCAGGTTACTGACGGCATGCAGGCGGAGCAAGAGCGTCAGGCCGCCGTTATTCGTGCAGAAGGTGAGGCAGAAGCAGCAGCAACGATTTCAAAGGCCATGGACAAAGCCGGAGACGCCTTCATTGCACTGCGTAAAATAGAGGCAAGCAAGGCTATCGTGCAGAGCTTGGCTGCCAATGGGAATGTGACATATATTCCGAGCAATGGTGTCTTATTAAACGTACCTACAAAGTAGTCTATCTACAAAGTTCTACTACTACTACCATTGAATTGAAATCGGCGATGACCGTGGGATGAATTCCCATGGATGATGTGGTGAAAAATGGGATTGTAAAGATCTTAGTCGACGACGAAGTGCGAAGAGGCCTGCAACGTCGTTCAAAGTCTCTCTTGTTCTCTTTTTCTTTGTCTCTTTCTCTCTCTCTTCTCGTGTTTTTCATTTTTCTGTCTATTCTCGACGGACAATCCTTAAGCTCTCTCTGATTTCAGTAATCAATTCTCCTGTGCGTCTTTTCATTTCCTCATCAATCTCTCCCAGCTCACTCAAAATTTATAGCCTCTCATTCTCATTCACTATCCATATTAAATCATGAATCCAATGGGTGGTATGGGTGGCCATGCGGAGGCACCAGTGAGTACCCTTCTCAAAGCCCATAGATATGGTCTCATGCATGGCAGCGGAGGGCCCATCTTTACGTTGGGAATCTTAGTCCAAGAGTCACCGAGTACATGCTCACAGAGATCTTTGCCGTTGCTGGTGCAGTTCAACACGTCAAAATCATCCCTGACCGCAACTACCAGCATGGTGGTCTCAACTACGGTTTCGTCGAGTACATCGACATGCGCGCAGCTGAAACCGCTCTCCAAACCCTTAATGGACGCAAGATCTTCGACACTGAGATTCGCGTTAACTGGGCCTATCAAGGCCAGCAAAACAAGGAGGACACTACCGGTCACTATCATGTTTTCGTCGGTGACCTCAGCCCAGAAGTCAACGATGAGGTCCTCGGCAAGGCTTTCAACGCGTTCTGCACAATGTCTGACGCTCGCGTGATGTGGGACATGAATTCGGGAAAATCACGCGGTTATGGGTTCCTCGCCTTCAGGGACAAGACTGACGCAGAGCAGGCCATCGCGACTATGAATGGCGAATGGCTTGGCTCACGTGCTATTCGCGTCAACTGGGCAAATCAGAAGACTCAGGGAGGGCTGCCTGCTCCTCCACGCCCCGGAGGCAGCGTCGGCACCGCACCTGCCCCCATTAACTTCCAGGGTGGGCCCCTCTCTTATGAATCTGTCGTCCAGCAGACTCCTTCGTATAACTCCACCGTTTACGTTGGAAATCTCGTCCCGTACTGCACCCAAGCAGATCTCATCCCATTGTTCCAGTCCATCGGGTACCTCTCGGAGATTCGCATGCAGGCAGATCGCGGATTTGCATTCGTCAAGCTCGATACGCACGAGCACGCTGCCATGGCTATCGTGCAACTGCAAGGACAGATGGTCCACGGCCGTCCCATCAAGTGCAGTTGGGGCAAAGACCGAGCTGACGGGACTCCTGCGCAGCCCGGAGCGCCGCTTAGCCCGACGACTCCAGCGGCTCCCTATGGAAATATGGTGAGTATTTTCGCTTGTAAAAATATTCCTTAGAAGGCTCACTGATTCTATGACAGCCCATGTATGGGATACCTCAGCCTAATACTTACGGCCAGTATGGGTTTGGTGGATACGGTGGTTTCCCTAACCAAGGTGGTGCTGGTGGGTCTCCGACGCCTGGCATGCCTCAGGCTACTCCTGGTGCCGTCGGTTCTGGCCTTGGCGGTGGAGGAGCGGGTGGTGCGGATCCTTCGGCTGTTGGTGCTGGTGCTGGTGCTGCTGGTGCTCAATGGCCCACTGGAGATGCTGCTGCTAGTTACTATGCTAATTACTGGGGTGGTGAGTACCTTCTTTTCACACGTACCAACGACCTCTTACTCAACGATTCTTTTTTCAGGATATTACGGCCAGCAAGGCCAAGGCGCCGAAGGCCAGGGTGCTTAAAGAATCCTTGTTTGCTCCATTTTTTATTCTTCCCATTCATCATCGATATCGTGCTCGTGTCCCCCCTCGAATGTAGCCAGCGAACATCGTCCAAGCCAAAGTGTTTTTTTTTCTCGCCTCACCACTCGAATCCAAAATTGTGAAAGCTGTGCTTCTGTATGGTGCCTTCATCCAAGAACAGTCTTATCCTTGTTTTCCGTCTCGTCATTTGTTATTGACTGATTCCAATTATTCACTTCCCCTCTTGCGTCTCTTGCTAATGAAGTATTTCATCTGTCTCTTGTTCTTTTTCTTCCTCGTTTCTCTGTCTTTGATTGTTGTTTGTGTATATATCCTCGGTAGATGCGCGGTTTCTCATTAAACTACGTCTACTCGACGGTGCAATAGGTTCTTTTTGATAGTGAAGTTCACGACTTAGCTGAAGAGTCCGACCGATCATTTGTTCATCCTGAGTCAGAAAGGGTATGTGATTATAAGGGGGTAGTATGTGCGTGAAGTAGGGTCTACTCATCGTCCACCATCAACCATTCGGAGTCTGATCCAAGCTCGTCTCCCCCTGCAACTTCATGCCATCCGTCAATATCTCCCCTACTCCCTCCCCCTCCTTCACCCCATTTCCCGACACCGAAGTACTATTGCCTGATGCTGGTTTTCCATCTCCGCCATCACGCCAGTTAAGCACAGCCTGATGCCGCGAACGCATATCCTCATAGAAATCGTTTGCCTCGTTCATCTTGTTTGCCTGTGCCTGCTTATCATCGAGCCATCGTTGAAGGAGTTTAGCATTATCCTTCGTTAGCGTCTGATTCCGTTCATCGATCTGGCCGAGTTCAAGCTGAAGCGTGTTGATCTCATCATGGAGGACCTACGCACGAGATCAAGATCGATCAGAAAAGGGGAAATATCAACGTACCTGGGCAGTACGATCTTTCTCAGCCATGAGCTCTGCGTGCTGATCGACCTTCCTACGCAGATGCGCGACTTCTTCTCGCGCTTTGCGGAGGTTCTCAGTCTCGATGCGCGATGCTTCTTCCTTTTCGCGGAGAGTTTCGTTCATGGCTAGCAGGCGTTGAGCGTTCTGGCCTTGTGTCTTGTACACGGTCGCGAGCTCATCGCGAAGAGATGAAATCTGTGATTCGAGCGAGGACATGTACGCTGCGCGCACAGGATTGCTTTCCCAGAAAACATGAGACTGACGCGCGTGCGTTAGATGAGATGGATGGACTTACTCTTCGTTTGATGCTGTTCCAGGTACATGGACCGTCGAGCTACTTGGGTTTGCGCGAACGGAGCCGACGGCTTTGAGGAGAGATGCATTACGCTCTTTGAGGAGCTTGGTTTGTTGAGCGAGTCTGCGGTCTGAATTGGGGGATCAGCGGAGTCTCTTATGGATTGTTGGAATGGTGGAGCGTACATTGCTCGATGATGGATGCGAAAGCGTTTTGTTTTGCGTTTCGCTCTGATAGTCTGAGGCGGAGGAGCTCTTGCCAGGATGGCTCGGCCATGGAAAGTTAAGTTTAAGGTATTGGCAGCTGCACGCTGCATGAAATTCGGTATAGAGCGTAACAGGATCACAGTCACAGCATGTCTTGAAAAGGAAAGTAGTCTTCGCGTTAATACGATACATCCCCTGAGGATTTCACTTATATTATAAGGAACAAGTATAGTCAAAGTCCAGGGTATAATAAATAGTACACGAGATGTGATCATGTATCGAGATTGGGAGCTGTTCGTAGTAATATCGCAATAATATCATATTCACAAGGAAAATGCAAACTTACCACATGAATCGCCGACGCGATTCACCACGATAATCTCCAGTTAATAAAACATTGTAAGTGCTTCAACGAGACTGGGAGCAACGCTCTGGCTCCAATAGTTAGGGCGATGTTCCTCCGTGGATTTTATCCTCGGAAAACGCGACGAGGCTCTCGATGGTGAAGGCGTGATACCTGCACCTCAATATCTATGTCTGAACACTCCTGGGAGCGTTCTATGATTACTGTGGTTCTCGGGACCATGGCGATCAAAGGCCCTTGCTCGTATCAGTCAATTGAGCTGACCATCGAGAAACGGTAACCAAGAAGATGCGGAAATTCATTGGCAAGCGCAGTCCAAGACGTCGAGAGCACATAATTATGACGGATGTATATTTCAGCAATGAACTCACATATAGCAATGATCGTGCCTCGATGGTCAGCCGTAGATTCCACCTTAAAATGGTCTTGTATGTCTGTCATTCCGTAACCTGTTGTCCCTCAGGCCTGAGTCAACGTTTGGAGGCAGAGCCTGGTCCATATAGATCATCGCCAGCGCTGTATACGCAGTCGGCTGCGGTCCAGCTACAGACGAGCTACTCGCTCGCGAATTTCGTTAAAGATAGAAGACAAGGTTGACGGCGACATAGCACCGTGCAAGAGTGTGACACGAGTGTGACCACGGGCGGCGATTACCGGATATGAGCAGTTGTAGTTTGGTTCTCCCACGAGATGCTAGACGTGCTTGCCGTCGCTGGCATACCTTTCATTTTCCTTCATACACCTTTTCTTATATCCTCATCCTCTTTTTCCGTTCTCTTGTCTTTCCTTACCCCTTTGTTTACTTTCTGCTCGTCCGGAGTTATGGGCGTCGTCAGCAGTTGCTGTGAATCCTGTTGTAAGCTTTACAAACCAATGTAGACTTGAATCCCCCTCATAAATTTCTTCAAGTCCGCTCGAGGAGATCTCAGCAGTACGAGCCTCTTCTTCTCGAGAACGAACGAGAGGCAGTCGCAGACCTTCTCCAATATCTAGAGAGTGTGTATTCAACATAGACAAAGCTAACTTTTGCTCACATGAACTTATAGACCGCACAACCACCAACTTCTTCCAAGGCTCACCGCTCACCGCATTAACTACCCTCTCTTTTTCCGATAATGTCGACCTGCAGCGCAGTGCTGCACTTGCATTCGCCGAAATTACTGAGAAGGAAGTGCGCCCTGTGGGTCGGGATACGCTTGACCCAATTCTCTTCCTCCTAAGCAGCCAGGACACGGAGGTGCAGCGTGCTGCTAGCGCCGCCCTCGGAAACTTGGCCGTTAACAGTGCGTTACACCACGCTCATGCATGCTCCCTTACTGATGTCACGCGCACAGCTGATAACAAGCTTCTCATCGTGAAACTCGGAGGCCTGGAGCCACTCATTCGCCAAATGCTGAGCCCAAACGTCGAGGTGCAGTGTAACGCCGTAGGCTGTGTCACAAACCTTGCGACACATGGTAGGTCCAGCCCATATCGATGGCGATTATCGATGACTGACCTGCTTCTAATCACTCGCTGGTCCTTTTCTGATTTGCTTCTGTCATTTGATCCTTTGACACCCTAAGATGATAACAAGACGAAAATCGCCAAGTCAGGCGCACTTGTTCCGCTTACTCGGTTAGCACGATCCAAGGATATGCGCGTTCAAAGAAATGCAACTGGGGCCCTGCTAAATATGACCCACTCAGGTACGTAACAGTTCCTATTGGAGAACTGTTCTAGAACTAGCGAACTTTTATAGATGAGAATCGACAGCAACTTGTAAATGCGGGTGCCATCCCCGTGCTGGTGAGCTTGTTGAATTCAATGGACACAGATGTCCAATACTATTGCACGACTGCGTTGAGCAATATCGCTGTCGATGGAGCAAATAGAAAGAAACTAGCACAGAGCGAATCAAAGCTCGTAACGAGCTTGGTAGCCCTTATGGATAGCCCAAGTTTAAAGGTTCAGTGTCAAGCTGCCCTTGCTCTACGGAATTTGGCTAGCGATGGTACTTGCTATTCTCTTTGGCGTTTCTACTGTTTAACATCGGTTTCGCAGAGAAATACCAACTAGAAATCGTCAAAGCTGACGGTCTTACTTCACTTCTCCGACTGCTCCAGTCTACGTACCTCCCACTCATCCTGTCATCTGCTGCATGTGTCCGTAACGTCTCCATCCATCCACAGAACGAGTCCCCTATTATCGATTCCGGGTTCCTGCAGCCGCTTATTAACCTTCTGTCATTTAAAGACAATGAGGAGGTTCAATGCCACGCCATTTCCACACTGCGTAATCTTGCTGCCAGCTCGGAGAAGAATAAGACGGCGATCGTGCAAGCAGGCGCAGTGCAGAGCATTAAAGAACTCGTGCTGGAGGTGCCAATGAACGTGCAGAGCGAAATGACTGCCTGTGTCGCCGTGTTGGCCCTGAGCGGTCAGTTACATGTGTTTCGTCATAATCTCTGCTGACGGGTTTGACAGATGAGCTCAAGGGCCAATTACTTGAGATGGGTATTTGTGAAGTGCTTATTCCTTTGACAAATTCACCTAGCTCAGAAGTCCAAGGCAACAGTGCTGCTGCCCTTGGTAACCTATCATCGAAAGGTGGGTTTAGTAGGGTTCGATCTTTGCAGGAATTGATCTCTTTCTTCCAGACGGCCGAACTGCATCTGATGACTATTCTGCATTTAACGACGTATGGGAAAAACCTGATGGCGGCATGCACCGATACCTTTACAATTTCTTGACGAGCGTAGACGCCACCTTCCAGCACATTGCTGTTTGGACGATCGTGCAGCTACTGGAATCGGGAGATCCTCAATTAATTAGCAATATCCGCCTTTCTGGCCTTTTGAACCCCTCGATCAGGCAGCTCGCACTGTCACGTACACCATCGGCAACGTCTTCCGTTGGTACGCCTCGCTCGCACCGGTCACAATCGCAATCATACGCAGATACAGACACCGGTGATGGTCAGGGGGAGATCCAGCTGCTTGCACGGCGGATTCTAGAGTTCGTTGATGGGGATGTTGATGGGGGACTTCCGCGAAGCGTGGCCGGGTCTCACATGGCAGGGTCTTCTGTCAGCAGTGCCAGGGACGAGGAACTCAGAAGGAGCGTGCGAGAGGCGTTTTCGACTGGTTCTCACCACTAGCCAGGGCGGCTAGTAGGAACGGTATATATCCTTCGTTCACGGTCTGTGCCTTGCCTTTCCGTTGTACATCCTTTGCCTTGTTCATCGTTGTGCATCTTCTTTTCTTAATCGTATACTTATGTCTTTAGTTTTTGTTTTTTGTTTCGTGACTGATGGGTTTTCTTTTAACGGCTTCCGATGCCTCATGGTGACGATTACGACTGAATGCTTGTGCATATAGTGACGAATAGACTTTATTACTGCCAACGTTATCATGTCTGTTAGCTATAGCCTATCAGGGAGTAGGGTCCAAAGTATTTAGGTCCCCAGCCTCCCTAGGGTATAGTTTCCTAATGAGGAATTGAATGGTTAAATTTAGATCGGATTGCCAACACTATTGTTCCACGACGCTGTGGTCACGATTCTCATTCTTGTACCGTAGCTACAATGACAATAGTTGCTGCCTTCAAAATGGACCTTCTGTTTTTCAAGTTTTCGTCTGTTGCTTTTAATCTCTTCATTATAGACTTACGGTTGAGCCGTTCCGCAGATTCGGAGGGCCTATATAACGTTTGCGCCTGACCGGCCTCGTGTTTTTAAAGGCCGAGGTACAATTCCATTTCTTCCAAGTGAGGCAGACTCATTTTCCAAATCGATTAAGCAGAACGGGGTTATCGCGTGGTTTCTCAGCTCGCTTGATAAGGTGTGTTTATACTGGAGTCTCTCCACACTCTTAACTCTCTCTATTTCTCTTCTAGTAGTACTTATTATTGGACCACCAGGCTCAATAAATTTTCTTCGCTGCTCACGCTCTGGATCGTGGCCCGGTGCTTCGATCACTCGTGAGCTCTTTTATTTGCAGAACACGTCCAGTGTTCACTAGACCTCCCCACCCCCATCTAATTACTGCCTTCACGAATCACGACTTGCAATGCACACTTTCTTTCCGCTCATTGCTCTCGCACTCGCCTCCCTGTCTCTAGTGCAAGGGAAATCATTAATCCTCACCCATGCACACAAGGCCGCCGTCAAGCATAGTGCTGGCCTCGCGCGCGACCTTCGCGTGGCGTTCGGCGGCATCCTGGCCACGCAGCCTAGCTCCTCATCAAATCAGAACTTCTACTGCGTTGGGTCAGATGGGGAGGGAGTCACCATGCCTCCATCTGGCAATTCATCTTCATCTCCAACCGTGAAAGGAAATGCGACTTCCACTGGAATGGCTGCGCCGTCAAGCACAAGCGTTGCATCATCATCTTGGAAGGTAGCAGATAGTTACAGTGGACAGACGTTCTTCAACGGCTGGGGCTTCTTCACTGCAGCAGACCCGACCGATGGGAATGTTCAGTATGTAAGTCAAAGCACCGCTCAGAGCGCAGGCCTGATCGAGATAAATTCCGACGGGAACGCCGTGATGCGTGTTGAAACAACGCCACAAGTACAGACCAATCGGCAGAGTGTACGAATCACGACTCAAGCCACTTTCAATGGTGGCTTGGTTGTAATGGATGCCGTGCATATGCCTACTGGATGTGGAACGTGGCCTGGTATGTGGCGATGTCCTGTATTTTGTGGGATTCTTCTGACATCGGTTCTAGCCTTTTGGACAAATGGCCCTAATTGGCCAGCTGGAGGCGAGATCGACATCATCGAGGGCGTGAATAACTACACGAACAATCAGGCGACGATTCACACTAACCCAGGATGTATATTACCCTCCACCACCAGCGCCTCGCTTAATATGTCCGGAACATTGGTTGCGTCTACCGACTGCTCAGCATCTCAGACTGGTAACCAGGGGTGTGGAATTCGTTCCAACTCGAGCAACTCGTTCGGATCAGGGTTCAATGGAATTGGTGGTGGTGTTTATGCTAGTAAGTATCCTAACCATGGCCTTCTATAAATACGCTAATGGTGTGTAGTGCTCTGGGACAACTCGGGCATTAAAGTATACTTCTTCCCTCGTGGATCAATACCATCAGATATCTCTGCAGGAGCACCGCAGCCTCAGAATTGGCCGGCTCCTATGGCCGACTGGCCCTCAACGGATTGCAATCCATACCAATATTTCAATACCCATTCCGCTATTTTCGATACCACGCTTTGGTAAGTTTCTGTTTACACAACTGAACATCTTGATGGTAATTCGCGTGCAGCGGTGACTGGGCAAGCGCCGTTTGGACTGGCACAGGCGTGCCTGGGCAAGATGTGAGCTGTGCACAACAGACTGGTTTCTCAACGTGCTCGGCATTCGTCCAGGCTAGTGGTGGCTCGTTCAGCGAAGCTTGTAAGTTTCGTATCTTGAGCATGTTCTATCCAACGTCACTCACTGTGACTACAGACTGGGAAGTGTCCAGCGTTGTGATCTACCAGAACACATCATGAAATATTCACGACACTAGAGGACACACAAACTTATTATGGATCTATCTTTGTATTCACTAGGGTATATATTGTAGCTCTACATCTGGAATTACACGGCCACACACGCCAGCCGATGGTTTAAGTTACTAGGGTGTGATCTTAAAGATGTCCGAGTTAAGCTTATCGCCGATAACCACGTGGGGATGCACAAGTATATTTCATGTATGTTGCCATGAACGGCGCTATGGCTCTGAGACAGTCTTGATCATAAGATCTCCCCTCTTCTCTGCCTCACCAGCCTCCATGCGAGCAGAATGACTGCCAAACTGCATTGCCTTTTTCTTCCTCACGCTCGCCTCAAGAAGCCCCACCTTTCGCGCAGCAAGCCGCAGCAGCATTTTGTCCCCAAGCCCCAGCTCCAGCCGCGGATCAAGCTTAAGATGCACAGGGAGTCCCACAAGAAAAGAGACAACCGTAAGCGAAAGGAATGGATGGCGCGTCTCCTTGCCATGTGAGGAAATCACACGGTCATCTCGTCCCAGATTGCGAGTCGGTATGCGGTCGAGTTCGAGCTGGAGCTGGACGGTATGACAGCATGAGGATGTTGTTGTAAGCTCTGGGAGGGGAGGGTGGCTTACCTCGTCGATGACGCCCTGCCAGCCTCGAGTCGCGTACGCAGTACGGTGACGGCCATATCCGCCAAGTAATTCATCAGACCCGAGGCCATTGAGTAGGACTCGTGCTGTGCTAGTGTATGGCTGATAGTCATCAGGCGCTGCCGAAATTCGGACTCGGCCCACCCCTTTGGAGGCGAAGTAAAGCGCCATAGCAAGACTCTGGGAGACATGACATCAGAATGTTATCTGGCTTAGGAAGGTAACCTTACAAGATCCATCACTGTTCGACCAGGGAACATGATGGCTTCTACAGCTGCCCGCGCAGCTTGAGACTCCTATTTTATTACAGATATGAAGCCTCGTCGATCTGAGGGTAGGAACGGACCTCGTATGGAACATCCACCTCGACCTAATGGAGTAAGCAACGTTCTTATCAAAGAATTAACACTTACAAAATTCCATGTCCTGCCGGGGCATATCCGCCTGAGCTCTTCGACTTCCTGCAAGCCTGTCACACGATCCGGAACCATGTACGAGGTGGATTCTTTCACCGCTCCATTGATCTCCGCTGCTTTGAGTTGTCGCTTCTTCTCGCGCTTGGGAATAGCCCCTATGTTACCATCAGTTTGAACCTGTATCTTTCGCGGATTCTGGAAGGCCACATTAAGCAGATCTATGGGTTCATCCAGTGGTACATGTCTAGAGAACACGAAATAAGAACAAATGCCACAATAGAGTACGGCATCAAAGTACCTATGTGCAAGAAAGGCTAATATCGTTGAATCGATGCCGCCACTGAAGAGGACTGCGACCTCCGCTCTCCCCTTTCCAGGCGACGTTCTTCCCGGGATATTTTGAACCTGAAGCATTACACTCTTGTCCAGGTGATCGATAAGGTGATCGATGGCGATGGCCAGATCACACGGTACTATTGCAAGGTCCAACGAGGGCACAAGCGGCGGTCCATCCGGAGGAAGCGTGGTGTTCACGCGACCAAGCTTTGCCTACAATAGGTTAGGTTGTCAAATGCATCAGAAGCGCACGTCATCTCAAATGTACTCACGAATGGCAAAAATTGCCGATCAAGATGTCGTGGAATACATGTTAAGCTGCTGTCGAAATGTTGCGTGATCTACATAGGTTAGGAACTAGGATGCGTCTAGCGCGGGCTAATTCAGTACCTCTTTGGATTCGCATAGCTGTCCTACATCGAGGCAAAACATCCCATCAGTAGATAGTTCTTCCATGACGTATCCTTGATCATCTCCAACGGAGACGGATGCAAGTAAGAAATATGGATTAAACACAGAAGGCTTGTGGATGAGCAGAGATCGGCGTCCAAGGGGATCTCGAGCAAAGTACAATTTCCGAGATTCGGCCTGTGTATAGAAATGTCAGGAGATGATCCATTAGAATACTGCCAGCGCAGCCTACATGGTAAAAGACAAATGCATATCTATTGCGTACTGTACTTCAGCAGGGAAAATTTGCCCACAACGAAAAGAACTCACGGTCCCTCGATTCTCCCCAGCAGGAAAGGGAGATCATCCATCGCGGAGAGTGTGTATATGCTTTGAAAAAGTTTCGCGCCATCATTTTCATATGCATCGACCTATGTCAAAATGATATTAGCCCTGGCCACGAAGGTAGAGGCTTCCGACTCGCATTCAAGCCTTCGAAAACCTCGCCATTCCAGCAAAAGACATCCCCGTCCTGTTGATGAGGCTGCACTATGGGTTCGTCGCCTCGAAGCCGGAGCTCAGAAGCAAAGAACTCGAGATCGAGCTTGAGTGCCGCCGGGCCGCATGTCTTACTTGGGGGTGGGGCCTGTGCTTCACCATAGGATGTCCCTTGGACTCGGACGTGATGAGTTCCTTGTGCATCGGGACCTGTAGAGTAGTACCTCGATCGGTTAGCCTAGCCTTCGAACAGGAATGCATCAAACACACCACGAGCGGCATTGGCGACTTTTAATCGCTCGAACAACTCGTGATAAACGGTATTGTTCGGTCCGCCATGAACGTCATCGGTGTCGCCACAACATCCTACGTGAAGCGAGCAGAAGATGCCGCACATGAAGAGTCTGAGAGTTTCTAGTATCGATCGGATCCGGCGGCTACTTTTGATTCTTTGAAACTAGGTGCAACTCATCCGGGCCGCCTCTGATCCTCACGGCAAGATTATAGAAGGGCAGTCATTGATTTATTTTGCTACTCCCACAACATGATACGTATCATACTTAATAATGCACCCGAAATACAGTTGCGATACAAGAATTGATGAGGAAACGCAGAACGGAATCTATGAGACAAGGCAAGTTGGTTGTACGTGTTTCATGTCCACCTCTAAGCGGAGTACGAACTGGCAGAGACATTGCCTCCACGGCCAGTCCAGTTGATGTCTGAAGGTTACATGGTTAGAGACGTGCATACAGATAGAGACGGAGTACATACGGATATCGCGGTCCTTGGGTAGGCGGGCGTTCTCCTTACCGGACACTACGCGGAAGGTGTGTGCACCGAAGTAATCACGCTGGACAGTTGGTGAGCATGTTATCTGGTCAGACGCCTTGTGAACGTACCTGGGCCTGGAGGAGGTTGGCGGGAACCACTTCACTCCTGTAGCCATCGAAGAAGGCAAGGGCGGTCGAGAAGGCAGGGGTGGGAATGCCCCAGAGGCAAGCCTGAGCGATGACACGCCTCCAGCCGGGTTGTGCTTTGTGGACAGCTGCATACAATGTCATTGGATGGTACCAATCGATGGCTATTTATACGAACCCTTGTTGAAGAAGTTATCGAAGAGCAGAGACTCGAGGTCCTTGTTCTTCTCATAAGCGGAAGTGATGTCACCGAGGAACACACTCTGACAAAAATGTAAGCCTCGAGAGCAGGATAGTTGGGTTCACATACCTTGATGATGCATCCGCCTCGCCACATACGAGCAATGCCAGCATAGTTCAAGTTCCAGTTCAACTAGACTTCCTAGTTAGAGTATATACTTAGGCTGTTTAAACGTTACCAACCTCCTTGGCAGTCTCCCTCATGAGCATGAAGCCCTGAGTGTAGGAGATGATCTTGGAGGCATACAATGCCTGTTCAAGATCATCAATGAATTGTTGCTTGTCGCCGCGGAAGGGTTCCCTTTGAGGGCCATTGATAACTTTGCTAGCGCGCACGCGCTCTTCCTTGATAGCAGACAAGCAACGTGCGAACACAGCCTCACCGATAAGCGTGACTATTAATCGCGGTCAGAGATCGCACTTAGTTCGGATGAGTAGTGGCATACCGGCAGTGCCAGCGTCAAGGGCAGCAATTGCCGTCCACTTTCCGGTACCCTTCTGACCAGCCTTGTCAAGAATTTTGGTGACGAGAGGTTCACCGTCGTCGTCGTTGAATTTAAGAATGTTGGCAGTAATCTCAATGAGGAAGGAGTCAAGGACACCCTTGTTCCATGTTGTGAAGATGTCAGCAATCTCACTCTCGTGGATACCAAGGCCACGTTTGAGGATATCGTAGGCTTCAGCGATTAGCTGCATGTCACCGTACTCGATACCTGGAATGATTTCCTTAACCCCACAAACTACAGGGTGATAAATAATGATAATCACCATTGTGAACCATCTTGACGTAGTGACCAGAACCAGTCTCGCCAACCCAGTCACAGCAGGGTTCGCCGTTGACCTGAGCAGCGGTTTTCTGGAAGATATCCTTAATAGCGGGCCAGGCAGCGGTTGAACCACCAGGCATGAGGGAGGGGCCATGACGAGCACCCTCCTCACCACCAGAGACACCAGAGCCGACGAAAAGGAGACCCTTGGCTTCAAGCTCCTTGGTGCGGCGGATGGAATCAGGGTAGTGTGAGTTACCACCATCGATGACGATATCGCCCTTCTCCAAGTACGGCTCGAGTTGCTGAATGAAGCTGTCGACAGCAGGGCCAGCCTTGACAAGAAGGATGATCTTGCGAGGGCGCTTGAGTTTAGCGCAGAGCTCCTGGATGGAGTGCGCGCCTTGGACTTTGGTGCCTATAGGAAGAGCTCGAGTCAGTAATAGGGATGAGGGGTATGAGGTCATAGATAACCTTTTGCCTCGTTGGCGAGGAAATCGTCGACTTTGCTGGTAGTACGGTTGTAAGCAACAACGGTGAAGCCTTTGTCGTTCATGTTGAGGATCAGATTTTGACCCTTTTGCCAAATTCACATCATGCAACGGCTGATATGTATGGATATCTTACCATGACGGCGAGACCGATGAGGCCGATATCACCTCTGCAGGAGAGAGGGGTCAGCGTATTAGTTCTACATGATCGTCATCATGGATGGGTAGGACGCACACTGGGGCCGACATTGTGTGTTTACGAAAGATGTGGTTAAGGAAGAAGAGAGGATGATGGAATTATGAAGGAAAGATGGGTTGCAACCTCGATGGATTAACTAGATTAAGAGTCCAGCGGAGCGGGCGTGAGACTCCACATATCAATTTCCTCCCATGCTCTGAATCAGCCAAATGAATGGCGATGATCTGGATCACAGCCCAATGGCTCAATTCACTTATGATAACAAAAACCTCGAGACCAAGCAAAATCTCCATATCGTCGGCGTAATTATCGCAAAGATACCTACGCCAAAAGCACGTAGCGTAGTGAGCCTTTGCTGACGTGAAACCATATTCAGTTTAGCTGAGGCGCATCCTTCGAAACGCGTCTTGGCCGGCGCGATACTAGTATGAGTGACAGACAAACTGTGTCGTGGGCAATATGACCGACAGCGAGAGAAAATTCTTTCAAAAATGCATGTTCGACTGCGAAAACAAATGTTTGAGACTCACCGACGATCTCACACAACATATGGTGGTGAGGACAAGGCTGCCGCCGGAAGTGAAAGACTCTTCAAGTGAGCCAATAGCCACCTGGTCGATCCAGAGACTTTGTGTTATTTTTCCCAGTCCTTTTGCGCCTAATGAACGCGTGGGCCGGAACGTGAGTCTTTTCTAACCAAGCTATTACCACGAAACACGTCCAGGGCAAATCTTGCTTCCTAAATTTACTCTGGGACAAGAACGTAGCTTATAGAGCTTCTAGCTATACTTATTGTGCCTGCGTTTCGACAGCGCCGATCCGGCACACGAGCGCGAGTGGCACATGTCATATGCTCGACAGTCTTTCCCTCTCTCCATCGATACGGCCCAGAATTCGGGAGTAGTCTATGAAGGATGGGTCCTCAAGAAGAGAAGGAAAAAGATGCAAGGTATGTTTCTTAACCCTGACCTCTCAAGTCCTAAGGAACTCCGGTTGCCGTGTAGGCTTTGCACGGAGGTACTTTGTCCTCGATCGGTCAGGATCCTTGTCCTACTCCATCGATCCAAAACGTCCCATACGCGACCAGATATTCCTCCCTCATGCTGCGTTGTCCACTGCTGTTGGTCGTAAAGATATACACGTAGACTCGAGTAATGCCACGTTTCATATCAAGTGTTTGACCGCAGATGACTTTAATACATGGTTAACTGCAATAAGGTGAATCAGGATTCTGAAATTCTGACGTGTTTGACACTAAGAGTGGCACGCGTAGACAGTTTGTCCTTCCCGAGGGACGACGGTCCCTTGCAGGAAAGATCACACCTCGGCTGAGTCAACCCCACTTTAACAGTTCTGGGATTATAGCTGAAGGAATTGGCTCTGTATGTACTCACCCCATTGCTCAGCACAAGGCTCATCGCTGATGCGCCCAACAGACAATATCTGAGTTAGAAGCTGCTTTTTCTGCCCTCCAATCCGAAAGTACACATGAGAGGAGTCACCCTTCACTGAAGTCCAAGTCAGAGAAGGATAAACATCATCACCATCCCAAAGATGTCTTCAACATGTTCAAAAAATGTGTTCCTTCATCCTTCCTTCGGATCGCTGCGTTTGTTGACCCAAGTCCTTTCAGCCCATCAGGTTAACGAGGATGGCACGCTACCAAAGAGCAATCCTGATTCTCCGTCGAACATTCGCTTTCAACAAATCAACACAGCCCTTGCATCTCTTAAGTCACAACATGCTGCCCTACTCAAGTCCTTAGCGCATGATGTCACAGCACCACCGACAGCTCGCAGCTCTCCTCTTCCTCCTACTACAGAAGAAAAGGAAGAAGAACCTCTCTCAACTTCACGCTTCAACACAACACTCTCTCGTAGATCAAACTTAGCGATCTCCATGTCGAGTCTGAGCGACAATGCACATAACGAATGGTTTGACGCCGAAGAGGATCTAGGCGAGGAGTTTTTCCTGGACGTGCCCAACCCAGATGAGGAGAGGGAGCCCATAGTTCCCCAATCCGAAACTAGCAGCTTAAATCAAACCGCATCCAGCGATGAGGAGCATTCCCTACCTCTGGCCCATGATACAGACCCCTCCGTGAACGCTGCTCGTCAAGTGGTACGACGGACGCGTTTACCTTCGGGACCGATCGGTGACGAGGGCAGTTTGTTCGCCATTCTCAAGAACAATGTCGGAAAGGTGACTTTTGGTGCTTTGGATACTACAGACCCATGACTAATGAAGTTGTCGAAGGACTTGACTACAATCGCTCTTCCCGTATCGTTCAATGAGCCCCTGACTTTGTTACAGCGCACAGCAGAAGAACTGGAATATTATAACTTGCTACATCAAGCAACTGAGGCTAAGGATTCCTACTCAACGCTTATGCCTCGTAGCCGCGTTCGCCGTGTCCGGGTATGCACACACAAGATATCGGACCGGTCGCAAAGGCTTGTAAGTTAGGTACATCGTATTTTACTTCTTCCGATGGCCCTAACAACGTGGTTAGCAATCCCATGCTCGCTGAAACGTTTGAAGATGTGCGAATGAAGTTCCTGGCTGAGAAGGTGTCCCACAATCCTGTCGTAATTGCATACCACGCAGAAGGCAAAGGCTGGGAATTGAACGCAACGTCGGCCGGGAAGACCAAGTTTTGGGGTGAGGATCATGCCTGATAGCGGTGCTGGTTGTTGACGTGCTTGATTTAAATATAGGCAAGAGCTTAGAAATCATTCCTCTTGGGACAACGCGGCTCAAAATTGGGAATGACAAGTATGAATGGTGAGCAATGGTTCATCGTGCCTTTTCCGTGTAAGATCCTGACACTGGCAGGAACAAACCTTCGTCATTTATGCGAAACCTGATGATGGGCACAAAGTACCTGGAACACTGTGGCAAGATGACGATCGAAAACACGACGAGTGGTGCAACTTGCGTCCTCGACTTCAAGCAAAGCGGGTATTGGGGTGCATCGAACGAAGTCTCTGGTATGATTCTCTCTCCATCCCGTGACGTAACCGCCCGCATAGAGGGCAAATGGGACGAACAAATCGCGCAGGCGATCGACTCTTCCTATTTGCATGTCCTTTGGCGCATTCACTCCATTCCCGAAGAGTCCCCTCAATACTATGGCTTTACTGTATTCGGCATGACTTTGAACGAGATCACGAGCGACCTCGAGGGCCGTCTGCCTCCTACGGATTCACGATTCCGACCCGATGTGCGTGCACTAGAACAAGGGAACGACGTTGAGGCGGAGGCTCAGAAGACGCGTGTTGAGGAGATGCAGAGGGATAGGCGGAGACGTGGCGTAGATCGAGCTCCGAGGTGGTTTAAGCAGGACGGGGATGAGTGGACATATGTTGGAGGGTATTGGGAGGCCAGGGCAAAGGGGTGGAAGATTCCAGTCGAGCCACTTTGGTGATTCCAAGACTCATTGATATTGCATCTCCTCGGAGGCCACTGTGGATAGTAAATACATGGAAATTCGGTGATTTGACTCACTGGTTTCCTTAGAGACCTTCTAGCACGTACTCACTGAAATCCTATGATTTTATTATCACTGAAAGGTTATCGAATGAGCTCTAGGCTATTGGTAATTCTTTCTGAGTGATTCGTCCCGGCCCGCGTTAGGTTTGATTTCCAACTCCGGTTAGTACCTGGCCTAATGGCCCTATGAACCTATAGTTGACTGTCCAACCGAACCGAATACGAAAAACGTGTTTTCTTCAATATAAGACCGTAGAGAAAGCAAGCGAAGAGGGTAGTAGAGGATGAAGATGCTTTCAACAGCCCTGCGGAACAGTGCCCTCGCTGCAGGACCTACACTTCGGCGAAGTCTGGCAACGCATGTGCCGTTTTATGAAAAGGACTGTTCTTCAATCACCCCACCTTATACCCAGCTTATTGAAAAATGGGAATATGTTCGGGAGCTCCTGAACAACCGTCCCTTGACTTTGGCTGAAAAGATCTTGTACAGTCATCTCAATGACCCGGAGAAGAGCTTGTCTGGAGGAGGGAAGATCAGGGGAGAGAGCTACCTACAGCTCACTCCTCAGCGAGTCGCAATGCAGGACGCTTCTGCCCAGTATGTTATTACACGTTATTCTAAGCCAGTCTTAATCATGTACTTGTTTATAGAATGGCTTTGTATGCACTATATTAGTTTTTGCTTCAGATATTGTGATTTGACGTTCTTGGCAGGCTTCAGTTTATGAGTGCTGGTCTCTCTCGATGTGCCGTTCCAACCAGCATACACTGTGATCATCTTATTCAAGCTATCGACGGTGCAGAATCAGACTTGAAGGTATGGTTCCGTCCTCAGAGCAGCACGTGTTGCTCATGAGAAAGACACAAGCGGTCGATTGCTTCCAATAAGGAGGTGTTCGACTTCCTTGAAAGTGCTGCTCGCAAGTACGGTATCGAATTCTGGAAACCGGGCTCTGGAATCATTCACCAAATCGTACTCGAGAACTATGCTGCTCCAGGAATGCTTATGTGAGTGCACCCGTGTTGTATGCGCCTTATAGGTTTTGAAAGATGTCAATAAACAGGTTAGGCACAGGTGAGTAACTTCGCGAAAGACTTGGGTCGTTGGACTGACGTAGTGATAGATTCACATACGCCCAATGCCGGAGGGCTCGGTCTGCTGGCCATTGGTGTTGGAGGTGCTGATGCGGTTGACGCCTATGACTGGAACTCCTTGGGAACTGAAGGCCCCTCAGGTTGTTGGTGAGATAATTCAGATCACAGTCACACAGTGCCTTCTAACAGGGTTGATGTCAGGCATACACTTGACCGGGAAACTCAATCAATGGGCAACGCCTAAGGACTTGATCCTTCACCTCGCTGGACAATTGACAGTCCGGGTGAGTAAACTATCAACTTTTGAAAATGAGTTACGAGCACATATACAGGGAGGCACTGGACGCATTTTGGAGTACTTTGGCCCTGGTGTGGCCAGCCAATCATGTACAGGTGAACTAAAACCAGAAATGTAGGTTAACTTTGCACTGATCAGGATTTCATGCTAGGTCTCGCGACGGTTGCTAATATGGGAGCTGAAGTTGGTGCTACGACCTCCACTTTCCCTTACACAGAGAACATGCGCGCATACTTGAATGCAACAGGACGTGCGCCTGTCGCTCGTGCTGCTGACAAGGCTGCATCGATGGGCTTCCTGAGTGCCGATGAGGGTGCTGAGTATGACGAAGTCATTGAAATAGTACGGTCGTCCTTTATTCAGCGGACTGGGTATCTCATTCGCATCTACAGAACTTGTCCGAACTTGAACCAACTATCAACGGTCCTTTCACTCCTGATTTAGCAACACCTTTATCGAAGTTCGGGTCTTTCGTGAAAGAGCAGGGTTGGAAGGACGAACTTTCAGCTGGCCTTATTGGTTCGTGCACTAACAGCTCATACGAAGACATGGTAAGTTGTTTTTAGTTTGATTACACACTTCTGACCCGATGTAGACGCGAGTGGCAGAGCTGGCCAAACAAGCAAAGGCTGCTGGCTTGGTCACCAAGGTTCCTTTTCTTTGCACTCCTGGTTCTGAACAGATTCGAGCGACTATGGAGCGAGATGGCGTTATAACTACATTGGAAGATGTCGGTGCTGTGGTTTTGGCAAATGCGTGCGGTCCTTGTATCGGTCAAGTACGAATTACGTTTATCCCTCAGTCGCAACTTTTGACTTCTTCGCTTAGTGGAAACGAGATGATATGAAGGGTGAAGAAAATGGTAAATGAATCTAGTAAATATCGATTGGACAAGCTAAATCTCTTTCCAAAGCAATTTTGACATCTTTCAATCGGTAAGAAAAAGGTTTTTCAATATTTGACGTCACTTATTTTCAATGATGCAGGAACTTCAAGTCTCGCAATGATGGAAACAGACTAACTATGAACTTTCTCGCGTCGCCTACGATTGTGACGGCTATGGCATTCTCCGGCTCACTGTCGTTTAATCCGATGACGGATACCCTGACTCTGCCCTCTGGCAAACCATTCAAGTTCGCCCCACCTGCTGGACAGGATTTACCAACAGAAGGTTTCACTCAAGGCAACACCGACTACTATCCTTCTCCCACACCAGAGCCACAACCAGAAACTGAGGTCGTCATTCGTGCAGACTCTCAGCGTCTCGAACTGTTGGAGCCTTTCCAAAGTCATTTCGGCGACAGGGGTCTGGAACTCCCGCCCTTGAAAGTACTGATGCGCGTAAGAGGGAAATGCACTACTGACCACATCTCTGCGGCCGTAAGTGAGGTAAACGTTTGCTGGAGTCGCCCAGCTAACTCACGTACAGGGCCCTTGGTTGAAATACAAGGGACATCTCACTAACATTTCTGAAAATCTTCGTACGTCTTGCGCACTTTTAGCACATTTTGTTCTGACTATCATTTGCAGTTATCACGGTGTGTCGCACAAGCTGTCATCCTGTAAGTATGATATTAAACTTGACAACTAATTCAGGCTGTGAATGACGAAGGGGGCAACGTGAATGTTGCATTCGACCATGATCGTGCCGCCGGCGAGACTGAGACAGACACCATTCCCGCAGTCGCAAAACGGTTCAAAGCTCGCAATCAGCCTTGGACTCTGGTCGTTGATGACAATTATGGCGAAGGTAGTGCCCGTGAGCACGCTGCGCTTCAGCCTAGGTTCTATGGTACGTTGTAGTATCCCGCGTTGCATTCGAGCGGTCTCTCAATCGTGTTAGGGTGTGCAATGATCGTCGCAAGATCTTTTGCCCGGATTCACGAGACTAACCTGAAGGTGAGTTGTAGTTAAACCGTAGAATATTGGTCTAATTGGGATGTGCAGAAACAAGGAGTTCTTCCTCTTTGGTTCGCCGACAAGACCGACTACTCTCGCATCGGATCAGGCGATGTAGTCGAGACTATCGGCTTGGCAGACCTTATCGAGGGACGACAAAATGCCGTAGTTACACTCCAAGTCACCAAGCGTACTGGCGAGGTATTTGAGATACTCACAAAACATACCATGTCGGAGGATCAGTTGAAGTGGTTCCGCGCGGGTTCTGCCCTCAATTTCATTCGCTCACAGATGTCGTGATGAACCGATTACATTCTGAGTTGTAGTGTATAAAAGTTGCAAGTGAATATCATTACTATTAAGGGAATACATGCTACCTTGTGGTCGTTAAGGATTGTCCCAGGGAAGACAGTTGTTCAGATCCGATGTGGTCCGGTCCTTTGAGTGCATCTAAAGCTTTCTTAGCAAGAAGGACAGCAGACTCTGGCATGCCTGCCAGTTGAGCAACCTTGAGACCATGACTATCTCGATTCACGCCTGGCCGCAGACGATGGGAGTAGGCAAAATGGTTGTCCTGATAGTTCTCCTGAGTAAACATACACGATTTCAGTTTGGTCACTTACGTCTGTCTCATCAACATCTGTACAAAAGAACCCGACTTCTTGGAAGACGCCGCCGCCACGGTGACTATTGGAGTAACTAAGCATATCTGCGAGTTCGTGAAAATGAGTTGCAAACAAAGCTCGACACTGATTTTGGGTGACAAGATGATGGACGGCAGCAAATGCTATTGCCAGACCATCTTTTACGGTGGTTCCACGACCCACTTCATCCATGATGACCTACAGGATTTTCAATTTCATACGCGCTAGGATGAGTAAGCTAACAACCCACCAAGCTCATTGGAGTTGCTCGACGTAGAATTTCAGCTGTTTCCAGCATCTCCACCATGAATGTACTTCTGTCACGAAACAGATCATCCTTGGCTCCTACTCTGGAAAAGAGTTTGTCTACAACTCCGATGACAGCGTGGTCCGCGGGTACAAAGGAACCAGTCTGAGCGAGTATAGCAATCAAAGCTGCTTGTCGCAGGAATGTTGATTTCCCTGCCATGTTCGGGCCTGTGATTATGTGAAGCCGGGAGGCACGTTCCAGCACCACGGAGTTCGGAGTGAAGACTCGACCTGAAGTGAGCAGGCCAAGTTCTACGGTTGGATGTCGTCCATTGGTCACCTCATATGCCATGCTCATATGACGTAAGTAAGGGTCAGGGAGATGTGCATTGAGCAACATACTTATCAGTGATAACGGGCCTCGTGAACCGTAATTCAGCTGCAAGAACCGCAAATCCGAGGGTAACATCCAATTCGTCCATTATTCGCGCATTCCTTTGGAGATGGGTCGCAAAGGCTTTAACCTGGTTTTTCAAATGAACCTATGATAACACGTTTTAGACGGGGACAACTGGCCTCATTGCGCAACAGGTTGAAAGCTTCCTTCTCAGCATTCGTGATCGCCGTCGCAGTTTCAACTAGCTGATTGCCTAGAGACGACCATGGCTACAACCAATCATTTCAAATGAGGCACCTTTCATGAAAGAGGAAGGGGGACGAACAGACCTGGTAAAAATAGGAGCTAGTCGAACCGCTCTCCGATATATTAATGAAGAGCGGCGATGCCTTCACAGCGACCTGGTCTCTCCTCGAGCGACCGATGTGGACATGCATTCCTTGCGCAGGAGAAGTCCTTAGGGTCAGAGAAGGTGCTTCTACTCAACCGAGTCAGTAGCGGCCCGATGGAAGATATGTGCCTTACCATAGGCTACTTGGAGCCGACGTTCCATCTTCCTTCTTTGCTCTAGTAAATCGACGAGGTTGGTATGCAAAGACATCAGTTGCGAAGAAAATCTGGACCATGAAACGTAAGTAATGAGGGTCTGGATCGACAATGCTGCATACTCTGGTCGAATGAAACACCTAAAGGGAATATCAAACTTAGAACCAATTTTGCCGGGCTCCTCCGCGTCTGCTGGAAGAGAGCCATTGGCGTCTTGATCATCTCTCGACTCATCTGTAGTTTCAATATTTCGCAAAGCCAGATTGATTCGATTCTCAAGGTCTTGCAGATCTGCCATTCGACATAAAAGAGCATCGACACTTGACCAATCTTCCGAAAGCAGAAAGCCTCGTTCCGAACTTTCCATCTGCTTCTCGAGTTCAAAGCGCTTGCGAATTGCACTCCAAACGTTAATCGTCTTGCTGATCGAAACCAAATCGCCAGGATCACCTCGCCCAAGAAGGAACCTCTGAACGATCCGTGTTGTGTCTTCGACTTCGTCCAAGAACTGCCTGACGTCGCCGAGTAAGTGTGGCCTGGCGTGAAAGAATGCCACCAATGACTGTCGAGCTTGTATTTCTTTGACCGATGTACTCGGTGAACCTAAGTGTGTGTTAGGGGCTTTGGAATTCTATTAAATGACAAAGACTTACACAACCATCGAGCCAGTAGACGTGTTCCGCTGCGCGTTACAGTTCTTTTGACAACGCTCAGCAAGCTACCTGTCGTGCCACCTTCTCGCGTGCTTTCTCTGATTTCCAGTGCCTTGATAGTGTGAGAGTCGATTTGCATGCGATCCACGGTGCCTTCGCGACTCGGCATTGAGAGATTTGGCATGTGCTCCAACAAGTGAGCGTGCAGAAAGTTGGTAAGAATTGTGATAGCGGATGACTCCTCAGGAGAATACGCGGATGGGACAGAAGTCAAGTCTCCTTCCAGTTTGTCGAGGTCATCTGGAGGAACAGCAGTATCGGGCGAATCATTCACCGAGATGCCTTGAGAGGGCGTAACGTACGAAACAAAGCAGCCCTCATCCACAAGCAGCTGATGAATGGGATGCGAGAAGTTGGCTTGGAATTTATCCTCTAGGACAACCTCTCGCGGGCATATCCTCGCCAGGTCATCTTTCAGAGCCTCCCTGGACGACGTCTTTGCGAAAAATTCACCTGTAGAAACGTCGATCCAGGCTAATCCTATAGGAGTGGCATCCATTTCTTCCGTTGTACCGTCGGCGCTGATGGACAATAGATAGTTGTTTTCAAACTGGTTGATGAATGGCTCATCGAGGAGTGTCCCAGGGGTTATCACGCGAGCCACTCGTCTATCAAACTCGGGTTTCTGGCCTGACGCGGAATACCGAGGGAATTCTTCGCACATCGCGACGAACCGTTTATTGTGTTGGACAAGCACTTTGAGATACTTGTCCAGATGCATTAATGGGAAACCGCACATGGCGATACTTTGCTTATCCCAGATGCGAGAAGTTAGCTTGATGTTCAGTAGGCGAGCGACCTCAATTGCTTGATCAAAGTAAGACTGCGGCGGAAACGGTTAGGCGAAGTCCGTCGAAGTAGAGGTGAGCGCGCCGTACCTCGTAAAACTGACCAACACGAGTCAGGAGGATGCAATGGGGAAATTTAGCAAGATTGTTCAAGATCTCAGTGGCAAGCATGTTGCGCGGCTGTTTTGGAGGTGCAGCATTGTCTGCAGAGTCGCCCACCTTTGTTTTTCGACGCCGGCGAGTTTTCGCTGGAGTGTCGGTAGTTGCAGGGATGTCTACTCCTGTAAGAATTACATGGCTGTCTGCAATCGACCAGCCGGGGAATGAACGTACCTGCGTCGGCAGCGGGAGAACCATCAGATACCGCTGCTTTTTGTCGACCCCTGCGCTTTCTGGGTTGTTCTTTCTCGACGACTTGCTGCGATGGAGCGTTCAAACCTTGTGTGTTTCTTACGCTCCTTTCAGGTGCGTTGGAGAAATCCTCGGTGATGTTCAAGCGAGAAGCTGGATGGACCGCATGCGCATTTACTTTTCATAAGAAAGGAATATCACAAATACACCTGAATTGCGCACAAGAAGGAATTACAAGATCATTAGGGACGCTCGCGTCACCTGGGCTCTGCAGCTTGGTAGAAGGAGGCAGAAGCGAATGCTCCTCTACCACGACGCGTCGCTTCGGCAGCTCTGAAAACCTCTTCCTTGTGATGATCACCGAGGGGCCTGACTTGACGGTGACCGCGTCGTCGGGACAAGACACGAAACCTGAATGAAAAGGGCGCGTCTGGAGGTCAAGCAGCAGCTTCCGTCTACCACAACAAGACATGCGGCGACATGCTGTACTAAGAGCCACCATTCAAAGCACGTCAGTTATTTTTCAATGCAAAACAACGGAAAACTGCAGATGCTAGAGAGTACTACTTCAGACACAGTATTCGGACCCGTCGCGACGGTGGCGCGGCTGAGCGGAGTTTTAATGGGACGAAGTCAACTTTCCCCTTCGTCTCTGCTTTGCTCTGCACGCAAGTGAAGTAACCCAAAACTCAAACTTCTCATCAAATGTCTTTCGCCGGCAGACGCAGAGGAAACAAGGTCAAGAAGGGTGTCCAGTTCACCCTGATGGTCGTTGGTTAGTTGTTCTTTCTAGGTGTCATTTTGACTGGTGTTCGGTGTTTGTTGACCGGTCGTTTTTCTCAACGTGTTACAGGTGCCTCTGGAACTGGCCGTACGACCTTTGTGAACACCCTTTGCGAGTCCGAGGTCCTGGCGCACAAGGTCTCTGACAACCCAGACACCGCGCACATCGAGGAGGGTATTAGAATCAAGCCTGCCAACGTCGGTCAGTTGCACTAACCATGTATTGTTTGCATCTTATTCAAACATGTCCTGCATTGTCACAGAGTTGGAGGAGGATGGTGTCCGCATTGCCCTTACCATTGTTGACACGCCAGGTTTTGGGGACAACATCGACAATGAGTTTGCGTTCGTATATACCCATCCCTACATATCCCACTGAATAACGTTTGGTTTTAGCTTCCAAGAAATTGTTGGCTACCTCGAGCGTCAATACGATGACATTTTGGCCGAGGAGTCTCGTATCAAGCGTAACCCTCGCTTCAGGGATAACCGTGTACATGCGCTCTTGTACTTCATCCCGCCGACAGGTCACTCGTACGCACATTTTGGCGCATCACGTTGATATGGTACGCTAACTGGGCTATGATATAGCCTGAGAGAGATGGACATCGAACTGATGCGCCGTCTTTCGCCTCGTGTTAATGTGATTCCTGTTATTGGAAAAGCAGATTCTTTGACACCCAGCGAGCTTCGGGGATTCAAGAAGCGGGTTTGTTCCCCCGGGTTTTATCTCTATTTGGCTTGTGTTGACGTGGTGACATAGATCATGGAGGATATTGAGCACTACGACATCCCCGTCTACAACTTCCCTTATGACGTGGAGGAGGACGACGAGGAAACCATCCAAGACAACAGCGAGTTGCGGGTATGTGACGTAATTTGAGTCCAAGGTGATCATTTATGTAATGACACAGGCATTACTTCCTTTTGCCATCATCGGTTCGGAGGAGGAAATCGAGTTCGATGGGCAACCGGTACGCGCCAGGATATACCCTTGGGGTATTGCCGAAGTCGACAACCCAAAACATTCGGACTTTAGCAGACTACGGAGTGCATTGTTGAAGTAAGTGTGATGTAGCATTTTGTAGAAATTGCTAAAAAATTTGGTTTAGCTCTCACCTTGGCGACCTGAAGTCACTGACGCATGACGTGCTTTACGAGACTTACCGTACTGAGAAGCTTTCTCGGACGGTGCACGCGGACACACAGTGAGAATATTAATTTGATGCCGACGTCCACGCTAATCAATAAATTGTGTAGCGATTCTTCCATTCTCCCAGAAGAGTTGGCAACTCAGAGCGTGCGTCTGAAGGAAGAGCAGCTTCGCAGGGAAGAGGAGAAAGTAGGTGATAATAAACAACTGATTTTGATTGTGCTGACAAAGTATTCTTGTGAACGAATAGCTTCGTGAGATCGAACTCAAAGTTCAACGAGAGATCAATGAAAAGCGACAGGAACTTCTGGCAAAAGAGGAATCACTCAGGTAAGTTTCTATGGGAATGTGATGAGTGAAGTGTTGGCTGATATGGAGATGAATTAGAAATTTGGAGAGTCGTCTTGTTGCTCAAGGGTCTCAGGCAGAATTCCGGGACTGAAAGTAGGTGGATGGCTAGATATGTTGGGCATTGTGGTCGACAATTATACCCTCCGTTTGTGCATATCCTTGCTCACTTGTCCGTCCGCTCGTTTTCTGTCTACTCTGCGATTTTATATATACCGGATAATCCATTGCCATTCCTTACGCGAAATTTACCCAGCTTTCGAGGCTTCTTGACAGTTCGTAATCGTTTTTTAGTGGAAATGCATTTAAAGAGACATTTTGCTGCTTTACGTTTCCCAAATATTTTTTTGTGTGTTGATCTATCATAGGATGTGTTTCAAATGAGTTTGCCGGGGCTGAGACTACAACTACCAAACTCGGATCATTGTTGAGCACGTTGGTGGACTGAACTTGTTGGACTACACTCTTTTCGGTTTCGGTTTCGGTTCTTAGCTATAGGGAGATATCTTGAGAGAGAGATATCTTGATAGTTGCGCTGACATCCTGTTTCAGGTTCATTTGGGTTGAAACTCATTTAATCAACTTGATTATAATTTTGAAGGGGGAACTTTGCTCATCGAGCTCCTCGTCATGGAACCCGAGTTCAATACTCGCCCACTCTCTATAATTCATCGTCCACGCCAATCCCAAGATCACACTTCTCCTCCTTCTTCGCCCGTACCTCCCCCTTCATCCTTCATCCTAACATCTCGTCGTCGCTCTTCCGCTGCCAACTTTCCTCCTGCAGGTCCACCACCGAGTCAACCAATTCCAAGTCTACCGTCAGCTCCAATCTACCATCCTGATGATGTTGAACCTCCTTCCGATGAACTTTCATATACCACAAGGCATAGGTCAAGCACTAGTGGTAGTGGTCCTAGTCACGCCAACAATGGTAGACCTTCAGCCTCTGCAAATCTCGCTGCAATAGCCGCGTTTCAAACAAGGCAAGCCTCTACTTCCGCGTTCAACAGTCCCCAGCCTTCTTCCAGCACCGTCACACATGACTCCGGTCTTTTATCCGACCCCTCGCATAGATCTGGCCTTCAGCCCACGTCATCTTCACATCATCAGGATATCGTGCCTGACCGTCTCTTGTTGTCACCAACTCAGCCTCGCACACCGTCACAATCTCGCCCATCTTCAAGACGCGCCCTCACAAGAGCCTTGGAACTCGCCCGTGAAGCAGTTCAGTTAGACTCCACCAATGATGACCCTCATGCTGCTGTCATGGCATACGGTCGAAGTGTCGCTTTGCTCAGCGAAGTTATGGAGCGAGTAAGAAGAGGCGAAGACAGCACAGAACGTCCCAGGCGAAACGGCAGACGGAGAAGTGTAGTCGCACAAGAAGAAGAAGTCAGACGTCTCAAATCAATAGTAAGAAATTTACTCATTCTAGTCGCGCATTCATCCTGATTTCATTTCACCCCTTTCAGCATGACACTTATGCTGACCGCATGAACATTCTCAGCCTGATATACAGTATACCTCCCATACCGCACTCCCCATCATCTGTCTACGCCCCTTCCACATCCACAGAGTCCACACAACCTGGATCACCATCTTCCATTTCACCCACTTCCGACTCTCATAGAGTCTCTTCATACCCAACAGAACACACCCAAGACGAGCCTCAGCACGTCGGAGTACTTAACCATAACCATGATGACGATAATGATGGCCATGAAGGCATCGGAGCTGCTCTTCTCAATGATACTTATCTGTCCACCGAATTTGGTCAAAGAACCAATGGCATATCACCTCAACATCCTTATGCTGCACCTCTCTCACCTCTTTCATCATCTGGTCCACAGGATTCCAATAATTCTATTAACCGAACCACAACCCTTCCGGCGAATCGCACCCAGTATACCCCATCAGTCACTGGTCGATCTCGAGCAACTTCTGTTTTTCCTCCCGCCGTCCCACCTCCAACCTTGTCTCCTCTACCACCACCACCACCACCACCACCAGACTCTGCCTTACCCGTCATGTCCGCAACGATGCCTTCGCAGACCAGCAGGTTCCTAGAAACTACCCGTCCACGCAGAAATTCACTTGGACACAGACGAACTGGGTCAGGAACTAGATTGACTGCCGTTACTGAAGAGGGGGTCAGGATCGAGGGTCCTCCCACTCCGGAGAGCCTATACGACCAAGACCTTACTGCTTCCTTACCCCGACGCCCTGACACGCCACGCACTGCAATTCGGGACTCTCACCCACTTCCCCCGCTTCCTTCACCCACCCCCACATCATACTCTGCACGATCACCTGAATCGCCAGCACAACAAGTTATTGCTCCACGAGTCCGGGGAGAGTCGATGAGCGTGATCAGTGGTCAACAATTGATCAGCACCTCCCTGGCGATGGGTACGATTCATCAAAGGCGTACCAAGATGTCTGCTCCCCCTTCGACTGACAGTCCTTCGCCTACTGAATCACATTCACCGTCGATGTTCTCTCTTCCCGCCCCAAAGCCTACCGGGTCACCGGTGCCCCCTAACGCAGTACCTCTTGTGGTTGGACGAAATCGCGCGTCGTCACAGCCAGGACGACGGCCTTCTGTAGTCAATGGCCGTATCTCGCCGTTTGATGCTCAGCGACCCCCTTTACCACATACAGCAGGGCTCAACGGGCTAATACCCCGTAAAATGTCCAATCCTTCTAAGTTGCAGCAGAACATCAGCATTAACATCCCACAATTGCCGCAATTGACTGTGCAGACGGAATTGTTATCACCGTCTCTGGCATTAGCGTTGGTGCCACCACCAGCCCTGATATCCAATTTGCCGACTACGCCCACTTCTCCGCTTCCACCCGCTCCACCTGCTGACAGCCAAAGGAAGCCGTATCATATGATGGCACTCCTGGCAAATACTATGACCTCAAAGTCTGGTGGTTATATCACCAGACGATTGCATGTGCCGCAAGAGGTTTGGTCACAAGGAGGGGCCAAGCTTACAAACATACCAGAAAAAATCCGTGTTGTAGAAGTGCTCTGCTCAGCCCTGGAGGAGATGCAGCAATGCAGCGTGGAATCTTTTGGCGCTAGCGTTGGTAGTGGACTAGCTTTGGGAATTGGTAGTGTAACTCGCAAGGAAGCTGAGACATGGGTAGGCAAGTTAGAGGAGTTCTCCTCGATATGCGATAGTGTCGTCGCGAACTTTGGCAAGAAGCTTAGTGTGGGCGAAGGTTTTGTGGTCAAGAAAAGTGGCGGGGTAAGTTTCTATGGTCCACTTGTCCTTCATGGGTTGACGCTTTACTTGTCTCCTCAGGTAACATCATGGGGAGGCAAACTTACTCGACAGATTGACAAGTTTACCAATGGAAAAAAGTTCGTATCTCGCTTTCATTGCATCCTTGCCTTGCATTGACGTATGAAATAGCCTTGATTCACCTGCTGCCTATGTGTCTGGATTAAATAGGCTGTTTATGATAGCCCAACTCATCGACGAGCATACAAAGGCGCTGATGTCGCAGCCTGTCGCAGCCACATACGCAGCGTTCCCCCTAGATCTCCGGGTCGCTGCAGAAGTCAAGCTAAAACGCGCCTCCGAGTTCTTTGCGAGCGTCGTGCTGACATTCGTCATCCGCGACCTGGCGCAGCTACTCGACAAGTACGCCAAGAAGTGTGAAAAGTGGCTGGCAGAATAGTGAGGCAAACCCCCGTTCCCTCGGTCTGCGAAGCTGTAATACTGTTACGAAGCAGTATGTATTTATTTCGGGACTAGATGGTTTTACCAGAATATGTTTTATCTGACATTTTTAGTGTTTATTCTACTTTCTTCGTTCTTTTTTGCGTGTCTTTTCTGCGCCCCTTTTGTCTTCGTTCGGTGCACCTCTCACGTCCGCTCCCTTGCATACTATACATTACACACTTCGGAATTCTGTGCATATTGAATGTAAGCTACCAATCAATTGCTCAAACCGCTGGATGTTTTGATGTCCAGATGTAGTTCATACAGTCAGGCATACAACAAACTAGAAGAACAACAAGGAGGTAGACAGTATAGTACATGATGTAGTCTAACAATTCTGAGTTTTCAGAATACAGAGGGAACCCGCCCTGGATGGGCCTCGAAGTGCGATGACCGTACTGGTCATTGGAGTTCCATATGTAGGCTCTTCTCCTTCTGGAGTTGGTGGCCTGCCTCTTAGGCGAGAAATGACCTGCATTCTCTTGACTGCGACCCGTCTCAGGGAATGTTGTGGAGTAAAAAGGAAATTGACGCACTGTAGTCTGTTCGAACGTGACCATCGTGGCATTCCTCATCCGAGTCAACGAGAGGATCGGTGGTCATGACAGTATGCCAGGCGTCTGATGTTCAACAAACGAATGTATGAGCTACGTCGCATAGGAACCTGAAGAGTAGCTCACGCTGCAGCATGTTGCGCTCAGGGCCTTGCATACTCGATCTCCGGGATCGCGGTGGTGGTCGTGGGGTGATGCTTGGTACGCTGGATTTTCGCGCCGAGCGTATATCAGTGGGCATGCGACGATATGGGGGATCTAGCGGGGAGTGTGGACGACGCTGACGCTGACGCTCGAGGATATGAGGAGGTACCTGCTACGACTGGAATGTAGTACATATGAGCAACGGACTCGGGCAAGATAGCATTTTTACATACGTTCAGACCGTCGCTCTTCTCTGTTGGCATTTACATCTAACAGGTCTCTCGGTGGGGGATTAGCAGCTTTTCTTTTCCGACGAGGTGCTCGTAGTCGGTTGTGGACCTGGTAAACTTGGGGTGTCGTCTTCAGCTTTGATTGTAGCCCTGCTTCTCCTCTTTGCTGGGACTTTTTTTTCAGACATTGCCGCACTCTGGGGCGTCTGAAGGACTCAGACTTGTGGTGAAGAGTCGGACGGGATGAGGCTGAACTGTTATGGCGAGCGTCTTCGCACTGGGATTTGGTTCTCAACTTGAATCGGCTGGCTTATGCGGCAATTCGCCATGCAGCCGCCTATCGCCCAGAGTTGGCCCTGGAATAACTTCAGGCTAATACGAATCCCGGGCACGTTCCGTAGACCCCGCTTATATTGGATTTTCACTTGCGCTGCTATGCTATGGCGTAGGTCAGTTCAGTGACTGTCCGACGCTGATGTCAGTGTCTTCTCAGCATTTTCATCATCAGACGTGCACTGCCGCTGTGCGGCGGAAAACAAGTATGTTCATATGTTATTTTTGGGCTGGGCCTCTCACACAGGCATGCGGTACTATCTCAGCAAGCGCCTATATCTAGTATGCAAACTCCAGGGGTCGTCATGTCGCGGATGTAACCTCTCAAGAAGTCGTACGGATCATTCAAGTTGCAAAATACAACGACTCGGAGGGTTGCGCATCATAGCGGTTTGACATATACTTAATTCCGGAGGTCCATGGTCTTGAAACGCTTCACTCCACGTTCTTGTTCGTAATGTTCTCTGGGCTGTGGCGTCGGCCCCAAATGGTTATCAACTCTGTTGTCTTTGTCTCCCAGGGAAGCTGTGCATCCCACAAATATGCGAGCGTCTGCCATGCTATAATGAGGCTAGGTCTTTTGATTCTCTCCATCGATTGTGGGGGGAACCCTGCCTGCTTGCTCTTCTTCTTTTCTTTTTTTTTTTCGTTCTTGAGCTCTGGAGCTCGGTGCCGGGGAGATGCTGCGCACCTTCAGTCGCCTTTTCAACTTCAACTTCGTACTTTATATTTTATACTTCACTTCCTTGTTTAATATTCTTTCTTGGTCCTTGCACGGTGTCCAAGCTGCTCCTGTGTGTGTTTCAGTTGGCCTAGAAGAACGGGAAATTGGGGCATCTTCAAAGGCACCTGGGCTTAGCCCAGCTACCGTCGCTGGCCGAAATTATGGTATGCATCCTTCAAAAAATCAACGAATAAAGACGATTTTACTATATCTGCAGCTTTCAAACAATATAACCTCCTGCACCATGTAGCCAGAGACTCAGGGCTTGATGACGATATCGTCTCAGCCTGTGACAGTAAGTGCATATTATCCGTCTGTATGTTGTCCTGACCCTGTGATAATTTCCACAGCAACAACGTCGGCGATGCCATTCCCGAGCGCTGGAGCTACGGCAACTCCATCTAGTTCATTGCCATCGACATTGGATTCGAGCACCATCTTGACACAGATGTCTTCTGCGTCTTCCGTGAGCATGCCCTGGACGAGCTCAAGCACTATTTTGTCATGTACGTCAGTGATGTCCTCCAGCTCATCTCAGTTGGAGGCTGGTGGGTCTTTTGTAGGGGGAACTAATAGCCCTACATCATCACCTATTCCCATGGGGACGTCTCCAGTGACGCCCCCTATATCATCGGTCACTGCCCCGTCTTCCCCTCCTACTGTTCCGTCATCAGTGACAACGGCAGAAACCGGATGTCCCCTAGACCCTCCTGCGCTCGAAGGGCCGTCTCCATCGAGGCTTTCTGCATCACAAGAAACATCTTCAGTTACTACTCTATCTTTGGCCCTTGGTGTCCCACCGTTGGTGACCACAGTGATCAGTGATTGTCCTCCATCCTTACCCATACCTGGGGGGCCTTCTCCTGTGACGCCCCCTACATCATCAAGCACACCGCCACCTACTATTCCATCTTTACCCCCTATTGTTCCGCCATCAGTGACACCGGTGGTAACTAGTCCTCCGATTTTGCCCACGATCGAGGGACTGCCTCCAGTGATGTCCCCCGTATCGTCGGAAACACCTATAGTTACTTTCCCCCCTCCCATAGTTACTTCTCTCCTACCTCCTGTTCCCCCTACTGTTACTTCCCCCCCGCTTCTTGTTCCTCCTGTTGTCACTCCCCTGCTACCTCCTGTTGTCACTTCCTCTCCATTTCCCGTTGTTCCAGCAGCTTCATCAGTGACAACAACCTCACAAAGTGCTGCTAGCCCGGATACCGCGACGTCACCGGCAGGTCGTCCCACATCCACAGTGACTGTGTCGGTCACGTCCGTTACGCCAGAACCATCCCCCACAACCGTGTCTACCTCGCCAAAGCCTAATGCGCAGTCAAATTCAAGTTCGCAACAGGCATCGTCGTCACCGATATCATCGCCTTTGGCACAAAGCGACGCTGCGTCATCGCCACAACTTGCAGGATCTTTGATTGCTATCATCACAGTGTTTTCATTCCTTGGCACACTTTCGTTGATCCTTGGAGTCATTGTCTTCTTTCGCGCCAGACGTCATCGTATTGCCCAGACGCCACTCCTTGAAGAAGAGCGCCGACCCTCGCCACTGAACTTGTCTTCGAGGTTTTCTGTCACGACGACAGGATCAATGGAGTAATCTAGGCGTTTCACACCTTTCGCTTTTTAATTCGAGACCATCTACCGCAAGGAGTCCAGTTTCTCGTCCCGCCAATCCGATTGATGGTGACGCCAGTAAAGGTACTTCTAGGGTCTTCTTGATGACAGCCTCGAGACAGAGGAATGAGGTCTCTAAATTGGTTGTAACACGAGGGATGGGACTTCGCAACGATTCCTTACTTATCGAGAGATATCACTTTTTTACATTCCTTGTTGGCGTCTACAACACGTATTAATAATGACGTTTAAATAACAAATTATGCTGAAGGTATCAAGTGCAAGGAAGGGAAAGTACAATGAGATCCTTCCGATGAGCGAACATGGGTATGTACAGGAAACGGGAATGAACATCGCAAGGGGAATCATTGGGTTATGGAAGCGTGTACTAGTGTAGATGTAAGCGGAAGGAAGAAAACGTTGCGTGAAAAGTTGTCCCTCCAAAGCAAGTAAAAGCAAAACAAGATGAAAGGCGAAAAAAGACATCACCAGAACTCTCTGACTCGCTCTAAAACCTCCACAACGACCGAGCTCTTATACATGAGAGCATGATCAGCACCTTTTACGACTTTGACGTGACATCGATCTTCGCCCATCGCTTTTTCCATCCACCTCACGGCATTTTCAGCGATCTTCTCGTCCCTATCTCCATACCAAACCTGGACCTTGTGAGGGTAGTCGCTGTATGAGAAGCCCCAAGGACGATTATCGTGATTGAGGATTTGTAGAAGGTCGCTGTGCGTCCCCTTCGATGCTTCCGCGTGAGACGCCGCAATGAGAGCATTGGCGAGAGCAGTTTGATACGCAGTTGATGCAGTTTGGGCGCTCACGTGTGGAGAGGATAAAGTGCTCGCAGGGGGGGATGATGGAACGCTCGGCGGGATTGATCTCAATACACCTGTGCTAGACGCACTGAAGGATATAGAACGCTGGCCGGTTTGTCGAGGAAGGAGCTTGAGCGAGGGTTTATCGGAGGACAATTCGGCGGGTTTGGTTGGTTTGATAAGGGGTGGAGGGGTTGGTATAGGACTAGGTGAAGATCTAACCTTCGTGGCATCCCAATCGATTTCACCAAGACCTAAACCCGTGTCTAACGATAATTGTTGAGGGAGCTGCGGACTTGGGATATCAGTCCTTTTGAGTGTGTTGGGAGCGGAAGATGATTTGCCCTTGAGGGAGCCCATGGATCTCAAAGTTTTGAGTGTTTTCCCGACGGTTGAGGTGGGAGGAGACTCAGTAGCAGGCGAAGGCGGCTGGGAAATTGCTTTGGACGCTTTAAGTCTGCCTAGAATTCCTCGAGGAGGTTTTTCTCTGCTCTGGTGTGTCATTGAACGTGCGCCAAGTGTGCTTTGACTCCCAAAATGACCGTCGAAATCCCGTAGATCGTCATAATCACTGGACAGAACAGAACCTAAGCTCATCCGTCTCTTGGTATTATCTGATGGGTAAATAGTGTTTCTGCCGGGGCTCTGAGGTCGTGAGGAAGGCTCGATACCATTGCCAGACGTCGACTTTCCATTCTGAAATCTGGGGGATAGCGGTGCAGTGTAACCAATTCCCCGGTAAGCGACAGTTGGCGGCTTTCCTATCATCCATGCCTGGATCTTCCACTCTGCTGCCTGTGCAGTCTTCAGAATGCCATTCGGGACGTACTTGAGCCACCGGTATCCTCCTATACACCAGATGAAAGAAGTACAATCACAGGTCCCTGAAGCACTCACCGCTTTCGGAGCCGCCTATCCATGGCGCTAGCAGACAAAGGTCACCCCGAATACGATTAGGAACACGGTTCGCAAACGCCAAAGCGTAAGGTGCACCGGCTGAGTGGGCAATAATGCTGCACTCCTTTATTTTTAGCTGGTCAAGAACCTCCTCAACAGCTGCCGCCCATTCCATGATACCTCTAGCAGATTTGGAATGCGGAGTCTCAGTACGGCCAAGACCCCATCTGTACAAACGTCAGTGAAGCTATTATCGGTGAACAGGCAGAAACCTACCTATCTATAGCGATCAGACGAAGGCCAAGACAGTCTGCCATTTCATCGTACAAACCCATGACGTGTCTGACACAACCCAGACCAAGAAATATGACCAGAGGAAAGCCATTTGGATCACCCATATCCGCAAGGCTGACAGTCAGAGGGTGATCAAGTGATGCGTGAGGGAATCGCGTGAGTTTCAACAAAGTCGTCAATCTAGCGGAGCGAAGATATTCTGCTATGGCTTGGGGCACGGATGTAGGAGAAGTGGAAATAGGAATGAGGTCCAATGAGTACTGCGAATCCTGTGCTGATGCAGTCGATGAATGGGAATAAACGTCTGAGGGTGCCCCGTAGAGTCGTACACTTGAGCTGTCCGACATGTTCGAAGGCACGGCAGTGAGTGGGGGAGCCCGGGGTGATGCAAGTGGGGGCACGACATGTGATTTCCTCTGGTTATGGTACGTGCGGCGGACTTCATCTGCAATGCTATCAAGGGAGGACCTGCCCAACGGTTCAGCTTCTGTATCAGGCGAGAGCAGCTCAGCCTCAGATTCCTCGTTCTCAACAACATTATTATGGCCATCAATGTGGACATTACTGGACCCATGTTTTGGAGGCTCTCTAGAGCGGTTCTGAGCAGAAGCTGGAGCGTGGTTCCGAATGATTTCCGAAATAGAAGGAACGACAGTTCTTGGACGCTCTGGTGGCTGCACAAGAGCGACTGGAAGGTCATCAACAGAGTCATTAGCTGGTGCCGAAGAGGTGACCTCATACAATCCCGAGTCAACTGTGATTGTGGACGAGGAGCCTTTTCGTGCAGAACCAGGTCGCAGATGAGCGCGGCGAGTACGACGTGTGGGAGGCGATGGCCTTAGTTCATCTTCATCCTCGTCTGAAGGCACGATTTTATCTTGTCGTCGACTTTTCCCTCTGCCAAGAACTACACCGGGTGGAGGAGTGGGTAGAGGTGGTTGGTATAAAGGGTGATGCCTTGCTTTATTACCAAACCTTGAGCGACTAGAGGAGCTTTTCCCAAAGAAGTCTTCCATCGTAAAGCCATTCATCCCGTCAACCAGCGCGTCCATGGCCTCCACCCCGGCAACCGGAGCTGAAACGACTACCGGGAAATGATTGAGGGAGTAGTTCCCGATAGAAGATGAGTCTAATGGCGTTTGCGGGGGAGACTCTGCGAAACTAGAGGTTTCAACAGACAGCCGGAGTGATGAAACGGGGGTCTCTTTCCACTTTGACTTGGTGGATGATGGACCTGTGCGTGTTCGATGACGCGGAATCCTCGGAGTGATATCACCTCCCGACAAGAAGTCGGGGACCTCAAGAGCAAGATCCACAGTTGGAAACGCGTATGAAAGCTGGGTCGCTTTCTCTTTCTCTTTGCCTTTACCCTGATCAAACTTCCTGGAATGCTTCCGCGGAAGATCGTGAGCATGAAAAGTACGACCAGGACTCAATTGGGGCCTTGAATGGATGTCAAAGCAGTCGGGGGAGACGCTAAAGGGAGCGGGGGAAGGGTGTTTAGCGTCTGAAGAAATGGTGGGCCTGTGGACGTCACGTCTGGACGACAAGAAGGGATTGGATTTCCGGAGAGGACGGTCAGTTCCCATACTAGTGTTTGAGTTCGACATCACGTAGGCAAAAAAAGGGTGATGGCAAGCCTAACGCCTTGATGAATTTTACGCAAGTACTCCTCCCGAGCAGTCACGAGTAACGTTCTGAAATGCTTCAAAGACCTGTTTTGTAGTGTCCAATGCTTTTATTGACACGGCGCACCAGAGTGTACCTTAAGCTCACCTCCTCCACCAACACGCTTAATCTCGTTACCGCTAACGTTGTCGGCTGTAATGGCGCCAGTTCAACGCAGCAGAATAAGGATCCGTCACTGAGCGTCTGATGTCGCGTCAGTTTCTTTCCTGAGAAAACAAACCAGAACCCTGGCACAGACAACACGGAGACGGGGAATATCTAGTGCTTGGTTTAGTGCCTATTGTCGTTGCTGGCCAACAACACCGCCACGCAGTACTCAGCACTCACTGGTTGCTTTATTATCGTGGGGCTTAATGACTCGGACTATGATAATATGTAATTTCGATGTTTACAACTTGTTGACTTTACATAACATTGCCACCCACAAACGTCGACATGTTTCTTGCTTTGAACCCCTTCACATGTGGCATAAGTGTGCGTGTTTCAGCCGGTACCGATAAAACTCTTACATGTAACAGTGGTTATGATGCGGTCCTCAGCAACGTCGTCGCGTCTTTCACAACGCACAGGCGAGCTCGCATCCAAAGTTTGAGATGAGAATCATCAAACATGATACAAGATGTATTACATAGGTAGAACTCCCTTTGGCATCGGTTGTGCAGAACTTGAAGTGGCACTGATATATTTTCAGTGTTCACCGTGACTTGCTGGAACTTGGAGTGGGTTTTTTTTATCCATGTCATAATAGGCGTGACAGGCTGCCGTGACATGGTGTACCTGCTTGGCAACGCCATGGCCCTAACGCCGCATAGATGTTTACCACTTATGTAGGACTCCGAATTGAAGCACTCGAGTCCGATTGAACAGTTGGGCGTTCGAACATGTACACTATCATATGCATAGGTAAGCTCGTCAGTGTTTTACGTTGCAAGCGCCCATAATCAAGAATTACCGGCTGTATCATTTCTGGCCCGTGATTTTATTCTTAGCGCCGTGAGGGTTAATCGGAATCCACCTTGTGGTCCATGGACTTTTCAGGGTGCCAAACCAGCACTGTACAAACCCCAACAGGCGCGTAGCACCTATTTTTATAAAGCGTGCTATCAGTGGTGACTGCAACCGTTGGTGGCACAACGGCCTGCCGGGATATGTTTGTTCTTTGCGTGGTGCCTGAGAGCTTGACCGTTCGACATCTACTAATCGAGTGGATACGCCACCAGTCCGGGTCCTTATCATGTCGACTTCACATTACTTATAGAACGTGAGTCCTCTCGTACAC